ATACATAGAAGTTTCTAATTCTTTCTTGTATTAAAATAGATTAAATTTTAAATTTTTGATATAGATAAAAACTTACTAAATATAAAATAGTAAAAAAAAATATATTTTATCTTTGCAATGCTAATCATATATTAAAATATCTAAAAACTAATGAAATAATTTACAATAATCTATGATTAAAATTGAGCAACTCCAGACATAATTATGTATTTTTACAGAAAAATATTAATTATTAACTTAAATTAAATAATTGACAGAAAGCTATTTTTCTATAATTAACTTAAAATCTTTAAAAATAAAATGAAAATTTATTTTATCTTTTTCATTTTATATAAAAATTATTCAATTTTAAATAGACATATTTATTTTAATTTTTATCCTTTGCTTTTATTATTATAACAAACTAAAATTTATATCTCTATAAATATTTTATATTTTATTAGCTAAATAACAATAAAAAGTATCAATTTAAGAATTCTTATAATTTATTATGGTGAATACTTATTCATTTATTTATCATTAATCATTAATGTTTTGTTTTTTATAATAAATCAATTAATAAATTGATAATCTTTAAATTTTAAACCTTTAGTTTTTCTTCATAATATTTATCTTTATAAAGGTTTATTGTAAATGGTTTAGATGCCGATAGACTGGGAGGAAATAAAAATTTAGTTTTTTTTAAATGAAAGTTTAAAATTTTTTAAAACTTTTAAAAATAAAGTATGAAATACATTTTAGAAGTAAATAAATGAATGGAGTTTCTTACAAAATATTTATTACTTACTTGTTTGTATCTTATTTCATCATCTTGATTTAAACTCGTTCTTCTTTTATTTAATATTTTTATAATAGAAAAGGTATGATAAAAATATTTTATATCTTATAAATTTAAAAAAATTTATACAAAAGATACCATTTAAAAATAAATTCTAAAGTTAAATAGATTATTTTAAGGTTTTTGGTTTGCATAAATTTTAAAAAAGATACTGTAAAGATTATTTTGAAGATACTGTACCATACACAACTGATTAATTCGGAATTATATTTAAATTATAAAATATAAACCTTTAAAAAAGAGAAGCTGGATATAAATATTAATTATTATTTATAAAAAAAAAAAAATTTAATATTATAAAAAAGATCAACAAAAGAAAATATTACTCTTTATTTCTATTTTATCACAAAAAATGCCTAAGTTTCCTAAAGAAATCGAATACTCTGACACCTATAATGATGATGCATATTTTTATAGAAATGTAAGACTGCCTTAAGACCTATATAAAAAGATTCCTAAAGGAAAAATTATGACTGAGGATGTTTGGAGATCTCTGGGAATTAAAGTAAAAATACTTTTGATTTTCGCATTTTTAAAAATATACTTTTCAATTTAAAATAGAGTTCAAAGGGATGGCAACATTTTTATGTCTATAAACCAGAACCATTCATTATTATGCTAAGAAAGCCTGTCAATTTCTAGAATTGAAAAAATCCTTAAATTATTCAACTAACTAAAAAAATAAAAAATATTTACTATTATATTAATATATATTTAATGTGGTTAATTTATATTCTTGGTGTTATACTTTTGCAAATACTTCTTTCATTTAGTTTTTAAGAAAAATATTTCATTGGTTAATCTTTTAATCTTAATATAAAGTTTATTTTTGATATTTGATGATAGTATATAAACTGTGTTTATTTTTATTGTTATTGATAATTTTTTGATGATAATAAAATCAATCAAAAATAAAGAATATTCTACAAAATTTGTATACAGATAAAATGGATATTAAACTAGTCAAGGAATTCGAAAACTTTGTAAATTAGATCTAGCCTACTCTTAGCAAAATTGAAAAGCAATATAATAATTAAGCTGTTGCAGTAGAAAAGAGTTGCTTCAATAAAGCAAACAATTAAGAGCATAAATTTGTTGAATGTATGATTAAAAATAGCGATGCCTATCAAAAAGCATTTAAAAGCCTTGAGTATCATATTAATTACTGGAAAAATACAACTTTTCTCTGCTTTTAAAATAGTCCAAACGACTTAAGTAACTGTAAGTAAGAGGCTTCTAAAACGCTTGAATAATACATCCATAAATGCTTTAAAGATATTTGAAGAATTAACATATAGCTAATTTGTTCGTGCTAAAGAAAAGTTAAAAGAAATATTAAACTCAAATAGATTTGCTAAAAAATTAATAATTTATTAGATTTTAAAGTAGTATTTTTTAAGATTAAATTTTTATGAAATAATACATTTGTAAATAAATATAAAAATATTTGAATAATTTTAAGCCATAAAAATAATTTTAATATGAATAAATTTTCCCAAATAGAGTTGCTATTTTTTAAAATAAACACAAATTATTTTGATTTGGATCATAATATAAAACTTTGATTTTAATATTTATTTTTGGTGAAATAAAATAAATTTATTTATTTAATTAATTAATTAATTATTTATATTTCATTTATCATTTGAAAGATAACTGTTTTTTTGAGTGAATTTTTCTAAATCTTTTTCATCAGCAAAAATATTTAAAACCTCAAACAAAGAATTTGAGTGGTAATATTTTTATCTATAGAGATAGTCTAGAATGTCTTTTTTAGCAAAAATATCTGATTCATCTACTTCTCTTGTATAATATTTGCTTTTTTATATTTTTGCTATTTTACGTTCAGCTAAAGTATCGTATCCGTATTTTTTGTTAACGAAAAGCCAATAGCTGTATGCAATAATAGCATCAGATATACCTAAAAGGCATGTGATAGGTTCCATGAAGTCCCAACTTATGAATACGTATGTGCCATATTATACTAAACCTATTTGAGCTAAAACGACACCAAAGAATCTTTTAAAGAATTTTCTCATCTTTTTTTGTACAAGAGTCTCGTCTAATTCCTTTTTATCTGTCTCTTCTTTAGAAAGGCGCTTTTCAACTACTTGTATTAATTTTTCTAATTATTAAATGCGATGAGAGTTTTTTATGGACATTTTATTAAGTACAGATTTAATAACAAGATCTAAATGCTATCTATCAATCAATTCCTTAGAGTCTTTCTTTAAATATTCTGCAAACTCCCCAAAAAACTCTTAAAGAACATTTTATTATTGCATTGTATGTCCTCCTACTTAGCAAAAATCTTTTATTTTTTTGTAATTGAAGTTTGTGTCATGAATAGTTTAAACTCCCAAAGCAACATTATGCGAATTCAACGTATTTACAACATAAAAAAATTAGTTTTCAAGATTTATATAGAAATCATCCTATATGATTAGTTATAAAGGAGTTGATACAGCATAAGAATCTCCATCTTTGTTAAAAAAGTGGATTTCACCAAAACGGTATTTTTAAAATAGATCTAATTGTGCTTCTGACACTGACATATCTAAAGGAACAGGCATAGTACGCCCAGGGAAGTTAATAAAATAGCCTTTTTCATCAAATTCTAATCTTAGAACATCAACTATTTATAAAATACGTTAAAAAAAACAATTCACACTACTTTTTTGTGAACATCTCTTAGTAATTTAAAAATTATCTGATATAAAATTGAGTAATGAATTTAATAGATTAAATAGATATTCTTACTCACTTTATCTTAGATTTTTGAGAATGAGTAGCATGGAAATTTATAAAATCTATTTTATTTGCAAAAAGCCTAGGCTAAAAACTTGTGCATGGTTTCTTTTGAATGGGAGGTAACTATTTAAACTTTTGAGTTTATATTAATAAACAAAATAAATTAAGCAACGAAATTTTATTATATTTGAATAAATAAATAACATTTAAAAATAAGAAAACGAATTAAAAATAAGATACTATAACTAAAAATTTCGATTTGATTGATAATTTCATTTTATTCATATATAAAATTAACAAAAATCTATTGATATTTCATTCTACATTATTTTATAAATATTTTAAAAAATTAATTTATAAAATATTTTTTATTTCTTTTCAAGTTATTTTTGAATTATTAAAATTAATTTTTATTATTTTTTAAATAAAATTAAAGTTAGGTCTTAACCATAAGCAATATTTTAATTAAATATTTTTAAGGTAATTAAAATATATTAATTTTAAATGTTTAATATGTCAATATATTATATTTATTTTTTGTATTTAAATATTCTTAATTTATTTTAAGAAATTTTAACTACTTTATTTTTTTACCTTTTATGCATATATATTATAATTTATTTATGATTTATAATTAAGATTCAATAAATACATAAGATAGAGTTTTAAAATGAAATTTAAATATGGAGAAATTATTTCAAGTTTTAAATTAAAAATTTTATTAATTTTTTAATGTAGATGAAATTAATTTTCTTAAATTATAAATTAATTTATTTAAAAATTCTTATCCATTTACATTTTAACAATATCTCCCTTTAACTGAAGAGATAAATAGGGTTTCTCAATACAAATTAGTAATTATTAAAATATTTAAACAATGATAATTTTTAAAATTATACCAAATTAATCTCAAAAAAAAAAATCAAAATAGTAATACTTTATCTAAGGATTAAAAATTAATTATTTAATTAATTATTGCAGTATTGATTTAAATTTATGGAAATTATATAATCTTTATTTTTTTAATGATAACTGATTCTTTATAAACTTTAAAATCTCCTATAATTTATAAAATTAGTTATGTTAATGAATTCTATTTGTGGAAAACACAAAATATTAATTATAGAGAGATATTGCTGAAACACTCATTTATAAATTTTTATTTATTTATATAAAATATCATTTACTTATTGGATTATTTATATTCATTAAATTAATAGAATAAGATTATGAAATATGATAATTAAAAGTGAGTAAATTAAAGAAAATATACAAACTAAATCAAAACCTTATATACATAATTTTAACTTTTTAATTTAGTAAATATATATTTCATTCATTCATTTATTATTTATTTATTTATTCACTCGTTTATTTTATGGTTGTTATATAAAATTATTTAATTTAAATAAGTTAAATTTTTGATTTGTAAATTATATCATTTATTATTTTATTTTATTTTGTGTTTTAATAATTAAATTTAATAATTGATTGACTAATATTTATTATTTTGCTAAATGCCAATTACTTAATTCGCTCATAGATTTTGTAAGAATCTTTTTTCTAGCATTTTTATTTTTGATTCGTTACTTTCATATTTTTTCAGTTACTTATTAATTGGGTTGTTTAATTAATTCGAAGATGATCTTAAAGGTGTATTTTATTGGGTTAACTAAATTATTAAGAAATTACATTTATGAAAATTTATTTTAATAATGAATATTACTCTGTTAGTATGAAATGAACTAGCTTTTACAATATTTGTAGTTGAAGATGTTGAAACACTTTTATAATTATCATTGTTCTCTGAGTCATTAGGATTTTCTAACAAACGCAATTCTCTTTTTAATTTGTCTTAATTATGCTTTTATATTCTCTCTAAATCATTTAATCTCTCTAATATTCTTATCTTTTCTTTCCTTTTTTATTCCATTCTCTTTATTTATTTTTATAATTTATGAATTATTTAAAACAATTTTTAAATAAATAATAATTTTTACCACCGATTCAGCATTGCTCATTTCCAAGAAACCCTTTTCATTTTTTATTTCATTATTTTTTCCTCTTATTCTCATAGGTAATTCAGTTTTTTTATCTAAAACATTTCTCATCATCTGTTTTCCTGAATTTATAAAAGTCCCTCTCTAACTACTGCTATTAACAGAAGGATTATAAGAGCTGAAAGGTTTTTCTTAAGAAGTACCAAATAATATTTTAATATTATCGTTGCTATTCATCTAGTTAAAAAATGAAAATTTATATCAAAATTTTAATCTGGTTATTAAGTTTTACTTATATTGGTGGTAGGATTATTTGATTAGATGAGTTTGTATTTAAAAAAAAGTGGTCGCTTTAATCTCCTTAATTAATTTTATTCAGTAAGATTTCTTAATCTAATAAATTTTTAGATTCTGCAAGTGTCTTTAAAGTATCTTTATCAGTCTTAGAATCATCAAATATCCCACGCATAGACTATACTGTATTTTATTAGATTTTTGTGATTTCCAATTTCATTTATCTATTTTCTTAAATCAATTTCTCTACTTCATTTATAGATATATGAGTTTTCTTTAAACGTTCATTCTCCTCTTGCAATTTTAATAATCTTTAATGGATATCATTTGGATTGATTCCTTTCTTTTTCATATGAAGCAAATCCTTTAAGTAATTTATCTATTATAAGTTCATTAATTAATTATCTATAAAGCCTTGTTAATTTGATTTTAATTTACTTCTCTTTAGAGCTTTTGTACTATTTAAAAATCTGATGCATTTATTTCGTTTGGCTTAATCTTTAAAGTTATCTATTAATTTTAAATTATATTAGCAAAATCTACTTTAAAATATAAAAGTTATTATTTTTACATGTTGAGCTCTTTCTGCAAATTTTAGTGTTGAGAGGGTTTCTTCTAAACTATTAGAGCAAGGAGAAATATTTGCAATAATAAAAGTTTAACAATTCCCACTTAAGCTATCTTACAAGATACGGGTAAGCTTAGATTCCCTGTATGGAATAGGTAGCTTTTGATTGCTACTTAGAGAGTGTATAACTTTGCCTATATAAATAATAATAATTATTTAGATGTATTTATTTTAATATCCATTAAATTTAAATGCAATAATGTTTAGATTGGAAAAACATTACCAATTTGATTAAAAAATAATTTAAATATTATTTTCTATTTTTTCAAGCAATATTACAGTTAAAAAAATAAATGATAAAAATCTAAATAATTGATATGTTTAGATCTTATTACCTAGAGTTGTTAAAGATAAATTAATGCTTCTTAACTCATTAAAATGTTCTCCTCCCATAACTTCATTCTTATTTATTTTTTCTGAGCCTGCTAAATCACATAAATTAATTTTTGAACGCTATTTGATTATCAATGAGATCAGATTAACAAACATATTGTCAAATTAAATGAAGATTAATTTACTTTAATTTTTTTTTTCTCTTTTTAATATTCACTGTCATCTATTCTCTCTATTTATAGTTAGAAAATAGTATGTGATCTACTGCTTTTTACATTCATTTATGTAGTTCGAATAGCTCTATTTTTTTCTCCTCTTCTCATTAATTATAAGCTATCATAATAGTGAGCTACTTAATATTCAGATAAACCCTCTTATTATTTATTAATAGTAAATTAATATAGAATTAATCATATTTTTTATAAATTTCTATATATGAAAATGATATATATGACTATATTATTCTAAGAACAAAAATAAATCTAAAACCTTCTAAAAAATAGAAATGAGTAAAAATAATCATTTTGTAATTAAAAATATTTAAATTACACTTCCTTTTGATAACTAAGAAGTAAAAAATAATATATCATTTTAGTTACTCTTCATACAAATTATTTAAACAAGATCAAAAGTTTATAATTATATGAAATATTTTGAGGAATGCTAAAATTTTTTTTCACAAACTTCTATTTTAATTTGTTGGTGATTTCAAAATTTATAAAATAAAAATAAATAATTTACCAACATACATGCCTGACTGTTTATTCTCATGTATAGCTAAAGCGACAGGCTTCTAATTATCCTTTATTTAACATGGTATTTGAGTTAATTTAAATTTTTATATAAAAAAAAGATTAGTAACTTTGACTAAAAATTAGATAAGTTACTTGATCAAACTAAGATTAAGGAAAGTAATATAAAAATTTACCTGAAGCAAATCATATATTTTTTCATTGTAAATTTGAATAAATGATACATAAACAGATATTTGCATATGAGGATTCTATTCTCTTTTGAGAGTTATTTATCTAAAAACTTCATATATGGTTCTAGGTATTATTCCAGCAAAATTATGATCAGATTCTAGTGATTCAAAGAATGTAGATTAATGTTAAACTCTCAAATCTCTTCCTGTATATGCTTAATGTCCACTCATATATTCCCAATCAGCTCCAAACATAGTGTGTGTTTTGCCTAATTACCAAAAATAAAATATTATTTATTACCTAAATTCCAATAAAAAACAGGTATTTTAAATTAATGCAGAATAAATACCTGAACCAGTTTAACCATATGCAAAAACAGTGAAGTTATAACCATCTAATATATCTTACAGATAGGGCTTAAAATTTTCGAATACTTATTTTTAATTTTGACTTGGATCGAATGCTTGATCAAATTTTGATTCCATTAAATGAAGACTATCTTTTATTAGAATTTTTTTTTCCTATTTAAATACATTTAGCTTTAATATGAATTACAAATATTTAATGAAATTATTTCATTTCTTGCTCAAATAAATATCATTTTTTATTTTATATTTTTTTGAATGTTGTAATAAATTGATAATTAATTGCCTTGTTTAATAAATAATTACTTCGCTTTTTATTTCTACAACATCCTCTTATTCTTCATGAGGTAAAAATGGCCTTAGCCTAATATAAACCTAAATATTTTATTTCTTTTCATTTTATGAATTAGCTGTTAGTTAATCCTGCTTTTGAGAAGTATTATTCAAAGATTTCATAATTACTTGTTTATATTGCTATTAAATTTGTTAACTTATACTTAATTAAATGTATTTAATTTTTGTTGGTATTGATAAAAACTAATTATTTTTTTTTAATTAGTTTAATAATTGTTACTTATATAATTTTTTTTTGAATAAATAGCTATTAGTTTATGAAGATTAAATATTCTCTCGTTCAAACGAATTCTTCTAATCCTACTAAATAGCTTTCTATTATTTATGATTGATAAGTGAATTAGGAGTTTTAATTTTGATAAAATATAATTAAGTAAAATTAATTTTTTATCAAATAAATAAATTGATTTTATGAAAAGTCATTTTAACAAATAACTGACCAAAATTTTACAATAAATAAAATGTAAATATCAGACAAAATTAAAAGTATTTTAAGTGGTTTTCTTGATAAATTTATATTTTTACAAAATTAATTATTAAAATAAATAAACGAAAATTGCAAAATGAATTTATTTTATCTCAGATAAGAGCTGAATTATCTGCTTCATCAATTCCTATTGTTTAAAACATCTATTATAAGCTTATGCTTTCCTCTTGGTTTTCCAATAAATCCTTGACGGCTTCTTCACAAGTTCTTTTTCTTTTTTTAAATATACCCTATTTAAATATAATTAGAAATTAAAAAAGGGTATGATTAATTAATTAGTACTTCTATTTTAGCTAGCTTATCTTCAATTTATCTTACAACGTTAGAGTCTTCTGGTATAAACGATTCACTAGTAAAATATTGCATATCTTAATCTAATTAAAAAATTTACTGTTTAAATTTTTCTATTTCTAGTTGCAACTAATCGTTTGTTTTTTCTTACATTACTTTCGATAACTAAGAAACTAAATTTCTTAATTTTTAGTTTACTTCTGAAGCCTCTTTTTATTTATTTAGAATTTCATTAGTCAACTACTCTATCTCCTCTTTATTTACAACAGGAAGAAGTTCTTGGTTATACCAAAATACATATGCACTACCATATGCTTTTCTAACAATATATTTTTCTTCAACAGCCTAACTAAGTGCAGCCTCAATTGACCCTTTTTTAAATTATGTTTTTCCTTTTAAGTTACTTTCAAGAGTAGTTGCATTAAAAGGCTTGTTAGAGTTTTTCATGTAATCAATCAAGGTTTAGTAATCTAATTTTAAAATAACATTATTTGTATCAAGAATTTGTTCTCAAGTACATTCAAGTATTTTTACCTTAAACAGAGTATTTATTTTTATTGTTAGCTTTTTGCTCTTTCTTTGCACCCTTATGATTTTATCAATCAAAAATAAGTAAAATAAATTCAGAGTTATTAATTTGAAGAAATAATAAATGGTTAACTAAAAACCTTTCCGCCTTTTGGTTTTTAGTCACAAGTAGAAATATCTTCTTTTGCTATCTGTTCATCGCTATCACTTTCATCAGTATTTTCATCCCCAATTACTTCTTCGTCAAGGTTTTTTAATGCTTTTTTATTATTATTCTTTAATCAAAAATAATTTTAATTTAGTTAGATTTATTTGAAAAATTTTATCTTACTTTTGCTGCTTTTTTTTACTGGTTTTTTTATTCAGAAACAGAGGAAACCAAAGACTCTTTTGAAGAACTTTTTTTCTTTTTTGGCATTTCCTTTTTATTTTACCCAATTTTAACAGTGTCCATTTGATCTTTTTTTTTAGCATCCTCATCTTATTATTTATCAACATTTTTAGCATTTTTCCTTTTTTTTACTGTCCCTAAATCGATTTCTGTATTTACTTCAGTATCGCTCATTTTTTTTTATTTAGAAAATTAATTTTTAATTTTTTTAATTAATTAAATTTGTTTTATTTATATTTATTTTAGCTTATTTTAATTAAAAATTAATTAATTGTAATTTAATATTTAGTAGCTAAGCTAAATAAATTAATTTAATTATTTAATATATAAACTATTTTTGAGTCAAGTAGACCATGAATCTTCATTATTAGCCTAAATAATCTTCTAATTTACTATTTTCTTCTTCTTCTTCTAACAGATTATTTTTGCATTTATTTTCATAACTTTTAGTGTTATTTCTACTTTTTTGATCAAATATTTCAGAAATTGTTTGCATAATTTACTATTTTGATGCTTATTAATTTTATTTTATACTTTCTACTTGCTTGAATGTATCATCTAACTGCTTTAAATTAATTTCTTATTTTAGTTTTTCTCCTTACGATATACTTTGCGATGTTGAAATTTGATATAAGCTCTTTATTTTTTCACTAAATTAATCTCTCTAATAAATTAATTAGTTAATCTATTTGAGATAGTTATTATTTAATTATGTCAGCTCTGTGCTTAAAATCTAGCAAAGCTGTTGATTTTTATATAAAAGAAATACTTTAATTAAAATAAAGTAAAATATTTTTAAAAGAAAGAAAATATTTAGAATTACGTCTTTGTATGCAACTTTGCTTGCTTCTTAAATTTTAGAATTTTTTATTTGTTAATTAATAATTTTAATTAGCGGATTACTCTTCTTACAAAAGTAAAGGCTATCAATAGCTTCTATGACATTTTTTAGCTAAGTAGTTGATATTTCTCTCAAAACAAATATTCTAGTAATTAGCTAAATAACAGCTTAATGAATTCCACAAATATCATTTTAGGAAATTTGTACATCTTTCACAAAATTTTCAATTATTTCATCCAAATAATCAATCATTTATTTTTTTAATTTTTTGATTACGTAGGAATCTTATTTATTTTATATATAAATTTACTTCTACTTTAAGTTTTATGATTGTTCTGAAATATTTTTAGATTATTCATCTATTTAGCTTTAATCTTCATTAACTCTTTTAGGACTATGACTTCTATTTGCCTTAAAATTTATTAATTAAGGTAAAAGCTGATGTTTACCATCATTTAAATAACTATTATTTTCTGTTTTTATAACTTTGGATACTTCTTTATTTATCAAATCTTAATTTTTCTTTAAATTATGGTGATAATTGGGTTCAAATTTTAGATCATTGATTTATTCTAATCTTTTGAGAGTTTACTTTATATTTTAATCAGATTTATTTAAAATTTCATTTTCAGTGGAACTTTAAAAAGAGTTTTCATGGAATAAATTTTAAAACTTAATCTTTTCTTGATAAAAGTAGTCACATTTTTTGATTTCCTTTTCTTATTTTTTAAAAGCCAAATGTATGTTAAACTAATTTTAAAGCTAAGTAGAACCTTCCAGTTTTTAATCCTTTTTAGGTTGAGACAAATTTGAGACTTAATTATTCAAATCATCTTCTAATTATTAAAATAGATGAAATACTTAAGTCTTTTAAAATGGTTTAGGCTTTATCTTTTATGGCTCTCTTTCTTAATAATTTTCAAAAGCTTTTTAATAGTCCTAATTAATTCTGTATTTTATTTTATTATGTACTTAACTATTATTTATATGACTTGCAGAAGCAATATGACTTTCTTTTAATGAAGAATTACTTTCTATATTTGAATTCTAAATCTTTAAAATTACTCCTTTAGTTTTTAGTTTTGGAAAAGCCATATTTTATACAATTAAATTATGCTACTTATATTATTTAATTGTATGAATTAATATTATTTAAAAATAAACAATTAAACTCTTTTTATCTTAATTTTAATTGCTAATCAATCTATGGTAGATAATTCTTAATTTGATAACAAAAATCAATTTTTAATTCTGGAGATAAAATAACTTAAAAGTTTATTTATTAAGTAAAACTTAAGTTAGTAAACAAAATAATTGGCATATTTAAATATAAATATTAATTATAAAATTTTAAATTTAAAAATTACTATTATGGTAGTGGTTTTAAGTGAAAATAATATTAAAAAAGCAATAAGTATAAAAAAAAATACCTACCTTAGCTCCTTGTTTTCTAAATTATTTGAAATCCAAAAATTAATATTTATTTAATATAAATTATTCATTTAGAAACACTGGTTAAAAATAATAGCAAACTTATTTTATTAGCATTTACATTATATAATTAATTTATAAAATTTTCAAAGAAATTTTTCAAATACTTGATAGAGTGAGTGTTAGCTTGTATTAAAAAATATATTTTTACAAGAATTTACTACTCTCAACCCTGCTTTTTAAAATATTTTTTTAATTTATTTTTTTTGGGAGTCAAATAAATTTAGATTTACACAATGTAAAATATATAAATGGTTTAATAGATATAATAATTTTGAATCAGTCAATTAGATTTATTTGTTTATGTATTTTCGTTTGAAGAAGTTTCATTTTATTAAATAGCATCTAAATTTAAAATAAATTCAACTGGACAATGGTCACTTCCATAGATATTATTATTTATCATAGAGTCTTTAATAGAGGACTTAAATTCTTTATTTACAACGAAATAATCTATTCTCCATCCTATATTTGATTCTCTAGCTTTAGTTCTAACACTCCACCAAGAATATTTTATAGTTTCTGGATATAAAAATCTAAATGTATCTATCCATCCACTTTCTAAAAATTTACTAAAGCTATTCCTTTCTTCAATTGTAAATCCTGGAGAGTTTCTATTAGATTTGGGATTAGCTATATCTATTTCTTAGTGAGCTACATTTAAATCACCACAAAGAATCACATTTTTTTTCAATTTTAGTTAGTTTAAATAATTTTGAAAGTCTTTATCAAACGAATTAACTCTATAATCTAGTCTAACTAATTCCGATCCTGCATTAGGGACATAAACTACAACTAAATAAAATTTATCGAATTCAGCTGTAAGAACCCTTCCTTCGTTCTCGTGCTCTGCAATATCTATACCTTTTTTAATGCTAATGACTTTTTCTTTAGAGAAAATAGAAACGCCAGAGTAACCCTTAATTGGTGGTATACAGAAATTCCTTTTTAGTTTATTAATTTATGTATTTAATAAATTCTTATAACAATATTAAAGCTAAATTAATTTAATTCATTAATCTATTATTATGTTAATTATTTATAAAATTATTTATTTGTTTTTTAATATTTTTAGAAATGTAAAACTAAAAATTATAGTTTTTTGATAAAATTACCAATATTAGTAATAGCCTGAAGGAATATCTTTGTATACTTTTTCTTTTATAAAATTCGATTCATCTATTTTAGTTTCATTTAGGCATAGAATATCAGGATTTTCTTACTTTATATACTTTTATAAGTCTTCTCTTTTCAAAACAGCTCTTAATCCATTCACATTCCAACATGCTATTTTAATATTTTAACGATCTTTCCAAATTCCATCTCCTAATTCTGTATTTATTTCTACTTTATCTTCAACTTAGGTCTCAGGTTTTTTTTTTATTCCAGCAAAGAAATCACCTAATTGAGCCTGCTTTTTAGTCTTTTAAGTAGTAGTACTGGACTACGACTATTCAGGCTCTGAAATAGAGCTTGATTTTTTAATTATTTTACTCATACCTTTTTTCTTTTTAGTTTATTTTTCTACTGATTATTGCAAGTCTGAGCCTTTTTCGAGCTGAGTAAAATCTAAATTTTAAAAATTCAATATATTATTTAATATCTTTAGGCGGTAATACTATAATTATTATTACTTTACTTCAACAGTGGGAAAGTTAATAACTTTGGCGCATAAAATACCTTACCTACACGTTAAGTATTAAAGCATTGGTTTCTAAAATTTAAAAGACTAGAAGCTGAAAATCTAAAAGATTTAATCATTAATTTAAATTAATATTTAAAAGTAGTCAATTTTTGTGGGAATAATTAATTATTCCAGAAATGGATTTCATAATTTAGATAAAAATTAATAAAATCTTCTTGGATGCTATTATATTTTACATAAAGACAGATCAAAAAAACTCTCTGATAAAATTGATTTGCTAATTTGTATAAAAATTTTCAATTTTAGAATCAAAACCAATCAAGAAATCAATACAAATTTATTTGCATTAGATAAAATACAAAAAGCAGTTAGTTATTTATAACTAAAAATACACAAATTACAGTTATGGAGATAATAAACTTTTAATATAAAATAAATTATAAATATTTAATATGAAATTTAGTAAGATTTTGGTGATATTAATAGATGGTTTTGGCTACCATTGTTGATAAACAATACCAGTATTAATTTAAAAATATTATTAAGGTATTAAATATTGAATACTCATTGTATAAGAAATTAATATGTTTCTTGATCAAAAAAAAATTGAAATTCTGCCAAATTTTCTTTATTAATATATTAAATTAGTTAAGAATTTGCTTCAAAAAAACTTTTGATTGTGAATCCTCTATGAAATCCCTCACAATTGTCAAGTGCATTTTACTCCTCTTCCGTATATTGTTAGACGTAAATTATATATTCGCCTCCTGTAATATTATCGTTTAGAATTTCCGCTCCATTTTCTCTTAGTTATTTAATCAGTCCATTTGATGCTCTAAATAATTTTGGTACTAATGACCCATCATGCTCAATAAATCTTATTTCTAAATTCTATTTCAAAATGTTTATATTAAATTATCAGTAGCATTAAATAATACAAGAATATACCTCAGAAGTGTTTTGGTTTTCATAAATCTAAAATTCATCTTCCATTTGATCTTTCTTCTACACTCTATCTACTAATTTATTTGAAGCTAATTACCAAATGTAGGAGAACTTTATTATTATTTTTAGATTTAAATTTTTATTGTTTATTCCTTATTTTATTAATAGATTACATGTTTCTTTACGATATGCTTCTTACTTTTTTATGCTGAAATTAATCTTCTTAAAAATTTCCAGAATAATTAAAATATTTAACCTAATAAAATTTGCTTGTTACAAATAAGATATTTCTATATTTTTAATGTTATATTTTACTTAATCTACTACTGATTAATATTTAAATTTTGTACAAACCTTAAAAAAAATTTTTTTTTGTTTAATTAAAATCTTATAAATTTAAATTAGAATAAAAAGAATAATAGCGATTAAAAAATCTTAAATTGAATATAAAATAAATGATAAAAATAATTATTAATGTCTAATTTAAAAATTTATAAGGCAAACATTTTTTTGAATCAAGATTTTTTAAGTTTACATTATATTATTTGAAAAATGAGTAACTCTAAATAATTTTAAATAAATTCATGCTGATTTAAAAAACTAAATATGTTGACTACACCACAATTTAGATTAAAGAAAAAATATAATTTAATTGATTTCTTATGAAAGAAATAGAAAATTATTGTTAAATTTACAAACCAACCTTATTTACATTTTATAAAGTAGACATACTATTTAGAGCTTAATATAGAATCTCTTCTACTATACTGTTAATTTTGTTTAAAATTTGTTCAATTAAAATATAATATTCAACATATTTAATTAAGATACAATTTTATAATTATCTTTTAGACTATGTTCATTTGATTTTAATTAATTTTCATTTATATAGGGGCTTTATAACTTTAAATTGTTTAATTATCAAGCTTTTATGTATTCATGTTATATCTCTCATTTAAGATCCCAATCTATTTATTATTTATTTTACAGTAGTTTTCGTTTTTTATTTAAAAATACATTAGCTACAATATATTTTTAATATTATCAAATTTATTTATTTATTTTTTGGATTATTTGATTTTTAATTACAAATTAAATATTTGAATTTAATTTTATTTATTTATTTTAAAATAATTTTCAATAGCTAATAGTTGAATATTGTTAAAAAAATATTTTATGAAGAAGAAAAAGTATTAATTAAAGTAATTATCAATTTGAATTTATATATTTTATGATCGATCAGTATTCTGTTTTACTAAATTACTCAATCAAATTTAAAATAAATCAAAAATAAATTAAGAAATAAATAAATACTTTGATTAAATTCAAAATAAAATGTTTATTTAAAATTTTTTCAGTTTGTGGACTAGATTTATTTCAAGAATAGCTATATTTTAAAACCTATAAGGGAGCATTCTAGAAATAGATTTAGAATTAATTCTTTAATTTTCTGATTAAAAGATGTAATTTTTATTTTTTGAGCCTTTAATACTGAGGTTTATAATTTTTATTGATTGTAAGATGATATCCAATATTAAGTAAAGCATGAAAATATTCTTATATGTGCATTTACATTTTTAAAAAATATGTCGTCTGTATTAACTAAATTTAATTTTCTTTAATTGCTCCATTTCTTAAAATTTACATTTTTCTTATGTGATTTTACAAAATATTTATCAGAATTTATGATTCATTATTGCTAACTATCGGCAATTTTTTTCAAATTGTTAAATTTTGAAATCAAAAATATTTATTAAATGTAATCATTTTATTTTTTTATTATAAAAAGAAAACTATTTTGATGGCAAGATTAATTTAAAAATAAAAAAAACTACTTGCTTAAGTAATAAATTTATTTAATTTAAAAATGGATTCGGCACAAGTGTCTAAAAGAAAAAAAATAACTATGAACTTAAAATAAAAAGAGTAAAATGAAGAATAAATATGAATTTTACTTTATAAAAGTGCATGGATAGAACATTCAAAGAAAAAAATTATAAAATTTAATGATAATGAGAAATGAAAAGTGAAATGTAATAAAATAGAAAAATCATAAAAGCAAATTTGCTTACAATTAGTTAATATAATTAAAAGAAAAAAAGAAGGAAATTTAATTTATTCTCAGCTAAGTTAAAAAAACAAAGGGGGTGCTAATAATTTTCACAAAATAAATACATACAAACAAAAATTTTTTCCATCAAAATTCTTTTTTTCCAGAAGTATCAGAGAGCAATAAACAAGCTCTAAATTTCAAAGTTATCATTTAAAACCCTTAACAAAAATGAATTCTAATATCTCCTCGTCTTCTATGGCTCAAGATTAAGCTTCTTTAATGAAGAAGAAAAAAGCCATAGCTACTCAAAAGACACGTCTTTCAGTACCAGCTTTCCTTTTAAAAACTTATGAAATGATAGAAGTAATTTTTTTCAGATCATTTAATCTTAATAATTATAATGAATTCAACTCTGTTTTGCTAATTTTTTTGATTATTAATTCATAGAATAAAGATTATCAAGACATCGTCTGCTGGAATAACGATGGCCAATCTTTCGTAATTAAAAATATAAATGAGTTTTCTGAGAAAGTACTTTCAAACTACTTCAAACATAATAACTTTGCTTCTTTTGTTCGTTAAGTAAATAATTTTTCTTTTTGTATAGAAAATTTGCATGTATTTAAATAGAATCTCTTGCTTCAGCCTTCTATCATTCAGAAAAAAAAATTTTTATATAATTTCTTATGAAATACAAAGAATGAATGAATAGAATATCATTCATTTTCTTTATTAAATTATATCTCATTCATTTTAATTTATTTCATTTGTCTACTCATTCAATCATTCATTTATTTAATTATTTATTTATTTCATTTTTCTTTTAGTTGAACATGTATGACTTCCATAAAATAAGAAATGAAAATAATGAAACGGAATTTCGTCATAGGCTCTTCTAGAAAGGAAACAAGTAAAAAATAAAAACTTTTAATTTAAATTATTTTATTTTAAACAAAATTTTATTGAAAATACTCATCAAATTAAATAAATTTTAGGAATATGCTTATCGATATTAAGAGAAAAAGTGGTGATAATGCTCAAGAAGATTAATCTGAATAAGGTTAAATGTCCTCAATTGATATGATGGAGATGGAGAGAATAAAGAAAGACTATAACCTCTTCCTCTCTGAAGTGATGAATATCAAACAAAAATATACAGAATAAGAAAGAATTATGCATCAGATGGCTGCAAGTATTGAAAGAGTATACTCAGAAAAGCAGGCTTTACAACAAGAATTTTAAAAATTCAAGTAAATACTCAAAATATTTTTATTTTTTTTGGACTTGATATTGTTTTTTCTAAAAATAAATGAAAAAAATTTCCTTTAAGGAATAAAAATAGTTTAACATTATTTAAATAATATTTTTGGTTAAAAATAGAGAAGAACAGTAGTTAACAAATGATAAACTTTATTATTTATAATCTTACCTTCTTATGGGAACTGATTAGCTTTAAGGAGTTTATCAGCAAACTCAAGACTCAGCTTTAAGCAACCTATCAAAAAAAATGCAATAAAATAATAATAATAATAATAATTTTTAATTTTCTAATGGAAATAATAATTTATCACATATGAGTACAAACTCAAGTTTCTGTAATAGCAACGAAAACAACAATAACAATAATAGCAACAACAACAATAATAATAATATAAGTAAAAATCTCTCTTAATTGCTTGGACAGGGAAATAGCTTTGGACAATATGGAAACAATAATTTAGGAAACGGAAATAACATTTTAAATAATAACCCAGAATAATATGGATAAAACAAATAAAACAATTTAAGTTCCTCTTATCACTCATGTACATTTTATTCTCCTTCTTTTGAAACTTAAAATTATTCAGATTATTCTCATTAATCATACTCATAATAAAATTTTAACATTAACTATTTATAAAATAACTTCTAAAGAATTTGATGAATTTATGTTTGTTTTGATAAATATTGTTTATACACCTGTAGTTTATTTCTTAGTTTAATTTTTCTTCATCAAATTCATAAATAAATATTTATTTTTTAAAGCTTTTTATTTATTTATTTTTTAAATAAATAGTAGCTGGAGAAAATGAAAGTGTCCATAGTTAAAGCAATGCAAATATGGAGCATAAAATTTCTAAAAAGCAAGATTGGTCTTCTGTTTCATAACTTAATAAAGACGGCGTAAATCTTTCTTAAATTTTGAAAATTTCAATAAACTTAATTAATTAATTTATTAAATAGGAAAATATTCCAATCTGCCCTCTTCCTTTTGTATAAAAGAAAAAAGAGAGAAGTTAATTGTGTGAAAAATAAATAAATAATCTTGTGAATGTATTTAAGAATGTTGATTTGAAAAATATTTAAAAACCTGATATATTTAATAATTATCTACGTGATGTTTTCTAAAGCGGAAAAAGTACTATTTCAGAAGAAGCTATAAACCAGTATACTTTAGGAAGTCAAGCAAAAAGGATGTTCTAAACTAATTAAAGTAATGCTGGTAGACAAAATCTTTCAATGTTTGAGGGTAATCCTTTAAAAAGAATATGTGGAAATAATAACTTGAATTTACCGCTTGGAATTACAGACGGATCTGAAAAATCTGAAGTTAGCCTTGCTTAAGGATTAAGCTTATTTTAAAATTCTTAATTAGGAGGAATAAGTAATGGAGGAAGTCAGAAGTAAATTTAGTTGTAATTGCAAACAAGTTTTAACAATGGTGGTAATAATAATGGCACTAGTGGTAACTCTCAAGGAGGATAAGGATAGACTGGCTTATTTAGTCCGTCCTATTTTAATTAAGGTGAGTCATCTCCAAGAATACCTTTCAATCTTTATCCTAGTCCAAATCCCAACAGTGGAAATAATGGTAATGGATTTGGTAACAATTTTTAAGGCAATAATGCTTCAGGCCTTCAAAACTTCTTAACATCCCCTTCTCCTAATATGAGTCCTCTTTTATTACGTGATATGGAAGAGTTTATTAGCTAAACTAATGCAAATTAAACTTTATCTTATGGTAATAACTAGAATAATGGTGGCGTCTCTAATAATGGAAATAATATTGATATAAACAAAAGATTAGCATAAGATCTTTTAACTAGCTTTAAAACCGAGGCAAAGCAAGAAAACAAATATTACTGAGTTATTAAAATTTAATCTTAGTCTAAACTAAAAAATTTTTACTTAAGAAAATAGCCTATAGTTAGTTACAAAGTAACCACAAGTATAAACTTTAAAAAAGGTGTATATAAACCAACTAAGTGGATGAAAAAACAATAGAACGAATGATTAAATGAATAAATACTTTTAATTAAAATGACAACAAGATTTTAATTATTTAAAAAATTTTCTAAATAAAAACGATATATTAATAATGTTATAAACTCACTCACTCAATTTATTTGATTTATTTTATTACCAAATAATCTGTTTCAAAAGACTTTATATATAAATATATAATTAATTAATTAATTCATTCATTCATTTGTCTTTTATAAGAAAAAAATAAAGCTATTCTTTCATCAAATTTTAATATCATTTTAATTTATATTTTTCTGAGTTAAATTCTATGCATTTTTTTGATTTCCTTTTATTTCAGCTTTGACTAAGATATATTTAAAAGCAGCATTAAAATTTATAGTTTTAAGATTTTGTTTTTCAAATCACGGAAAAAATAAACATGAATGTATGAGTAAAAGAGCTTTTAATTAAAATATTACATTTTTTGTTATTTAAAATGATTTTCATGTTAAAGTTTTTTTGTTTGTTTAAAATAAAATATTAATTTAATTTTTTTAATTTATATAATGTTGAAGATGATTTTTCATATATAATTCGTTACCTGTAAATAAGTAAATAGAATTTTATGTTTTTTTGATATTTATTAATATAATTTATATGTTTTATAATAGTTACATAAGAACATAAAAAGAATTTTGATTTGTATGATTCAAATGTAATTTTTTATTTTTCTGTCAGGTTTGACTAATCTATGTACTGTATATAAAAACCTTCGTATCTATATATATATATTACAAATTATTTTTAAAGTTATAGAATAGTTATATGTATATATATTATTTAAATTGTATTTATATTATTGAGTCTACAAAATAAGGAATGTATGTTACTAGCCATAAATTATTTATATGTTTATATTTTGCTTAAATATATTTTTAAGTAAAAATTGTTTGTGTGTTCTATAAAAAATTTGTTTTTAGAAATCGTTTAGAAAGGATTAAAAAATAAATAAATATTATATATATATAAATAATCTTTAGAGTTTTAAGTAGATGAAGAGGGATTTTAATTTGAGAAATATTTATAAAAAATCAAAAAATTAAAGTAAAAGAAAAAGAAAATAGTGTTCTAAAAAGCTCAATCAAGTTAGTTAAATAAATATAAAAAAAGGTTCTTCAAAACAAAATTAAAATAATTTCAACCAGAAGGTAAAAAATTTATTATTGATTTCATTTTTCTAAGATATACTCATTTTATTATTTAAATGGCAGGATTTAGGTTTAGATAAGACTAAAAGAAGCTTTTCGATTGAAAAATATAATAATAATTATTTATAAATTCATAATTAGATTAGCAGGAAATAATATTAATAATTACAACTCCATTATAATCAATTATACCACAAAACAAAATCACTAATAAATAACTAACAAACTATTCAGAGAACTTATAATCTAACTAACTAACTTACTAACTAGATCGATAATTGTAGTATTGAGAATAGACGCTCTGAAAATATAACATAAACTACATCATATTATAAATAAAGAACAAACCTATTATCAACAAAATATATTCATTCTTAAATACAATATGTAATTAAATATATAGTTAATTTATTCTTTTTCTTCGTAGGCCACTTTTCATTATTTTTAGCCATAACTGAACCAAGCGTTCATAAATGATCTTCAAGCAAACTCCTTACATATATAATATGGATATTATTATCTTTTCTTTTGCATATAAATGTTTGAAACATTTAATTTGCAACTTGAGCAAAAAGATAATAAAAATTTTGAAATATTTCTAAAACAACATAAATTGTTTGTTTTTAAATTGCTTTAAGTTTTCTTTCAAATTGTTAGTTAGCCATAAATATAATCCTTTCTTTAATATGTTTCTTACTAGCATATTATTTTAATTCGATATGAAAACTATCTACTTATTAGATTTTCAAGCAAAATAAATGTTTAATTTGACTTTACTCCGCTTCAGATTAGATAGTTTAATTTTGAATTTAATACTCTTAATTTTTGGATATTAAATTAGGCTATAATTAACTATTATAATATAGATATTCCCTTCAATTTTTTTTTTATGTTAAATTTAACAAGTGCAAATATTAAATTTATGTTCAAAGAATTAATATATTAATTTTGTATAATTTAGAACAAATGGCTGGTGATATTATTTATTAACTACTTTCAGAAAACAAAAAATACAGAATCAGCATAGAAGGATAAATAATTCTTGTTAGTGAGCTAAAAAAACGTATCAGCCAAGAGTTAGGTACTGCATAATACTCAATAATCATATTCAAATATATAAATAAATATATATTCATTATTCTCAAATCACTACTGAACTATTAAAGACTAATAGATTCGAAATTATATATATCAAATAAGAATAATCAATCATTCTTTCATTCAATTAATTAATCAATCAAAGATTTTGCTTTTAAAATAAATATTGAAAATCTAGCATTTAATTTTTAAAGATAAATTTGCATGATTGAACTTAATTTCACATAAATTAAATTTATTCTCTTAAAAAATTTACTTTAAAGAGAATAAATTTACTTTTATAAATCGAATAAAGTTTTCCTTTCAATTATTTATTAAAATACCAATTAAAAAAAAGTTATTTTTGATAATTGGCAGATTTATAATAAAAAAAACTTTTGATAAAATAAAAAGCTTTATTAGCTAAATACTTTTAAGGTTTAGCTGCTTAATTGTTTGAGACCATTTTAGCTTAATTAATCATTTATTTGAGATATTTTAAATTTAAAATAATTTATTCAAAAAAATTAATTTATTTTTTAAACAAAAAAGGACATAAGGAGGAACTTTGTATATATAGCTCTGATCAACAGAGAGAATACTAAGACAATGAAAGAATTCCTGCTCACACAAGTGTATTTGTTGAAAGAAAACAAAATAGCATGAACACTAACTTTACTAATAATAAATTTTTAAAATGTGATAAGTGCTAAGGTCAAAATCCTTAAAAAACATAATGCTGCTCAAAAAAAATTTGTAAAACCTGTAAAGATGAAAGTAAACGTAATGGAAAATGTATTTTTTGTGGTTTGACATAATAATAGACTGATAAATAAATGTAAATGAAAAACGAACAACTCAGGAAGATAAAAGAAAATCTTAATCTTCCTTCTGATAAAGAGTACTAAAGTTTATTAGAAAATGCAAGGTTCTTTTTTATAAGAAGTTGTAATTAAGAAAATATAACTTTTGCTTTACAACAGTCAATATGGGCTACTACTTAAAAAAATGAAGTACTATTTTTAACTTAAATTACTTAAAAAAGGTTTTTAATTTTTATTTTTTTAATTGCAGAAAGCTTTATTTGATGCATTTAAGAAAACTCAAAATGTCATTTTAGTATTCGGTGTCAATAAGACAAATTACTTTTAAGGTGTAGCTAGAATGCAATAGCATATTCTAGATAAGAACAGCTACAAAACACCTTGGAAAAATACAGGTAAGTTTTTTTTAAATGAAAAAATAAATTAATTTGGTTTTATTATTTAAACAGAAGCAATTAAATTAGGAGAAGATTTTTTGATAAGGTGGCTAAGAGTTGAAGATTTACCTCACCAAAATTGCTCTGATTTAAAGAATGCATTGTGCAACAATGAATAATTAATAAGCAAGCCAAAAGATTGCCAAGAAATAGATTCAGAAAATGGCAAAAAGTTATGTCTACGTTTTTCTTTAAATACAGATGAAGTAGGATATTTAGGGTCAGGTGGATAAGCTGCATAGTTAAATGATTGGTCATAAAATTAAATGTTAAATAAAGTAAACTTAAATAATCCTCAATTTAACAATACAAACTAGTATAATTCCTATATGATTAATTAAGCAGGAATAAATCAATCTATTCATCCTGGGTTAATTATAAACTAATCTTAAAATATCTAATAGCCTAGTCCTTAACAAGGAATTCCTTCTCAAAACAACTTAAATATTAGTAACCCATAACACCAAATTCCAAGATTTAATACAGCTAATTAGCTAGAAGATGCTAAACTAAATTCTACCAATAATTTGTCTAGTATTTATGATATAAATAATCCTAACATGAATTAAACAGGATTAGGTAAAAGTTCATCTAATAGTGATAGCGATACAACTGTACTTTTAAGTGAAAATATTAAATAATATAATTAATCCATAGAGATGTCAGAAGATGATTTTTTTAATATTTTAGAAGATCTGTAACCTTATAAAAAGTAAATTAATGCTTCTTAGATTTAGTCTAGTGCAAGTTAAGATGGTCAAAGTGTAAGAGAAAATTCTGAAGGTAATTTAGATAGGATAAAATCTTAAATTGAAGTTATGGAGGTTGAATAAGAATATTAAAATTAATAAGATGAAAATCAAGAAAATTATTAAACAAATGAAGCTAATAGCTAAGCTGTATTAGAAAATGAAAACGAGTCTATGGATGGTAGTAAAGAGTATTTAAATTAATCTAAATCCTAATTAGATTAGCTTGAGTACAATAACCACAACAGCAATGATTAATAAAGCCGAGAAAGCTTAAGTAATAATAGATATCAAAAAAGAAAAGAAGATGACCTTTCAGATGATGAGAATGAAAATAATCAATATTAAAATGATGAAGACAGTTCAAATCAAAACAATAGCAACAATAACAATAACTAAGAACAGAAAGAATAGATTAACTCTAACAATTCCTCTGAATAAAATATTTAAAATAACAATAATTAATCTTCTGATAACATTAAGTCTAGAGAAGATAAGTAAGTTTCTTCTGAAGATTTAAAAAAGAAATTACCTCCTACTCCTTCAGTTGCTTTAGCAGCCTCTAAAATCCCAAGACCAGGTACTAAAACAGCTCCTCTAATGATGGGTTTTATGAATCCATTAAATATGAATATGGGAATGATGAGACCATTTATGGGTATGATGGGATATTAAGGTATGAACCCTATGGGAGCTATGCCTATGATGAATCCTAACTTTTCGAAACCAAATTAATTTAGTAAATTAACATTTTGTTTTTATATTTTATATTAATTTAATTTAATTTTTATTAGTGGGAATGAATCAAGATGTTAAGCTAAATTTGCTAAATCCAAACCCTATGATTCCTGGCTTAAATTCAATGAATAAAATGTTTAACAACAAAATGGCAAACAATAATGAAAATAATTTTAATCCTAATATGAATAATTAGGACAATAACGATGTAGATCAATAAAACTAAAACGAAGATAATTAACAAAATTATGATGATAACGAAGATGATCACTAGTATAATGAATAAGATGTGAACTCCTAACATAATTCAAATTATGAGGATTAGGATAATAACTATGACTAAGACTCGTTAAATAATGACGATGATTATAGAAACAATGAAGAATCTTCTAATAATAGATATAAAAATAAATATAATACCTCCTAAAATAATAGCAAAGGAAAAAATTACCAGAATAACAACTATAACAGCAGTAATACTAATTATAATAACAGGAGTAACTAAAATATGAATAGTAACAATAGCATCCGTTCAAACAACAATATGAGTTATAATAACAACAGAAAGAGGAATAATAATGGTGATAATAATTATGATCAAAATGGTAACTAGAACTAAAGTAACAGTAACATTAACAGAAATAATCCCAAAAATAGTAGCAGTAATTATAAAAATAACAATTCCTCTTCAAGCAATAATGGTAATAGAGGTAATTATAATAAAGCTAATAATAATTAAAGTAATAGATACAATAATAATAATAACCATTACCAGGATTCAGATTATTCTGACAATCAACAGTAAAATAATAATGAAAGAAATAATTATAATGATAATGATAATAGTAATAGAAGAGATAAAAACTCTGATAGATCTCGTAATAGATCAAAAGATGAAAAAAAGCCAAGGGATCAAAACAACAGCTCAAATAATAATTAAAATTACAGAAGAGACCGTGATAGAGATAGATCCCTTTCTTCAAACAGCAATCCTGTGAGAAGTAAAAAAAGAATTTCTCAATCTCCTTCCAGAAAAAAAGATAGAAAGTGATTTAAAATATATTTATAAGTATGCAAGCCATACAAAAAATTGTAATGATATTCATCAACTTAATTAAAATTTACATTTATATTAAAAATTGCTAATTAATTATTACCCATTGAATCTTGTAGTATTTATTCATTCATCGTCTATTTTATTTTTTAATTTTTATAAATTTTCAAAAAATAAGTAATATTTATTTCTCTTTAAATGTAATCTGTATTTTGTCCATATCAATTATGTATGTTTGCATATCAAAAATAAATGATTTTAAAAATGTTTACATGATAAACAAACATCTCACCACTATCATGAATAACTATAGCTTTATTTGATAGTTTGATAACATTATTTGTATTCATTTGACTTATACATTGATAGATAATAAATTAATTAAAACTTTAATGAAAGCTAACAAATTAAAACCAGAAATTAATTAAGTAGTCCTAATTATAAATCATTAAATCTTCACTAGTAGCTCAAATTTCAATAAATAAAAAGGAAACAAAAATCAAATCAAAACAGATGAAAGTAACACATTTTTTAAAAAATCACAAAATAATGATATAGATATTTTTCATAATTATATTGTTAGGATATTATAGATATCTTGGCAAGATCCACCAACTGCGCAATATCAGTCTAAGATTCAAAAATCTTATAACAATATTTATAGTAATGCTTTGAGCATGAGTGCATGAAATATGATCTGAACTTACTTCAATTTATTAGCTCAAACTTAAAACTATAAAATTTACCAAAAAACTCAAAATTTTAAATAGAAGGTACTCATAAAAGATTAAATAAAACTATTTATTTGATATTATAAATAATAACAATGCTAATAATATTATTTATAAATAGAGGAAGATGATTTTTTGGTATTAATCAGTGGAGAGATAGTTGGAGTTAGCAGATAAATTAAATTCTCTCCTGGATCAATTTTTGGAGGTACAAGTTTAGCTAGAATGATTATTAAAGAAAAAACTTTTAAGTGCCTCGAAGATTGTGTATTTGGAATAGTAGAATTAGAAAAATAAAAAGAATATCAGCTGTAGCTTTCAGAATTAGCTTTAATAAATAAGACAACCTATATATTATAGCAGAGTAAATACTTCTCTTAGTGGAATAGTAATTAAATTGAATAAATAATCTAAAATTCCACTAGAGTTTTTTTCAAACAAAATTAATGGGTATATTAAGAAGGATAACAATCTACTTCTATTTACATTGTTGTTTCTGGCAAATTTTCTGTAATTTTTTTTAAAGATATTTTTGAAAAATATAATTGATTTATTTCAAATTTTTATATTACCAATTATTAACCATTTCTTTAAGTTGATTTTTTTTTTTAGATTTACAAGAGGATCTTTGTTCGGAACTAGTCTTAACCTGAATTATCTTCAAATTAATCTTAGAGATAGTAATTAAATCCATTGAAAGTAATTTATATCACATTTACAATTTTTTTCTACAAAAATTCAAACCTTTAATTTTAATCAAATTTATTCAATATAAAATAAATTTTACTCTATATCATAATAGAAATGTTTAGATTTAAGTTAAGGTGATGTTGTTGGTGATGAAGATGAGATTAATCAAGAAAGATTTTATGGAGTCTGCTGTAAAAGTGAAAATGGATATATGCTGAGTATTAGTATTTAAAATTTTATTGAAATTTCTGGGTTATAACAATCGACATATTAGCAAGTCCAAAAAAGGAGAAAATTAACTCAAAAGAGATACCAATATTTTGAAAAAACATAATAGAATGAATTATTCAAGTATCAAGGTACTTTAACTTAAATTAGCTGCTAAAAATAATAATCGGGATAGGCTACTCCTCAAGAAGTTAGCACTTTTAATAGTTTAAATAATTCTTAAACTGAACATACAACTATTATTCCTTCTAACAGATCAAATTAAAAACTCAAAAATGCATACTAAATTTTGTAAAGTAGAAGTAACTCTTAAGAAAATCTATTAATTTAGACAATATAAAAGAGTAAAGAAAATTCAAATGAAGATGATCCTAATCTAAACGTAACTCATGAAGATCTATGGTGTGAAAACACAAATAAATTTTTATCAAAACAAAACTCTATTGAATCAAATTCACCAATTAGAAGAATATAAAAATCATCTTCGCAAAGCAATATCTCAAATGAATAACTTAAATGTATCCCAATAAGTTTTCGTATAGATTATATATAAGCAAGAAAAAAATTAACAAGAAAATTTGGTGATGTGAAAAAGAATTCTAAAATAGTACTTCCTGATGAATCAATAAAGATTGCTAAATCTAATCTACGCGCTGAACAAAAAGAATAATCTTTTGAGAAGTTTTCAGAGCAAGCATACAAAAATATATCTAAAGAAATAAAAGAAAATTATTCAATAAAGTTCTGGCATTAGATGTAAAACTAAATTATTAAACTAGCAACCTACTCAAAAAAAATGAATAATGACCAGAATAATTAATACATAAAACAAGACCCTAGTAGTGAGTCTCGCCCTCTTATTAGAAATATACAAAAAAAAATATAAAATATGTAATAAAATTATTCAATTTATTAGCAAAAGGCTTTATTATTATCCAGATTTATTTTTTGTGGTTAAATGAAATGTAATTAATTTTGCATCATTAATAAAAACCACAAGATAAAAAAATTACTTTTATTCTTAATTTTGTTTACTGATTAATTTTTTAAGAGGATAAATAACACAAATTTAAAAATAATAAATACACAAAAACCAATAAATTAATTTTAATTATTTAAAAATAGGAACTTAAAAAATAACACCATTTATAATTTGGAGAATAGTGGATACATTAAAAGATTTAACTCGACATAAGACCTAACTTCTCCATAAAAAACATCAACTAGCAATTACAATAGCTAACCTAGTTATTAAAATTTTATCTAATAAAAATCATTTGCTCAAATAAACAATGAATAGTCCATCTTTTTGGAATAAGGTAAACTGGATAAAAATTTACAAACTAAGTCTATAGATTCTTCTCCTTTAAAAAAAGCTCCTTACTCATTTCATATTTATCAATAAAAACAAAATAATAACTAACCTCATAGATATTTGATACCTGCATAAGCAGAACCCTAATGTTTTATAGAAGCTATTACTGCATAAAAAAATACCAATTTGTAAAATTCTAACACTATAGAATTAAAAGAGGGTTCATTATCACCAATAATATCACCAATATAGAAACCAATTAAAAATTAATAAGCTTTTAGAAGTAGTTTAGAAGATATTAATTATGTAAAGGATAAAAGCCCTGCTTACATGTCTCCTATATTTAATTAACTAAAAAACTAGTCTAATACCTTTAAAGATCATACATTTCCTAGGAAAAGTTTAATAAATCTTTATTAAATGCCAAAGAAGTAAGATGAATAAAGAGAAAAAGATATTTCAAAAGAAATATTAGAATAAAATAACTTGATTAACGGGCATCAATCTAGTGAGGACTAAAAGAATTTAGTATAAAATCCATCTTTTAATATACTTTAAAAAAGAAAAGCAGTGTAATAATCTGTATAACATGATCTTACTGTAAGTAAATCTACTCATATTACACCTACTGGATCTCCTTAAAAATTTTAAACTTTAGTAAATTAAAAATAATAAAATCAAACCTTACAAGCATCTGAAAAAAGTAGCAATAGATTAATTTTTTCTCCAACAAAAAGAACTTAAAAAAATAATCACAGTAAGCAATTGTAAATATGTGATTATTCAACAATATCCAAAATATACTCAAAGGATAAAGAAGACAAAGCTTCATAAATTTTATAAAATAAATTAATGAATTCAAATGCTTAAACTTTCGAAAAATTAAAATCTTTGAATGCAATAATAAAAAAGAAAGAGTTTTGAAAATTTAATTAAATAATTATTTATATTTTAAATATTACTAAAAAATAAAAAAATATTTTATATTTGTTTAATTGCATTCTAAATTATAAAATGGTTATTAATTACTTACTTAATTAAATATAAGATTTTTTTTAATCGATATTTTTAATTAAATTTTTTAAATTAAATATAATAATTAAATAATATTAATATATATATAATAAAAAATTTAAAAATAAATTTTGGCTCTATTTTTTTTTTTAAAAAAGAATTAGAGGTTTTTTATAAAATAATGTTGACAGAGAAAATTTATAATTTAATGAAAAATAAGCTGCAATATACGCTTTTATTAGAAAGTGGTTTAAGTTAATTCTTAAATTATTTTTTTTGTTAAAGATTGATTTTAATTTAAAAAATAAAATAAAAAAAGTAAAAATAATAGCTTTATCTTTATTAAATTATTTTAGATAATATAAATACTGAAATCATCATTTTTTATTTTAATAAATAAATAAAAATAAATAATTTATCAATATTAGTTAAGATTTAAATAAAATTTTATAGCAAAAAATTTATAAAAAGTTAAATAAAATTAATATAAACAATTGCTAAATGTAGTAAATAAAAAGAAATACATTTATTTATTTATAAATTTAATTAATGTTTTAAATTGATGATTATTTATTTGTTTATAATTAATTTTGTAATAAATTTTGCATATCAAAATAAGATTTAATTCAAACTTATCAATTTATATTTCAATTTTACTAAAATAATTCTTTGAATTAATCAGTTTTTTATAATGCTTGCATGATAAGAATATCATCATTAATTTCTAGTTAATCTTCTCTAAGCATAACTTCTTCTTCAGAAGAAAATGAACTTTATTAACTTTTCTCTAAATCCTGCGATTACTTTAAGGTTTCTATTTAAGTTCTTAAGCTAACAATCTATAATTATTGCTCTTGAATTTTTTATTTATATTCTTTGTTAATAGTTAATATATTTTGTATGTTTTCACTTAAAGGCTCATAATCTTTTAATGTAGATTTAGGACCTTTTTTACTTGAAGAGATAGTATTTCCGTTCTTTTTATTTTGCTTTTAAATTAGCTATAGTTATCTTAATCTTTAGTTAATTTTACTATTTTCTTCTAAAAGTTTAATTTTTTCTTATTTATTTTATTAATTTTCTGCTTATATTATCTATAGCTCTAAATTTAAGCTTTAGAATTTCTTTTTCTAAAAATCATAAAGTTGTTTAAATAAATTATTAGCAATACTTTGCTGGACTTATTCTTTGTTTTCTACTTAAGGTTCATTAGTAATTTAAAGAGTATTACTAATAGAACTTTATGATTAAGCTGACTCACACAATGATAGCAATATTTTATTTTCTTCTGAGAGCTTATCAATTTATTCTTACAACTAAGATTATATTTAATGTTTCTCTTTCTGAGATTTCTGGTAATCCTATTTAAATTATTCTGCTTTCATTGCTTATTCACTAATTTATTCTTGTAAATCTTTGTATACATCTGATTATGGATCAAAACGACGTATAATTTCATTTTTTAGCTGCAACTCTTACTCTAATTATTATCTGCTTTATTCATAACTTGACTTAATTTTATAAACTTTGCTTTATTCTTCTTCCAATTTAATATTAAGGTTTTAGTTTTGTTAATTGAGTAATTCAATTTTTAATTAATATTGCTTGAAATCTTCAAAATGCATTTATTATTTAGTTAAATTATCATTAGTCTTTGCTTTAAGGATTTTAAGTGCTTCCTCTAATTTTTGCTTATACTCCTAAACTTCTATTTTGTGTGATTGCATTTCTTTTAATTCTGATTCAGTTTGTTTCTAATAATTATCAAAATTTCTTTGAATTCTATCTCTTTCTTCCTCAAGCAAATATACTTACTTCTATAATTCAACAATTTAAAGTGTTCTGGAATTAGAAAATTGAATATCCACTATTGCTTTTGAGTCATCAACATCATCATCTATTTCTTCATATACAAACTATTATTTCTTTAATTCTTTTTAGAAAGCACTCATCCTTGATTCTATTTACTATTTCATTTTGCTATGATTTTCATCTGCTAACTTTTTATAGAAGTTAACCTAAGAATATAGAAGTTGTACTTTTTATTATAAAGTTTGAATGAGGTTTTAATTGCTATCTTCTTTGCTATCCACATTTTCATTTTATTGTGATTCTACAGACATTTATTAATCTTATTATGATTGATTGAAAATAGTTTATTCAAATTAGCTAAAAAAATTATTTCTCTCCTCTAGCTAGTTTTTTAAGATGAAAACTTAATTTTGCAATTCCTGAATTTTAGTGTTTTAGAAGTTATTTTTGATTTGTTATATTTATTTTTCAAATAAACCATCAAATTCTTCTTCCTCTATTTTCGAAGATTTATCAATTTGATAATTTTACAATGTTTTTTCTAAGATCTACTTCTCTTTTTCAAGATTATTTATCTTATATTCATATTTATTAATATCTAAACTAAATTTCATTCCTTTTTCTTTAAGAATTTTGATTTACTCCTCTGTTTTATCTAATCTGTTGTTGAAAATCCTTATATTTTCATGAAAGAGATTTAGCTAATTTTAAGTAATTAAAAATAGACCTTCTCTTTCACTTAATGGTCTAATAAAACCTTCTTAAATGAATATGTTAAGCTATTCTTCCTACTCTTTCATTCTAATATTATGAATATCATTTAAATCTAGTAGTAAGATATCTACCTCTTATAAATGATTAATCAACTCCTAATCTATCATTTAAGAAATCATACTTATTATTGCGGTTATCACCTAACTACTTTAATAAAAATATTATTTATCAATTACTATTTTGAAATTAATATCAATAATGTAATATTATTTAATTTATTTAAGGTGCTTTTAATTTTTATTAGTATCTTAAAAATATTCAATCTTTTTATTAATGAGACACTTTTTTATAAATAAGTTGGTTTGTCAATAAAATCTTTTAAACAAACACAGTTCGTTCTATAATTTCAGTTTTAACTTTCTAAATAAAATTATTAATAAATCATAGATTTAATTAATATTAATAATGTTTATTTTTTTGAATAGTTTTTAAATAATTGACTATTTTAATTTATTTAAATGAAATTAGATTTTTTTTATAAAAAGTGTGTTTCATAAATGAATTTAAATTTAAATGTACCAAATTTTGAAGACACTCAATAAAAAATTTATATTAAAAAATATTTAAAAGCTATTCTTTTTGATTTAAAAAATGCAGACATAAGACTAAGGATACTCTGAGAATACATAAATAACTAAATCTGGAAGAAAGCTAAAGTTCGGTTTACTATTTGTTGGTGATAATGTTCCTTCAGGTATTATTTTTTATTGTGCTTTAAAAACTGTAAATTAAATTAATAAAATTAGATTAGCTCGAAGACTATGAAGTTGCTATTACAGAAGATGGGTTGGGCTTAAGAAAAATATAAGTCTGTTCAAGTAAGGAACTTTATAGTGAGGTACTAGAAATTATGAGATGGGCTTATTAGGATTTTTTGAAAAAAAGAAATGAAAATAGTAAAAGTGTTATCTAGAATATAGAGATGGAAGATTTTAAGTAAGTAAATTAGAGTGTTCCATCTAGTAAATAAGAGTAAATGTTAAGCTTTGATCAAATATTAGATTTTAGAATGTATTAAGGATATGGATATGTAAAAATTGAGAATTTCAAAGAATGCATCTAGTACTTTTTTAATAAGAGAAATAAAACTTGTAATTTTTAGTTTGTTAAATACTTGCATTAGAAAAAAAAACTGTCAAAAATACTTTCAATAATTCCCTTAACACCCAGGAAGTAAGTCTATGAAGAACATGAAAAAAAGTTACAAGAAACAATTAAAAGGCAAGAGTACCTTTTAAAACATTAAAGTACCGACAAAGAATAAATAAATGAGAACAAATAAAAATACAAATTTCTTAGCTTTGATGAGCAATTTAAAAAATTTATAGCAGAAACATCAAGCAGTTCTTCAGGTGAGCTTTCACCTTAACCACAAAATAATTAATCTGCAAATAAAATATACTCTTAAATAAATACTTAAATTGCTAAAACTAATTTTGCTTCTGAAAAAAAATTGAGCCTAAAAGAGCAAAGCATTGAAAAATTTGAGAATTATCAAAAGAATAATTTTAACAAAATCCACTTAAAGGATGAAGCATTATCAAAAAATGCATAAATAAAGAAAGTACAGCCAAAAGTACAATTTGCTTAAGAAATCATAAAAAAAGATGAGATGAAATTACAACTATAATAATAAAATAAAATTTTAGTTTAGTAATAAAATGAATGGATTGGAGGTTAATAATTATTTTAGCCAAATACTTATAAGCACTATTGTTAAAATGAAGAAAGAGAAATTATTCAAAATTAAACAGCTAAAAGTAAAAAAAGGTTTGTAAATTAATAAGATCAAATTTAATAGCAAGATTGTTAATCAATACCTTAAAGGTAATTAGGTGTTCCAAAATTTTGTGGCGAATCTCTATAATGTTATCTAGGAAATAATAGCATGAATTAAAAGAATGAAAATTAAGAAATTTAATACTCCGAATAAAAATACATTAAATAAATTAAAGAATAGTAATCAACTAGTATAAATATTCCAAATTAAGGGCATAGAGTTTTTTAATAAAATTTACAACAGGAAGTAGTTAAATAAATCCACCCAAGTAGTACTATCAATTTTAGTGAATTTAATTATAACATTTAGTGTCATAATGAGAATAACCATGATTATCGCTTAAAAGATTAAATAAGATAAGTTAGCAATTCCAAATACTAAGTCTTCTCTAGATTGTAAGATTAATAATTTTAAAATTAGCCAACAAATTTAATCAATAATAATCAAGATATTTTTGCTTAAACCAAAAATTTTATCTCCTAAAAGTAACAATAAAACAAATAAAATTTTGAAGACTCTAATGAGTTAAATCAAGCAAAAAATTCAAATTTTTTTTAAGATAACCATTTTATGTCACATTAAAAGGGCAAGTTATCAGCTTAAAAATAAAATCCTTTTAAAAGTATGCAAAAATAAAATTTCAGAAGCAGAGAATCCTCCTCAGAAACTACTCAGAATTCTAGTAAAATAAATTCAAATTCAAATAGATTACAGTCTTAACTAAAAATAGGAGATAAAGTTTAAAAATGTAGTAAAAAATTTGTGTTTTCTTAAATTTTAAAGCAACAAGATAGTGAAATTATAGAAGATGATATTGTAGAAGTAGGCAAAGAATGAATATTATTTTCTTAATTTTTGGAAGCAATTCAAATTTAAAACACAATAATTCCTTAATTAAAACTTTTATATTTTATTTAATCTATTTATGTAGAAAACAATTTTATTTCGTATTTTTTAAATCATGGTAAACTCGTGCAAATATTATAACACTCTTTTCGCCTAAATTTTATGAGTATTATTCGAAACTATGTTCACTAAATACCAACAAAAAGTTAAGTACCATATATATATAAACATGTTTTTAAATAATCAATTAAACTTGGAGAAAAATGACGAATTATTATAATTTATAAGATATAAATTAAGAATATTTTGCAGAAAAAATAGCTTAATTACACTAAAATTAGCTATTTTAATTTGGTGGGGTACTGAAAATTGATGAAGTCGAAGTAAAATATGAAGTGTAAGAATTCGCAGAATTTGAATTATTAATAGAAATATCATATTAAGTAATCTTTTATTTATAGAGGACTAAATATTAAATAATATCAAAAAAAATTGAAAATCTCTTAATCTTTATTCCAAAAAATTTAATTTAATATAAAATTAATTTTACGTATTAAATATCTTTTTCAAAGCGAAGTTGGATGCTTGCTTAATTGATTACCAGTCAGCAGGCAAGCAACAGATATACATTAATAATTTATCTTCAAAGGATAATAAAAAATTTTCATAAAAAATTTATTATCAAATTAAAAATTGTTCAGAAAATAATCGAAAAAACAAAGAAAAAAATAAATAATATCCAAAATAATTAAATAAAAAGATATGTTTGCCTTTAGAAAGCTCGTTCAATAATAGTAGAGATAAAGTTTCAATTATTTATTCAATGCCTACTTCGGTACTATTAAGCCCTTTAAGTTACCAGATTTAGGAGAAAGTAATTTTATAAAATAATTTTCATAAATACAAATTAGCTATATTGAGAACTAATTCTTTAGCCTTTCCATTAGATTAAATTCAGCAAATGCATTAAAAAATGATATTGAAAGCAAACATATTTTCTAATCTTTTTATTAGATATAACTAATTGAATACATTTTTATTAACTTTTTATGTTTATTTTCTAGAAATTAAGGAAGCCACTGTCAAAAAATTGTACGTGAAAGAAGGAGACATCGTAGAAGAAGTAATTACAAACAATTATAATAAAGATTGATTTAGGCATTAAAAAAATAGCAAAATATTTCATAAAATTAGATTAATTTTAATTTAAAAATTATTCAAAGTTTTAAACAATTGCTGATGTTGCCACTGATAAGTTATTCACCTAAATTCCTAGTTCTTATGCTGGTAAAATCCACAAAGTCTTCCACAAAGAAGAAGATACCTGTCTTGTAATTAGCATTTTGCAAATTAAGTAATGAATTTACTTATCAAAAATACAAAAATTTAAAAGGTAGGTGATGTATTCGTAGAAATTGAAGTTGATGAGGATCATTCAGGAGAAGCTTCAACTGCTACTCATCATCATGAAGCTAAACAAGAAAAGAAAGAAAATACTACAATCAGCTCAGGTGCTACTACTTCTACTGAGTCTAAAAAGAGCTAACCAGTAGTAGATAATACTTACGAAAACGATTATGTTTTATCAACCCCTGCGGTTCGTTCTTTAGCTCGTTAACACAATATCAATCTTAAGAATGTTAGAGGTACAGGTAAAGATGGACGTGTTATGAAGAATGATATTTTAGATATAATTAGTGGTAAAACTAAGCCTTCTACCCCTGAAACTACTAAGCCAAAAGCTGCTTCTACTGCATCCTCATCAGGAGTGTAAATATATTTTATTAATTTTGAATAAAAATAAAAAAGCAATAAAATGAAGGAAAGAGAGAAATATTGAAAATAGCCAAAAATAAATCACTGAAAATTAATAATTTTTAATAAAAATAGGATTTAAAAAAATAATTTAGAATATTTTAATGAATATAATATTAAATTTAAATATAGTTTAAATGAAACTGTTAAAACTACAGTTAAGATGTCAGACTTTTAGAAAGGTATGCAAAAGAGTATGACTGAAGCAAATACTATTCCTCATTTGTATTTAAAGGATGAATATGATTTGACCAATTTAACAGTATTGCGTGAATAAATTAAAAAATCATAAAACTAAAGTATTACTTTCATGACCTTCTTCATCAAGGCCTTCTCTCTTGCTTTGAAGGAATATCCTATCTTGAATTCCCTATATGATGTAAACAAGCCTTTCGAATACACTTTAGTACAAAATCACAATATTTCTCTTGCAGTTGACTCACCTAAAGGATTGGTTGTACCTAATATTAAAAATGTACAAAATCTCTCTATACTTGATATTTAAAAGGAAATAAAGAGACTTGTTAAAGAAGGAGAAGCTGGAACCCTTGGTCCCAAAGATCTTTTTGATGGTTCTATTTGCATTTCAAATATAGGTAATTATTTATTTAATAATTTTACTGATGCAATAGAGAGTTACCAACAAAAAATTTTAATCAAATTTAGTTAGATTTATTAAATTAGAGATTAAAGATATTTATTATTAATAATAAAATAAAAAACTTCAAAAAATTTTTGTTTAAAAATTAATTTTAATAAAAGTTTTCAAATAATTTTTGAATTTTAAAAATATTTTTTATAAAATAATAAATAAATAAACTCTAATATAAATCTAAGAGATTTTATTTTTAATTAATTATGAATTAATTTTATATTTAGGTACTATTGGTGGAACTTACACTGGTCCTTTAATATTTGCTCCCTAGACAACTATTGTAGGTTTAGGTAGAGTAATGACCCTTCCTAGATATATCAATAAATCATTAGATCCTAAGGTTGAAGACCTAGAGCTAGCTCCAAGAAAGATAGTAAATATTTCTTTTTGAGCCAAAATTTTTAATTAAATAAATAAATAATTAATTAAATAAAAATAGATGAATGTTAGCTTTGGCTGCGATCATAGAGTTGTTGATGGTGCTACTGTAACTAAATTTTCTAATAAATGGAAATCTTATTTGGAAGATCCTAGCACCATGCTCTTGCATCTTAAGTGATAGAAATTAATAGTTAATAACAAATTAATAAAGTTTTCATAAATATTAAATCATTAGATATCAAATTATTCCTTAAATTTAAATAAATTTATAAATTGTGTAATTTTTTCAGGTTTTTTTTAATATGCTCTCTCATTTTAAACTTGTTATACTTTCATAATTAAATTAAAATATAGTAATATGTTTTCTATCAAATTTGCATTTTTTAAAAATAAATATCATTTTTATAAAATTCTACATAAAAAGAGTTTATAAAAGATTAAAAAAACGTATTTAAAATTTTTAAATTCTAAATAAAAATAATGTTTAATAGTGTAAATATTTTTTTGCCTATTATTTATTTAGATATCTAAGCAATCTATTTATCTTTATTATTTACATATTTTAGGACTATGTTTAGTTAGTCACTTTAAAAAAAATTATGGTTTAATCTTACAGATCTAACTTTTGAAAGATATATAGTACTATAAGTTTTAGTTCTAGTTTATACTTAAATATACATCATACATGATTACATAAACAAAGTTATACAAAAAGAAAAATTTATTTTTTATAAAAGTAGTTTTAAATATTTAAAAATAAACCGCAATAACTAAGAAATTCTATCTTTTATCTCATCTAAAATATTAATGATGTGTTAACATATTTTTTTTAATGGAGATTTTAAGACAGCTAAAAAATTGTTAAGTTATTAATTTATTTAAAATTATTAAATAAATTAACAACTAAATGATTTATTTTATTGTATTTCTTTAATAAACCTAATGTAGTTAAATTTTTATTGGTAATTTAACTAGTTTAATCTATAAAAGTCATATTTTAAATACATATCAGAAGAAAAAAGATATTAGCATTATTTAATGAATGGTATTTTCCTAAAAATCAACTAATGAGTATAAAATATTATTTTGTTAGAATTGAGAAATATCAAAATGGAATTACAAGATATTTACAACATATATCTAATCATAAAATTTAATATTAATAATAAAATTATATTTATTTTGGGTATTTTTTAATATATTATTATTTCAAAGATCTCATAGATCGGGAATGAAGTTTCTTAATAATTTTTTGAAAGTTTCTCTCATAAAACCAGCGGTTTCACAGACTTCATCATGGGTAAGACGATTTTCAGAAACACCAGCAGCCATGTTAGTGACACAAGAAATACCAACTACTTTAATGCCCATGTGGTTAGCAGTGATACATTCAGGAACCTATTTTAAAAATAATAAATTAGTTCACAAATGTTTGTTTGTTTGATACATATTTGAAAATTAAAAATTAGTAGGCTTTTTTGCTTGTATTACCTACTTTAAATTATATATTTTTTATCTACCAAAAATAATCTTTCAAAAAAAATAAAATAAAGTCTTACTGTTGACATACCAACTGCATCAGCACCCATTTGTCTTGCCATTAAGATTTCAGCAGGGGTTTCGTAAGAAGGACCTGTGAAAGCGATGTAGATACCAGTCTTTACACCTAATCCGAGCTTTCTCATATGTTCAGCTACAATATTAGAGAGCTTCTTGTTGTAAATTTCACTCATATCAGGGAAACGAGGACCGAATCTTTCATCGTTGTGACCAATCAAAGGGTTACTTCCCATGTAATTGATGTGATCCCTAATGATCATCAAGTCACCATTTTAGAGCATCTTAGAAATACCACCAGAAGCGTTAGTGACAACCATTTTAGTGACACCAAGAATCTTGAAAACTCTAATAGGGAAAACGACTTCTTGCATAGTATTACCTTCATAAAAATGATATCTACCTTGCATGCAAGCAACTACCTTACCACCTACTTTACCAATAACAAGTTTACCAGCATGTCCTTGAACAGTAGACTTCTTGAAGTGGGGAATTTCTTCGTATGAAATGTAAATCTTTTCTTCGATTTCATCAGCGAAACCACCTAAACCACTACCTAAAATGACAGCAATTTCAGGAACAAGGGAGGTCTTAGTCTTAATGAAGTTTGCAGCTTCAACAGCGTTGTCGTAAACAGAAGTCATTTGATTATACTAACTAACTTATCTTAAATTTTATATTTTATGATTGCTTAGAAAATGAGTGTGATTTTCTCTTTCTACTTTTATTTATTTTTAATTTTTTATTATGATTTATTTTTTACATCAAATAAACAAATCTTCATCGCTGTATATAAAAAAATACTTACCCATTATAAGATAGATAAATACTCGATCAATAATTATTATTTAAGTGATTGAAATTCTCGCAATTGTCTATTAAACATCAAATAAATTGTTGTTTTTTACAATTTTTTTCCATTCAAGACTTATCAAAAAGCTTTTATTTAAAAACAAAAAAATCAATATCTTGTTTGTTTATTTGTTAAAAATGAAAACATGATTTGTTTTTTTATTTGTTTACAAATTTTAATATCCATCTCAGATGAATAACTAAATAAAATTGAGTGTATATTTGATAAGAGTTTGTAGAAAAGAAAAAGATTAATAACTCTTTCATGTTTTTACATTTATTTAATTTAATATTTCACTAAAACTTTGATTAATGTATCTTTTTCAACGTGATATTAGTCTTAGATATCCTAAAATATTCTGACAATTTGATTTTTCCTTAGTATAAAACTCGAATCTATGTGTAAAATATCTTCCAGAAGGAATATTTTAATTTGATAATTTTGTCCTTTTTCTCATATAACTTCATTTGTAAAATAGGATTACAAGTAAGCCATCAAAATATATTAAATGCACATTAATTTTGCTGTTTTTCAGACTATTACTAAAATTTAAGACTTACAATTTACTGTATGAATAGTTAAGCTAATTTAAAGTCATAAGCACCTTATTATTTTGCAAAAGGGGGATATTATCAAAAAAAATTTTGTTACTTTTAAAAATATAAACGAATGGAAATACTTTATGAATAACATATCAAAAATTATATTTGATCAAATATTAATAAAATATATTTATTTTTTATTAACATAGTTTTACTATAGCTACACTATTTTAAAAGTATACCAAACATATATTATATGCATTGAAGAATGAATAGCATGTACACTAAATCGTTCTACAGGATTTCTTTGATTTTTTAGATTACATAAAATTTTCATATTCTATCGGTTAGGAGTTAATTTCAAAACTTATAAATTAAATTATTCTTTAATTATAATAACTTAGCACTTTTAAAACATGTAAAAATTATTGTTTAAAATAAAAAACAAACTTTCAAAAAATAAAACTTTTTATAACATGAATTTAATTAAATTAAATATTTAAAAATCTAAAATATTTTTTAATATTGAAAATTTTATATTTAATTTAGCTAAAAAGAAAATAAAATTTAAAGTTTTAAAATTAATGAAATAATTTTATATTTACAATTTAAATAGATTAAAAACAAATATTTATATTTAATAAAATTAAAATTGTTATTTAAATAAAATTTATGAAATTGATTATAAAGCATTTAGATAGACAAATATAAAGTAGAATATAAACAAAAAGAAGGCAAAATTTATTATTTTAATTGACACGTTTAAGAAGATTGTGTGTTTTTTGAAATTAAAAATTATATGTGAAATTTTTAAAATGAAATTTATGCTATATATAGGATACTATTGATAAAGCTTAAAAGTCATTTGTATAGAAGTGAATCCACGTATTCAAAAAAATCACTTGCCAATGCATAGTAAAGATATCCAGCAAAAAGGCTCAAGCATTTTAGATTTCATAATAATGAAATTCTAATTTTATAATCCAAACATACCCATTAATTAATTTATAAAAGATAATTTTTATTATTCCTTATAAAGCATTGAAACACGAATGACTATTTAATTCGTCAAAAAGTGGCATATCTTTTATCAAGAAAAAATTTTAATTAAAACCATCAAATCAATAAAAGATTCAATTATAATCAATATTTTAGTAAAAAAATTATTAAATTGTGATTTAAAAAATGAATAAGAAATTAGCTATTATCTTAGGTTTACTTCTTATTTCTTCTTGTGTTTATGCCCAAGTTGAAGGTAATTATATACTATTAATGAAATACATAATCACTTTTAAATAAATAAGATGATTTAATCTCTAAAATTGAAATTTTTAGATAACTTTCATTAATTTATTCATACTTAATATTTTTCTTAAATAAGATGATGATACTCACGCTGCTCCTGAAGTTGAAGAAGTTTAGGTAGAATAAGAAGCTGCTGAAGCTGATGTTTAAGGAAGTTTTGGAGGTTAAGACTAATAACCTGATCGTATAGATTTATATATTTATATTTATTAAATTATCAAATGATGCTTCAAATAACATCTAACAGCATTTAGTTAGAAATAATTAACAAAAGAATGAAAATTTATTTCATATGAAAATCAACGAACTACCAAAATGAAATCAATGAATAGAAATAAAATTAAAGTATTATTTTTATTATAAACATAGCTGAAGAATTATTGAAAGATGAATCTTTTAGAGAAAGAATTAGAAATTTATACGTTTCCTGTATTGTCACTTCTCGTCATAAATTAAACAATTATGGTGAAGAATTAATGGGATTATTAAAAGGAATTCAAGACAAGCAAATTCAATAAAATCTTTACAAGAAGATGCTCGCTGAACACATTTACACTTGTGCTCTCTATGGTACTCAAAACCCTGATACTCCTGATTAAGTAATTAAATTGTTCAAAATTAACTATTGGTAGATAGATTTACTTTAACAATAATTATTAATTAGATTATCAAGTCCTTACAAGATAGAACTTTCAAGATTTCTGACTGGGAAGTTATTTACATGTCTTTGGATATCAAGAAATACAACGACCCCAACTACAACACCTAACTTACTGATGATGAATAAAACATTTTAAAGTTTGTTGATGTAAATACTTAAACATTTACTTATTTACTTTATTTTACTTCATTTATGAGTTAATTATTTAAATATTTTATTTCTTACCTTAATAGTAATTTGATGAGGCCATGAAGCAATAAAACGGTGGTAAAACTGGTGGAGAAGCTGGTGAAGAAGATGATGATATTCCCTTCCTTAACTAAAAAACTTATGAACCCAAAATTGGTAGTTTCTCTTTGAGCAATCTCTCTTCTACTACTCAATTATTCTACTTCGTTGCTATCATCTTAGCATTCGGTGGTATTATTGCTTATGGTAAATTCTTTTTTTTACTTGTTTTAGGCAATTAAATTTTATAAAATAAACAAAAAATATTGATTATTTATTTATCTTTAAAATTAAGGTTACAAGAAGATTGAAGATGATGGTCCCAAGATTAAGACCAAGAAAGACAAAAAGAAAAATTGAAGCGTAAATGAAATAAATAAATTGAAATAAATATTATTTATCTAATTTAATATTATTTGTAAATAAATAATAACTTTATTTGTAAAGTAAATTTACAGTTCATATTGTATTCATTTTCTTTGAATTCAAGAAGTCATTTTCTTTAATCAATATCATGCATATTTTTAACTTTATAAATATAATCAATTATTTAATTTTTTTTGATGGATAATTTATTTATACACGTACATACTCTCTTCTTTCGTTTTTACAATTATTATCTCCTACTTATTTTTTGCATATTTTTTTACGAAGGCGTTATTAGATTTTTTTTGTTTTTAATCAAAGATATCTTTTTTAAATAGATATCAAGCAATATTAAACAACAAAAATTTTTTGATAGAATTTAATAATAAATAAGAAGAAGAAAAAGATAAAAAAAGAATAATGAAAAATTTAAAATTACTTATCGCTCTCCTTTTAATCTCAGCCTTAGTAATAGCTGAGGAAGTTACAAGTATGAAGTTTAAAATTATTTTAAAGCTATTTATCATTCGAATTACACTTAATATTGTGCTTAATTCATTTTAGCCAAATAAAATTTATCTAAAACAATTTTTAAATTCCTAAATGTTAAAAAAATAATGTCCAACTAACATAGGAAGGAACTTACCTTTTATAAAAATAAATTGAATAAATATTAATTAAAATGATTAAATTGTATGAAAAGAAAATGGCTATTTAAACAGAAAAATTTTGCAATTTAAGGACTAATTAATTTTATCATTAATTTTCATTTATATTATTTTAATGGTTTTTAATTAAATTTTAACAAATTAGCTGAGCAACCAAATTCTGAAACAAAATAAACTGCAGATGAATCTGTCGAATAAGTAGATGCTGAACCTCAAACTCGTAAAAATATTATTTACCATATTTATTTCTTGTTACAATAGCTTTAGCATGAAAATAATATGGAAAAATATAATATAAATAGAATAAGAGAGTCAAGAAGAATTCAAGAAGAGAATAAATGATCTTTATATTGCGTGTATTATTGCTACCAGATACTAATTGAATACAAAGGATGCAGACTTAGAAATAATTTTATAGGATGTTTAAGAGTACGATGAAAAGCTTAATGTTTACAGAAAAATTTTTGCATAGCATGTTTACCAATGTGGTCTCAGTGCTACAAAGGTTCCCTCTATTCCTGATGAGGTAATTAAATTCTTACAAATTAATATTACAATAAGATATTTAAACACATAAAAAAACTAGATCCATAAGCAACTTAATGAAAAGACTTTTAAAATTGAAGATTGGGATCTTCTTTTCATTGATATTAAGTTTGATAAATACAAGGAAGGTAACTTTAACTCTACTTTAAATGCACAAGAATAAATGATTATGGATTTCGTAGATGTAAGCATTTTATAAAAAACTAGAAAAATTTAATAATTACTTATTAAAAATAAAAGAAAGTAGATGGTTCTTTGAAAAAAGATAACAATAAGCCAAAAATAGGTTCATTCTCATTGAATAATTTACCTGCATCTGTTTAATTGCTTTATGTAGTTGTTATAATTGCAATATTTAGCGGTCTCATATACTTTGGTAAATATATTTGTAAACTACCATCTTTATAATATTCTATCATAATAAAAGGTTATAAATTCAGCAAGCAAGAAACAACCATTAAGGTCAAAAAACAAAAGAAAGAAAAGAAATCTTAATGAAATTAACATTAATTTTCTTTTTTTATTTATATATTTGTATTTATATCTTTCTAACTTTCGAATAATATTTTATACATCCATCAAAACATTAAATTGCTTATTTTTTACTTTAAATTTATATTTTTTAACCATGTACCTTTCTAAAAAAATTACTTCTAAAAAGTTTAGTAGATTAAATATGAAATAATTTTTCATGAAATTTAGTAAAAATAATATTTTAATTATGAAATAAACTATTAATTAATTTTTTCTTTTTTTTTTAGAATTTAAAATATTTGATTAGATACACTCGATAAATAGATAATCAATAGCAAGGATCATAATCTTCTACTTCATAGTTCAATTATACTAATTTTGGCAATTTTTTTAATTTAAGTTTTAAATATTCAGCTTGTTCTAAATCAATCTGTTTAACTCTAAGTTTTATTAAAAAAATAGTTTAATTAGCATTTAAAAATAATAAAGCAAAGATTTACGGTAAAACTAATGAAATAAATAATATTTATTTGCATTATAGAAGTGAAGTAGCAAAAGATTTAACACACTCTCCGTTTATTTAATTCTCACTATTATTTTATTAATTTTAATTTTTGAAAATTAAATAAAAAAAGTTACTCAAAATTAAGGCTCAAATAATTCAAGTGATATAATTGTGTTAATATACTTCCAATGCATTCAACGGTATTACCTTTAAGCCTATTATAACTTTTTTAAATAATATTAATTAGCAGAATGATTGGTAAATATATATTATAACATTACCCTACATTTATTGATAAGCTTTCAAGGTTTTTACATAACTCTAATTATTTAAAGAATCCAATAACTTATTCATCTTTAAGATAGTTTGTTCTAAGATTAAAACATTTTGAAGTTAATTAATATGGTTTGAAAATATTTATTTATCTCTTATTTAAATAAATTAAAAGAATTTTTTATTTTATTTTGTGAATTTTAAAGTATTATTTAACAAAAATAAATAAATATATACTTGAGGTTTATTTCAAATTATTTTAGTTAGGTTTTTTGCTCAAATATAGGATTAAGATCCTTAATAAATGATCCATCTAATGAGAAGCGGCTATTTTTATTAAAGTCTCAATAAATATATCAATTAAGTTACAGAAATTATCTACCAAAGTGAAAGCTACATTTTTTTTAAATTTTCTAATTTTTTAATTTCAAGACCTAATGTTTTTGCAATCAAATCCCCTCTGAAATCTAGGCTGATTTTAAATAATTTCTATATAAATATATATATAATTATCAAAACTTACTCTAAAACTAAAGAAAGTTCTTCCAAATTAACACAGATTTAAAAAGCAGAAACTAAATCACAAATACCTTATCCATTTATTTTATTTCTGCTAATTAAATAAATAATAAAAAAAATTTTATTCATTTTTTATTAATTAGCTAAATTGAAAAATGTTACCCTAAATCTATTTACAATTTTTTCAATTTTTAATTAAAAAGCTAAGTTATTACAGGGACCACTTAATCTTCAATGCATGTATTGCTTTTTTAAAATTTAAATTATTTTAAATCTAATTTATTAATACGTTATACTTCAATTTTAACTTAAGTTTCTCCAAATTAGATTAACATAAGCTGTCTAAAATAAAACAAAGCCCATCACTTTTCAAATTGTTTTCTCTTAAAAAAGAAAAAGTTTTTAAATCAATTAAAGAATAAAAATTTTACGAAATGTCCAATGAAAAACTTGTAAGATTAGTAAGTTATTTTAATGAAGATGCTAAGTAAATAGCTGCCTAAAGTTCAATCTAGTTATGTCTTTTTAAATAAATAACTTTTAAAACTATTTAAATTTTTAACAAATTACGCTAAATCAAGGCTAATTACTTTTACATTTTTGCACTATTATAAATATGAAACCAATTTATTTATTATAAATACACCTATTTTTTAATTTCTTTAAAAATATGACTCAATATTTTGAAATAAATTAAAAATTTACCTTAAACTTATCTTAACTTCAAAGAGGTTTACTAAATCAGAATTTTTCAACTTTTTTTAAATTAAAAATAAAATTTTATATTAATTTAAATAAACAGGAATGTTTTTTACCTCTTCTAATGATCTTAATACTTGTTTTTAACTCTTTATATTTTATTTTTCCATATTTTTTTACCTTTGTTTAATTTTTCCTTAAATTTTCAGCATTAGAAAACTTCTTATCAAAATTAATTTACCTTCTCAATTGATTACTAAACTAAAAAACCTAAATTATATATATAAATTCAAACTAATTGGTAGTACTTTATTTTTTATTAAATCTTACTACAATAATTATTATTAATTGAATATTTTAAATAGGCTTATATGGTTCTATTTAAATCAATATTTTTATCATTAGTGTAAATATTTTAAAATTTATTTAGATTTTTTTAATTAAGCAAAAATAATTAATAAAATTATTTATTTAAAATTAAGATTTCCAGAATATAAAATTTTTTATCAAAATTAATTTACTAACTAACTAACTAACTAACTATTTCATATTAAATGAAAGTAAAAACCTAAATTAAAAATTTTTTTAAATAAATTTTTTAATTAATTTAATCTAATTTATTTTAATTAAATATTAATCCATTTGTAATAAATAATTGCTCATTTTAAATACAATTATGATATTATTTTAAATTTATAATTTTTTCTGAAGTCTAAAAATGTTAAGATTTATTTGTTTTTTTAATTAAGTTAAATAATTAATAAAATTATTTGTTTTTTTTTATATCAAGTTTATTAGAATTAATAGTTTTAATTTTGAACATTAAATTTGGATTCCAAATCTATCTTTTACATTTAATGAATGAGGTAACAAAATTATCAAATAAACAATATTTCTAAATTTTATAAAAACTTTGATAAAAAAATTACATGTAATCAAAACTTTTTTAATATATATTTTTTAAATTTATATATACTTTTCACATATTAATAAGATTGAGCAACTTGCTTAACTTTATTTTTTTTCAATTCTTTTCAGTGCAACAAGTCCAACAATTTTCAGGATTATCTTTAAGAGGAGTACAGTTGATATGACCAACAGCTCTAGGGCATTCATTAATAGGTACAGGGTCTACTTATGTCCATGGAAGACCTAATCCCCAATTAACTACTATGGTAGCCCACCATTCAGTTCTTCTAAGAGTATGGCCAAAGCCAGCAAAGTAAGTAGTTGTAGGACAGCAATCATAACCTCCATTAATGATATTAATGACTTATCCGATAGAACCACTTGAGTGCATAGCATCATGGCATGAACCTTACTTTCTAGGAAGCCAATGAGCATCTGAGCATTAACTAAGTTAGCATCCACTTGGACCATTAGGACACTTAGCATCACAAGTATCGTGCTAGTCCCAACCAGCTTAGGGCATGCACCAGCCACCATAATCGTGTCTTTCCATCCAGAACCAAACAGCGCTTGCCCAACATAATTCAGTGTTGCTATCAAGTAAAGTAGGATTTTTTACAAGTCTGTCATCTTTAAAGTAACTTTAACTAAAATCAGCATAATTGTAATTCCATGAAAGTTGAACAGGACCACGGCCAAAATATTAAAGCTTATCATCAGTAAGGCATTGAAGACCATTGGTATTGTAAGAGCAATGAGTGCAATCTGGGCAACCCTATTCGTGAGTACAGGGGAATCCATAAGTGAATTCAGTTTCAGAACCAATAATAGTCAAGAAAGCAGCAAATTCGTACTTATCTAATTTATCATCTCCAGTGTTACAGAAAGTAGGATATTGCTTACTAGCATTAGTGATATCTACGAGCCATTAGTCAATTCTATCCTAAGAAACATAAGCAATATGCTCAAGAGATTTAGGAATGTTGATTCCTTTCAACCAAACGCTGAAATTACGACTTCCAGTTTCAGTAAACATTTCATCATCTTAATTGATTTCTTTCTTAAGAGCATTCATAAATATACCTCCTGTAATAAGAAGAGTAGTAAATATCAGCACAAGGCCGATACTTTGTGAAATTTTGATATTAAACATGCTTATAATATTTTGTATGTCTAAAAAATGATTGATTGATTGATATCTTTTTAGATCCTAATTGAATTAGTTATTCTTAATTTAAGTTATTAGACTACAATGAATTAATTATATTTTAATTTCTCACTCTAAAATAAATAAATAGCTGTCAATGAATTTCACACAATTTCTCAAATATAAAAACAAATATTTACCTTATTATAGCTTAACCAAGCATTGCATGAAACTGCGATACTTGATTTTTAACAATTACACTATTAATTATCTTGTTTTTTCATTCAATTTTGTATTTCAAAACCCATCCATTAAACTTATAGAGCCTTACATTAATATTTTATCTTCGCTTAAAGTTTCTACGAAATATGATATTCTTTTATTTCAGAAATCGGTATATTCTGACGAAATTTAAATCTTTTCATGAAAAATAAAAAAGAAATTTTTAGATTTTCATATTAAAATTGATACAGAATTTTAGTTTTCACTCCGATAAAAAAATAATTTACTAAATCTTACTCATTATGAATGAAGCAAGCAGCTAATAATTATCATTTATCATAAAAGTTTTTTAATTCTAATTTCATAGCAAAAATAAATTTAAACATTTGCAACAATTTTTTTTTGATCAGAATTCTCCATCATATTATAAATTTAAAATAAATTACTTAATAAACCTTATTTTTACTCTTTATAATTGCCGAATATATTATATAATATTGTAAGATAATTTCAATTTATCATTAAATTTAGATGAATTACTTGATGGCATAAGATTTTTAAAAATTATATAAAAAGAAACTTATTAATTTCCTAAAGTGTTTTTCGAATTTAAATATGTAAATAAATAAATTAATTACAACTAAAATTAAAATTGATTTTAATATTGAAATTTGTTTAAATAATATAAATTTTTTATTATCATATAAAATAAAACTCTTTTATTAAAATTAATTGATCAGTATGTATATTTTTGATATTAATAAATGTACATTGTTAATTATGTAAATTATGATAAATGATATTTTTTTTTCCCAGTTAATTATTTTAAATACTATTTAGATTTAATAAAAATAATATTTATTATAAAGCAATAATGCTTACTTAAAACTGTTTTACATCATATCAAAGTAGTTAAGTTATACTAAATTATTATAAAATATAAAATGAGTGATAATTTAAGTAAGATGTAAATTTTTTTTCCATAAAAAATAATAAAAATTTAAATCATTTATTTTTTTAAGAAATTAATTCTAAATTTTTTATCAGAATATAAAATGAATTTACAAATTATAAAATAATTTATTTAAATAATATGAAGATTTGAAATAAATTAAAAATATAATACTATTTTACTAATAGAGATATTAGCGTGCTAATAAATTAATTTATATTTTCAAACATTCAATCAAAATTAATTATAATTACATAAATCTTCTAAAAGATACTTAAACAAAGCTAAATTCTTAAATAATTAGATTTTATAAATAGACAAATCATATATATTTTAGTTTTATCTGATTAAAATGTTTTCTACTTATGAAGAAGTAACAAAGCACTAAGAAAAGTGCATCTAAGAACTTAAATAGCTTCAAAAAAGACTAGATGAGCTTCCTAAGAAATTAAATGATTATGGATTAGTAAATTTTATTTAAAATGAATCTTAATACTATTTATTAATATTAATACATAAATATAAAAGTAAAAATTAAACTCTGTTTGCTTTGTACCAGCTAAAATTTATCATACAAATGAGGTAAAAATGTTAATTAATGAAGCATTTATAATATTTATATTCGATTATATCTTAGATTATGGTACATTTGGGAAATGATTATTTTGTAGAAAGAACTAGTTTTTAAGCGAGAGATATTGCAGAACGTAGAATTAAAGGTATGAACAATTTTGTATGATCCACTGTGCTTAATTAATTAAACCATTTGTTATTTAAAAAGTATATCAAAAAAATTTGGATGAATTAAAAGAGTAAAAAAAGAAGTAGGATAAAAGTAGAATTCTTGAAATAAAAGAACCTATTGAGGAGGTTTAGGAAACTAAAGATAAACCTATAAAACCTAAAGTAGAGTAATAACAAAGTACTACTAAGAAAATTACATAAGAAATATAATAGGAAGATAAAAAGTAAGAATAAATCGTAAAGTAATCTGAAAATAATTCTCAAGAAAATAGCAATAAATAAACAACAAACTCAACAAGTAGCTTATCACATATATTATAATTGATGAATAAGTCAAATTTTAAAATGGAGGATTATGTTAGTGATGAAGAGTTAGAAGAAGATTAAGATGATGTGGAGATTGAAGAAAATGAAGAGCAAGAAAAAATTTAAATTAAATCATCTTCAACACCTACTTAAAAATCAAATTTGAAGAAATAATCAAGCAACTCCTAAGAAAAGAGAAAGAGTGTCGTAATAATTTAATAAAAAATATTTATTTATTTATTTAATTTACTTTTACTTTTTTAATATTTTATATTTAACATATAAATGTTTTATTAAAGTAATTTGGGGAGTCAGAAAAAGTAATATTTGAGCCTACAAATGAATAGAAACCTGAAGATTTGCTTAAACAAAAAGATCAATAAATAAAGGATAGAATAGCTAAATTAGATTAAAGAGCTAAAGAATTGGGTAAAGAAGAAGAAGAAGAGCAATAGAAGCCAGTTATTAAAGAAAACATAATGGATAAGATTAAGCCTTAAAAAGAAGATAACTCAAAGACTTCTAAAAAAAAAGTTAAACATGAATTCGATGAAGAGGAAGAGGAAGAAGAGTAAGAACAACCAAAAAAGATATCAAAATTCAAACAAAGAATGATGGAATAAAAAAAATGAATAATGAAATATAAATATAAAAAAGAAAAAATTTATGTTTCAGTTTGTTTGTTTTTTTGTTGTAAATAAACTTTAAGTAGCAAAACAAATTCTTTTTAGTTAAATATTTTATTTTTAGATGAGATAATTATTCAAATAATATGATTAAAACAATCTAAAATTAATAATTTTAAACTAATTTAAAAATTTTTAAAAATATTTTGAGATTTCATTTATTTATTTTACTCTTTACAAATTTTTTGTATTTTCAATTTTAGAAAATATTTAAGTTTTTAAATGTTTGTTAGAGAATTTAAAATTAAATATTCATTTATTTAAAGTATTGAATGAAATAAGTAAGTAAGTATGTATGTATTTAAGGAAGGTAGGTAGATTAATAGGAACGAAGGATATTTTAATTAGAGTGCATGAGAATTAAAGGTCAATTACCATATATATATTGATGAAAATAATACATTTTTGCAATTAACTTTATTTAAATCTTTATGCAAAAAGCTATCTTTTTTATCATCATATTAAGCTAGCTGCTGATATTTTGTAATTATTATCTATCTTTCTTACTAAAAATTAAATTTTAGATTGCTCAGAGAACCTTAATAGTTTGGTGAGGATAGATAACCTTACCCTTTTCAAGCCATTCATCATCATTAATAGAGAAGTCAGTGAACCAGTAGGCATAGGCAGTTGAGAGACCTAACCAAAGAGGAATTTATTTCTTCATAGCACCCCAATTTCTATCTTGGTTGTATTAGTTTTTCTAGGTAAAGACGTACTTGGGTCTATTTATTTTTAAAAGAAAATGTTTTATAGTGTTAATTAACAGAAAATTGTCTTTTGTTTGCACATAATCAGTACTAACAATTTTATTTATTCTTGATTTTATAATAGCTTATACCATATAATTATATTTTTAGCTATATCTTTATAATTTAATCATTATGCCATAAGTTTGTTTCTTTGCTAATGAATCATTTATTTTAAATTTTGATGAACTTGATAAATATTTTGAAATTAAACAATTATTTTTTAAGATTATTTATACATCCTTTCATTATTAACTAAACGATTTCGTGCTAAAAATGATATTAAAAGTCTATCCTATTTAAGTTTATTCAAGCTTTGCTTATTTAAATTTTAATTTTTGCAATTTTTATTTATCTAGATGCATTAAAAATAAATATGTTTTAGAACTCAATTTCTATTCCTAGAGAAGATTTATTAAAGTATAGCAGGTTTAAGTCAAAAATTTGGAAATTTCGTTTACCTGAAGTAGTATGGTACACCTGATCTCAAATTTCTGAATGCTTTACCGAAAGGAATAATGAAAATAGGACCAGTAATGAGTAAGCCTAAAGCGAAATTACTCCAGAAATGAGCTCTAATGTTATTGTGACGATCACCATGGTTCATCTTAGCAATACGATGAGCTTCATTCATGTATAATTTATATCTGGGCTATTGTAAAAATTATTCTTCAGTAGCCTTGATCATTCTAAGTTCATCATCTCTTGTAGGAGGAGCAGGAACAACAGTTTCAAATCCCATTTTCTTATAACTATGTATGTATATCTATTTTTAATACTTCTTCCAATTAATTTATTAACTAATTAATTACTTCTCTCTATTTATTTATCTATCTTTCTTCTCTTTTTTCTTTCAAACAGTATCAAATATTTATTTATTTCCTCCCTCATTCTAATCATTCATAATTTCAATGAAAACTTAGAAAATACTATGATTTATCAATATTTTACATATAAATAATGATGATACTTAGCGAGTCTAATGCTATATTATTCAACTATATCTTATTTATTTGTTTTAACATTTAATTTCTTTCTTTTATTTATTTATTTTTGATTGTCTTTCTCCCATTTTTATTTAATATTTATTGCCCTTCAATCAATCAAATTTTTAGGCGATTTGTCATTACAAATAAATCTTTTAATCTGATATATCTTTTGATATCTTTCATTAAAATAAATTTTTTATAAAAAACATTATTATGATTTCAAAACAAAATTAAATCTTCTTCAAACTATTTATATTTTTATTTGTAAAATATTTAAAAATCACATTTAACACTTCTAAAAATCAATTAATTAAAATAATATTAAACAATATTTTGAATTTCAAACTTGTAAATTTAATCAAAATTATTAAATTTAATGAATTAAATTTTTTATAGTCAAAATTATTTTAGAATTACATTTAGGTCTTATAGTTCTCGTAGTTCTCGTAGTTTACATAAAATAAATATTTTTGAACAAACTTCTTTTTAAATTTTATATAAATTAATTTTTAATTAAAATTAATATGTAACTTTTAATATTAAACAAAAGACATAATTTAGTTAAACTAAAAAATAAAAATAAAAATCATTTTAAATTGATTAAATAATGATAATATCCAGTTTATCTCTTTATTCAATAACTTTCAATATTTCTTTATATTAAAATAGGATGATATAAATTAATATTAATATTAAGTTTAAAATTTAATATATATAAAGAATTTAAATTCTTTTTCTCTTTCCAAGAATTAAAATATTTTTTATTATAAAAAAAATCAATAAAAATTTAAGATTATCAAAAAAAATTATTACTAATGAATAATGTTTAAATATATCAATTAATCTTAGTTTTTTTAAAGATTGGAAAAACTAATTTTAATTGATATCTTTAGAGTATTTAATTATCTTTTCTAAGGTGAATAAAAAAAATATTGTAATTATATCATCTTTACAAAGAACTTTTTTTTATGATGTTTAAATAATGGTTTATTTTATAAGGAAAATTATTTTTTTAGTTTATTTAAAATTTTTATCTACAAAAAAAGAAAATTTCATTAATATTTTTATAAAGTAATGTGATTTTACTTAAATTTTAAATCTTTTATCTATTTTTTGAAGTTTAAAATAAGAATCCTCTTTTAATTATATTATTTTCAATGACATTTTATAGCTAATGAGTACCCTAATATTATTTATTTAACCTTTTAAAATATTTTTTCAATTTAAAATATCATGAAAATATATTAAAGAGTGAAAAAAACTTCAATTTTGAAGTTAATAACAATAAATGTGATGAAATGTATTTGAGCTAAAAATTGAATCAATAACTTTTTTACAATTAATAATATATTAATAATAGCTATTTTAAAAAGCAAACACCTTTGTTATAAGAATTTTACTTATTTAAAGATTATAAAAGAAATTTATATAAAAATTCAATCATTAATATAATTTAAATATAAGTGTTACTTTAATCGTGAATCAAATAATCATAAAGACTTAACTATATATTTTACCATACACTCTAAATGTTTATTTATATGCAATTTTTACCATAAATAAGATAGTAAATTCATAATTAAATCAACTAATTTTCAAAAAAATAATAGTATCTTTAAATACATAATCTATTGCAGCCTTAAAAATAATTCTTTGAAATGATATCACAAAAAATGTTATTATTTGTTAAAAATACTATTTAATTTTAACCTATTTTGAAAATGTTTACACCAAAATCTATACAAAAATAAATTTTTCAAAATAGACAAAATTTAATTTAAAAATTCCACCTAATTATTATCAATTTTTGATAAGTATCAAATGGTATTTGCTTTTGTTTAATTTTGTAAGCATAAAATAAATGCTTAAAAATAATTTGACTCTAAATAAAAATTATGTTACATTTTATTATTTTTTCAATATAATTCTCCTATTATTTAATTAGTAATAAAATTGATATTACATTCTAAGATACAAATTGTATTTAGGATTATTCTGTAAAGTTTTGATAAAAAAATTAATAAAAGTAATTATTCAAAAACTTTGCAAAAATATAAAATTAAGCAAAGAATACTTACTTATATAATGATAATTCAATAATAATCTTTTATATATATTGCTTTATTAGCACTTTTTAAAGCAGTTATAGTAGCGCAGAGTGTTAAATATGATGATTCTGATTTAAGTACTCAAATTTTAGTTATTAATTCATCTATGTTTGCAGCAAGCCATGCTTATCCTAATAACACTTATTACTTAAGCAGTAATCAATTAAATATAAAAACAATCTTTTTTATAGAAATACTTTTTATCAAACAATCTAAGTATATTCCTTAAGTGATCCAACAATCATTAAAGCCTACTAAATAGATTCAATTTGCACTAATCTTACAAGTATAGACTAATTAGTAATTTGTTTGAAAGATATATTTTAATATTATATATCCTTTCAAATAAATATAGCAAGGCACATTTGTAATGCTTACTTAAACTGCGCTCTACTATTTAGATTATAAACAAAATCCTTTATCTTTTTCTAACAAATATATTTTTTCTAAATAAGTTACCTCAGTTAATACTGCTGAAGGAACAAAAGTAAAATTATTTATTCATTAGAATTATTTAAAAATGATTTAATCAAATATATTTAAGGTTATTTTGGGATATGAAGATGGAGCTATTGAAAGTATTACAATTTTTAATCAATAAATATTTGATATTATTAATTAATTAAAAGTTATTGATTTTTTTGATAATACATTTCATTGGTAGCTTAATGGCTGTACTGATCAAACTTTTTCTGTGAGTTATATTCTAGTATAATTAGTTTAATAATTTTTAAATATTCTAACTTCTTATTATTTTATAGTAGGATAACAATATAGTAGGGCTTTGTAAAAATATTCTTATAAGTAAGTTTAAATTTGAAAAAGTTTGAATTATAAACATTTACTTTTAGGTTGGGATAAAACGGTATTTAGTATATCTGGAACTTCTAAAATTTTCTCACCATAAACTACATTTGGTGTGGCCTTAAAAGATGGAGATATTAATTTTCTATTTTCATTTGGAGTAAAATTTTTATTTAAATATAATAATTTTATAAATCGATTATAGATAGGAGTAAATAGAAGATTTATGGTAGGAATAATTTCTAATTCTATATAAGCCTACTAACTAAACTCTAATGCATTTTCTGTAGATAGTTCTATCACCTCAGTTTCACTTTCATCTTAAGCTTAAATTACTTATTTTAGATAATAGTAAAATTTGATATACTGGAAAACAACTATTAATATAAAATGTAATATTAAATTATTCTTTTCAATTTTACTTTTCAATTTTATTTAATTTAGTGTATAGATACAAACAATTAACTAAGTCTGATACTTTGACATCAGTTGTCAAATGCGCTCCTATGATTTCTAGCATATTTTCAGTAAATCAATATCTTGCTATTCTTTATTTGTCAAATAGATTTTATAGTTTAAATGACTAAACGATTAACAAAATTCTAAAATAAATTATTAATTAAAAATGTTAATTTTAAAAAATAACTAAAAAAATAAACATTTTTAAATTATTTTCTTAAACATTAATCAGTAAAAATAATATAACCATAAAATAATAAATATATTTATTTATTAGGATAGTTTAGACTTTATAGTCAATTGTAATAATGTAAGTAATAAGAATTAATATTCTATTTAAAGTAAGTTATTTCTATTAAATAAAAACATAAAGTTCAAATATAATTAAAGAAATTAGTTTCGTACCCTTAATTTGCAATCCAGGATGTACATCATGTTAAGATACTGGACCACCATATAAATGTAAAGAATGTGATACAACAAATAATTTCATGCTAAATGCTAGTGGAGATTGTGTATGTATAAATAATTATTATTTAGATACATTAAAAGGTTAATGTATCAGTTGTCCTATTTAATGTAACGGATGTTAAATTTCTAATGGATAGATAGAGTGTTTAGCATGCTCTAATAGTATAGATCCATCTAGCAAGAGGTTAGATTACACATAAAGCAAATTATGTTCATGCTAGGATAGATTTTATGATGATGGTACTTTGATTTGCAAATCTTGTGATGCGACTTGCCTTACTTGCTTAAATAATCAAAATAATTCTTGTAAATCTTGCGACTCAATTAATGACCATAGGCTACTAAATATTCCAAATCAAACTTGTGATTGTTAAGCTAACTATTATGAAAATAACTCTAAACAATGTATTTAATGCAGTGCAAATTAATATTTTGATTCAACAAGTAAAGCTTGTATTAATTGTCCTATTTAATGCAATGGATGCTAAATTTAAAGTGGATAGCTGAAATGCTTAGCATGTAATAGCAGTATAACATTAACTGATAATAGATATACTTTATCTTAAGACTAATTGTGCTCTTGCTAAGATAGATTTTACGATGATGGTACATTAACTTGCAAACCTTGTCATATTACTTGCTTAACCTGCACAGATGAAAAAATAAACTCTTGTAAATCTTGTGACTTAAATACTGATCATAGAGAATTAAATGTTACGAATAAAACATGTGACTGCTCAAAAACTTACTAAGAGAATAGTTAAATAACATAATAGTGCGTTTAATGTAATAATAATTAATATTTTGACTCAAAAAGTAATACTTGTATTAATTGTCCGATTTAATGCAATGGATGCTAAATTTCAAGTGGATAACTGAAATGCTTAGCATGTAATAGCAGTATTACTTCAATTAATAATAGATATACTTTTACTTAAGACTAATTGTGCTCTTGCTTGGATGGATTTTATGATGATCATACATTAATATGTAAACCTTGTCATCCTACTTGCTTAACCTGCACAGATGAAAAAATAAACTCTTGTAAATCATGTGACTTAAATACTGGCCATAGGGAGCTTGATAATTCTAATAAAACTTGTAACTGTGTAGCTCAATTTACAGAAAACTCTTAATAAAAGTGTGTGTCTTGTCATCTAACTTGTTTAACTTGTAAAGGAATATCAGCCTAATAGTGTTTAACATGTGATTCAAATAAATATAGAAAACCTGATATAAATAATAGCTGCAAGTGTATGGATGGATTTTATGAAGATAACTCATATAACTGCAAACCATGCCATGTTACTTGCTAAACATGTAGTGGAGGATCAGAAAATGACTGTCTTACTTGTAACGCTAGTAATAATCGAGTTATAAGTTAAACTAAATGTTTATGCAGTCCAGGTTATACAGAAAATACTTCAATTACTAGCTCGTGTTAATAATGTCATTATTCTTGTTTAACTTGTTATGGACCAAGTAACAATTAATGTAATTTGTGTGATATTTAAAAAAAAAGATAACTTCAAAATGGAATTTGCAATTGTATTTAAGGTTACTACGATAAAGGAGTAGCATAATGTGATACATGTAATTTGACATGTGAATCTTGCATTGGAGGAAATACAATATCTAATTGTTTATCTTGTAGTTAAAGTAACTTTAGGCATTTATCTAATTCTTAGTGTGTCTGTAATAAAGGGTTTGTAGAGTACAAATATTAGCAATAAAGTTGTTAATGTGATACTAATTAAAACAGGATACTTAATAATAAGGGTTAATGTGTCTGTTAAGATGGCTATTATGAAGATAGCACTTAAAATTGCGTTAAATGCCACTACAGCTGCTAAACTTGCTTTGGAGGATCGAGCAATTAATGTTTAACTTGCGAGAATAAATATCAAAGGTTTTTGATCAATAATGTCTGTAGTTGCATAGATAATTACTATGAAAACGGAGTGAGCTAATGTTAAATATGTAGTAATCCAAAATGCAAAATATGCGATAAGACTACTTAAGAATGTTTAGGGTGTTTCGATTCGTAAAATAGATATTTAGACAAACAAGGAATGTGTTAATGCAAAAGTGGCTACAAAGAAGATTAAAATAATTATTCAAACGTTTGTCTATTAAAATGTATTGAAAATTGTGAAACTTGTATGCCTGACAAAATTTAATCATGTTTACAATGCAAGCAATATTTTAGCTTTAATTAAAATACTTCTAAGTGCTCTCGAGATATGATTCCTTCTGGCATTCCAGACAGCAAAGTTTAAGATGTTTCTAAATACTCTGGTATAAGTTCATACATTTCTATAGCAGTTTCTACTACAAGCTCAATAGCATTGTCCTTTGTTTCTTAGAATAATATGATATTCAAAATCTTATTTACGCTTTAAAAAATTAATTTTCTATTATTGATTAATTTTCCTTTTCCTTAAATTTTATACTAATTTCTAAAATCTATAAGTGGAACAACTCCAATAGCATTATTAAACAAAATAAATATTTTCCCATACTTCTTAAATGAAAACGAAGAATAGTATTCTGGACCTCTTTAAGACGGTAAATTTAAATTAGAGTAAATCAAGACCAGCATAATTAATAATGCAGGTGGAATGATACCTGTTTTATTTGTCTACCTATTACTTCTGCTTATATCTATTATTGCATTTAAAAAGTAGAGATAAAAAGACATAGAGTTCTAAAATCTCTATAAAGGTTTATGCCTACCTATCGATGCTTATATTCAGTAAAATAAGCAAGGAACTTTTATAAAGCTTCTAAACAAATTAATAGGTTTGTTAACTCTATAAATCCATGAATTTCTTAGCATAGTTTTTGTTTTTTCTATAACTTTGCAAATATTATCCTATGCATATAATGCAATAGATAGTGATATTGCCATGGTTATTTTAAAATCGATCTTTTTTTGCTTTGTATTCATTTACTCAATTGGATCATTTTCATTCTATGCACATTTCATCAATAAGTTTTTCCTTTAAAAATAAAGAGAAGAAGTTTCATCATACAAGACATTAATAGAAATGAATCATAGCATTTTAATAAATCCAAGCTCAAAAAAAGATTAAGAAAAATTAAAATCTGAAATAGATCTTGCGTTACCTGATATTATCTTTTAAAGTTACCTTTAAGATTACATAAAACTTCTATTTTTTACAAGAAATTTTATATTTATAAATGATTTTGTAGAATTGATAATTATCCCACTTTGTATAATTGCTCCTTTTTAAAACTGCTTCTTCTAAATAATACTATGCCTCATTTTCTAGTCTCTTCTAAGTCTTTTTGTTTTAATAAGAAGACCAAGTAAGTTAAACCTAAATAATATTGAGCTTTTTCTGTAAAATTTGATTTGGGTTATAATTTTTATTTGTTATCTAATACTGGCTTACTAAATAGAGTATAAAATAGATTTAAACAACCTTAATACTAACGATTAATAAAATTTAAATATTATCAGTGTAATTATTATGGTATTATGCTTAGTTCAAATATTTATAATACCATTCTTTATAATTGCAAGTCTCGTACTGTAATTTCCAAAAATAATATAAAAGATAAAGTAAAAAATGAAAAAACAAGATAAGGAATCAGAAGATCTTTTAGATTAAAAAGAATCTAATATGAATATTTTACCTAATTAAAGTAAGAGCTTGTTAGAGTCGATTGTTTACTATAAACCAAGCTAAACTCTAAGTAAATCTGTAATTTAAATGACTGCATTCAAAATTCATAAAAATAAAATATTATAAGCTAAAAATATCACTTCTGATAATTAAAAAGACCCTTAAATATTTAAATCACAAAAAACATTTAAGTAGGCTAAAACTTTATTAAATACTTAAACTGATAATAAATGATTTTTTTTTTTTTGAGCTTAATAAATTTTATTGTTTAAAATAATTTTGTATCAAATTTCATATTAATTGTTACTTTTAGTAATTTTCAAATTTTAATTAACTTTATAATCTTTAAATAATTAAAACATTTCCTTAACTTAATTTTATCAATTTAAATATTTAATTTATAATAGTTTTTTTTAATTTAAAAAAGTTAAAATAGAATAAATTTTTTTGTGGTAATTATTAAAAATTATAAATTAAAAAATCATATTTTTATTTATTAAAGGTTAAACTATTTGGAGTTTTTTATTTTGATGAGTTTAATTTTTTTCAAATTATGAAATATGAAATTGCAAATAATTAATTAATTTAGTATCTGATTATAAAATTATTTAACTAATAATTTTAATTTTTATTTTTAATTCATTTAAGTTTTGTATAAAAAAAATATTTTTTGCTAATTTTTACAATTGAATAGTATTTTTTAATATTCATCAAAAGGGATTCTAAGTTTATTTGAAATTTGTTAAATTTGTTTTTTCTTTTGTGTTCATAATATTATGATTTAATACCAATGAATATTATGCTGGTAAAGAGTGTAATTTAATTAATATTTAGGAATTCAAGCTTTTATAAAATATTCTATCAAAGAAACACCAATAAATAAATATCCATAATCAATTTTTTATTTATAAAAGAAAATTAAAAAAAGGAAAAAAGGTTAATAATTTATAAAGATTACTTATCAAATGAAATCATAGTTTTTTAAACTTTCTTTAATAACTTTTAGCATTTTAAATATACTTAAATGCTAATTATATGAAAATGGTTTGCCTAGCAGTGGTAAAGTTTTAGTAGTTAATTCATAAAACTTTGTAGCATGTTTCAAATCAGACGATAACTATTTAAATTGTATTTAGATTTTGTAAGATTTTGTAAAATCATGTTTTTAGTCTTTTTTTAGTATACTCAATAGCAGAAGAAGGAAAAAGATTAGATTCCTAAAAGATTGATGGAGAGTGCCTATTCCTAGAAAATATGGATTATGAAGTAACTTGTATTAAACTATGCATGCATCTTTTAAAAAAATAATTTTTAAAAATTCTAAAGTAAGGGGTCTTCGCAGTATTAATAAAATCTCCGAGTTCATAAAAATTATTTAAAGCTTAAGCTATTAACAACAAGATTAATATTGATAATATAAATATATTTACCTTACAGGATATAACTTCTCTTAATAGAGCAGATAACACTAAAGTAATATCAATATTTTAAAAATATAAAAATAATTTTTATAAATTATAAAAAAAGATAATAATAGGGGATGTAAAAGGGACTATTTTAAGTAAGTAATTTTAAAATAAATAAATAAATAAAATCAAGTTTTTTTGCATTTCATAAGTGAAAGATTTTTAAGATACATCTTACAGTGCCTAATTTAATGGATGCGATAAATAAGTATACTCAGTTAGTTATATTGAAGTAATTTTTACTATTAAATTTATATGAATTATAATAAAAAAATTTCTAATAGAATAGCTCTATTGTATTTGGATTATGTGACAAAGTCCTATATTGTAAACAAATAAATTGATTATAAAGTATTTATTAAATATGTTTAAATTAGAATGGGATAGAAGCCTTCCAAAAAGCCCACCATTTATTTATAATTAACAAAAAAATGTTGGAATTCCAGTGTAAGGTTCAATTTCAGCTAATAGATATCTATTTTCGTTCATGGTAAATTACATTATCTTTTAATAAAAATATTATATTTATTATTTGTTATAAAGATTGGTTCAGACAGATATTTGTACGTGAAGTGCTATATTAAATAATTTGAAATATATACTTTTAAAGGAGACTTTTAGAAGTAAAGTCCTTTAGTAGTTTAAACATAAAGTTGCTAGAGCTTTAAATCTTACGGTAATATGTTGTTTTGCTTGACACCAAGTAATATAAAATGTAAGCTTAATAATATTAAAATCGATTTTTAGAAAAATTTATTCAATAAATAAAGCATTTTAAATACTGAACAGCAACAAAATTTAGCCAGATACCTAGACTTAAAGTAAAAAGTGTACTCCGAAAGATTTTTCTTTAGTTTAAGTAAAATTAATTTTTTTAAATATTTTTTAAAAAAAGATGAATAATAATTATTTTTTTTTGATATAAAAATAACATTTGTTAAAAATAAAGCATATTTATTTATATGAGCAAATAAATTATGATTAAAATATACATAAAAGTTTTGGCAGTATTTTTGCTTTTCTAAATATTTTAAGTGAAATAAGTTAAAGAAACTATTTAAATACCTAGTTATTATATTCAAATTATTAAATTAATTCTTTTAAATAATTGTTTTATTTTATATATTTGATAATATTTTATTTATGAATTTATAAAATTCTACAATTTAAATTAAATTATTATTTAAACAATTTTAAAAGGAATCTATTGATGGAATTTTATTTTGCTAAGATTAAAGTACTGTTTAGTTTAATATTTAAAGTAATAATTAATTTTGATATTAGTATATTTTATTTTTAGCTCCATAATTATAATAGAAATAAACTATTTACCTATAAGTTGCAGTATCTAATGTCAGGAATGCATGGGCTCTAATTAGTTTGGCTGTAGTTCATGCAATAAAGCTTTAAATTTTGTTCTGAGTAATAGTTAGTGCGTTTGTGATAAGGACTATTATTTAGATAAAATTTAAAATAGTTGTGTTTCATGTAATGATCATGTCTCTTAATCTTGTAATAATAGTTGCCACCCTACATGCTAAAATTGCAGTGGTAATTTAGAGAACTAATGTACAAAGTGTGATGAATCAAAAAATAGAATTCTAGATAATGGCTATTGTAGGTGTAAAGATGGATTTTACAAAGATGCTTCTAATAATTGCTCTGAATGTAATAAGTAGTGTAAAACTTGCCAAGGTTCAAGTGAGAATGATTGCTTGAGCTGCTAGGATAACACAAATAGGGAAATTAACAATAATTAATGCCTCTGTAAGGCTGGATATATTGAAAATAGTCCTAAAACGGAATCATGTAAAATATTATGCCATCCATCTTGTTTAACTTGCAATGGAAATGGTGATAATTAATGCACTTCATGTGATTCGAGTAAAAATAGGGTTCTATCTAAGAGTAATACCTGCATATGTAATGATGGATTTTTTTAAGATTCAAATGGAGATTGTGTCAAATGTAATATTAAATGTAAGACTTGCACAGGAAGTTCTGAAACTGATTGTTAAACTTGTGATGTAGATAAGAATAGAATTATAATAGGTAATTAATGCAACTGCAAAGATGGATTTATAGAAAATAACCCTATCTCAGATTCTTGCAAATAAAATTGCCACTATTCTTGTTCGACATGTAATGGGATGAGATCAGATTAGTGTCTTGATTGCAAAAAAAACAGTTTTAGAACTTTAAATAAAAATATTTGTGAGTGTGATGTAGGATATTATGAGGCTGGAACAGAAATATGTAATATTTGTGATATAACATGTGAAACTTGCTCAAGTGGGGATTCTAATTCTTGTAATTCATGTGTAGAAAGTAATTTTAGGAAAAAAAATGGAACTTCATGTGATTGTATAGAAGGGTATACTGAATATAGCCCAAAATAAAAATCCTGCTAAAAATGTCATTATTCATGTTTAAGATGTAATGGATCTGATCAAAATAGTTGCATAAGCTGTGATAATTAAAATAATAGAGTCTTGAATAGTTAAATGTGTAATTGTAAGCAAGGGTATTATAATATTGATAATAATCCTATTTGTGGATCTTGTGACAAGACTTGTTTTACTTGTAATGGAGGTAATCCTAATTAGTGCTTATCTTGTGATGATAAATAAAATAGAGAACTTGATAAAAATGGCAGTTGTAAATGTAAAGAAGGTTATATTTAAGATAGCTCAGGAAATTGTGTAATATGCCATATTACTTGTAAAACTTGTACAGGTATCAGAGATGATGAATGTCTTTCATGCTAAGAAAGCAATTAAAGGAAATTAGACAACAAAAGCAACAAATGTGTATGCAAGTAAGATTATTTTGAAAATAATCCTATTTTAGCTTCTTGTTCATAATGCCATTATTCTTGTGAAACATGTCAAAATACTTAAATTAATGTTTGTACTAAATGTGGAGATAATTCAAATAGATAGCTAATTAATGGAAAATGTGAATGTTTAGATGGTTACTATGATGATGGAACAATTTAATGCTAACCATGCACAAACAAGAATTGTAAAAGGTGTGATAAAGCCAGTTAAAGGTGTTTAGTATGCTATGATGACTAAAATAGAGAAGTCGATGGATCAGGTAATTGTATTTGCAAGAAAGGATATAAAGAAAATGAGATCAGTACTAAATCTAATTGTGTATTATCATGTAGTAAAAACTGTTTGACATGTGAGTCTTCAAATCCAAATTCATGCTTAACATGTGATTAGCAAAAATAATTTATTCTAGACTCTTAAAAGAAAAGCTGCATTTGCTCACCATATCATTATTTAAATTAATCAGCATTATTATGTAAACCATGTATAGAAAAATGCATCAAGTGTAGTTCATCAAATCCTTTAATGTGCGATTAATGTGAAGAATTCTATAAGTTTAATGAAAGTAGTAAAAAGTGTGAAAGAAGCTAGGTTCCTTCTGACTTTTCAGAGAGCACAACATAAAAAATATCTTAGGCATCTTAAGCTGCATCTTATATAGCTATAGGGGCATCTGCTGGATGCTCAATTGCGATGTCAATAGTATAGCCTAATGCAAACTTTTTGTAGTAATTTCTATCAATCTAAAAAATAAATTTCCTAATGCTTATAAACTTACCAATTCCTGATATCCTTTATCAATTTTGCAAATCTATTAGTGGTACAAATCCTCTATATTTGCTTAATAGTATTAACTTTTTTCCAAGTCTATTAAATGAGATAGAAGAATAGTATTTAGGCACATTACAAAATAGCAAATTTCAATAAGAAAAAATAAAAACAAGCATAATTGAAAATATTGGAGGAATTTTAATTGTTTTAGTTGTAACTAACTTATTTTTTGTATTTGCCATTATGCTTAACTTGAAAAGGAAATAGCAAGTAAAAAATTTATAAGCATCCCTCATTAAAAGCTCATCGATTAAATAAATAATTATAAGTAATGATGCTAAACAATCATAAAAATAGCCAAGCACTTTTGAAAATGTATACAATAAAATTGTTACAATAATAACCATTTAAGTTCATGAATTGCTGGCAGTTGTCATAACTTTCTCTCTAACATTATAAATATTTTCTTTTGCTAACAAAGGTATGGATTACTCTTTAGTGATACTTGCAGTAAAGGGAATTTTTCTGACAATAATATTATTTTATTTCTTAGCTAGCTTCTTTTTTTTCATTAGATTTGTGAATAACTATTATCAATAAAAGAGTAGTCAAAATTTATTATCTCCATTAACATAAAAAGAGCTAAAACTCGAATTCAAAGACAAATTTGATAATAAAAATGACCCTAAATTCTAAATGTAAAATCCTGATCTTTCAGATATATTCTTTTAGTGTTACATAGATGATTACATTAAAAATTTAATTATCACAAGAAATTTTAAATTCATTTAAATAGCCATTGAAAATATGGTTATTCCTTTATGCATTATAGTTCCATTCTAAAATAGTTTAATTTAGGTTTTGCTATGTTTGGGTTTTTAAGTGCTGAATTTTTTACTGATAATATGGATTAGACCCTTTAAGCAGATTCTAAATAATATACAAATCTTGCTGTTAAATTTTGCATGGATAGCTATATTTGTTTTATATTTTACATTGGTATACTATATAAAATTCAATATGGACTTAGATAATATGACTTAAGGCAATATTGATATTCTTACAAAGATAAGTACTGGTATTATGATTTGCTGTATACTTCTTTTATTCATCCCTATGATTTTTGCAATAATAAAGCTAATAAAAGAACTACCTAGCTTGATTAAAATCATAAAATAAAAGTTAAAAATAGATAAAGAAAGTAAGAAACAGTAACAACTTGACTCTATAATGTCTAATTAAAATTTAATAAATGAAAATAATTAAAGTAATATGCCGAATTTAGCTATTTTTAAAACGCATAAGATACCTTCTTATATTAAAGAAACCTAAATATAGATGGTACAAATTAATGAAAAAGATGAAAAGAGAGAAAAAAAAATATTTGTATTAAAAAGAAAATAATAAAAACTGAAAAAAACTGTAAATATTTACAAATTAACTATACTAAATTCTTAACAAGACTTAGACACAAATAGAGAAATCAATGCTGAAACAGAATAAAACCAAATATTTTGTTATTCTAAGCTCAATAGACTAAAAAAGCAAAGAACAAACATAAATCATTCAAAATTCTTGGATTGAATTTAAATGTAATTAAATTCATTATATTTAGTTTAAATTCAATATATTTTAAAATAAAAAAATAAATTATCATTTTAATAAAAATTTAACAAATAAATGATTAATAATAACAAATAAGAATATATAAATATGAACATAATAAATATGCATAGTAGTAAATATATGTAATATATATAGATAGATAGTTGTGATTAATTTTATTAATTATTTTAGATCTCAATATACTTCTCAAAAGAGAATGAAATTTATGAAGTATATATATATATATTTAAATTTATTATTTATTTGATATTGGAGGATAAGTATTTTCATTTTTCTAGTTTTATAAGAATAAAGATTATTTCTAGAATTGTTTCTATCTAACAGATAAAAAATTATTATTATTTAGAAGGAATTTTTTGATCTCCCTATTTCTTCTCTATTATTTTTGTAGGCTTTAGCAGAAGAATTTAAGTGCAGATCTTTGAAATTTTATTCTGTGTTATTATTAAATCAATTGACGGAAATTTATATCTTCTTTTAGGCTGATGAAAGATTTCTAGGGGTACCTAGCTGTGCTTTCTTATTTCTTATTTTGACCATTTTATCATTCATATCATTAATTAAGTTCGTTATCAAATTTAAGCTTTTGCTGAAACCAAGCTATGTGATTTTCAGATTGCTAATATTATTATCATACATACTAATTTTATCTTTAATTATTTTATGTTGTAATCTTCTCTTTTCTTCGCTATATCTTTCTGTCTTGAGAGTAGTAAAGCTAGTTAGCTTTCTTCCTCTTTGTTGATTTTTTTAATCTGCTTAGAAAATATCAGATTCATCTTTTTTTCCACTACTGTTATTGCTGGATGAATCTTTTTCAGAAATGGAATTATTAACATTATTATTTGAGTTCTTTTGCTAATCACTATCATTACCACCAACTTATTACTAACATTTAGACTCATTTAAAGTCTTTATATAAATCTTAGACAATTATTCAACTTGTTACTAATTAAATGAATAGGTTTAATTCTAAGCACAAGTTCTAACCCTTTTGATTTATCTTTATTTGTATTAGTGATTTTCAATTTCTTCGCCTTCAGTAACTTTTAAAATAAAATATTAGTTTAAAAACTGATCAAATATTTTAGTTAATATTTATATGTCAAAATATATTCTTCTATGAATAATTTTAAAATTTCAATTAATTCAAGAAGCAATTAATTTGTAAAATTACCATTTTTAGTGGCTGGTTCTTATTATTTATTATTGCACATTGTATTTTAAGACGCACTATGAGATGACGTTGATGATGTTGATGCATTTGAGTTATTACTATAATATTAATGCATATTTCTGCTTGAGAAGTTTGAAAGATTTTTATTATTCTCTTAATTATCAATTAGCATTTAATGCTTCATTTATTAGGCAAACAATTCACTTTCTGTATCTATATTTCAAAATATTATTTAATAAATGCTAAAATTATAATTTTAAAAAGCTTAAAATAGAAAGACATACAAAATGAATACATTTTTAATTAAATATCACAAATCTGATAATAAATATTATAAAAAATACCTCTAATTTACTGCTTAAGTCTTTCTATATTTTCGATGTCACGTTGATGGTTATTTTTATTTTCTTCAAGCTCTGTTTAAAGCAAAGCTAATTCTTCCAATATTGAATCAATTTTCTATTCTAAGTCACTGTTCAAAGTTTCCAAAGCTCTTTCAGGTTAAAAAAATAACTTTAATTAATTTGATATGAATTTTTTCATAATTTTACTATTTTAAAAGGCGATTAAAAAACGCCTTATGTAAAATGACTATCAAATTAATTTATATAAATATAGGTTTTTATTAAGTTACCTGTTTTATGATTCTAAATACTCAACTTCATTTTCAAGCTGCACTAGCTTTATTTTATCTTTTTTGTGGTTTTCCTATAATTATTCGTACTTTTATTTAAGATTATCCACCTCACGCTCAAGCTACCTTATAAATTTATCAGATTCAGCCTTTTTTATAACAAAATATATTATCTCAAAGTCTAAATATTTTCTCAATATTAATTTTAGGCTAAAATCCTTCTTAAACCATAACAAGAAATGCAACATTCAAAATAATTCAAATAGCATTTGTTATGGAAAGCTTCATTCAATCTCATAAATAAAAATGTATCATTGTTAATTCCAAGTATTACCTTATTCTAAGATAGCTTAGATTTTAAGTCGCTAACTTCTTTATCTTTTTTTTCTAAAGACTCCATCATATTAGTGATTTCTTTTTCAAGATATTCCTCAATCTCTGAAGACTTTGCTAATATATTAAAAAATAATTAGAGCTACACTGTAAAAGATTTTAATATCTATTTAAGTTTTTATGGCTATTTAATGCTTTAAAGATAGTTAATCCATCAATTCTATTTGAAATTGAATAAATTTTTTACTCTTGTATTCATCATATTCTTCCTATAGTTAAATTCTAAAATCTTTCTCTTATTCGTAAAGTATTTGATAATTTGTCATTTATATTTGTGGCTGCCTATTATTGGTTTTGCTTTTAAGATAGGATATATTTTACCTTTGTTTAAAATTTATTGTATTCTCACAGATTTGTATTTATTAATTATGTAATTAAATTCTTTTGTTAGCTAGTTATTTTAAATCAGACAAATTTTTCTTAATTACCTCTCATAAAGGTAAGCGCAGTGAAATTTCAATTTCTTTAAAATTTTTCATAAAATTAATCATAGGATTCATTTAAATAGTGTGGATAAATACTATCAAACTGTTTGAAAAAATAGAAAGAAAAATTAAGATAGATTTATAACATTATCAGCCACTTAATATCAATATTTAACAAATATTTTTTTTCTAAAATTATCATTATTAAATGAATGAAAATTAAATCTTTATGTCATTTTGAGCTATCAGAATATCAAAAACTGCTAAGGTAACCTGTATTTTGTAATATTATGCAGAAAAACCTCAATAATTTACCTTTATTTAGAATTTGAGAATTTTGATTAGAATGTCAAGCAATCAATATTCTTTTATTATTTTTTATCAATCTATTAAGAAAAATTTTTCTGATAAAAAATTTAGATAAAAAGAATACATACATATATACATTTAACTATTCATAAAGTGGCACATTCATCAGTACTAATTCCAATATGACTTTCGTTAAAATTACAATTAAAAAAGTTAATTCAATTTTCAATGCGTACTGAGAACCATCAAAAATATAATATTTTAGTTCATAACGAAAATGCCAATGTTCATTTTACTAAAATTGCTTAAATAATAAATTTCTTACATTTAGTAGAATAAATTTTAATTAAATCTTAAACTTTCAATCATAGTAAATCTTTTTAATATTTTAAATAATAGGTTTTATAATAAAATTAATTTGATTTGCTAGATTGAATATTTTAAATTTAGAAACCTCCAAACAAGATTCACTAAAATAATAAATAATTAAACATATGATCCTAAAGTCCACATCACTTCTTGAATAATATTTTTGAAATAAATATCAGTATCAAAAATACAATTAAAAAATCTAATTGATATTTGCAATAAATTTTGAATATATTACAAAAGATATTTTTGAATTAAACAAAGTTTATTAAAAAGAAGAAAAGCATACAATAGTTAAGTTTTATATAAAAACAAATGGAATACGAAATTTATACATTTATTAACTTTGCTGGTGTAGCAATTGTTGGTCTAATTATGCTTTACCACTTCATTGGTAAAATATATTTTAATTTAGTTTTATTTTTTGATAGAGTTATATATGATTGGTTAATTGAAATAACAATTTTTATAATAATGAATATTAATAAAAATTAGGTGTTAAAGAAGAAACACATGAAAAAAGTGCTGTTAAATCAAAGTGAAACAAATTAAGCTATGGTTTTGAAAAATTAAAATATTATTATTTATGATATTTAAGATATTAGGGATATTATATTAATTTAAAAGTGGAGTGTATATATAATAATTGTAATATTTTATTTTTGGAAATGATTAATATTGCTGATATCTTAAAAAAATAAAAATATCATAGAATTAAAAATACATTTTTATGTTAAACAATATAATAGTAAATTATTTTAATTTTACTGATGTCTTGAATATCTTCATTTTTTAAGATATTGCTTTTACTTAAAAGTTTAGTTTATATAATATTTAATAATCAACTATTTATATCTATTAAGTATCAATTAATATAGCTATATCTTTTTTAATCACAAGTGTTTACTTTTAATAAGATAGTTTTTTAATATTTGATTTTATTTGAAATTTAAGATAAATTAAAAAAATATTCTAAAAAATAGTAAAAATAATTTTGAATTTATTAAACCAATTTATCTCAAAATTATCATTTTATAGCAAATAAAATTTTTATTTTTAAAATGAAATTAATAAAAAATCACAAATTATTATTTTTATTTTACAAACTTTCAATCAGCTTAGACATTATGAGAAAAATTAAAAAATCTGAACATGAATATATTCTAAAATAATATCCTTGCTGAATTTCTTAATTTTAAGTAAGATTAAGGTTTTGTTTATTTCTAAACTTTTTTGATTCTAATTAAATAAAATTTTAATTTTTTAATGAACAAAAATTGCATTCTATGATGGCATAGAATATCATTATGTAATATAAACAATTTAAATTTTTTGATACTAAACACATATATAATAAATAAAGAAATGAGTAATAAAAGATGTTGTAGTTAATTATAGGCATTTTTAAGGAAAATTTTAATTATTTTTATAAACCATTTGGTTAGATTTGATGTTTGCTAATTTTTAAAAGTTTTTTCTTTTAAAATTAATTTTTATATAATTAAAATTGATTTTATTAAATTTTAAATATTTTTTAATTTATTTACTTTAAAATATTCATGTACCATATCTATGGAGCATCAAAAAGAGAGGAAGATGGCTTAGAATGTATTTTGTTTCTAGAGAAAAAGTAGAATCTAGTAAGAAAATTCTCATCTCTCTTGTAGCAGGGAACCCCTCTTTTTAAGCTATTTCTAACTCTCCTACTTTATCTTGAAGAATATTTTTTATTAAATAAATTTCGTTTTCTTTATATCTATGCTGGGTTTCCTCTACAGTAAATAAAACCTCTTTTGCAGGGCTAATTACATTATATAAAATATTTGGTGTACATAGTCTTTTTGGAGTTGGATCCTTGATAAAAGATGCTACTAAATCAGAGTTATTATTAAATATATTCAATACAACTTGATGTGTGTCCAGTTCAAATGAATACTATTTTTTTGAGAAAACACTTAGCCATCCTTAGTGCTTGTTTAGCCAGGGAAATATACACAAATAAGTATATCCTAAGAACCTTTCAGGTGAAAAATTAAACTCTCCAATCTAAAGCTTGCTATATGGGTCTTTAAAAACAAGTTTTCTTTATTATTTCATAAAGCCTATTTTCTCATAAGTATGAACAATATCAATTGCCTTCAACTAATCTAAATAAGTTGAGTCCCTAGTCAAAAAATTTATAGAGTTATCTATGGCTCTGAGCAGTCTAAGCAAAGCCTAAAGCTACAATTAAGTATTATCCAAAGAATATGGTTACTTTTATATGTTCTCTTCATATTCATAATTCTCCTTATGCCTTTGTTTTTTAAAATTATTTTAATTATTAAAAATTCATTATAAATATAAAATTAAATTACTTAAATATTAAGTAGGCTTCTTCTAGGAAATCAATAGATTTAAATTTATCTTCTGTGTTTGGAATATCTAAATGAGCTGCAGCGAGATTTATTAAATCAACTGCTATTAAGGGATGCTTTAGTCCTTTTTATTTCAGATTTATGTCTAAAGATTTTTCCAAATACTGAATACCAAAGTCAATTTATCCTATAGAAATCCATGTCATAGCCATGTTTTAAAAATCAATCGACTTTAACTAATTCTGTTCATTTTTAAGAATGGCTTTCTTTATTTTATTAACCCATTTCATTTACTGCTTAGCTTCTTTAAAATACTAGAGATCTCTAAGAATTGTGAAAATTAAGTAAACTGATTGTAATAGATCGGGATGATGAGATGGTAGTATTTTATCAAAAATATTTAATGATTACTCTGCTAATGCTAATGAATCAACTAATCTTTTAAGACTTTTCTGATTATTTGCAGCAAGCATTTTACAATGACCTAACCTTAGCATATTATCTTTGTTCACAGAAATTGGCAATTAAATACACTTTAAGCAATAGTCTAAAGAGGAATTAAAATTTCCTAGCTTATTATGTACTATTGCTACAACATACGTTGCTTAAAATAGCTCTTGCTATGGGTTTACATATTTTTCACTTTCTCTGTTTTTATTGAAGTAATTATATTAAATTATTTAGTCATCTTGTTTTTTTTGATTTGATGAATTTGATTATGGCTATAAAATAATCGGTCTATTTTAGTTAAAAAGATTTTATTCTTCTTAAAGAAGTTTACAGGCTTTGAGGGCAGTTATCAATCCTTAATCGAATTACTTTAAATGATATTAGCAATAAGCCTTTTACATAAGGCATTCACCTATGAAATAATCTGTTTAATTGTGTAAATCTGCCATAGATCTTAGACAATCATTAAATTAAAATAATGCATCTTTAAATGAGTTCTCATTTGCCATAAACATACCAACTTTGTACATGAAATATGCATGTAATTTAGTATCTAAGGAATACATTGGATATGAACTCTTATCCATACTTCCTAATGTAAAAATATTAGAATTAATAGACTAAATAGATTGTTTCTCTGCATTCTCGTATTCTTTTATTTAAAATAATGCATACGAATAATTTAACCTCTATCTATTTATGAGCAAAAGGCTACCATGCTACATTGATTTTAGTTTTTATAAAATCCACTCATATAGCTAGATTTTAGATATTCCTTGAGTGTCAAACTTGCAATTATTGATTAATTTTACTGCGAATAAAGCTGGATAAATTATTTTGTAATTCTTTCCATCAAACGCAGAGTGTCTTGTTAAGATTGAGTCACTCACATATCTAAGAGATCTTTTTGCTTCTGATAAATCTGAAATATGAATACAACATTTAGCTTTAATAACTAATGCGAACAAATATAATGGAGAGGCTGTTTCTATACCTTCGCGATCTTCAATTTAATGTAAAATTTAATCAATGATATCAATAAGAACTTTTTTGTTTTAAATCGCTTTCACATTTAGGGCTGCACTAACATAGTTCAATTTACCTATACATTGCAATTCCTCTAAATAGTAATTTTATTATATTTATACATAGTAACGTTGTTGATTGTTATAGTGATTTTGCTCTCTTTTTAAATAATCTTCCTTTTAATCAATATTATTAATTGAATCTTGCTTAGTCATCTTTTCATTTTGTTTTTAATTCTAATCAATTTATTCATTTTATTTTAAATATTATGAAGATTTATTTAATAAAATTGAATTTTCAAACTGATGATTAATAGAGTTTTCATGAAGCATAGAATTTTACATTATATTAGAATTATCAACTAAACTACTTTGATTAAGAAGCTAGTTAACTTAGTTATTAGCTAAAGGTTAATGCATTAAGTCTTTTTCTTAAGATAAATATCCTCTAACATATTTTTAGTAAGCTTCTGCTTACTTAAAGGCTTATAAATGATCTCCTTATTGAGATAAAATAATAAATCTTAAATTCATGCATTTAGCAATCATTGGATGGTAAATATCTTAGCTAATATAACTTTCGTACTGTATCAAAATATTATTGATGATCACTAAACAGTCAGTGTAATTTTAAGTCATGTAAAGATAAATTAATACATATTTATAAAGATATTCGCTATTTAAGCTTATTCCATTAAACGTACTACATTAAATCAAATCTTTTATTTGATGCATTCCACTTTTGACTAAATTTTAGGAAAAATAAGCTTCTATCAGCTTTTCCTTGACATTCCTTAAAAGTCCATCTTATGCTGATCTTTTCTCTAATTAAATTTTTAAATTCTCCAATTTAGTAACAGCATCATAAAATCTATTGCACTCAATATATAATTTAGCTGTATACCATTCAATCATCTCATTAAATTATTTATATACTTAACTTGAATTGGGAGTAGAAATATTCTTAGCAAGTTCAATTAAAATTCTAACTCTTTCCAAATAACCAAATGCAAAACAGCAATCTAACTCATCAACCAAAGAATCTAATACTTCAATATTTCCAATATCTTTAACAACTTCTGAGGGAATGCTATTTTATTGGGTTTTATCTTAGAGTCCTTCATTTTCTTTTTTTATATTTTTATTATAATCATTTAATTTGCTGTTTTTTTAGTTCTCTGGGGAATCTATATAGCTTATTGATGGCTCTTGTAGGAATAAACTGCAAGCCTACAAACTAGAATAATTTTTCTTAGATTCTATTAGCTTAAACAAAGATTGCTATTTGTCATCAACAAAAAAAAGAGGCTACTAATTTTCCTCAAAATCTTTTAAAGACCTCTTTAAATCTTTGAAAGTATACTAAGTACTTTCTTTATAGTTCATTGCTTATTCGTTGAGTTGTGATTATTTGTTTGTTTTGATGTTTTGCAAGTCTTGCTAAAATTTAACCACTAAAATTTCCCTTAAAATTTAAGAAACTCTTGGATATTTTTCTTTAATATAATCTATTAGCTCATCAAACTCAACAGAAAAATCTTCTATTTACTCAAAATTGTCTTTTCTTCTTGATAAATTACTTTATTGTTGCTATTACTATTATCTTTTCCTCATTCTTCTCTCTTTCCAACCTTTTATTATATAACATGTATTTTAATCTGCTGCATTAGAAGTTAAATTCGATATCAGTATCTCAAGAACAGTTAATGCCATAGAATAATTATTAGCCTATTCTACATCTTTTTCTGTAATCTCTAATCCACTGTTTCTTTTGTATGATATTCTTGGATCTAAAAAAATTTTAGTGCATAAAGTACCAAAGTAAAAGAGTGAACATCTTTCCCCATGTAGTTGCTTAGTACCTCCTGTACAAAGCATGCCTGTAGCAGTTTGATAAGAATTAGCTAATTTAAATCCAAATTATCCTTTTTTAATATTATATATTATAATATTTTCTGGCTTTATATCCTGATAAAAATATTTTTGTTTTCTCAAATAAATTAAATTTTAAGTGATGGAGTACATCATAAATAATATCTCTCTTTCAGACCATTAAACTCCATTTCTTTTTTTTTATTGATTTAACTCTGTTACAGGGCACATACCATTATAGAATGTTAATTATAATCTTTAAGGATCATGATTAATCAGTAAATTTTCATATTCTTAATTTCTTTAAACTTCAAATATTCTTAGTTGCTTTTTAAAGTCGTGAGATGAGTATTTTGCATCAACGTTAAATTTTTACAAAACAACTTCTTCTAGTCTCTAAGTATCAAAAAATTTCCATTAAATGACACAATCATCTCTTCCTTACTTGCTTAAATATACAAATTTATCTCTTGCTTGAAACCCCTCCAACATACCTAAAGTAGAAGATGCTCGATCAAATATATTCTTGAAAATGCATACCTCAGGCCAAAAGCTAGTAAAACGAACGCTTCTCCTAATATGTTTATCCATTTCTCTTTCTATTCTCTCATTTATTTTGAATTAATTATTAGCCATAAGCTCTTCTTAATCCTAAAAAACATAATCAAGATTTTTTTCCTCAATCATTTTTATGTTATCAGCAAGTTCTGCTTTTAAGTTAGAATTAATCAATAAATTTTTTAGGATATCATGGTAATAGCTGCGCTTATCTCTCAAATAGTTTACCATAACAGATTCTGGATTTTGCTCAGCACTCATAACCATTTTGTAAAAAGGTTTAATAGTTCTTGAAAGGAAATATTCTTTATTGCAAACTTAACTTGCTAATGGAATCTCTCTTTAAGAAACAATTTAAGATTGTCCCATCGATTTCAATCCTAAATGCAATTCTTAATTAAGTTTTTGCTAACTATTCATAAAAGTAAAAGATGAAAGGACATTTTAATCTGCTTGTTTATTAAGCAAAGAAGCATTTTCATTGTATTTCATTCCTTGAACTGTTAATGTTAAGTACTTATTTGCTAAGTTTGTTTCCTTTCACTTGTTTAACGAACTTAATTCTTTTGATTTACGTATGGTCCTAGTACTACTATAAAAGCTATTAAATTGTTAATAAGTGCTTTGATTATCTTATATTTTTAAGCGGTTTTCAATAAATGATAAGCAACTTATTTAATTAAATAAATAGATTGTATTTTTTTTACTTTTTACTTTTTATTATTACCCATAGATTATTGATTTGATAAATTTGATAAGTGTCAGTTTAACTTAAAAAATAAATGTGAGATTAATATTAATTAATACACAAAGAAATTAATAATTATTATAATATTGAAAATAATATATCCTAAATAAATTTATTAAATCGAATCAATTTTTCTAAAGAAATTACTCATAACCATCTCTATTTGTTTAAAAATATCATATATTTAATATAATTACTCCTCATCTTAAATAGCAACCACTATCTTACAAAAAGCTCTTCTATATATCGTTTTAAACTCTTTTTTATAAGTGTAAACAGCTTTTATTTTATGATTAAAATTTGATATTTATCCTACCACAAATATTATTTCATAAAAAATAATTTAAAAATTATTTTAATTTTAGTGAAATTAAATCTATTTTTTTACATTAAAATTTTAAAAAAATAATTTAAGTGGAGAGTAAGTAATTTATCTGTAATTAAATTCAAAATTTATTGAAATAAAACACTGATATAAATTTGCTAAATATTTAACAGAAAAATTTTCATTAAAATTTAATTTAAATTTAGAGAATGAATAAACAATAAAATTAAAATAAAATACACTTTTTAAAGTAGATTTTGTTGTTAAATTTTTTAATTAAATTGTTTTTTAATTAATTAATCATATTTATATACTTTAAATCTAAGATTTACATTAATTCTATATCAATTTATTCAATATTATTATTTTTTTAATTATTTTCAAAATTTATTTGTTTCATCTACTTTGTTTATTTATTTATTCATTGTAATTTTTAAATGTGTCTTAGTCTCCTTTAATGATTAAATTCTTTGACCCTTTTAGATCTATCTTATCTATCAGCTTGCATAAGGATTTTACTAGAATCCATTTAATCTTTTACAGTGTTAAAACGATAATCTTTTACGAATTGGTTTGCATTTGCATTATCTCTAATTTATTCAACCTGCTTCATTTGTAGGATTACTTTGCCTATTTCTTCATCAGGAAAATCATGCTGTTACAAAATTTCATAATAGAAGTCAATATTTTTTATTTGTCCAATTTCTTTCTTTTTCATTTCATGAATTTATTTATTTCCATTCTTAATTTCCTCATCTACATGACAGCAGCTTAATATTAGATTTTGCATACCTTTAATTACAGTTTATTTTTGGCTAAGCATTTTTTTTCTTTCGGAAAGCTATTTATCCCACTTAAATTTTAAGTTTTAATCTATATCATTAATTTCTATTTGTATTACTTAAAGTAATTATGAATAAAATAAATAGAGAACATCTGTGCTTTCCTTCTTTCCATATTCTTCTTCTATAGCCTTTATTAACTAATTTGTAATATCAGGCAATTACTCTTTAAGTTTATGTGACTCTTCTTATAAAATTTAATTCTATAACATTGGACTGTTAAAATTATTATTTGATACACTTCTATGCCTAGACTAAAAGCTTTTGTTGAGAAAATCTGATAAATTCAGAGTATTTTAATTTTATTTATTGTCTGAATATTAAAGGTGCTTGGGGTTTTTTTATGAAGGAGATACTTCTGAGTTTAATCTGATTCTATTCTAGGGCGAATTTGAAGGACTAGTTTTCATAATATTTTAACTTAAAGAGAATTGAGTTTGTTAAGTATTTCCTGTTTTGTGTTTTTCAAGAGGATCTCTTCTGATAAGCTATATTTCATTGATTTAGTCTTTAATTTCAAATTAAGATTAGATATTAAATGTGTCTTTTTGTTTATTTAGGTCTTCGTGTAAGTTGATAGAACACTGAGATTTAAGCTATTTTTAGTTAGCATTGTTGTAATTTATACTTTTTAATTTTTCTTGGGATGCAGATGTTTATAAAAGATTTACACTTCCCCTCTTACTTTCGTTATTTTTTAATCCAATAATATATGTTTCATCTTTTTCATCATCATCTTCTTCTTTAATGAGGTTTCTACTTTAATTTTGCTAATTTTAAGTTCCAATTGTAAAATCCTAGAAGCTACTTCTTCCAACCATTTACTATTTAGATAATCTAGCTTTGTTTGAGCTAGAAAAGACTCCTTTATTCAGAAGTGATGACTAAAAAACATTTTATTTTTCTTACTCTTGTAAATTAAATACACTTTAGCCAAACTAAAATGGGCTATTTTCATTAACCTATAGCTAACTCATTCTTTGAACTTTTTTTAATCTATTTATTTTTCTCTCAATTTATTATGCTAAACGATTACCTTTTTTATCAGAGACACTTCTTAAACTAGGGCTTGCAGGTGCAAAAGTGCTATTAAGCCCTATGGAAGGAGGTGGCGATAATGATATATCTTTTTTTTATAGCTTTTGGTTTTGATTTTACCCAAGTCCCTTGTTAAACCCCTTAACTATTTTTTTTTCTGGTAAAGATCTTTCATTTTTTAATTAAGGAAATTTTGTTCTATTATCTGTTTAAGTATTGCCGACATTTTCTTTGATGGGAGAAAGAGAGAAATCAGCATCTAAATATTTTTCTTTTTAATTTGAAACTTTTTTTTCTTAGTTTTTTTTACTGTTTTAATTTAAGTAAGGTTGATTCTGTCTTTTGATAAGCTAAACAAGGATTGATTTACTGATATCAGTTTTTTCTTAATTTAAAGGTGATTGAGAGTCATTTTTTTGAGAAAAGCATTAAATTTCCTTCGAATTAAATGAAGGAAAGTTGTCAAATTATTAAGATTCTCTTATTTACTCCTTATTCAAACTTTGCCTTTGAATAGACCTTTCTTCCATTAATTGTGATTAATTAATTAAAACAGAAGTAGCATTAATAGTTGATATATCATGCTGGCTTTGTTCAGTATTTATATTTTTCTTATCTTGTGAAGTAGCCTTTTTGTTCTAATTTGGGTCTTGCTGAATTGTAAAAGAAAATGATTTTGAAGATCTTTTGGGAAGAAAGTTATGATTTTTTTTATAGTTAAAGTAGCTGTCTACTCTATTGCATCTATTCATAATTTCATCTTAATAATTTTTAATTTCAACTTTATTTTATTAACTCATTTACTTTAGACTGTTTATACTCCCTTTTGCATGAATTAAAGAGCTGTAATTTTGAATTTATTCTTTTAATATTTTTTCTTTCATAATTTTTAGCTAATCATTCATAGAAGAGAGCTTTCTGTTATAATACTCAGAGACGCTTGATTATGATCTTACAGCTCTATTATAAATTAAATTGTCTAATTATTATTCTTTCAGTATCTAAGAGTTTTTCTTTTTTTTTAATGGATCTTAGTATATCTTTTTTTAAATAAATTTAATTGTTAATTCAAATTGAAATATTATAAGATTAATTTACATCATCTTTTTAAATGTTTGTCATCCATTTACCGTAATTAGTTTTTTCATAAACTCTTCCAACATCTGCTAAACTTACATCCTTATCCTGTAAGAATTGTTAAAGTGCACTTTGCTTACCATTAAATGATAAATTACTTTTATTTGTTTATACTTTTGAGTAAATATCGCTCTAATTTTTATTATTTAGTTTTTATGTTTATCTGTTTTAAAGATATTGCTTAACAAGATTGCTTCTATTATAAATAGTTTATCTTAAATTAGTGAGATCTTTAGTTTACTCTTCCGATTCAGAGATTGGCTAATCGGAAGATGACGAAGAGGAACTATTTAGAGAGCATGTATCACTTAGTTGTTTATCTGATTAATTAAACCGGTTCATAATTAATCAATAAATTGATTTAATATTATTAATTAAGCAATTACTAACAATATTTTATTATCAATAACTTGATGTTAAATTAAAGCCTTAATAAAATTTTATAATTAAAAAAAGTTGGCTAACAAATTTCAAGATACAAAAAAATAGTAAAAGTTTATAAATATCATAAAATTTATTAGTGGTTTTAAACCATTTAAATATTTAATTATAAATTATTTCATAATTTTTTTCAACAAAAAAGGAAAAGAAATTTATAAAAAGCATTATTTTCTTTTTCTGAATTTTGCCTCAATTTAAATTGCTTGAAAACCTACAAAAACATATAAAATATAATTGAAATGCATCAAGCAATAAAGCAAAAAATATAATTATTTTTATCCTATAAATTATATTTTTAAACCTAGCTTACATTTGTTTTGTTTTGAAAATTAATTATTGCAATAAAAACTCTATTTTTTTCAATTTTCTAGAGATTATGCAATAAAATCTTTTCTTTTAATTGTTAAATTAAAAAAATTCAATCAGCCCAACATCTTGTATTGAATATAAAGGTTAATCAGAGGAGAGATAATCCAATATTTGAATGATTTTTTGAAAAGAGGATGATTTCTAAACCTATTTTAGTTAAAATTGTAAGTTAAATTTAAGATTGAGAAAATAAATAATACTTGAACAAGTAGAAGCAATAGACAGCTATAATTAAGAAAATTATGAATTTTTTTATTTTGCTTCCTTATTTTTTAGATTCTAATCCACATTTCAATTTAGTGATCAAACCTATTATTACAATAAAATTAATACTAAACTACTTTTGTTATAAATTACCTAAAGGTTTAGCTCTATCAGCCCTTTTTAAAATCCAATCTTTTACTGTTTCAATTAATTCATCACATTCTTCATCATGTTACATTTCATGATAACCGTTTTCAAACAATTTAAGTGTCTTATCCTTACTATTAATTTTCAAGAATATTTAATTATTTATTTTTTTGTAAAATTTATATTTTTCTGCTTCTGCTTTTAATGAAAAAAATTGGAAATAATCTGAAAGGAATTTTAATTTTGAAAATATTTTTTATATTTTTCAATAAATTATAAAGAATTTTTTTTAATTAAATAACTTTAATTATAAATTAATATTTTATTACCTAGAACATTTGTTATAGAATGCAATAGAATCATAGTGATTAGTAACCATATCTTTTTGACCATGAATGACTAAACAGGGGAAGGAGAATTTAAAAGCGTTTGGAAGAACGTATTCTGTGCCTTCAAGAATGCTCTTGGCCATATTCATTCTGGATTTTAAAAAATAAAATTTAGTATTTAGAAAAATTGAATTGATTTGAATGTCAAACAAATTTTATTAATTTATCTTAGTACAATCTTAAATCATATGCTATAATTAAATTATAATTTTACCCTAAGAAAGGAATCATAAGACGATCACCAAAGCACTTTTTAATATATTCATTGTTCTTAGTTAAAGCTGTTGGGTGAATCATAGAATTAATAACTATATCTTCTAACTTCTTACCAAGAGCCTTTACTAAGTAAGCCTTAAAAAAGTTCATCTTTCTGTCTTTAGGGAAACCAATTAATGCACTAGTAGTTATGACACCTGCTATATTTAATACAGGATTTCTCATTGCCAAAGTAATCACAAGCAAACCTCCCATTGAATGTCCATATAAATATAATGGCAAGTCTTTGTTAGCCTATTTTAAAAGAACTTAAATATCTTAGTGAAGTTCTTCAATAGTTGAAGCACCACGAGGTCCACCAGAGTAACTTTTGATATTATTAAAATAATTTAAGCATGAGGTAGTTTATTTCTTAATTTCTTAATATATCTAAAAATTTATTGTAAAATAATAAAAATAAATTTAACAAAATAAATACCCAAATCCTCTAAGATCCATGAGTTAAACGACGCATCCAGCCTTAGCAAGCTAATCAGCAATCTAATTTAACATAAATAAATAAGCATTTTAGAAATAAGAGTTCAAATCTAATAAAATGTTTCATAGTGAAGCTTCAAAAAATTAGTATTGTTTAAATTCTATTGAAATTAAAAAAGTATTCACATGTAAGAAACGTCCAGAGTGCTCACCAAAACCGTGGATTATACAAACGGTTGCCTTCTTAACTGCAAAAGGCTCAAGCTTAGTATAGTATAAACGAAGTTGTTTGCCATTACCATTTATATATCCTCTAATAATAGTATAATCTTTACAAGTAAATTCTCCGATAAATTTTTCCCTATCTTCATCAAAAATAGAATTAATGTTATCGTGAAGCTTCTTTTAATGATCATTTCCTTCATCTATACCGTTTTCATTAACTCTCTTAAACTTCTTGGTGACATCCTTTATTTTTTTTTTAAGTAGTATTTTATAATAGTTTTATATGATATTGCTAGTTATTGGCTTTCAGCACGAAATATTGTTGATATTTTAATATTTCGTTCACAAAAAAAGACCATACTGAAATTCTAATGGTGATAAATCTAAAAAATTTACTTGGTCTTCAGATATTTCTAAATCTTACTTGGGATTACTCATTTTGTTTTATCTGATTGGTATATCTACTTTTTACTGATTTATATCAATATTTTATGAATGTATATTGTTAATTTTTCGTATCAAAAAAATTAAAATTTGATGATCTTATTATTTTAAATTAAATTTGGGAATCTTTATTTATTTATTAAATAATTTGCTTTTAAAAATACTTGATGACGATATTATTAATAGAAAGCTAATAAATATATAAATTAGACGTATTTGACGGATTGCATCATCTTGAATTAAACGCAATATTATCATTCATTAATCTTATTGGATTCATTGATAGATTGATTGTTTTAAAAATAATCTTATCTGGTTTGAAGGAGAAATAGCCTACAGGCAATAAATAAATAAATATCCTGCCCATCAAAACATGTAAAATTAGAACTTTTATAATACAAAAATATAATCTGTTGTTGAAAAAGAAGAATAGATATGTAAGATTTATATTTATCTTAACAAATTATATTTGATTCAAAATATCTAAATATTTTTCCACATGTAATCTTTCAAGTCCCACTTAAACATCGCTGTTATAGCTAGCTAAGTAGGATTTTCACTTTCTTTATATATACACTTTTAATTTATTATTCATTAATCTTTTGTTTCGAAGGCTTTAAAATAAGAGCTTCCTTGCAATTAATTACCAAACTTTAAATCATTAACATCCTTTTAATAAATAAATAAATTATTTAATTAAATTTATTAATTTAAATGAAGTTATTTACATCTTTTATCCTTAATCTCTTTATAGCTACAAGTTTCCTATTGTCGGCTATTGTTTTACTCTTGATAGCTGCATCTAAATCATTACTTTAAAGCAGAAGTTCTTTCTCCTTTTCAAATTTGCTAGTTGAAAGTTATAATTATGATTTCAATTTTTTCAAATAAATTTTTAAAACGTATTTTGTAATTTTAAAAAAATTCCATAATAAGAAGAAAAAGTAATAAATAGGGTTTGAATTTACTCTTAATTGAGAATTACTTTGGATTCCCGAGTCTAGAATTTATTCCTTTTGTAATTAAATTTGTTGTAAAGTAAGCTAGTTAGCTTTTAGACTCTATAAATAAACTCAAGTTTCTCGTTTTTATCTTTATCTGCTTTATTAAATTTAATTTACGTTACCAACAAATAAAAAAAGATATTTTGCTAAAGTTTTACTTTCTTTTTTTTCATCAACTACAGCATCTTAAATATTTGGTAGTGGCTAGGTCTACGTATAGCTTTTACTAATATTTAATAAACTGTTTTCATTTCTAATTTTTTCTTACTAGTATATTTTCTATTATCTCAATTTATCTTCATTATTTTTTTCAAACATTCTAAGCTACTCACCATATTCACTTAAGAAGAATCTAGTCTATGTAACTAGTTTGAGTAGCTCCTCGCAATTTTACTCATTAAGATGTTTAAATTCTCTTTATCTTGACATAATTCGATAAGCATCTATACATTCTTTTAAATAGTCAGCAACTTTATCGTATATTTAAATATTGTCTTCAAATACATAAGGTTCTTATTCTACAGTGTCTATTTCTGGCCTGTAATAAGGATATCTCTTATCGTATCTATTTATTTTTTTTATTTTCTAAATTTAGTTTATTTATAGTTAATTAATTATACCTTAAAGGTAATTTGATAAATTCAATCATAGAATTTCTAGTTTATAGAACTTAATGCTGCTGAGGTTTAGATGTGGTGTTAATTTTTCTATGGTTATTTTATAAAAATGAATCACTTCCTGTTTAAATACCTCCTCTGTATTTTGGTGAAGTAAAATTAATCATATCATTTTATTTTTTTATCTAATCTTCTTCCTACTCTTTATACTAGGTCATTTTTTTAAAGTACTCTTCACTCTTCCTCCTAAACTCTTCCAAAGGGCTCTCTCCAATACTAGGACATTCCGGATAATCTTTAAAATCTTTAATAAAAAAAATAAATAAAAAAAAAAATTTAAGTTTGCATAAATAGATAGTTCTTACCTTAAGTAACTATAATAGCTATCTTTTCTAGTAACCCTATCAACTACTCAAATTTAATATTTGTTATAATTTTAGTGGAGTAGCTTAGAGATGCAAAAACCTATTATTTATTTATTTAGATTAGAAATTAAATTCATTATTCATTTTTTAAAGAGTATTATTTAGATATAGGAGTTTTAAATTAGATAAAATATTAAAAACACAAAATTAAAAAATTACCTTTCTCATTTTATTCCTATCAATCAAGTAATTTTTAAAAGAAACAACTTTATCAGCTAATATTTTTAACACGTCTCTGACAACTATCCCTTACATAGCAGGCTCTAAATAAAATTTTAGTTTTTAACAAATTTTAATAGAATGTATTAAAGTTACCTCTAATAACAAACATTTCAAATTAAACTAATTTTAATCCCTCAAATAAAAATTATTTTTGCTCAACCTTTATTTTAAAATCTCTTATTCTTTAATATTGTGGTTCTCTATCTTCGTAATCTACGTTTTTAAAGTAAATATTTTTAAGGATATATATTTTTGGTATTTATTTACCTTTATGAGAATCTATTATCTTTTTAGTATGTATAGTACTAGGTTAATTCGAGTGAAAATTAGCAGAATCTTTAGATTGAGTATTTGCAATATAAGTATCTACAAGTAGTTAAGAATGTTGATTAATGTTTGGAAGATAAGATCTTTTAGATTCTGTTTATTAATTTTCATTTTAAGTTTCTGTAATTTGAGAAATAACATTTAAGTTATTTTCTTACTTTTTTTATTTACTCATCAAAATGCTACCTCTATTCCCTGGTTCTACACTTGTAAAAAATATATTATTATCTTTTTCTTACAGACTCCTTACATTCTATATCGAAATCGATAAACGATTTTTATCTATTATATCTAATTTAAACTTATTTATTGCTGCTTCTAACTTAAAAAATTACTATTCTAATCTGGTTGAATTTATTGCTAAGACTTTTGCTAATTATTTTTTGAATACTGCGATTCTGCAGGCTGTGAATTAAGAGTTAGATTTTATTCTATCTAAGGTTATTGATTTTTCACAGGTTTTATTGTTTATGATTAATACATTACAAACTTTCCTCCTTATTTTGCTTCTTAGGACTAACTATTTTTGTTATTATTATGCTTTGATTAGTTTTAATGTTCCTTTTGTCTCTTCTTTTCAACTTTTATCCATAATAACAAAAATTTATTATGTATACACTAATTTTATATTAATAGTCATTTTAAGTGAAAAATGTAATTCAGTAAATAGAATTAACATATTAAGACATTAAATATATTACTTTCCTCCCTTCTCGCTAGCTCTTCTGTTGATATGATTAAACTTTGCTATAATTCAAAACAAAATTAGAATTAATTCATCATATTTTTTAAATTATTTAAGGTACTCTTTTCATATTCTTTTCTTATTTTGTTTCAATATGATTCTATGCATTAATATCATTAGGTTACTATAGTTTAGAATTATTGGCTATAATTATAAAAATATTTAAAATATCATCTTCAAAAATTGTAGAGGAAAAATTTAACTTAAGTTAGAAGTACCTTTTTGTTTAATTTCAATTGTACTTGCTGAATTTATCGGAATTCTACTTTATGACATTAAATAAATGAAACTAATAAATTATTGAAAACTAATTTTGAATGAATAAATAAATAAATATACTTATCAAAATAATTGTTTATAACTCTGTAAAAAAAATCAGCGTAATTAATAAGAATTAATTATTCACTATTTTAAATGTTAGGATTTTTGTTGAATAACATCATTATGACATGCTTTTTTTAGAATTAAAAATGTTTAAATATATTAAATTAAACTCAAAGAAAATAATTGCTCTATTTTTAACCATATTAATTTTCAAAAAATGTTTATTGGAAATAATTTTAATGGAAAAAAAACAAAAATTTATATTAAGTAATTTATGCACATAAAAATTTTACTATTTTGTATTAAATTATTTTATAAAAATTTAATATAAATAAACATTCTTTTAAATTATATTTCATTTATATTTTTAAATAAATAAAATCTTAACATGACAAATAAAAAATAAATTAATTGATAGTTTTATAATTGTTAAAGAATAAGAGTAAATAAATTTAATAATTGATATAATTTGATATAATAATTATAAATTCCAAATAAATATTTCAATACAAAATATGTAATTCCAAAAACTTAATAATTCTCAATGCATCCAGAATTTATAATAATTAGAATTAAAATTAAATTTCATATGATTATATTTGAAATTATATTTTTTAATTTTAATTCAAATTTATCAGCGAAGAAATGGACCAAATTTTACTAATTTTAAACACTTTAAAGCATTGATTAATTTAATGTTACTTACAAATCTATTTTAAAAACATTATGATTTAGTTTATGCTATTTATTTAAATAGTTACCCAAAAAAAAGATAGCAACATAATAAATGTTAGCATTTAGAAATCTATTTTCCTAATTCTATTTTAGATTCGTCACTTACTTCATTTGCTCTTTTTTAATTTAAAATAACTTTAAGTTAAACTTTAACTTTATCATAATAATTACATTAAATTAACTTAAAAAGAAATAAGATTAGTGCATTAAACTATACAGTTGCCAAAATATTTCAAAGATTATTAATCTATTTAACAACGCCTATTTTAGATACATGATTAAAGGTAAAATTGATTTAAATATTTATTAACTTAATAATTCTTTTTATGATAAAAAATCTAAATTAAAAATCTATTTTATCAAGTTAAATTTAGAAATTCAAAAAATTAATAAATTACACCAATCTCAAACTAAAATTAGTTAAGCTCTTACTATTGGATATCCCTTTACATAAATATTACATTTCTTCTGCTCCAACTACATATCCACTTAGGTGGTTTTATTTATGTTTTTATATTAATTTTTTGCTAATAAGTTTACCTTATATCTAAATCAAATTATTTTAGAGATTAGGAATTTTCTAATCCTTCTCCAAATTCCTTTAGAGTAGCTTATGAGAATGCAATCGATGAACTTTATATAAAATATTATAAATATGGAATAAAAATTTAATTTTAATACTCGTTTAAACAAAGGTTAAATTTATTTAATCTCTTTAGCTTTGGCAAAGTTTCACCAAATTTGACAAGAAAACCATTCCCAATTTTAGTGCTACTATATTTTTATTAAAATATTTAAAAAAATTAATAAATACTCCCAATCGAAATTCATAAATTTATAGGATTTTATTATTTTGTTAATCTAATCAGAGATAGAAATTCAAAAAATTTTTAAGAAAGGTAGTTAGTTTATATTTTGGATATGGATCAATATTTATCATATATAAGGAAAAATAATATATTTCCCTTTATAAATTTATACAATTTATAAATGCTATTTTAGAATATTTATTATTTTTATATAATATATAATTGAAATATAAAATATGATGATAAAATAATTAAATTTAATATCTCATATAAACTTTAATTCTATTAATTATCAATAAATAAACTCAATTAGATATTATCTTATTATTTATAAAATAAAAAATGAAAATGAAAGTATTTTTAATTTTTTGTTACCCAAAATTTAAGACAAATGAGCTTAAATAAACAATTTAGCTTAGTTTATCTATAAAAGTTTTTGAGTACTTCTAAGTGATTTGGGTATGACTATTTATACAAAAATTAATAGATAAATTTAAGATATCTAATATTTTACAAGCAATCCAAGTTCAGTGATTTTAAATTTTAGCATTTGGCAATACCTTAGGTCAGCTTTATAAAACCTTCATCTCCAAGCTTACTTTCTCTTTTAAAATAATTTTTAAGTATATTTTATTACAAATAATTTACCTCAAATTAAGATTTAGTTCAGTAAGGCTTTAGCAATATGCTATTTAATCACCTAATAAAGTCATGCCAAGATCACTAAAATTATTTTTTACCAAAATAAGTACAAGTTTGCTCAGTTAAGAACTTTAGCTTAAAGCTTCTGCTAGTTTAGATAACATAAAATCACTAAACTAAAGTGATAACTTTAAATATAATAATTTAGGACAAGATATCTATATTTAAATATCCTAATCTCCTTGCTCATCTTAATTTTTAATATAACTAAAAATTTTTAAAATCTAAATAAAAAATATAAGAAAAACTGTATGTACTTCATCTCTATGTCTAAATTTTCTAAATTTTAACATTAATTAATGTATTCACAAAACTTGATAGCAGCTGAATTATTTATCTTATTAGAACTTTTTTATAAAAAGACATATTAATAATTATCTTAGATTTAATCAATTACTCAAAATTTAAACTTAAAGATTATAACTAAAGACATTTTGAAAGCCCTTAAACTAGATTTAAACTCCCTTTTACATCAATATTGTTATAGCTTTATTTAAAAAGAAAATGTATTTTCAAAAAAAATATTTAGTTGGTAAAAATATAAAAATTCCCTAAAAGATGATAAATATTACTTAAAATTTTTAGTTAAATAAATCTCAAAATAGTAATAGAATCATATTGTTAATAAAATTATTTACCTTAAATCAAGATTTAAAATTAAAAGTTGCTAACAAAAAGAAATACTTTCTCCAAGCCTTGAAGCACCTTCAGATGCTATATTAGCAGATCTTTATAAATATTAAATTTTAAAACAGCTTAAAGCAAGTATATTTATTTACTTTAAATTTAAACACAAAGTGGTAAGATTTTAGCACTAGCTTATTATTTTGCAAACATCAACAAAATTCTCATGATAAATTGTTTTCCCACTAGATTTAAATAGTTATACTTTTAAAATTTTACAATATTTGATCAAAGTAAATACCTTAGATTAAGAGTTATTATTTTTAATTCTTTTAAGTTTTGATTTCTTTTAAATAAATTTATTTTTAATTTGTTTTATATAAATTAAATTTTACTTTAAGTCCTCTATCTGAGGTATTTTAGAAGTATCGATAACCTAGGTTCTTTTAACTTGAAAAAATTTAATATATAAGTGGTCATATTTAATATGTTAATTATTACAAAAATTCATCATCATTTAGTCACTGCATTGGGTATTTTAACTCATTTAAATGAAAATTAAAAATTTTATTTTTTAATTATCAAATTTTTTTATATATTTTAAACCAAATAAATGTTTTAAAAGGAAATTGATTTTTCTACTTTTTCTACTTTTCTTATTTGATAGTTTTTTATTTTTTATTTTTGATAAAATCTTTAATTTTAATTAATAGGCGATTTCTAATTTTATTTCTTTTATATTGACAAGAAAATTAAAAAAATCAATTACCAGATTTTTATTTTTTAATTTTTTATTTATCTTATTACATGTTACAAAATTTTTTAATTACTATTTCAAGTTTGTACTTATTTTTATTTTTTACAAAATATTCCTGATTGCCTGATTACGAAGTGATTTACTGATGTCGTCTAAATAAATCCTTATACAATTTTTAAGGTTTAATATTATTATCAAGAATATTCAAAGAATTAAAAGTAGTGTTTAAGTAAAATTTTATTAACCTATCAAAAGATAGTCAGAAAAATGTATACTTATATCAACAAGCTTAAGATAAATAAGTTCTTGTCTTTATGTAAAAATAACTCATATAATTTTTGTATTAAGGGTAAGTCTATTGAAGAGATCAAGAAATATTGGGATGAAAATTCAGATAACTATCTTAGTTAAGATTCTGGTGCTAATGGATTTTACTATACATTAATTAATATGTTGAAAATAGAGAAGAGAATGAATATTTTGGAAGTAGGTGCTGGTGGAGGTTTTCTTTATAATCATTCCTTAAATAGAAAGCATCCCAATTCAAATTATTATGCAACTGATCTTTCAGATTCTATGCTAGGCATATTATGTAAAAGAATTGGAGTTGAATATAAGCCTAATTAGTTAATTACTATTCCAAATTACAATTTACACATAGAAAAAGCAAATGGTGAAAAATTACATTATAAAAATGAAATGTTTGACTGCTACATTGCTAATTTATGTTTGTAAATTACTACAAATCCTGAAAAAATGATTTAAGAAGCTAATAGAGTTTTATAACCAGGAGGATATGCTGGTTTTACAGTCTGGGGTGACAAGCAAAGGTCTAGATTTTTTACTTTAGTACCTTCTATACTTCATAGATAATTTGGCATAAAACTTCCAAAAGTTAGAAGCAACTTTCATTTAAATGATAAATAGAAGTTAATTAATATGCTTGAACAATTTGGATTCACTAATATTGTATGTTGGAATTAGTTTTAACCGTTTCCTTATGTAGACAAAGATGATATTCAAACATTATTCACTCATCCTATCGTTAAGGACTCTCTAGCTGAATGCGGAGATAAGAAAGAGGAAGTAAAATAAGCTTTGCTTGAAGCTTTTGAAAATATATTATTGCATGAAAGAGAGCCAGTAGGTTTAGACGGGTTGATGATTATAGCAAAAAAGAAATGAAATAAATTTCAAAGTAAATTTATAAATATGTCTTTGTATCTATTTATGTAATAATTATGTAATATTTGACTATTTTGGTATTCCAAATGGCATCACCAAATAAATTAAATAAATCCTGAAAAGATTTACTATCTGTTTTAATTAAATAGAAAGATTTTTATGAATCTGATTTACTTAGTAAGTTAAAAAATTAACAATTTTACTTCAAAATAAAAAATTAATTATCTTAAACAAACAAATTCAAATTTAACATTTTTTGAAGCAGAACAAAAATGGCTGAAGTAATTTATTAATATTGATTAATTTTCTTTTAATTAAAATAATTTTATTGTAAATTTTAGTAGTAACAAACTAATCCTATTAAGATTTCATCTATAGAAGAAGTTAAATAGTTTTGGGAAGATAACGCCCAATCTTACTTAAGCAAAGACTAAGCTCATAATGGTTTTTATTTTACACTTATAAATATGCTCAAGTTAGAAGAGAGAAAAAACATCCTAGAAGTTGGCGCAGGTGGTGGTTTTCTCTACAATCACTCATTACAAAGAAAGCACCCTGAAGCTAATTACTATGCTACTGATATATCTGATTCAATGCTTGATACACTATGCAAAAGAATGGGAGGATAATACACTCCAACTTAAACAACTTATATTCCAAACTATAAATTGCATATTTCGAATGCAAATGGTGAATAATTGCCATTCAAAGATGAAACATTTGATTGCTATATTTGCAATTTGTGCTTACAAATTACTACAAATCCTGATAAAATGTTATCTGAGGCTATTAGAGTGCTCTAAAAGGGAGGATACGCAGGTTTTACTGTTTGGGGAGACAAAGAAAAATCTAAGTTCTTTACCCTCTCCAGTAAAATTCTATCTGAATAATTTGGAATATAAGTTCCTTAAGTTAGAAACAGCTTCCATTTAAATGATAAAAATAAACTCATAAAATTGCTAGAAGATGCTGGGTTTACTAATATAATTTGTTGGAGCCAATTTTAACCTTTTCCATATATTGACGAGTAAGATATACAAGCCTTGTATACAATTCCTAGTATTAAAGATAGCTTAAAAAAGGCAGGAGACAAATAAGAAGAGTTCAAGCAAGCCATGATCAAAGAATTCCAGCAAATAATAATTTAAAATAGAGAACCCATTGGTTTAGATGGTTTGATGATAATAGCCAAAAAACCTTGACTAAATAATCTGAATAGGCTTTATTGTAATCTAAATTAAATGTATGTATGTATCTTAAAATCTAATTGTATCTTCAGCAATAGAACCAAATTAAATTTCACGTTAAATTTTCATTCGTTAATTTAGTTATTTCAAAGCAATTTATTAAATGAATTAAATAATAAAATTATTTTCAAATAAAACAAATTTAATATTTTTTTATTTTTTTAAATTATTATAAAAAATTTTTATTAATTGAAATAAATCTTATCTTTATATGAGTGTGGTTAAAATTTAATTTGCTTGCTTAGTTTATAAATAAAAAATAATTTTTGTATTTTCTAAAATAATTTAATTTTAAATAGAGTGAATATAAAATTTATAAATAAAATCTTTATTAAGGAGATAAGAATAAATTTAAATGATTTATTTATTTATTTGCTTAACATATCTTTTTTAATTCAATTAATTACTTGATTGTATTGATATAATTTATTTATTATTGATAAATTAATTACTTCTAAGTTAATAAATTAAAAATGATTAGGTTAGTTTCTAAAATAATTAAACATATTCCAAATAAAGTTTGTTATAAGGAAGCATTCAGCAGTAGCTTTACTCTTTTTAAATTTAGTACATCTGACTCTAATAAAAAAAAATAAAAGCAAGTTTATTATGAAGATATTATATAGGACCATAACTATAACAAAAAAATTATTGAATTAGAAAAAATGAATGAAAGCGAACAAATTTACTTTTTAGACACAATTGTCAAGAAATTTAACCCAGACCCTATCGAAATATGTGACTATGCAAATATTATTATAGATGGCTTAGTTGCTAAGTAAGATTACACTAATGCTTTGAAATGCTGTAATATGATAACATAATTCTTAAAAAGCAAAGTTTCTAAGCAAGATCTATATCTTTTTTCATTTTATTCTATTATGATTGATTGCTATCTAAAGTAATAAGAAATAAACAAAGCTCAAGAATGCATCAATGAAGCAGAAGAAATTTATAACTCAAATAAAGAGTTATTAGAAAAAGATATTTAAAACCACTTTAGCCATACTCATATGTTGTCATTAAGGTTTTCAGATATTGGATAAATAGAGAAAAGCGTTTATTATTCTTCTATATGCTTGTCAATAGAGGGAATAAGTATTTAGCATTTAGTTTTTCCAACATTACTTATAATAGATTCATTAGAGTCTTTAAATAAAAGCAACGAAGCTTTATAATTTGGTACTAATTTTCTTTCTAAAGTAACTTTTGAAGAAGTAGGATTTTCTTACGATGAAACATAGCTCGAGATTTTGAAGCAAATATTTGAAAGAGTTGCATCTATCTATATCAAACAAGAAAATCTATCAGATGCTTACTTCTATTAAGACATGCTCTTGTATTTAATATAAATTACAGAAAGTGAATCAAGTTACAAATATGAAGCAGTTTACAACTGGAGATAAGAAATATTATTTTAGCTAGCATTGTAGCATAAAGGAAATTTGAAACAATTATTTTTAAAATGTGAACTAGAAAAGTAGAAGAGAATTGGTGTCTTAAATAAAGAAATTGAGTAGCAAGCAGAAGAGAGAGCTACTAAACTGCAAAACTTAATTTAAGATTAGTATGCTAATTTAAGTTAAGTACTTTAAATTCATAAAGAAGTTTATGAAATCAGTGAAAAAAGATTTATAAATGAAAATCTTTTACCTGAAGTAGATTAATAAAATCTTTTAAATTTAGTTAAAAAGAGTATTGAACTAGAAGAAAAAGTATTAAACGTACCTATTATTGACTAATACTTTGTCAAAGAATGCTATTATAAAATTAAAACTAAATTATCTAAAGAAATATAAGAAAAAATAGAAAAGTAATTTAGCAAAAAAAAATGAATTGCTTGAAGCATTCATACTTATATACTTATGTATTTTCATTCATTAATTTATTTAATTATCATAGCTTATACTTAAATTATTAAAATTAATAAATTAAATTGTATCACTATCAATATATTTTAGCAAGATAAATTAATTAATTAAAATATTTACTTAGACTTAAAAAAATATAATTTCAAAAATATTTTCCATTTATTTATAAAAATATTTATTTATTTTAAAGATTTTAAACATATTAAATTAATTTTAAAAAAAATTAAAAATTATATTAAAATAAAATAGAAATAAAATCAACCCTCATTTTTAAGGTTTATTTTATTTTTTATTCCAATATTACTATTATTGAATAGGTATGGTAAAATAAAAAATTATTTTTAATGTATTTACTTTAGTAATAAGAAAGTATTTTATAATTTTTTATTAAAAAGTTTAAAAAGATAATAAGTATTTTTTAAAATAATTAAATTATTAATTTACTTATAATAATAATAATAAGATTAATTGCATCATTTTATTCTATTAGATAAATAGAATAAAAAGTGCTTTTATTATTTAAAATACATTTTAAACAACTATTTTAGGTATGAAGCTAAAGTGAGAATATTCATATTATCTATTTTCCGTTATCTTACTCAATTAGTCAATTATTTAATTTTAGTTAAAATTAGTTATCAAATGTTTTTTTTGTTTGTTAGTTTATAAATATATTTGAAAAACTCTATTTATTAGAGTATTAAGCACTAAATTGCGTAAATAATTTGAAATTTTTCGTTAAAATGATTAATGTTTTACAAATACATCATATGACATAATTATAATCTTAGCCAACTATTGTAAAAGAAAACTATCTTGAAAAGAAGAACTTATATAATTATATATAGCTAATAATTAATTATATTAATTAAATATATTATTGTTAAAAAAAATATTAATAAATTAATGATTTAAAAATTATTATCAAAAGTTAGAAGTAGAACCTAAAGAATAAAAAGCAAAAACTTTTTATAGCTTGAAAACAATTACTAAAGTTAACAAAAAGTTTAAACTAGGGAGGAAAAAGAATACTAGTAAGCTTTATATTAAAATAAAAGTATTATCAGAAGTTTTATTTTCGGAGAACCAGAATAGCTCACCTTACTAAGGAAGTGTGTTTAGTAGGATAGATGCCCAGAAAAAGTATTAGAGTATAGTGAGTAAGCTATATGGGAATTATACTGTAAGAAGGATTATTCTAATGTTATAAGTTGTGTAGAGGCAGTATTTCCTTATGTTGAAAGAGAGTTTTCAAAAGATAATATGAGTATTGGTCATATTTCTTTGATTATGGCTGAGTCATGCTTAATATAAGGAGATTATGTGAGAACAATATTGTATTTAAATGAAGCCGAGGATTCATTTTTTTTAAATGAAGAAGAACTATCAGAATATGAAACATTTATGAAATACTATTATTCTCTAAAAATAGGACAGCTTTATAACAAATTGAATATGATAGATAAGAGCTTTTTCTATGCAGTATTGTGTTTGAAAACAAAAAAGCTGTCTTTTCTGTAAAAGCTCCCTCCTTGTTAGCTGATTCTTAATTATTACGTCACTAAAAAGGATTTAAAAGAAGCAACTGATTTTGGTAATGCTATACTTAAATCGCTATCTTTCAATAATCTTTTACAAAAATGCAAACCCTAGGAGATTGAAAGTATGTGTGAAATCTACAAAATTATGATAGATTTAGAAAAAAATTAGCAGAGATAATATGTTTTGATAGATCAATTCCTTCTTCTACTCTCTATAATCAAATCTAATGACTAAAACCTAATAGAGATGTTAAATAAATAGAAACTAAAAATTTAAGAAGACTTAAATAATTATAAAGATCTGTTGAATGTCTTAGGGTTCTATGGTTAAAAAGCAAAGCTAGAAGCTTATCCAGAATAAAAGCAATAGCAAAAATGAAATTAAAGTTTAAAGCTTACCAATATGAATATTGATGAATACAAACAGTTCAATCCTTTATATTATTATTACTAAAAGAACATTTATATTTACTAACATATATTAATATATATATATATATATATTTATTACTACTTTATATTATAAAATTAATACTATCACTATAATAAAAATAATAATCAATCATATTTCATTTAATTATTAAGAATACTTAGATTTGTATCAAGCAAGCGCTTCTTTACATTTTAATTATATTTTTAATTGATGAAATATTTTTTCATCATATTTAATGTTTTTTTTAAATTCTTCCTTTATTTTATTTTATATTTTTAGTAAACAATCTGTTATAATTTTTTTTAAAAATAAAAAAGATACTCAATTTTGTTAATAAAATTATTTATTAATTCAAGAATTTAAAATTTAAATATTTTATTATTTTTATTAGATATCATATTTTTTAAATAAATAATTTAATTAAAATATAGATATTTATTTTTCTACTAACTTAAATTCTTCTATCACAAGATATTGAACTAGAAGAATAAGACAGCCAGATTAATATTTTTAAGATAGATGCATTTTTAACTATTTATGATAAGATGATCTTTTTTACTTAAAAGAATTTCTATTACAAATTTTTATTTTCAAGTATTTAACTTAGTTATTGAGTTATAATATTTTTCTATCTTTATAAAAACCTTAAAAATAATTAGAGAATAAAAAGAGAATCAAAATAGATACAATTAAAAATTATCTATCTTTCCTAATTTAAATAAATACTTTTGTGAAAAACTTAACTATTAGTTTTTTTACAAATTTATATTCAAGTAATTAAAGATAATTCATAATTACTTATTTAAATAATTATTTTATACATACGTCTAAATTTATTAACATATTAACTCTAGTGACATAATTTAAAAGTAATAGAACTATTTTTTTGAAATTTCTTATGTTCTAAAATATTTATCATATTTATTTTTTAAAAACACCAAAACAATTTTATTCTAATTTTAATTTATTATTACAATATACTCTATCACAAATAATAAAATCATAATTAATCATATATTTTTTATGCTTAATAAAATTTAAGTATTTTGCTTTAAAACTTTAAGTAACTTAAAAAGATCAAAATGATAGCATTATTTCTTTTATTTAAATAATTATCCGTTTAAATAAGTTAGTAAAATTTATCAAAGTAAAAATCTTTTCTATTATTAGGAAAAATCACCTGAATTCTAGCTTTTTGGTAGAATAGATAGAAAAAATTAAGAAATTTATTAATAGTAAACCAGTTTATTTTTTAAGTAAAGGCTTTTTATTTGAAACCTCATTGGATAAAATAATCCTCATATTTTTAAATTTAATGAAAAAAATGATGATATTTTTGAGTCATTTAGAAAAAATTTCCAGAAAAAATAACATAAAGCTGGATATTTAATTCTGACGAGCTAATAGAAATATTGCTTTGAATCAAAATGTCTTAAAAGTTCTCCAAACTGTTCATATATATTCAAATAGATAAAATCCTTCTTCTTAACTAAATATTTAAAATATCTTGTTTCTTATTTTATTTGGAATTTCTAATTCTTTTATATAAACGAGTACATTGATTTCTTCACACATCATTCATTCTATTGGATGCCAGAGCATGAAGAATTTTAAACAAAACTTAAAACTTAATATATTAGAAAACTCAGATAAGCATTTCAAATCTTACTTAGAATAATTAAGATATTAATTGATACTAATTTTTTTAAAAGTATTTATATAATTACTTAGAATACAACAAGCTAACAATAGTTTCAAGGAGTTTTTATTTTTGAATTAAAACACAAAAAATATGATGTTTTTTAAATTTCAGTTCAGAATTTTTATGGAGTTGACTGCATTCAAGGAGTTATAAAAGCCAATAAATAGATTAGTAAATTAATAAAAAAAGCATTTTTAATTTTCTATTTTTAATTTATCTTTACTTTTCTTTTATTTTTCGAGAATATATGTAATTTTCTATAAAATACAATAGAACATTCATAGAATCATTTATATATTTAGTAAGAAACTTGACAAAGAGTTCATTTATTAATATATAAAATATTAATTATTAAAAATCAGAAATTAATTAATTATCTTTCACTTATAAAAGTACTTTTTTAATTAAGATTCTCTAAATGTCTAAATAATCTTAAGAAAATTAACAAACTGATTTAGTGCTAGGCTATTGGCCATTTGCAGGAAGAAATATGCCAGTTATTTTTATGCTGGAAATACTAAATATCCCTTATTAAGTTAATATTTTTGACCAAAACACATGGTTTGGTAAAGAAAAAGAAGACCTCAATTTAGATTTCCCAAATCTACCATTCCTTATTGATAACTCTAATGGTATGAAGATTACTGAAATACATAACATCGTTAACTATATTCTCTATAAATATGAGAAAGGAAGAAATTTGTAGGACATTCATCGCTCAAGTCCTTACACCTAAAGTCGCAATAGAGTTAAGTTGTCAGCTGATCATTCATCATATAATCCTATCGACGACTTCAAGATTGATGAAATCAGATTTATTTTAAACGATGTCTTCACTCAAATATCTTCTGCTACTGCTAAGTTCCCCTAAGAAAACTAGATAAAATACGCTTAAGATACCATAGTACCAAAATTGAATAAATTAATTAAATTTATAGAACAAAAAAATTAAGCTACTACATCATATACTCAATACTTTGTTATGGGGTATTTAAGTGTTGTAGACTGTTACTTCTACATAATATCTAAGTACTTCTAGAAGTATTTCCCCTCACTTTATGATGATTACTCACATGTATTCGACTTGGTCCTTAATAGCTTTGAAAATATTCCTGAAATAAAAAAATACATCAATTCTGATAAATATCCAACTCTAGGGTGAAAATAAAAACTAACAAACTAACTAACTAAGCTAAATACATTAATCATATTAAAAAATGATTCATTCTCTATTTATACTTAAAAAATAACCAAATAACTCATTAGTACTCTAATTTATTCGTAATTTAACTTCTCTATTTATCTGCTGTACTCTATTATATTATATCAAAATAAATCATAAAAAAATAAATTTAATTTAATCTATATTATGCTTTAAATTTTTAATTACTCAATATTTTTTTAGATAGATATATCAGTCTAAAAATAAATTATTAAGTTTAAGAATGTAAGATTTAATATCCCCACCATAAAAATAATAGTGTCTCAAAATTATAAAATTATTTATCTATCTTTATAATTTATCTATTTAATAAATAAGATTTTTAGTGGCTATCTTTATTATTATTATTAATTAAGTAAAAGCTTTTATAACTAAATATATTTCCTTAAATAAATTTAATATTTAACTAAAACCTCTATTTAACAATGAAAGAAATCTGATTTCCATAAGTTTCAATAGATTTTAATTCTCTACTAAATTTGATTATGTTCATATATAACTTTTACATAATACATTTTCTATCTAAATATATTGGTTAAAACAAATAAGATATTTACAAGAATCTCCATTTAGTAAACAAGAATTCTTAATACTTAAAATTTTCAATAGATTAGACTTACTTCATTCAATTATTATTTGATTTGCTTATGTTCATATCTTAATTATTAAAATCTATCTTAATAGTTTATTTATTTAATAAATAAAATTTTGAGTGGCTATCCTGATTAACATTAAGTATAAAAGCTTCTATATCCAAATATATTGCCTGAAATAAATATTATGCTAAACAAAAACCTATTTTTAATAAAGAAATCCGATTTACAAAATTTTCAATAGATTAGTCATATTTCTATTCACAATTTTTTTTCATAATTTCATATTTTAATTCTTATATAGAAAATGCTAAATCTAAATTTATTATTTAAAGCAAATAAATACAAACAAAAACCTAATTTAACAAAAAAGGATTTCTATAATGCAAAGTTTTCAACTGATTAATCTTTTTTCAACTATCAATTTTATTTGCTTATCCTCTTATATTATTTTTTTATAAAGTACAGTACATGCTTTAATATTAAATATATTTGGTTAAACAAATTTAATATAAAACAAAAATCTCTCTCTCTTTTATATAAAGAAATAAATTAATCTTCTTTCAATTATATATTTGGTATATTTAAGTTTATCAAATATTAATTTGCGAAATTTATTTTAAAACTTATTCAGTGTTACTAATCAATTTTTATAAAATTAGGCAATATCTAATAATTTATTTTTTAAATTCATTTTAGCTAATTTTCAAAATAACTCATTATTTAACTGCATTATTTAAAATAAATATTTTTAAGAAAATATAAGAATTTTAACATATTTATAGGCAGATGAATATAATTTGAAAAAAATAATAATCTAATTTTAATTTATTTTTTAAAGATCTTACCATTAAATACCACAAATATTTTTCTTTTATATATTAAATCTGATTTACTAATGTAAACCATAATATTTTCTGACATAAAAATCATATTTTGCTAAACATAATACCTAATTTTCATTTGAAGTAAGAAGAGCTATAAAAAAAATTTTAAACCTCCAAAATTAAAAAAAATTGACATAAATTGAATATATAATGATAATAATAAATATAAAATTATATCAGTATAAATAAGAAATTAATAATTTGGCTTTTTTGAATTACATATTAACGTATGATAATCATCATTTCTTTTTTAACTAAATGGGTTTGGTTTCTCATTATTTTATAAGGGTAAATAGTATATAAGTATCATAGAACTCTCATTATTTTTAACTAATTATATTTAAATACTAAGAGAATTTATTTTATGTAAAAATAAATAAATTTTAACTGAATTGAAGATGTATAATTTGGGTTTTTAGTTGAAAAATGTCCAATATTTTTTTATTTATTTTTGAATCGAATAATTTGAGAGTCAGAAATCCTGAAAATTTACTACTTTTTCTTTCAATTACTTATAAAAGAATTAGCTTATGAGGAACATAATTATCCAGAAATATTATGATAAAAAAATAATAGAACAACCTTGCTTTAAAATTTTAAAAAACTTTTTAATAAACGAATAATTTATAAAGCTAAGATTAAGTGTAAATGATTTTTTAATAAGTTAAATTACTAAAACATATCAAAAAAGAAATAAAGAAATAATTATACAATTCAAATAATTAGCAATCTAAATAACTAGTAATCTAGTAATATCTCACTAAATTATCAAATTTACTCAATATGTGATGCAATTTTATCTAATCGCAAATTTTGGTGCGTTAAATTAAACTAGTTAGTTAGATAACTAAATAAAATAAATCTGATAATTAATTTATGTTTTTCTTATGATTTGCGCTATTTATATGCTACTGAGGCAAAGCGATAAGCAATCAAAATAAAAACAAAAAAACAAAATTATTAATTAGATAGTAGATTACAAAAAAAGGCAAATGTTCAGAAATATCTAAAAGTTTATAAAGAATCCTTACTTGAGAAAGAGCAGCTCAACTACAAGTTAACCTATACAAAGAGAATACTTCAATAGAAGCCATGCCGAATACACTTAAGCCTTAGATGATTGCAATGACCTCTTCAAAGAGGTATTTTTAGGTATTCCTAAGTAAGCTTTACTAATAGAAAACTGCGTGAAAGATAAGTTACCATCTAGAAAAATATTAGAGTATGGAGAGCAAGCTCTTTGGGATCTATATGCCAATAAAGATTTCTTAAACACTATAAGATGTGGGGAGATATTATTCCCCTATATTGAAGAAGATATTAGCCTTAATCACATGAGTGTAGGCTATCTTTCTTTACTTATGGCAGAGAGTTATATCAACTAGAATTTAAAAAAATAAGCTTTATAGTACCTCAAAAAAGTAGAAGATTGCTACTTTTAAAATATAGATGATTTAGAAGAAGAGCCTCTTCTTAATTATTAATACACTCTATAATTATCTGAGCTCTTCTACAAAATATAGAATCTCGATAAATCAATAATATATGCCACCCTTTGCTTATAAATTTAAGATTTAGAGTTTGAAAAAAAAATAACACCTTGTTTTCTCTTATGCTAACACTACTTAGAAAAAAACAATTAAAAAGAGGCGTTATCTTTTGGATTATCATTACTGAAAGAAGTAACTTTCAGCAACTTAATTAACTCATTTTCTCCTAAAGAAATAAATAGTTTATGTGAAATGTATTAAATGGTTATTGATTTATTATTTTAAGATGGCAAAGATATGTAAAAGGCTTTCGTCATCATTGAAGAGTATGAGCTTCTTTTGTAAATAATAAAATGTTAAGATCAATAAATACTGAAAAGTTTAAATAACAAAAAATAATAAATTAATAAATCATTAAAAAAGCAAGAAGATCTGTTGTTCGTGTTGGGGTATTATGGATAAAAACTTAAGCTAGAATAGCAATCCTTTGATGAGAGACATAATCTTAACAAATCAGATTGAAAACTTTTAAAAAAACTTATAAAAAACAAAAAAAAAATATTAAAAAAATCACATCTATTTCAAAATTAAAAAACACGATATTCCTATTTATAATAGAGCTTTATATATAATATCAATCATCTTAAGAAATTTAAATGTATTTTTTTTATAAAGTTATTTACTAACAAATAAATTTATAAATTACCTCCATTTTAAAAATAAAAACATTTTTTAAATAAAAATTCGGAATTTTTAAAATTGATCTGGGAAATAATAACATAAATATTCTAAAACATAATCTTTCATAAATTTATTTAAATAGTCAATGGATAATATATTAATAACAAAGAAGCATAGATAATATTTTAATAGTTTTATTTTTTAATTTTACTCTGCTATTAAACTACACTTTAAAATTAAACTGATTTATAAAAATACAATTTTCAATTTCGAATAAACTAAAAATGTATTTAAATGCGAATAAAATGGTATGTTTAATAATAATTAATTATAATGACTTGCTTTTTTATTTTTATCATTTCTCTTTTTTTAATTTTCTGAAATTTAAAATATAAAAATAAACATTTTAGTTAATTAAGTTTTCATAAATAAATACTCATAAAAATCGTTTGATAATATTGATATATTATTTAATAAAAATTCTTTTAAATTTATTTATTTTTAATGTAGAAATAACTTTAAGTCTAATACTGAAAACCCAAAGTCTCAAAACAATTTAAAACTTATGGTTTTAAACTATAAAATATTTAAGATATAAGTTTTTTTATCAGTTTAATTGATTATTCATTTGTAAATTCAAAGATTTTTCTAATTCTTATAGCTGCTTTGTAAATCCTTTATTTGGTCGTATTATATATCTTACATTTTTTACTTACTTAAATGCTTCATCATAACTTTTATTTTGCTTTCTCATTATATAAGAAATAACAATAGTTGCACTTCTTGAAACACCTGCAGCACAGTGCACAAACACTGTTTTACCTTCTTCAATAAAATTATATGTGCTTTCAAAGTGCTTTGAGATATCACAACCTATTGTATCTTCTACATTAATTTGCATATATGTAAAATCTTTTTCAAAATATCTCTTCATCCCACTACCTGCTATTAATATATGTGTTATATTTCTTTTGGTTAACTCCTCTTTAATGGTAGACGCATCTTCATTTCCTAAATATAATTTTCCACTAATTATTTCATCAATTTCAGGATGCTTTGAAAAAGTTATATATTATTTGATGGAGTTTTGCGAATTATTTTATTTATTTTTTTAGTTAAAATTATAGCAGTCTTCGCATATTGGAATATCTGATTTTAAGCTATTATCTGCTAAATTATCATAGCATTATAAGCACTCCTATAATTCAAACATCGCTACTAGACTTGCTTTCTATAGAAGCAGCTAACAATTTACTTTGTAAAAAAAAAACTTACAATTTCTCTAATTATTTCTATATAGAAATTTATTACTATGTATGAATTTGATTAAAGTATTTCTAAACAATAATTTAAGTATTATTTAATCTATTTACTTTTTCTGAAAAATTAATTATTTTAACCAATACAATTTGAAATCAATTTAATGAATTGTATTCTATTTTTTTTTAGAAAATTAAAAATTTTATGGTTGACGTACCTAAATTAATTTAATAAATGTGAATTATTTTATATACTAAAAAAAAATAAATTTTAAATACTTTCTATTAAATTTAATAAAAAAATTAAGATTTTATCCTATTTTAAGAACAAATACTGATTAATTTTATTTAAAATATGCATTAATTAAAATATACTGAAGATAAATAACGGAATAAAAATACTAATCAAGTAAAATAGTAATTAAATTTTAATTTCACATATAATAAAGCAGATTTAAAATGAAATAACAATTAAATTTTTTACTTTCCTAGTTATTTTAAGCTTTAATTGCTTCATAAAAGTGAGATATAAAAAGAGCAGATTCAAAATTTATGTTTGAGTGTTATTTAAAAAAAAAAAAACTTTAAAAAAATTTTATAATAGATAAACATTTAGTAAGGTTATAGCAAAAAATAATCTTAAAATAATGAATATTTAATGAAAATAATAATATGCTTACAAGAAATTGAAATAACTCAATTAAAAAAATTATTGGTAACCTACTCTTATAGCAGTAATATATTTCAGTTATTTTAGAATCAAATATAAATAAATTATTTAATTTTTTTATAATTGTTTTGATTTAATAATAAATAAAATTTTTAAACATTAACAATATTAACAATGAATAAACTCGTATTTATTTTTTAAGTTATTACTAACATAGTCTTTGCTATTGAAAATACCTCAGTTTTCGAAAATACTTAATTTTTAGATAAAAACAATTACTATTAAAATGTAGATTAAATTATGAAACAAAAATATTATGAAATAAATAAAAATAATACATAGAGGGAAAGGTTCATGTAATAAAATTCATAAACATATCCCCTAAGAATCACTTATGATATTTTTAGAGAAAACGATTAACAAATTACAGAAGAACTTGAAGTTTATATAGGAAGCTTATTAGATACAGCTTTTAGTTATTATCAGTCACTTTTATCAGTTAAATAAACTGACCAGAATAATACATTTTATCTAAAAGAATTGAATAATTGCTTAGGATTTCTTATTAAATCAGATGATTTTGTAACAGGAATTGAAGAATCAGACTTACACTTATATGTATCATTTAAATATTCAGATTCTGATTTAATAGCAAGTGCAGGTCATTGCTATATAGATCCATTTTTATAAAGACCAACTTTCGGAAGAATTTTACTGAATTTGTCATATTTTTAAAAAATAAACAGAACAAATTTATAATTTTTTAGAGATTTATAATCAATAATGCATGAAACTCTTCACATATTAGGTTTTTCTACAGCTTCTATGAATTATTGGATTGACCCAGAAACAAACGAGCCATATACATTTAAAAATGTTCATAAAATACTCAAGTAAAAAATGCTAAATGATAGAGAAGTAAGTGAAATATCATCAACAAATATAGTTAAAACTATTAGAGAGTATTATGGATGTGATTCAATTGAAGGAATGCTATTAGAAAATTAAGTATAATTAAATTCTTTAATATGTTTTTCATCCTAATAAGATAAACTAATTTTTAATTTTATACAATAATAGATATGTAAAAGATTTTATATATTTAATGTTTTCTAAAAAAATAGGGTAGTGATTACACTAAAAATTAGCACTGGGAAAGAAGTATTTTAATGAATGAACTAATGTCAGGTTCATCTAATCCTGAAGGAGGAGTTTTCTCTTTGTTTAATATTGCTCTTTTAAGGGATACTGGTTTTTGGGATGTAGTTGATGAGAATTTGGCAAATCCAATTTATTGGGGAAAAAATTAAGGATGCTAATTTTATGAAAATAAGTGTTAAGCAGATTTAAAATACGATGAATTCGAAGATATTGATGGTATTTTTGATTGCTCTTATACAGGAGAGGGATTTGGAGTAAGCTAAACAGACCCATTCTCAGATGACTGCCCTATTATATATCCTACTGATTCTTAGCTTTGTATAAACTATGAATAAAATTAATAGATTAATGAAATTGGCAATATTAGCTAAAATAATTTGATGTTTAATTTTTCTACTTAAAGCAGATGTTTCAAATCTAATATTTCAATTGATAACTCTGCTGCTAGCTTTGCAGATGTTAGGTGTTTAAAATCATATTGTAATGAAGAGGGAACTTAGGTTACAATTTAAATTGACTAGTTGTAAATGATTCTAGTCTGTAAAGAAGAAGGTTAAACACTTCTCGTAGAAAATGGAATCAAAACTTATGGAAAGGTTATTTGTCCAAAAAGTTTTCCTAGATTTTGCTCAAGCTTTTAAAATATTTGTCCTTAATTTTGTAGTAAGAATGGATATTGTGTAAAAGGAAAATGCCACTGTAACAAGGGTTTTTTTGGAGATGATTGCTCATAAAGTTGCAGTGAATTAAATGAGGAGGGATAATGTACAATTAAATGTCCTCCAGGCTAATACATCAATCCTGATATTGTAAAATTTTCATTAAAATTAATACAAGTTATTTTTTTAACATCATTCATTCATCTACTTTAATTAATTGTCTATTTTTTAAATTTATTACTTATTTGAATATTATCTGATTTAACGCATTGCCTTCTTGATCTAGATTAAAATCTAAATTTAAAAATATAAAAAATAGACTTGTTAAAATGATTGCCCACAAGGTTACTTTAAGAATGTTTAAACAAAAACTTGTGAGAAGTGCCACTTTTCTTGTTCAAAATGCAATGGACCAACCAACTAAAATTGTTTAGATTGTCATTTATTGTCATACCTTCAAAATAACACTTGTGTTACGGATTGCGGAGAAGGTTACTTTTAAAATAAATAATTTTAAAAATGTTAAAAATGTATTGAGGGATGTCTCAAATGTAGCAATGATAAAATCTGTTAAGAATGTGATGGTTAAAATGGATATATTTAATATGGAAACTTATGTAAAAATACATTTTGTGATTTATAATGCCTAACTTGTGAGTAGGATAAAAAAGATAAATGTACATCATGCGTTTAAAATTTTTATCTAGATAAAACTTAACAAACTTGCTAAGACAGAAACAACTGTCCTCAAGGATATTACTCTGATTAAGAAAAAAGAGAATGCGTTGAATGCGATGAAGGCTGTTTATAGTGTAAATATAGCTCTGATGACTGTCAAAGCTGCGATGAAACAAAAAATTACACTTTGTTTGGAAATAAGTGTTTTCAATTAATTAATTGCTTTTCACCTTGTAAAACTTGTTTAGATGATTCAAGTTCTATAAAATGTGCAACTTGCATAAATAATTATTATTTACAAGAACAAGAATGTGTCGAATAATGCTCTATAGGGTACTATTTACATGAAAACAAATGTAAAAAATGCAGTTAAAATTGCGAATCATGCATAAATTTTCCAGATAACTGCTTGAGCTGCCCATAAGATAAGGTATTAAATTCTAATAAAAATATAAATCGTTATTTATTTATTTTTTAATTTTTAATTAGTTTTTGAGTAACTCAAAATGCTATTCTAAGTGTATGCAAGGCTAAATTTGGGTCAATGGATTCTGCATTGATAGACCTGTGACATCATATAATCTCATAACAAAAAACAGAGCTCTTAGCGCAAGAAACAATTAATTTTAATTACTAATATTGTGCTTACTCTTTTTAATTTCTTTAATATGAAATAATGGGTGAAATGACTGCTTATATAATTCAAATTTCTTAAATAGTATTTTCTCTTTATTAATTAAGTTTTAAGAGCAAAAGGAATTTTTATACAAAATTTTTAAATGCTTTTTGAATTTTTTTGATAAAAATATTATATAAAATGAAAGAAAAGTATTTCTTTTTTATAATAAAAAATATAAATTATTAAATAATTACTGTAATTTTATTTATTCATGACTATATTTATTCCAAAACTAATAAATTTAAAAAAACAAAGTAAAATAACTTAAACAAATATTTAAAGTATTAATAAATTTCTATTTAAAATTTTCTAAAAAATTTTATTTTGTAAATAATTTTAATTTGTCTTTTATCCTTTTAAATAATATTAATAATTTAATTTCTTATGATTAATAAGCACAAATAAATTCTAAAATTTTAAAAGAACATAACAGTGAGGTTCTTTAAAATTAAAAAATTTAGTTATACTGATTTTATTATTCATTTTACTATAAAAAGCTATCATAATAAAATATGTCAAACTTCATAAATAATTTTCAAATTAAGTTCTCATAGACAAAAAATTTAGTATTTTGATAAGATCTATCAAAGTAATATTCGTATGGTTTTTTATCTGCTTGAATGTCTTATTGTGATCATCTAGTTTTTTTATAGAAAGTAATTGATTGTTTTATTATTTTTTAATCATCAACTAATATCAACTAAAAAAATTTTACAAATATTTAATGAAACTAAAATCCATTAAAATTATTTTATTGTATAATTTTTTAATCTAAATAAAAATCACTCTAGTTTTTTATCGTTTGAATATGTAATTTTTATTCGGTTTTTAAGGTTTAATTATTTGTATGGTTATTTTATTTATTATTTAAGTGTTATTTATTATTCTTTAAGTTGATTACAAAACTATAATTATAATTAAAAATAAAATGTTTCACAAATAGTGAAATTACTAATTATAAAGAGATAAAGTTTTTATAATTAAATTATATTGTTGAAAAAGATACTTTTTTTATACATTAAGTAAATTATTTAGGTTAGAAAATAACTGCAATAAAATGAGTACTATAACCTAATATTTTACCACAATCTTATCATTATTTATTAAGATAATGTTTTTAATTCATAAAAAAATATCTGAAAATAGGAATCATCAAATATAAATTGAAGTTACCACAAATATATGATTAATAATTAACTAATTTGTCAATTAATCACAAATATTAGAGAGTATATTATATATTTTCCAATTTTTGTGATCTTTAACAACATTACATAATTAAGTTGAGTGTAATCAAAATATTAAGAAAAGAATTTTAAACAAAATGGCTTCTTTTAACTTATTTTTCTAATAATTCTTATACTTTTTTTATAAAATCTTTAGCTTGACTTAATAAAATTATAAACAGAGTATATACTTTCATAACTTTTAAATTAATATATAAACATATCATGAAAAAGTAGTTTTATGTAATATAAATTATTTTGATGAAATTATAATCAGTACCTATGCCAGCTAGATTACTTTTGATTAGTGGATTTGAGAAAAAGAAAAATTTTAATGCTTTTTAAAAGGAAAATATTCTCGTATATCATATCATTAAATATGATTACTTAGAGAATATGAATATTTAGCTAATTTTTGAGTTTTAAATCAACAAAAAAAATCTATGAAAATAAGATTATTGAATATTTTAAAATTGCTTAAATCACTAAATTTCTAAATCAAAATAAACATTTTGATTTTGTGTTTATTATTATCATCATCAGCATTCAAGCTATTGCATTGATTGAATATACTTTGACTTAGATAAAAAAATTTGATTTAATGTGATGCAAAACATCTAGTCGAATAATTTACAGAAAGCAAAAAAAACATTATCACCTTTTTATAATAAGTAAATTAATTAAGAAGCAAAAGCTAATAAATTTCTTTTTAACGCAAAAAAAAAAATAAATAAATTAACAAATTAGAATACTTTCAAAAGGAAGTAATATTTATTCATTAATATAAAAACATACTGTATAATCAAGTAAGAGTAAATATAGATCAAAGAAAATTGTTTTCTTAAAGCATATAAGAAAAGATTAACTCCTCATAAACAATAAGAACAACGCAAAAAAAAAAAGTTATAATTTATATGGGAAACAGTAATAGCCATAAATCTAATGGATACACAGGCCCTTACACTTTGTAAAATAGCACCTTCATTTTGTTTATTGATAAACATTTAAATAAAAAATAACATTAATAATATCATCAACTTAAAATAATATATCTTAAAATCCAAAATGAGTTAAACAAAGTATATAAAAGGATTTTTTTTATTTATTAAAGGAGTATTAAAGCATTGTGCTGGAAATAAGAATCACATTAGTTATTTGATTTTGAGTCTAAAGACATTATCAAAAAGAAGATTAAAGTCAAAAAATCAGGTATTTATAATTTATATAGACTTTTACTTTACTTTTTGAATTTAAGCTTTAATCATAAGCAAAATAATGTCTGTGTTATTAATTAAGTGTTTAATAAATATAAAGGATACTTAACTCGCTCACAAAACAATGAGATATCTTTCTCTGAAAATTATGTAAAAAAATTATTTTTTGTTTTAATTCGAATATTTATTGATTATATCCTATAAAAGTCTTAGGAAAATGAGAGTTTTTTACAAATTGGTCATCAACAGTAGAAATATACATTACAGAATGAATCTATGGACAATAAAGATTAACATGGTATAAGCGACAAGAGTGTTTGGATAATTATTAATACTTTTAAAGATAATGAATAGGAAAAGGTAATAAATACATTTCAGTTTATTTAACAAAAAATGATTTCAATCTACTTGAGATTATTATTTTTTACTATTTTTTTATTCATAAATTTGTTTTGTAAATTAGGGTTTTTATGAATTGTCTGCTGATGATTACATTAAGATTGGAAGAGTCAGACTAAGAATAAAAGAAATTAATCCAATAGGCGATTTCTCATAATAAGAACCTGTAACAAAAAATTTACATATTTTATTAAATTAAATGAAGCTGCTCGATTTACTTGTTTTAAAGTTTATGCTTTTTGAGTCAGTAGCTAGCATTAAAAAACAAGGAATATTTTCTTGATTATTATTTGCTAAAATAAAATGTATTGTAATAATAAATACATATCTAATAGTTTTATTTATTTTTCTTGATTTACATTAAAAGACCTATTTTAATAATACAATTTTTATAAATTTTAGGAAGAACTCTTAACTTATAATTCTAAAAATGGAACTAAACCAACTGAAGAAATATAATGCAGAATATGTCTTGGTGACACTTATATAGATGATAATCCATTCATAGCTCCATGTTCTTGCACAGGAAGTGTTTAGTACATACACTTAATATGCTTAAAAATATGGCTATAAAATAAATTAGTTATTAAATAAAATGATTATTACACAGAATACTAATGGAAAAAATTAGAATGTGAGTTATGCAAACAACCTTTAAAACGTAATTTATTCACTAAAATTAGTTGAAAATTGTTTCGAAAGTTTACTTAATTTATTCTTTTATAGACACTTCATGCATAATCATTTATCTGTTTTGATAAAAAAATTTAAAATCTACACATCCGTCAATTTCATAAATTGAAGCTCTTATTACTCTATATAACATTTTATTTTAATTTATTAGCATATATTAATCATAATGGTCGAGTATTCTCAACATTCACTATAAGAAATCCAGCATGCCCATATATAATCCTTGAAAAGCTCCAAAAAGATACTAATGAGCCTAAATCTTAAATTATAGTTAATTTTTCAACTACAGCCAAGGAAAATAAACCAAAAAAAGAAAAAACTCTTCTCAAAATTGTAAGCTAATAAATTTTTGAAATAATAATAAAAATTTAAGGAATTAAGCTTTTGTTATTTCAAAAATTTAAATTTCTATATTTAATATAAAAAGGGGAGAGGAGCTCAATCACATATACGTATTAATGACATTTCTGTTTCTAGAGAGCATGCACATCTTGTACTAAAAAATAAAAAATTTTATTTGAAGGATGAAAATTCTAAATTTGGAACTCTTGTTTTAGTAAGAGAGCCTATAGCCTTCTCGGTTGATTGGAACAAAGTATCTATTTAAATAGGTTAAACTGTCCTTTAACTTAAACTTAAAAAAGCTTCTTCAGGCTTTTTCTCTTGCAAGTAATTAATTTATATGATTTAGTATTTTCCTATTTGAAAAAAAATAATTTAAAAATAATATTTCGATTGATTTATAAAATAAAATGATAATTTTTAATAAAAATTAAGTTCTTAACAACCTGAGGAAGATCTGTTCGAAGATTTATAATAAAAAAAAATTTTAAATAAATATGAAAGAGATAACTCTTAGAATGGACTTTAGCCTGATAATTACAGATTCGAAAAGAGCTAAACAGGATAAATAAATGACCCATTTTAAGTTAGCACCTTTCATAAAATTAATTTTAATAATACAAATAAAAGGGTTTGATTTTCTCCATTAAAAAAAGAAAAGAATTTTTCTCTTTTTTAAAAATTGATTCTTTAAAACTAAATTAATTACTATTATTAATGCAACTATTACTGAAAAACAACTTCTAACTTTAAACTTAAAACATAAACTAATAAATAAATAACTAATCTATAATTCATCATTTTAATTGTTTGCTGAATGAAGTAGATATTATTCTAAACAATAAATTTAATTAAAGTATTAATTAGTTGCTAGTAAAAGTTAAAATATCTAACTTACTTATATTCAAAAACTACTTCATCATACATACATACAATCAATATTTATTCTAAGAATAATTATAAATTATTAATTAAACATATAGAGAGTATTTTAATATAAAAAAATAATTAATATTAACTACATATTTATAATACTATTTACTAATTATTTTATATTGTTATTAGTATCTAATCGTCTAAAAATAATATTTTTCATTTCAATTTATTAAGTTTTATTTCTTTCATTATATAAATTAAAAAATTTTTAAATTTTTATTCCTTTTTCGATAAGTTTTTTAAATTTATTTTTAGATTCAAATATTTAATTTTCTATATTAAAAAATCTATATTAGATATTATTAAAAAATGTATTGCAATTGAAATATAAATGCTAAGATTAGTTTGGAAGAATATCTAAAATGATAATTTAATAGTAAAGCATTTTATTATTCCCACTTATAAAATACTGCTTAGTTAAATTAATTTGTCAAGAAATAACTTTATAAAATAATTTTAAAGACAAAAATGTGTAAAATATATTTGATTATTTATTCATTTTATTAAGAATAAAATATAGTTGAGAAAAAGTAAAGAATTTTATCAAATATTTTTATATCTAATTTGTTAAGCATAATAGAATAATTTAATAAACAAAATTTAAAATATAAAATATTTGTAATTATATTAATTTTAAATTAAGATTTATTATTTGCTTTCTACTTTTTTTGTTTGACCTATCATGTAAGTGAAATAATTATTTTGTAATTTCAAATAAATTTTTATATTTTGTAAAATAATCATGACGATAATCCTAATTACAAACAAAAATTTAAAAAGTACAATGATTAAATATACTGTCAATCAATTTTAACACCATTTTTTTTGTAGAAAGCCTTTGCTTCATCAATTTCTTTTAATAATGACTAGTAATCTTCAGGGTATTCTTTGAGAATCCATAAGTCATAACCTATTGAATATAATGAGTAGCAGCCAAATACCATCAATAGATATCCAGGAAGAGCTTTTGCTATAGTGTCTAAAGGCTTGTTCTTAGAAAGTAAACCACTAAAAACTACAAAACTCCAAACCAAACCAAATAGTAAAAATAAAACGATGAACTTAGTTTTTCTAACCATTTCTATTAATATTTTGCTTTTTTACTTTAAAGAATGTTAATTAAATCAACTATTTCTTCTTAATTGCTTTTAAAATTTAATAGTTTATAATTCAAATATATTTAATTAAATATTATTTATACTTTAATACATCAATCGCTTTATTTTTTTTCGTTCCTTCTACTCTTTTATGCTTAAATATTTTTCAAATATCCTCGATGAAATATAAAGTTGAAATAATTCTAAGGTTTTTCATTAAAATTGTCATGATTTAAATATTAAAATGAAAAAATAAAATGCTCAGCTTTATAAACCAATATATATAATAAATAGGATAAATGGCATTAACTATTCCGAATTATAGCAAAAAAGTAGATTAGATGAATATATTAATTTTAGTATTAATGTTTTTAATTTAAAGAATAAGATCCTTACAAATATCATTGAAATTAAAAACGTGATGACTCGGATATCTTTTATATTTTCTGATATCTATCTTTATATCAAAACTAAACAATCTTATTAAATAAATATAAAATATTGTTAATATTTTTATTTCTGAAACCTTAAAAATAAATTAAAAAAAAATATGTCCTTCCAACCAATTCAAGGAGTTTAAGTAACTCCCTTTAACCAAACTTACTTAGTATTCGTAAAGCATTAAAATATATACTATATTATGTTCTCATTTTAATTGGTTAACTAATCTTTTATAAACAGAACTCCTTATCAAGAGGAGAAGTAGGCAGATTATGTTTAGATTTACTGATAAATAACAATGATGTCAGAAAAATAGGTATTTTGAAAGATAACAAAAATAGTAGAATTAACTCATCATATAAAAATATTTATAGGATATTATAGATCTAAATTTATTGCTGACAAGGTTTAAATATCAAACTTATAGGGAAAATACTAACTTTTGTTAAGCGCAGAATTATATTAATACAAGCAATACACTTTCTTACAAATCCGTTCTGGATGCTTTGAAGTAATATTAAGCTTTGAATTTTAATTTTTACAAAATATTTAATTTAATGAATAGGGAAGAAAAAAATAGTTTTTAGAAGAAATCCATGATTTTGTTTCTTAGAATAGCTTCAAATCTTTGATATTCCTTTCTTCTCTTCCTATTTCTGATAGACCTGACTTCGAAATAAATTCACCGTAAATATTAAACATTAATTTAAAAATATTAAAATAACTAATTTAATTAAAAATAAGCACCCCAAATACTTACTATTATGGAAATCCTAAATTTGAGTAGTTGTAAAGCAAAGAATAGATCCTTAATTTGAGTTAATTCAAGAATATCAATCTAATTAAAAGAGAGGATTAAGAAATTCATGATGTCCTTTACGGATCTGGCCTAAGCTATCACTTTAGTAAAAGAAAGGAATTTGCTGATTTTAGCTTCTGTGCTTTGCTTATATATGCTTAACCAGGTTCTGATCTTGTTGGTGCAGCTAGATTATTATAACAATTTATTCATGCCTAAGCTGATTAAGCAGCATATAAACCATTAACATTTTAAGAGAAAGATATTACCAAAAATATTTCTTATTCTTTAGATTCAGTAGTTATTCTTCATGATGAATGAAAGAAAATATTTTTATATTTTGTATCACTTTAAAAATCTTAAATTTGTAAAAGATTCTTTTTTATTTTAAAGTATTTTAACAAAGGTAAATAAATATAAATTAAAATAAATTGTAAATGAAATATATATCATCAATCTGCCTTTTAATATAGATAGATGGATGATATTTTGAAATCTTTCAAATTATGATAAATAATTTAAAAGTATATAATTTATATTTCAGTTATTCATAGTTAAACCACCTATTACTAATGTTTGTTTTTCAAGTGTCTGTTAAAATAAATAAATAAATCTTTACAGTAGAATATTGAAGAAAAAAAAAACAGATAGAAAGATAAATAGATTCCTCTCTCAAATTGTAAAAATAATTGAAATAGTGAAAAGAAAAAAACGTGAAATAAGTAGAAATATATATTTTTATTGTTTATGCAAACTACAAAAGAAAAATTTAATTAATAAAGTAGAAGAAAAATAAATGATAAATTAAGATTTACAGTAGGGTTTGCATTCAGATTTCCAAAATGGATCAGCAGTTTAAGATTAGTCCAAATAGAATTAAGGAAGCTGTTAGTAAAAATAACTAAAGAAGTCAAGTGAAGGTAGCGTTCATACTATAAATTCTATTTCTACTAGCAATAAAATTGCATATGATAACTCTATTGATGAATTCAGTCGCTAATAAATTCCATCTGAAAACGACATGTCTAAGGGTTTGATTAAATAAAATAATTAAAATTTAAATAAACACTTAAAGGCTATACCAGAAATGTCTCCTTTCAAGTCATTGGCTGATAAGAATATGCCCGTATAGTCTTAATAGCCAAGAAAATTTTAGTATGCCAAAATAAATAATAATTCTATTTGTATAGAAAAGCTAGAATTTAAAATTAACTAACCTAAAAAGGATTAACTTGGTTAGTAAAGCAAAGGTGTTTTAGCTAATTAAATTTTTTTAAATTAAAATGTAGCTTTCTCTCACAGTACTGAAAATTATTCATAGCTAAAGTAACTTGATAAATTTTCTCCCTAAAATAGATTAAACTTCTACAATACATCTTAAAGAAGGTAAACTGCATAGGAATTCATTAAAGCTCAAGGTTAACGCGCAACAATAAGCGAATCTCCTAAAAAGAGCTTCAGGTATTCTAAAATATTTAATAGCTAGCCATACACAAAAGACAACTCTAACAATACTTCTTAGCCTTAATTAAATAACAATAATTCACTAGCTAGCTTGAACAATAACAGAAGCAATATCTAGTATAATACAACAAACAGGAATGGAAGTCTTGAGTCAGAAAACTTAAAAAACAAGGAGTGCGTTTATATAGTTAGATAGAGATAAATTTCAGAATAAAAAGATAACTCAAGTATCCAAAGCGTTGCTTAAAAAGTTATTGAAATAACGAAAAATTAACAGGAATATTTGTAGAATATGCAAAAATAATATAGCTCCAATTAGAGTATTAATTTTAATTAATCTTATTTGCAATTTCCTACTATATAATAATAATAATAATAATAATAATAACAACAATATCTTCTTCAAGGCTAATAGTAGTAGGGATAGCTTTTCATTAACTCAAATACACCTAAAAAATAGATTTTTATTTAAAATTAACAAGTTTAATAAATTCCAAATTTAACTCCTTAACAATAAAATTTTTCTTATCAGCCTACTAGAAACTTATCATTTCAATCAATATTTGTTCCTTAATAATAAAATTTCACAAATCTTATGTTGTAATAATAATAATAATAATAATAGCTAAATTAATTTCATTTAATCAATAATTAAAATTTGTTTTAGGCTTTAAATGTTAATAGAAGCTATTCATAAGTTGGATAAGAACAACCTCAGCGCTCTTTTTCAACTGGTTAAAATCCTTATTTTATATAGCAAAGAAGAATTTTTACTGAAAATTCTCAAAGAGATTTTTCTCCTCAATTTAGTGGTAAAGCAAATAGTTTAAAACTAACCTAAGGAAAGACTTAGCAATTTGAAGCAATTAACAAAAAGTAAATACAAAAACAGCTCTCAACTTCCAATGAATGCATAAATTAATAAGAGAATTCCAATTAAAAATAAATTCTTTTGCTTAATTAAGAAATTCAAAATAAAAATGATCTAAATTAAATGCATAGACAGACTATAGGTAGTTCTATTAGAAGTAGTGTTAAAACATAAGATATTTCAAAGTAAGCCGAATAATTTTAAAATTTTTCTTAAGGCTAGACTCCTGTTATGAATGATGAGAATAAGAACAGAGATACAGTTTCGTCTTTGAATTCATTTGGTAATCCTACAAAATTTACAGTTATTGGATAAGGTATTGGAGCAAGGTTTTCTTTTTGTAAAAATCAAGGATCTCAGCAAGATATTCAAAGTAGTTAACTTCAAGAATAAAATATTTTGAAAGAAAAAAATTAAGATAAAAAATCTGAGCCTACTAATTTAAAAAAATAAAATGCATTTTAAAATGAAAATAAAAGTAACGTTCCATAACAAAAAGGAAATTTAAAAGAAAATGAAGAAATAAATTTGACTAATTAGATAACTGAGAAATCTACAGCAGCTGGATTAACTACAATATAATCAGATTTTGATTAGCTAAATACCAAAGGAGCATTTATAAATAATTACTAATCTCTGAAAGTCTAGAATGAAACTTCTAAGTTAAGCTGTGACAGAAGTTCATAGAGAAAATCACTTACTTCTGGCCCTGTTAGTAGCATTTACTCTCCGTTAAAGAACTATTTCAAAGAAAGTAACTTATAATAAAAATAAAATATGCTCTAATTAAACGAAGATTAAGTTCCAATAACTCCTGTTTCTATGATGCAGCAAAACAAAGCAGAGCAATAAAATAATATTTTAAAGATGTAAAATAATAGAGAAGAAGCAGCTGATCCTTTAGAAATGTATCCATCTTAATATGATCCAAATGAAAATCTACAAAGAGAAAATAGATTACTCTCTTTCAAAAAGCAAGATTTAAATAAAGCTTCAGATAAAAATTTAAGAATGACCACCACTGATGAGTAAGATTAAAATAACAACTAATTTTAGAGTAATAATAGTATCTTTTAGGTGCAATTATAACGAAATTCTTCATCAGGAAAAAAGTTTTCTTTAAATAAGCTTAAATAAATAATAACATCAGACACAAAAAATGCAGAGTGCAGCTAATATATCGATTAATACACTAACTCAAAAAATAAAGAACTAATTGAAAAGCATAAAAGTAGAATATAAAGGATTTACAACACTACTATGACTAATACAAGTGCAGATAATCACTTTTATGATAGGATTCTATCTTCCTTTGAAAAAAACTCAGCTATGGCTCGTAATACGGATAATAGGTACAGTCATTCTGTTTCAAGAAACTATTCTAGCTGGAATCCTTTTTACATCTAGGAAAATAATTAAGCTAATTAATCCTTTGATAGATCCAACAAAATAGTTTAAATTCAGCAAATTTTCCAAAATTAAGGTTAAAACTTATCTTTAACACCTGTTAACTTAAGCCTAAATAACAACAATGTTAATAATAATAATTTCATAAAAGAATCATCTATAAATGTTAAACCTTTTACAGTTTCCTCATTTTAAGCTACTCCTATAAATAAGCAGTAAGAAAATAGAGATAACAACAGTTTCCTAGTTTAAGAATATTCTTCATAGACTAAAACTATGCTTGGATTAGTCAATTAATAAAATTCTAATATTTTTATGGAGAAACAGCAAGCTTTAGAGAATTTACCAGCTAATAAAATGATTAACGATCCTGAAGAAAATAAAAAATTTTAACGCAACATGGTTTTGTCAGTTTAACCTGCTGCAAAATAAATAAATGAAGAAGTAGAATCAAAAAGGACATTCTTAGAGTCAGACCGCTAAGCTCCTCCTGCTTAGCTGCTTTAAACATGCTATTCTTATGAAAGCAAATTTAAACCATCTCCTAAATACTAATAAAAATCGAATTATTAATCTTTAATGTAAAATACATAAGAGAAGTAAGGTTTAAATTAAAATATTAGTGAGAATAATATAAAATAATTTTAACAAGATTAACATTTTGAATAAAACCTTAATTTGTAATAAATATAAGATAAACCAAAAGAGAATATAAATACTTTATTCAATAGAAATAGGTCTGCTTCTTCTGGATTTGTTTATTAGAATGCAAATTAATCAAATGGGACTTATAACAACTACTATTCTGAAAAACAAATAACAGATAAGCAAACATCTCCTACTTAAGATTTGCCAATTACAAAATAGCTGCAACAAAAATATTAGCAAGCAATTCACTCATTCAATGAAAAGTAAGAGATATTTGCAAATCAATTAAAACCAAAACTGTAAAATGGACAAGGAGTAGAACTAAATAACCATATAAAATAAGGATAGGATTCTTTCCAATCTTTTACTTTTACTCGTAAAAAGAGTGCAACTGAATTATCTAAAAGTAATATCAACTCAAAAAATTCTCTAAATCTGTCTGTTGAATTAAAAAAGAAATCTCTCTTTCTTCCTCCTAAGCCACAATAGCAGTAACAACCAAATAATAATAATAACACTTCTTAATCCTCTACTTTATAGAATTAAAGTTATGAGGACATTAAAAAAGGATAGAGTGTATAAAATGTGGATGCTAAAAATTAAAAGAACTAAATCTTTAAGAATCCAAGATCTATAAAAGACTCTATAATAAATGGCAGATAAACATTTTCTCAATCATTTGAAGATGTTAAAAACAGTGAACTCTTTGTTTAATCTTTAAGTTCACCCTTAGTAAAACTCTCAGATATTTGTCATAATAAGTCTTACACTACAGCTTACATAAATGCTAAAGAGACAAAATTCAATGGTTAAAATGTAAGCGGACAAAGACTTAAAACTTTTGAAGATAATTATGATTTTAATTAATCTTCCAACTATAATAGCTTGCAACTTTATAGTCATAAAAAGTAAGGTAACTCATAACATTCCTTCTTAGATAAGGAAATAGGTAATAAGATAATTCAGATTAATACTGATTAGCACATTCTCGATGTAAACTAAGAAGAAGATAAAGAAAATACTTAAGAATCTATTATAAAATCTAACAAATTTCCTCTATTCTAAGAATTTTTTAGTAGCATTTAAAAAGAATACTAAAATAACCTAAAAGAAAACCAAGTTCTATAACAAAGATAATATAATAGCAATTTATCAACACAAGAAGCAAGTTATTTGTAAAGTCAATAATGCCAATTAAAAAATAATTCATCAACTTCTTCATAGGGCTAAAAAATGCATCAATATGATGAAGTCAAAGAGGCAAACTCATCTAAAAATTACTCATAAAAAAGTGATTTAATTTGTTCATATTCTTCATACTAATCCTAACAGACTAAGTAAGTAGATTCATAATTTATTAGAAATGAAGAAAATCAAGTAAAATTGGTTTAATCTTCGTAAGCTAGTATCAGATAAAACTTGAAGGCATAGAATTTAAAAAGCTATTAACAGTCTAAGTCTTGCACTGATAATGATTCCTCATTATTTAATAAATCAAGTTCAACTATCCCTCATAATGATTAAAGCAACTGTAAAAGTATTTCAGATTCTGTTTTAAATAAAATTGATTCTAATCTACTTAAGGAAAAGCCTTTTATCAACAGTAAAAGTAATGATAATTCTTGCAATTAATCTTAGCTAACATAGTAAAAGAGATAAATCAAATAAAGAGTATTTTAAAAAGAAGAAAATAAATTTTCTTAAATAAAATAATAATAAAAAGATGCTTTAGAGGCTTAAAGTTAAATCAGAACAGTTACTAATAATAGCTTTAGTTAATCTTAATAACGAAGTTAAATGAAAAATTAAAAGTAAAACAATGATTCTTATATACATTCAAAAGACAATTCTGTTAATAATATAAGATAAAATGCAACAGAAAATAACTCAAATAACTCAAATAAGTAAATTTATACTAATAACAATAATTCAAAATTAAATATTCAGTAAAGCAGTAATAATAAAATTAATTAGTCAACATTACAGCAAAATAACGTTCTCACAAATAATGTTTAAAATACTCAGCCATATGGAACTTAAAGTAACGTACCTACTTAGCATAGCTTATAAAATACTTCTAATAATATATCTAAAATAACAGACTGCTCAAATAGTAAATTAATTTAGATATTTATGGCAAATTCACAATTAGATTTACTAACAGGAGGTAATAATAGTAAAAATAAAAGCTAATTGAATTCTAAACAAACTAAATAAAATGAAAACTTAACAAAAGATTAAAGCTATTTAAATGACTTACTAACAGCTAATTAAAAATTGGCTTAGTCTATTTAATAGCAATTTAAATAATAGCAAGAGTAAAATCATTAAAATAGTACTAATTTATGCTTAAACTGCAATAAATTAATACCATCTAAAGACTATATAAATCATTCCTAGGTTTGCAGCATTGACAATAATCAATAATAATTTAAAAATATAAACTTAAAAGGTGATGATCATCCTAATAAATTGAATCAAAACGATAACTTAAATTACCTACATTAAAAGTAAATTGAATGTAATAAAAATTTAGAGTTAGTGAAATTATAAGCCCATTAAAAACTTCACAGTGGAGAAACGTTTTCTGCATCTAGGCTTTGCTTATATGTTAATTTTTTTATTGAATGTCTTAACTTGATAATTATAAACAACTAAAGTTACAAAGAACTTAAAAGCAGTCTAAACGATCTTACAGCCATTATGGAAAAAATAGCAATCTCTGGTGAAGATGATCATACAGAACAATTTTTAGCATTTGCTCATAAAGGTTATGAAATAGGATTATAAAAATTAGGCATTATTAAAAGGCTTAAATGATCTAAAACACAAAATTATTCAATGTAAATAAAAAAAATACAAATTAATATATTGAAAATTAAATGTATACAAACTTCCATAAATAATATATCTGTTGTATAAAAATCTTCTTTTTTATTAACAAATAATTTTTAAGCCTTTAACTAAAAATTATAATTTTTTTATCAGCTAATTTTGTAATGCACATTAAGTTAGTTAATGGTTAAAAAATATTAAAAGCTTGTTTCTTATATCACATTAAAATTTTATGATCCTAAAACAATAATAATCAGTAATTGATCATTTCAAATAATAAGTAATTTATTAAATCAGTTTAATAAATTTAGGTACTATTTAAAGGCTTAAATTATTTAAAACTAAATTATTATTAAAAGTATATATATATCTAAGCTTACCACAGCTTAATAACTATCTTTTAATTATTTAATTGAATGTTAAATACTTAGTAAGTTGTATAAATAGTCTGATTGTTTTAAAAAAAAAGCTTTTTTTACAACAAATAAATTTTTAAACTCTAAAATATATGATGATACATTTTTTAAATGCAGATAACAGTAAATCTCTCTATTAAATATATTGAATCATCTTTTTTATGCTAAAAAGGAATATTAAAGAATTTAATTTTAGTAAAATTATAATAAAAAAGAGTTTATTTAAACAAATTTGAAATTATGTCTAAATTAAATTTATAGATTTAGCAGCCTTATTTATACAATATTAAAAATTTAATTAAGTGTATGAAGATTAATTTAAATAAATTTTCTATTCTATTAATAGTCTTATAATGTGTATTTTCAAGAAACTTTCTATTTATTAATTTGCACTTTTCAAAATTTTAAGGATATAATTTATTAACAAAAAAAATTTTTATATCAAGGAAAGAGGAAAGGAAGATAAAATAACTTAGAAAAATCAAATTTCAATTTTAAATAGCAAGATTATAAGATGTCTTATTTATTACCTCACTTAAAGAATGGTTGGGAAGTAGATCAAGCTATCCTTCATGAGGAAGAAAGATTAGTTATTATTAGATTTGGTCATGATTGGGACCCTGAATGCATGAAAATGGATGAAATCCTCTATAAAGTAGCTGATAAGATAAAAAATTTTGCTGTAATTTATTTAGTTGACATTACAAAAGTACCTGATTTTAACACTATGTATGAATTGTATGATCCCGTAACTGTTATGTTCTTTTTCAGAAACAAACATATGATGATTGATTTAGGTACAGGTAATAACAATAAAATTAATTGGGCCATGAATAATAAATAAGAATTTATTGACATATGCGAAATCGTTTATCGTGGTGCTCGTAAAGGAAAAGGTCTAGTTATTGCTCCAAAAGATTATTCAACTAAATACAAATATTGAAATAATTAAATAAATATCACAAACTTACTATATACTATAGACTTTTATAAAATGTTCATATTGTTATTTTAGTTAAAAACTTTAGTTTCTCACTTTCAAAAATTATATAAGCTTTTTTGTTAAAATGTCTATTAAGTTATTAGAAAAGAATATTTTTTATTTCAATTCTAATAATTTTATTTGAATTCTTTTGGATTATTAGATCATAATTATACTTTAATCGCTTACTTTTGTATTATAAATATTAATATTTTAATGGTTTTTTTCTTTTATTTTTTATATTTTGGAGTAAAAACAAAATAATTTTTTAATTTAAGAAAAAATAAATTTGAATTAAAAGATAATAAAATAAATGTTTATTTCGAAATAGAAATATGCAGATTTTTATTTTATTAAAATACAAAAAATATTATTCCACTTTATATTAATAAAGAATATTATTTATTTATTCATTTTAATAACTTTACTTGTTAAAAATATAAATTAAATTTTTAAAGTGTTATAAGGGAAATGATTATTTAAATTATCTGGCTAAAATAGAAATATTAGCATATCTTAAATAAATTTTGAGAAAATCTAATTGATATTAATTTATTTGTAAATCAATTTGGTATAACATAATAAGAGAAGTAATACAACTGGTTGTTTAAATTATCTTATGAAAGTAGAAATAAAAATAAATTAATTTAGAAAAGGGCAAATTACTCATAAATAAATTTATATATGCAAAAATATAAGAACTAATAAGAAATTCTATCAAGAAGATTCTATTTAATTTTTAGTTTTCAAAAAAAAGATAATTGGATAGATAAATAAATACAAAAGTAGAGAATTTAATTTAGTACAAGTATAATTAATAAATGAATAGATTATAAAAGACAGTTAGGCAATTTAAATATTTGCAAAATAGCTTTAATTCAGTTATTCAATTCCGATTATAGTATTTTAGCAACTAGAATGGTGATGAAGCTAATAAAGGAAGTGAAGATACTTAAACTAATTTAGAAAATAAATAGCAAAATGATAAATTAAATGAATTAAATTTAAATGAAGCACAAGAAGATTTCGAAAATATAAAATAACAAAGATAATATCAGAAAAAGGAATCTATAAAATTTCAATTATCTGAAGTAAATATTTAGATTTTTTCATTTTATTTTTAGGTTACAATGATATCTTAAAGTATTAGCCGACATATATTTATGAATGTTTTTAATTTTTGTTAATTTTAATTTTTTTATAAAATAGCAATAGGACTTTAAAACTGAGAGAGTAGAAAGAACAAATTAAAATGAGACTTTCTCTAAATTTTTGTAATTAGCTTAAAGTTAATAATATAACAGCAAAGAGTTTTAAGAACTCAAACCTAGTTTGATACAACTTATAAAGTCAGAGAAGAATTGCAAATATTTACATAAATACAATAGGAATTTAATTCATTATCAATTTTAAGATAAGGAATTAGCAAATGCTTTAGCTGCCTAATTTTAGCAAGTAAAAAGAACTTTTGAGCATTTAGATTTAAGAAGCATGATTTCTGTTTGCACCTTTTTTGTAAATAAGTAGAATTTGTTGCTAGAATAATACTAAAATTTATCTGTTTATATAGTAGAAACTACTCTACGTAATATAAATAAATAAGAGGAAACTAGTTTTAACTCTATTTAGTTCGTTTTCCATAGTTTGAGCAAGATTTATATCGAAGATTATTCTTTATTTGATGAAAATATGGCTCGCTTTGAAAAAAATTTCTAAAGTTTTAGTGATTTCTAATTTGTTTCTATTTTAGAAAAAATTTATGACATTTAAATGAAGTTAAGTAAAAGTTAAAAATATCAGATGGTAAACAGTCAAGTTAAAAAAAGGCTAAGATTTTTTTTGCAGAACCCTAATGTTACTCAAAGAATTCTATAAATTACAGAATCAGAAACTGATACAAGTTAATATGAGCTTTCTAAAATGTAAGGAGGAGAAAATAACTAAGCTCAATCCGTTATTGCTAAACTATCAGTTGTACTTTCTAAACTGTTTAGACAATTAATCTTTTAAAATTAGATTAATATTTAAAGCAACGAAGAAGACTTAGATAGTTTTAATTATAATGATGTGTAGGATTTGGATATTATTTAAAAGGAATATTCTACTAAATATGCAGAAGCATGGAAAAAAATTGAAACTTTTACTTTGAAAAATTATAAAATTTTGGAAGATAAGAATTTCTAATAGATCATACTTGCATTGACATCAACTAGATATGGATCTCTCGAGCTCTACACCAAGCTTTTAGATGAATTTTACTATAGAATAACCAATAGACCAATTGAAAATATTGAGAGTTCTTTCTTTTGCATCGTTTTGAGATGCTTCTACTCATCCCGTATTCAACCTATAAACTTAGAAAAGTATGAAAAAGACTTTGCCGAGTTTACTAAAAAAAAGTTACCAAGCTTTTAAATGTCTAACAAGATGACAACAATAGCTTCTTATAGCTCAATAGGAGATGGAGAAATGGTTGAATATATTATATCTTAGATAACCAAAGATGAAATCAGAATGCTTAATAAAAAAGGTTAAAATATTTTGTTTTGGTCTCTTTGTAATGTTGGTGTTTTCAAAGAAGATTTCTTCTATGACTTTATGGTCAAATTAGCTTCTCCAACTGACTTGTATTACTCTTAATATCCCATAGATTTGGTACAAGTTACCTAAATTTTTTAGACTATTAAAATCAACTAAAAGTAATTCTGGAAAAAGCATGAGTAAATCTTAGAAAAGAAATTAGAAGATTTTTGTGAACTTACCTACACTTACCACACAATGAAAATCTAGAGCTAATCAAATTATAGAAAGAAGACAATAGGCTCAATAGATGTATCAGACTTACTAAATGCTATGCAAGTTGAATTCTATTTCGAACCTATCATTGAAAAAATATTCAATGTTGATTTTGTTATTAAAGGTATTACTGAAGCTAAGTTAGAGGAATATAAGAGTAAAAAAATAGCTCTTGCTACCTAATTTAGAGATCTGTCTCTTAAAGAATACATTTCTGTGAAAAAATTTGATTAAACCCAACATAAGATAAATAAGAAGTATGATATACTATTAGAAATAGATGGTTGCACACATTTCCTTTCAAAAAATATTAAACGTTAATCAACAAATTCTAAAATAGATACCCTTTAAAAGCTTGGATATAAAGTTATCCAATTAGATACTTATGAATTAAGGTAGCTCTCTTAATCCTAAGATAGAGTCAAAACAGTTGAATATCTAATTTCTAAGATGGAAGGCTAAGTCATCAAAAAATAAAAAAGACGTTCTACTAAAAGCAAAGACGAAGAGGAAATAGTTGAAGCAGTTTAATCAAATTAAGTTGAAAATTAATGAAAAGATACAATTAAAAAAATTGTTGTTATAATATTTAATTGAAATTAAAAATAAATTTTGTTTATTTGTTTATTGAAATTTTAATAAAATTTAATCATTCAGAATATTTTAATAAATGAATTTAGTTTGTTTATGTTTTTTAATAAATTATAATAATTAATTAATTTATGGTGATTAAAATATCAACTTTTAACTGAAAGTATTATCTACTTGTGCAGGATTTGTTCGTCTTAATTAATAGTGTAGCTTATTTTCTGATTAATTTTAATAATATTTATTATTTTTCACAAATTAAATATTAACACTCTAATTTTTTTAAAACAATATCTAAGCAAATTCATTGAATAAATAGATTTTATTTAGCTAAGATGTCTTTACAAACTAAGTTATAATAAAACAATATTCATATTTCTTAAGATATACTCAAAGAGTTTGCAAGCGAAGTACTTAACTTTATTGAGCAAATTAAATATGAAAGTAGCAATCTTACACTTGAATAAATTTAAAGAATAATTAGTAATTCTATAAACGAGTAAAAGGAATAAGTGATTGCTTAGTTAATGAATAAAATAGCTTTATTAGAAGAAGAAAATAGTTAGTATAAATCTAAAAATAGATAGTTAAAGCAATTGCTTAGAAAAATTCAAGATCAAGAATAAAATGATAAATTTTTGAAATTTGGAGACATATCAAGTATTAAACATGATGAACTTACTAATAAGATTTTAAAAGATAAGAATTTAACTAAAGAAAAGAATGAATCTCTGAGTTAAGAAAGTAAAAAATGTGAAGGAAACCAATTAAAATGCTGTAACTGTTAAAATTTTAACTCTGATGTGGTTTCTAATAAAGTCCGCTAGTAATAACAATAACTAAAAGTTTTATCAGAATAGCTTTTAAAAAATTAATGTAATCTTTAAAAGGTTGAATCTTTACAAAAAGGATATTTAAAAACTATATCAGCATAAAAGGAAACAATAAATGAGCTTGAATATGAGAAAAATAATCTATTATGTTTCTTAAAATCAATAAATAAAACTAACCAATCAGTAAATACACTTTTATTTCATTTATTTTTATAATTTGTATTAATTATTTTATAATAATTAGATTGTTGGCTAAGAATTAATGAATAGAACAACAGAATTAATATAAAACCAATCAATTAAATTAAATGATAAAAATGATATAAACTGTATTTATTAAAATTAAAAATAAGCTATTCCAAAACAAATAAATGATTCTCAGCTTTCTTCATTATTAAGTTTTTCTAAAGATTTAGACTCTTTCTCTCATTAGCATTTAAATAATTCATTATAGAAGCCATCAAATAGCCTTAAATAGATTAAATTATCTTGAAAGAAGGAATACTAATTTGAAGTTTTGTCCTATATAGGATTAATATAAAATTATAAACACTATAAATCAGCATAAATTAAAATCTCCCACTTTTGACCCATTTATGAACCTTAATTAAAATATTTTATTTTTTTATAAATTTTAACCTGATTTAATAGAAATTTCCTGTAGTTAATTATTGGGATATTTTATATGGAATTATTTTAAAATTTTTAAATAATAATAATAAATTCTATAGAATAATTAGAACATATATTTATTTGATAATAATTTATTAAGATATAGCTTAATACTTGAACTATATCCATGATAGAGACATCGCGAATCACTTAATCATAAATTACTAAATTATTCATTTATTTAGATTTTAATTTTAATATCAATTTGATATTAATATTTAAAACTCTACTTTATCTAAATATCATTAACATAATGCAAAATATACAATTTAACACTACATTTTTATAATATATAAAAACAAAAAGGCAAGTATATATATTCTTGCTATATATACATTTTAATACTTATATAATAATTTAGTAAAGGTACTATTTATTGGTTTAACTAGGTAAAATGTTTAAATTTGTATTACATACATATATTTGTTAGTTTAATTTGAATATATTAAACATAATTTTATAATAAATGTTTTTATGATAAATTAGAATATATTAACTAAAATCTAACTTTTAAGAAATATTGTTGGTTAATAGATATAATTTAAAGGTACTTAAAGTTTAAAAATTTTCTTGAGGCTTTTCTTCACTTACTCAGATTATAACTAATTTGGTTAAATATCAAGTTGAAAATTGATTCTTAATCAAAGAAGACATATTGATAGATAGCAGATGTAATTGTAAGGTTTATATTCTAGTTTTTATTTCATAGAGGTTTTATCATTATTTTTGAATATTTCTAATAAAATCTGGAAATTTTAATTACCCGCTAAAAATTTTACTTCAGAGAATTTTAAGTTTATAAAATCTTATTCATTAATATAATCAGATGTTTATATTTAGAAAATCAAGTTTTTTCTTTTAAAAAAATTTAATACTAAACTATTCAATAGCGAAAATACCTTAGCAGCTAACAGCACAAATGAGTTAAAAAAGTACAATTTAATTGTTAAACTTTTAGCTTAAACCAATTTTCAATTATAAAATAGATATGACTGACTATTTTAAGGCTAAGCCTGAGGCAAAAGAAAAGCCTAAGAAGAAAGTAGCCAAAAATGAAATGGAAGAAGAGGAAGAAGTGAAAGTAGATAAAGTAGAAAAAAAAGAAAAATTAGCTGGCGAATTCCCTACATTCGATGAATTTTAAGATGATTTATGTTCTTGGAAAGATATTTTAGGAACTTACATAAAATCTCAAAAATTTAAAAGTATTTACACCTTTGTAAAGAAGGAGTATGCAGATAAAACAGTAAAAATTGATCTTATTTCTCTAAACATGAATTAAAAAATTATATAAATAGTGTTATCCTCCTGCCCATGAGATATTCAATGTTTTCAAGTAGACTCCTCTTAATACACTGAAAGTAGAATAATTTTTTTAGGAAATCTAATTTTATATAAAAAAACTATTATCAATAAAGGTTGTAATCGTTGGCTAAGATCCTTATCACTAGCCTGGTTAAGCTATGGGTCTTTGCTTCTCTGTAAAAAAGGGTGTTAAGCCACCTCCTTCCTTGGTCAATATATACAAATCTTTATCAAACGATCCTAAGATTAAAGGATTTAAAACACCAAATCATGGAGATTTAACTAAGTGGGCAAATTAAGGTAATTAAAATTAATCAATATTTATTTTGATTATTTATCTTAGGTAGATTAAAATAATATATTTTGTTTGTTAAAGGTGTTTTTCTACTTAACGATATAATGACTGTTGAATATGATAAGCCTGCTTCACACAGCAAATCTGGTTGGGCTGATTTCACTTCAGAAGTTATTAAAATAATAAACAAAGAGTGCAAAGATATTGTATTCTTACTGTGGGGTAAGCCAGCATAAAAAAAGGCTTCAATAGTTGATACAAAGAAGTAAGAAATTTATCTTTTTAATTATTTTTAAACAAGTTATAGCAATCATAATTGTGGAAATTATTTAAAAAAATATACTAAAAAGTTAATACATTAATTTTATAAATTTATTTTTTTTCTTTTGCTTATAATTTATTTACATTCTAGTTTCCAAATAAAATATTTTGTTGGATGAAAGTTAATGAAAGCTAAATTTAGGTTTAGAAGATAATTTATTTAATAATGCAAAATAATTTTAAATAAAATTACATTTTTTTTTTTTAAGATTAAAAATTAATTATTATCTATTTTCTCCTCCTTACACTTTTGAAAAAAGCAATGATAACTGAATTATGCATATAAATATTTTGTGAATACAAAATATTGTTATTTATTGTTATTTCAAAGATTTTTAAATGTGTATAATTTAATAAGATTTTATAAATACACTCTAATGATTATAAATATTATTGTTTTCTTAGTATATAATTTTAAGATAATTTAAAAATGAAAAGTAGGAATAAAATTTTTACCCGTAGGTGTAGATAAAATAATTATTTAAATGACAATTTTATTGAAAGCTTGTTTTTAATTATGCCTTTAATATTACAAAAGGCTTAGAAATTTTAATAATATAAATCAAAAATATGATGCCCATTATTTTTATTTGATTGTTAATTTTCAGCTTATAATAAGACTATCAAAAAAAATTAATATTATTATCAAAAAGGCATCACGTACTAGCTACTTCTCATCCATCTCCTTTAGGCTATATGAAAGGATTTGATAAGGCGAGTAAAAAATATGAATTAATTAAAAATTTTACATTTAATTTTAAATAAAAAAATAGATTGCTTCTCTGCATGTAATGAAATTCTTGTAAAGCTTGGTAAAGAGCCTATAGATTGGTAGGTCTGAAGAGCTACAATTTTCTCCATTCAATTTAATAAAATTACATTCAAAAGATAAATAATATAAGCAACAAAATTTGATTATATGAGAGATAGAAAAGTTAATTGACTAAATTTTATATATATTTATTTATTAGTGTTATAGAATTAATTAAGATTCGTTACTGAGTATATTTATCGTGCAATCAACTCTATAATTTTTATCATTATTTTAGCAAAATGTATGTTCACTGATTCATTCTACCTACCTTCAATTATTTATTCATTTATAAAAATCATACTAAATAATTTCACCCACATTTATTTGATAAAAAATCTATTTGATTATTATTTACAAAAAGAAGTAAGTCATTTTTTTTCTAAAATCATAAAAAAAAATTTGTACAATTTGCAAATATTCAATTTCAATTTTTCTTTTTAAAAAATGAATGAAATCAATATCAAAAATCATTTGTAAAAGGTAAAGTTTTTGACAAAAAGGATTAAATAATTATTGACTTAAATAAATATTTTGTAGTGAAATTCATAATCTTGATAGAAAAACTTTTTTTAATTAAATACTGATATTTATTTAATGGTATTTTTTTTAGAGTAACATATTATTTTTTTTAAGTTTTATTTTGCTTATGAGTAATCATACACCTAACTGCATACCATCTCATTAAATAATTTGAATTTTTCATTTTTAATACTAAAAATAGTTTAATATTTAAGTATTTAAGTTAGATATAGTATTTATTTATTCTTTGATTTTATTTACTTCGAAATAAAATTATCAAAATTAAATTTTCAATCTGAAAATTTGTTCATTATTGATTATCAAAACATAAAAACTTAAAAAATGCTGGTATACTTGCTATTTTTAAGAAAGTAATCTAATTTATTTCTTTCATTAATTTGTTATTTAATGTATAAAATGATCTTTTGAATATTAAAAAATACAGAGCAGTTGGAAATACTTAATTGCATCTACATAAAAAATGATAAATTTAAAAAGAAAACTAAAATAATTATTCAAATAGATTTATTTAAATTAATTGTTACTTTAATATAAAAAACCAAGATATTCTAAAAGCCTCTATTTTATAACCATTTAAGCTAAAAATTCCAATTTTATTTTTATTTGCATTTTTTTATTGATTATTTTGTAATAAACCAAATATGTAAATAAAAAGAAAAAAATGAACAAAAAATTTTATTTAGTTTTTAATCGTTTTAAATAACTGTAATATATCAATAAAAAATTTAGCACTTTTATTATTTTATATCAATGTTCCAAATCTATTTATCTCCTAGATTTTATTTCTGACATTTTGGTATACTAACTAATACTATTATGGTACTTACAGTTTTGATGAGCGAGGAAAATAAATGCGTATCTTATTTGTTTTTGAAGAATAAGTATTTGAATTAAATCAAAAAGTAATTAAGAATATCAATTTAAAAAAATTTTTATTTATATTGGAAAATCATAGTATGCATGTTTAGGATTTACTATTTTTCGAAAGATTATTTTCAAAAGTTAGTTATGTGAGATACCTAACTTATTTAGTATTTTATCTTGGGAATGGAAGATTAAAATTTGTATACATGATTAATAAAAATATTAATAATCTAAACTGCTTTAAAATAAATTAAATTAATAGTTTTTTATGAATTTGATCAAATTAACTTTCAATAAAAAAATTAATTTCCCAAACAGATTTAATACAAATCTTTATTTTTTGAATATTGTTTCAATTAAGTTGAGAAAATAGATTAAGAAGAAATTTTAATTTAAATATTTAATTTTATTTAGAATATATAATATACTACATATTAAATGAAGATTTTTATATAATTATGTATCAGAAGTAACGATACATAAGCTGAAAAATATTTTCACTAACCATCTACCTAGTACTTACTTTCTAATATTTAGGCTGGCTTCTAATTAATTATTCGATAATTACACTTTTTAGGATTGATATTGTAGAAAAATTATAATTAAATTTGCTTCTAATCTGATTTTATCAAATTAATAGATTTTTCAAATACCACTAGTTTGTTTCGTTCAAACTTACCCCTTCGTCTAAGAAAATTATGAAAAAATGATAACTAATAGCTGCTTGTTTTATTTCAAATATTTTATCATATTTGAATTTAATGATGTTTAGAAAAAATTTAAGTATTACACATAGAAATTTACTTTTACTCCTTTTTTATGTTAGCTTGCTTAAAGCAAAGCTCTTACTTATAGCATTTATAAAATGAGCACAGCTTGCATACAGATTAAATTTTTGAAGTTTTAATATAAATATATATTATTAATATAACAAAAAGTAAGGAAATTTCCATTTGAATTTGGATCTAGACATACTCATTAATTGATTGATTTCACTATATTATTATTCTCATGTATTTTTAAGCAATATAATCAATTTTAATCTGAAAAATTCAAAATATAAAGAAATTTAAAAAATAAATTCAATCATACCGAATAATTAACTAAACCATATTTTTTTACTAATGGAAGACCAGAAAGACAAACTAAAAAATCAAGAAAAATAAAATAATTTAAAAATAAATGATAAAATAATCGAAACTCACTCTATTGATGAAGCAGATTAAGATATTTAATAAGATTTTAATGAAAAGATTAATGCTTAAGCTTAAATGCCGCCTCCTTTAATGATAAACCCTAATAAGGTAATATATTTTTAAGTTAAGATAATTAATTATTAATAAAAATTTATCTTTTTTAAATAGAACTTAAAATAAGAATAAATTTCTAATAATTAAGAAAAAAAAAATGGGGAAATATTATAACCAGCAAACGCTTATTAAATACCTTAAGTCTAAGAATTTGATATTTTAAAGAACAGTTAAGGAGAATTTTAAATAGAAGATAATTAAAACTTAGAGATGATCACTCCTGTAACAATGCCTGATAATAATCATAATTATTTAAAAGAGAAAAAATCAAATAACTCTAATCAAACTAAAAATAATTAAGGGACTGCTAATTAAAAATAATAATAAAATTAGTTAGTCAAGAAACTATTTCAAAAATAAAGCAGTCAAAGTGTAATTATAGAGCATGGTCTAAATACATAAACGCCAAGCAGCCTTTCAAATAAGGAAAATAATGGTAAGGATCAATAAAAATTACCCAAGAGCAAACGTGAAATTAAACAAAAAAAAGCTCTTTTAAGCTTATCTACTTCTAATAATATCTTTGGTTTTTTAGTTAAGAAATCTAATTAAGAAGTAAAAGCTTTCAGTGAGACTGAAAATTATCATTCAGATACTTTCTGCTGCGACATGTTGTATAGAGACGATTGTTGCCTTAAACAAGTCTTAGACTTAATTTTCCAATTCGTATTTGCTCCTTTCAGACTCATGATATTTATTATCAGAATATGCATTGCTTGCTGTGAAGACGATGGTGATGATGATATCAGCAACAACAGTGAGGAAAATCCATGTTTTACATGTTGTTATAATTTAATTTATTGTCCGTTTAAGTGTTGTGGAGACTGGTTAAATTAATTTGCCTTTTCAATCAAATAATTCATCTGTAAAAGTCTTTGGATTTTACCAGAATAAGCAGTCGCGTTCTATAATAGTAACATACAAATTTGCTTAATTTAAGCAGGACTTTTCTTTAAAAATTGCTGTTTTTTTACTTCATATTACAAATTCTTAGAAAACCTAACTGACTGTTGCTGTTTAAAACCTTTTCACTTACTCGGAGAATGCCTAATGTGGCTATGTTCCCCTCAAGGGTTTTGCTAAAAATTTTTCAAAATCATAAATTTTGTTACCTGCAAAATAATTTCAGTTACTTGTATCTCAAAATTATTTTATTGTTGCTATTCAAAAGTTTAAAAACCCTTAAAAAACAACAAGGAAATAAGCATTTCTTATTTTTGTGGGTGTGCTTTTGATACTACAGGTGACTATGAAGATATTGAATAAAATCTATGAAAAAACTAAGAAATAAATAAATTTTTTCTTTCCAACCAATTTCCCTTTAATCTTATCCAATTTTGATTCCCTTATCTTATATACTAATTCAACTTATCTATTTATTGCGTAAAGCTTGTAATTATATAAATATACTATGTAAGTAATTTTATAGTTAACATATTTGACAAATAAAAATTAAATAAAATCAACCATTTATTGATAGTCAGTCACATCAACTTTTTATCCCATATTTGATTATTGATATATTCATTAATAGTTATCTTTTAAAATCTAAGTGAGTGAATATTTTATTTTCTACACAATTTAGGTAAAACTAATAAATAATTCCATAAAAACTTCTAAATGACAAAGTGAATTGTATACATTTCTTAAAATTGATATTTTCTCAAATTAGTTTTGTTAAAAAAAGGCAAATCAAAATATTGCATCAATCAAATTATAAAATTTAATTAAATTTAAAAAATTAGTTCTACTAATAATGCATATTATTTTTTTTGTGTGAATATATGAAATTATGATTATCTTATAGAAAAGATATATCTAATATCTGAGTAAAAATACCAACAATTAATTTTGTCTTAAGAAAAATGTATTTTTCAAATCTATTTTTGGGAGGAGATATTAAGTGGTAATTTATACTGAATAATCAAATATTAGTTTCGTCTATTAAAATAAACAATAAAATTGTCTTTCAGTTAATTGCTTATTATTTTTTATTTAACAGCTAACAAACAATTTGAAGAAAATTTTCTGATAATTTTTATAAATTTTTATTTTTTTAATCGTTAATTATTACTTACTAAAAATAACTAGTTCGAAGGTATCTAATTCGACTTATTATTTTTATATTTTTTTGTATCAAAAAATATCAAATGATATAAAAATATAATAGTTCGATTTACAAAAATTTTATTTATTAATTTAAAGTATTTTAAGGTAAAAGTATGTGCAATACTTTTTATACATTTTTAGTTTATTTAAGCAAGAAAATAAAAGACATCAAACTTTATTTGTAAAAATTGTAATCTCTAAAAAAAATTAAATAAATTATACTAAGTATAAATTAATTTTAGGTTTCTTCATGCTCTTGAATAGCTTTTTAATTAGATGACTAATTTAAAAAGTAATTAATTGTAATTTTCATCAAATCAAATTTTAAAAATACTGTAAAAATATGTTAACTTTAGATGAAGAAAAAAATTAATTTAAAAAAATTATTCATGCTTTTAATAATGCCCTGTTTTTTTTAAATATGGTAAAAAAATTTAAATTAATTAAGATAAAATGGTTTTTCAACTATTTAAATTGCAAATTAAAAGTTATTTTTATAATTATTTGCAAAATATTTTAATGACTTAAATCAAGTTTAAAGAAAAAAAGTTATTTTTTTGAGATTCATAAATATTTTGATTTTTTGATAAAAATTAAATCCAAAATAATAAAATATGAATTGTTGACTATTTTGTATTAAAAAAATAAATTAACAAATAATTTTCATAAATATTGACTTGCATGAATTAATTTTATTTATTGAGATATTTTAAAGTTTAAAAATTTTGAAAATATAATTTAAATTTTAATAAATATGCTTGTTAAATTTACTTAATTTAGATAAAATAATTTAATTTTAAAATAATAATTATAATTAATTGACTTTTTTTGGTATTTGTATATATTTTACCTATTTTTTATAAAAAATCAAAACAACAAAAGATTTTTATAAACATGATGAAGTAGAAATAAATTTGAATCATATATTTAATTTGAATATTTTCATTTTAATATATAATTAATTAAAATAAAATATCAAAAAATAAATCGTTTTAGTTTTATAAGATTGATTATAAATTGTAAAGATGAATATGTTTATTTATTTAAGGCATTAGTTTTTATCTTGTTAATATATTTTTTAAATTTTATGTTATCTTAAAAATTCTAATAGAATATTTAAAATTTTGTATCTGTATTTGATGGATTTTTCTATTGAATGCTTCTTAAATAATTGAAGTATTGAACTTTAAAGCAAATTTTAAGGAATTTAAATGTTGTTGAGATATTTTGGAAAGTATAAATTTAAAGTTGGAGATAGATAATAATATTTGAATTAAAATTAGATTTAAAATGAAATAAGAGAAAATATTTGATCAACATTCATATGATATATATATATATTTTTTAAATATGAATGCTATCAGATTTACATAATAATAATAATTGGTAAATGCATAGCAAAAAAATGTAATATTATTAAATTCTTTGAACTCAAGAAAAAAAGAAAAAATAAATAATTTTTTTAGGTTTTGGCAAAGATCATAACTTTATTTTACATCAAAAAGCAAGTAAATTTTTAATCAAAAAATCAGATGAGCAAAAGCATTTAATATTGAACGCAGAAAAATTAAGCATGCTGATGTACTTTACATTGTAAATTAATTTAAAAAAGAATAAAGTACTAATATAAGAATAAATGAATGAATACGTAATAAAGATAAGCAGAAAATTAATATTAATTTTTGAAATAGTAATTTTATTAAATAGGATTAATACCAACAAAAAAAAAGTACTTACGAAGTTTTAAAAAGTGAAGTTTATAAATAAATATGTCAAAAGCAAGAGATATCAAGGTTGTCATTTTAGGTGATGCAGGTAATTATCATCAATTACGACATATTTTTAAATAGCAGGATTAAAAGCTTATAATTAATTTGGAATTATATTGTCATCATTTTTCATTATTTGATTTTGCACTATTAAATATACACAAATATAAATGTGCAATTTATAAAAAATAAGTTGAATGAATCTGCTTAATGATTTACTATGTTAAAGTTTATTATGTTATTTCTTTAAAAAAGGTGTTGGAAAAACAAGTATCTTGAATAGATTCTCAAACAAAGGTTTTGATGAAAACTCTTAAACAACTTTGGGAGCTTCATTTATCCCAAAAGTATTGACCAGGGGTGATAAAACCTACAAATTTTAGGTATTAAATAAATATAATATTTTAGATCTTTAATGAAAGCACCAATTTTAATTTTACGATTATCAGAATGAAAATTTTTAATCAATAATACTTATTTCTTTTAGATTTGGGATACTGCCGGTTAAGAAAAATACAGATCATTGGCCCCTCTTTATTATAGAGGTAACAATTAATTATTAAGCCAAATAAAAGAATTTGAGTTCTATTTTTTATACATTTTAAAGATACTCATGCAGCTTTGATTGTTTATGATATCACCAATAGGGCCTCCTTTGATGTATTAAAAAAATGGGTTCAAGAACTTAGAGAACATGGTCCTGCTAATATCAGTAATTTATTTATCTATTTTATTTTAGCGAATTCATAAAATTAATTTCTCAAGTACCACAAAGAAAAAAATATGTCTAATTCATATAATTCATAGATAACTTTGTTTTAAACTCATTTAAAGAGATAAATATTTGGAATAGCTTTTTATTAATTAATTTTTGAAAATAATGATATTGGTTTTTAATAAATAGCCATTGCAGTAGTTGGTAACAAAGTTGATCTTATTGATAGGGAAGATGTTAAATACGATGAAGCTAAATAGTACGCAAATGTAAAAAACCAAATTCTACAATTTATAATAGCTTATTGATTTTTTATCAAACATAATATCTATCAATTTAAAAATATTCCCATAAATTATTTAATAGGAATTAAATGCCATCTTTTAATACACAAGTGCTAAGGAAAACCAAAATATTGAGGTAAACAATATTCTAAATAATAATTAGAATATATTCTATAAAACATCAAAAATAAATTTAAGTGATTAATACTTTTTTAATTAAAATTATAATAGAGTTTATTTATTTAAATTGCTGAGAAAGAAGAATAAAAAGATATTAATCCAACAAAGCCATAATCAAATAAAGGATTTTAAAATTAGGTTTAAAGACCATAGGGAGGAGGCTGCAATTGTTGAATAAACACACAACACAGCACACATTTAAAATTAGTAACAAAAGATTAAAAATATAATGAAAAATATAGATTTATAAAAAAAAATTAATAAACAATTAATATAAAGTTATTAAATATTATCTAATTCTTGCGTAATTCATTTAGTAGATTCTCAATTTATCCAATAAATAATTATCTTCATAATTTATATAGAGTATTTATCCAATCTATCTATCTTTCTATCAATTATTTTATTAATTATTAGCTTTTATTTTTTTTAATCAAATTTTAATTTTTTAGTTAAGCATTTGTCTGTCTGTCTTTTCTTAAATATTTTAATTTATTTATTAATAAAAACTAGAAAAACTTAATGATAAATTTTGTAAAATTCACCAAATTTAAATTAAGTTGATTCCAAAATATGTCTTAAATCAATTAAAATTTATTTGATGAATATTATACATTTATCAGGCTTTTTTTGTTTTAAATTCATGCATACTTTATGAATAAATAAACTTAATTTACTGCATATTTTATTATTAAATAAGCTCTAAAAAAATTATAAAAAAGTAGAGCTTTATTTTCTTTTTTAATAATTTTTTTCAATTCATTTGATGAAAAAAATTATTGATGTGATAAAGAACAAAGAAGTATTGAGTTATTTCTACTTCTTAATTAAATATTAAAAATTAAAATTTATAATTCAAGTAAATAACTCGAAATAAATAAAGACTTAGATAGATTGCTTATTCATTTTTAAAGTTTTTAACAAGAATAAAAGTAAATGGATACTATTATGAAAGTTGTAAGCTTAAAGGAGCAGCTAATTGAATAAAGCAGTAAAATTAATGATGCTTAGACAAGATCATCTAAAAGTTTTAGGATTAGTTCTCCCTTAATGCAATAAGTTAAACTTTTTTAAACTAAGAGCTAGTAGAATTAGAAAAGAAAAGATAGCTATTCAACTCAATCTAACTCTCCTATAGCTAAGTATAATAATTTTAATTAATTTGCAAATACTAGCCAAATTAATTAGGTAGATAGAGAAATTCTTGATATTACTAGATAAAGCTTACTTTCATCCCAAACATTTAGAAACAGTGATCAATTATCTCCAAGAACCCTTGAGGCTGCTAAGAAATATTTTTAAAATGGTATTGAGTTTGCTGAAGATAAGGATTCTGTATAAGAAGATTCGTATTCTGATTCAAGCAGCAGTGAAGACGAAAATAGAGATAATTAAAATGATAACAATGATTTGTTGTTAGAAGAAGAGTTATCTGAGTGGAAAACCTTAAAAATAGAAGATGTCTTCAGTTTATTTGAAGCGAAATGTGCTGATAATAAGTTGAAAATTCTACCTTAATAACTATTCAAATTTGTAGATAAGCTCAAAAGCTAAATAAAGAAAGGCAGCTTAAATTTATAAGAACTTTAGTTAGGTGTTTAGTCATCTAAAAAAGTCATTTAACTATTAAAAAACAATTCAAAGTCAAAATACCAATTCAGCAAACTCCTGTTAGCAAAAAATAATTTCGGTGATTAAGGCATTTAGCTGTTATGTAATTTTTTAAATAAGTAGCGCAGATCAAACATTGTTCACCTTGATATATCTAATAATAATATCACTTCTGAGGGTATTAAATAAGTAGTAAAAATGGTTAGTTTAAATCAAAATATTATATCTCTCGATATATCTAGCTATGATGGCTATAATAGAAATAGGCTCTCTCGCTCAGCTTGCATTGCTTTGAGCTAATATATTGCCTAGACTGAAGTATTATAATTCCTTAAAATGTAAAACTGCTGCATAGGACCATAGGGTTTATTTTCGTTAAGCAAAGGCTTTGCAGCCAATAGATCTATTATAAGCTTAGATATTTCTAAAAATGATATAGGTAAGGACTGTAGCTAGTGTTTTGAATCTATACTCTCTCACTCTAAAATAATGGAATTAAATTTGAGAGGAAACTTTTTAGGAGATTAATCGATCACAAAAATAGGAGAGCTGCTTAAGCCTGGATTAAAAATGTGTGTCTTAAATATTTTAGATATTTCTAACAATAAGCTAACATCTGATGGCATAAATAATTTCTTTGAAAGCATATAAAAAAATCAGTATTTAGAAAGATTAATTTTAGATTAAAATAATCTAAGAGGAGGACTACCTGAAATTATACAATTTTTGTAAGAGAATTCAAATATAACTTATCTTTCTATGATTGATTGCTGCATCTACCCAGAAGTAGTAGAATCTATAGCAACTGGATTGTCTAGAAATAACAGTCTTAAATCTCTAATCCTTAGTAAAAATTTCATAAAAGATTAAGGTAAATAAAAGATTAATTTATATTTTATTACTTAAATAAAATGGCTATTTAAAATTATAAATATAGGAGCAGAAATGATCGCCCAGAGTATGAAATACGACCCAAATTTAATTACAAACAGAAGATTAAAAATGTTAGATTTATCAAAGTGTGCCATTGAAGATTACGGAGGTCAAGTTTTGTGTAATTTTATTTATATTAAAGCCATTAAAATTAATTAAATATTTTTAAAAAATTATTTTAAAAAACTTAAAAAATACCCTCATAAACATTTTATTAAATTCTAACTATTTATGAAACTTAGCTGACGCTTTTAAATCACATTAAGGGATAATTGAAATTAGCTTATGCCATAACTTATTAGGAGATGCATCTGGATTTTCTCTGATTGATTTAGCTAGAAATAATTAGAAAATAATTAAATTAGATTTAGATATGAATTTAATTAGATTAGATTATATGTAAGAAATTTAAAGATTAATTGACATGAATGTTGATAATCACAAATCAATGAGAGAGCCTTATTTGAAAGAGAAGCTAATTGAATTAAAATCTATTGAATAAAGACCAGAAGATTTTTAAAAGAAGGAAGAAGAATTTCAAAAAAAAAATAATTTGCATAGCTAAGAAATAAATAAATATAAAGATTTGCATCAATAAGAAGAGTAAGAGTGCAAATAAATGTACGATAAATTAATGGATGAATTTGTTGATATAAAAAAAATTAATTAATCAATAATTATCAGTAAAGATTATGAAATTTAACATAATAAAATTCTTGCTGATTATGAAAATCAAATATCTGAACTTAGAATAGAAAATGAAAAGCTATAAAATGAGCTCTAAGCCTATAATGCTCAATTTTAGAGTAAATACTAAGTATATAGTAAAAGAAAAAGCTAGCTTGAAGAGTAAAAAAAGAAATTGTATGATAAAAAGCTATAAATGATAATGTAAGTAGAAGATGCTTCTAAGATAAACAAAGATTTAGAAAATAAAGTAAAATAAATTTAAGATAGAATTAAATTACTTCAATAAAAGACTAAAAATAAACCTAATAGAAAATAATCTGCTAATATTAAATAAGCTAAGTGAATGTTTATTATATTAATACTTATGATATTCTGTCAACTAATTATTAAAACTAAACAAAATTAAAAATTAATCATTTCTTTTATTTATTTTAATTATTAAATGAAATGATATCATTGTTTTCATACTTAAATGTTATTTTAGTTTGAAAAAATAAAAATATTTTTTCACGTTTTCAATAAAAATTATAATTAAAGTAATTTTAAAGTTAAATTTATAATTTAGAGTATAAATATCTTTTTATCATTATAGGATAATATAATCAATAATAAATTAGTTCAAAAATCCTAAATTTTAAAGTTAAATAAAAGTAAAAACATAAATTTTTCAAATTAAAAAATCTAAAAGAAAAATATATTTTTTTGTTTTTGTTTATAAAAATTATTTAGGAATTCATATCATAAATTTCATTTTGTATTTATAATAAGATGAATTAATAATAGTTTAATTCAATAAGTATTTGTATTAAATTAACTTAGTTAATGCTTGATAAAATGATGAAAATTTTTATCTAAATTGTTAATTATCAAATTGTATAATTAGTATAAGTATTATAAAAAATTTTTTAACCAATCTTTTGGAATGTGAAAAAATCTTTAAAATTATTTAAGAAACTTAGAATCATTCAATAACTTAAATATTGGTGAACGAATTACGATATAATTAAGTACAAAGAAATTACAAAGCGAAATGAGTAGTATTAGAGACAGAAGACGATTGAAATATCATAATAATTCATAAACTAATACCAATTTAAACTAGAACTCTAATGCAAATAGTGTTTATAATTAAACAATTATTATGCACAGCCCATAGTTTAGCATAAATAATACATTTATCAATGAATAAAATGCAAATAATGGTAGTAATTCTAACAATCAATCAATTAATTACTACCAAATTAATTAACAGGCTAATATCGAAAATATCAACAACTAAAATATTATCAATACTCCATCTTATTATGCAAAGTAAGAACCGAATTTAAGTAGAAACGCATCTAAAAATAACAGCGCTTAGGGAAAAGTATATATAAACAGAAAATTGTCTCATGAGAAATATTTTATGAATTTCTTTCCTCCCACTAAAAGTAATCAAAATTCTATCACTTATGATATGAACGAAAGCATAAAAACATAAGAATAGATTATGGGAAATTTAGCTTAATATCAAACATTAAATCACTAAAATTAAAATGCAAAGGAATATAATACAATATAGTATAATTCACTTCAGCCGCCACCATCTTAGGAAGGTATTTCTTAATCTAAATCTAAAGTAATCAATTAGATTGTTAGAAATTTTAACTTCTTTTCTTGAAAATAAGAAGAAATGTATTTTTTTCATAATTTCATGATATCAATAATTATTCATTTATATAGGGGAAAAATAGCTTTAGAAAAAACTCAGTTAAGCGTCCATCTATGAATTCACCTCCATAAAGCTATATACCTTAACCACCTAATCAATCTAGTTAGTACAATTCAGTTTGCAAATAAAATAATTAACAGACTAATAAAGATAATAACAGTATAGAGTTTTAAACTGCCTTTGTACTAATTTATTTATATATCCATAAAATTATTTTTAATTAATCATTTATTATTAAAAGGTGATGCCTGACAATCCTCAAAATCTATAAAATTTATTCTTAGCTTAAAATCCTGATCTAGGTAGTCGTATTGTTGTAGAAAAAAAAAGTAAAGAAAGGCTAGATAAAAATATTTAACTAATGCAAATATATGGTAACAAAGCAATTAAGAGATCATAGAATTAAATCCCAATCTTAAATTAATCAGGATAAATTTTAAATTATTATGTGCCACAAGTAAAATATAGAAATTTAAATCAATTTATTTTATAAATTCATTAAAAAATACTTTAAAATCTTATCTCTTTTTTTGTTTAAAAATGAAATTATTCAAAACAATCTTTTAATATTGAAAAGGAATAAAGATAGAGTAAGTCTACTGGACGCCATCATAGTGTTTTAAAAAGGAGGTAAATAAGAGATAGTTCAAATCCAATTAACTCTTGCAATGAAAGTTAAACTATTTAACATACTAAATGCAATATACTTCCAGGAGCAAATTTTAGATCAATTTCACATGAAAGATAAAGTCTTTACTCTAATTTGAGGCAGTAAAATTCTAAAGGTTATTTTGAATCTCTAAAAACTGATGTATATGTCAATGGAGAAAGATAGAAAAGTAGTGCATAAAGAGGATCAAAATAAACACAGTTATCTTAAAATAATATAGCATCGGCATATTAATCTAATAATACCAACTAAATTTAACATTAAAGTTAGCAAAAATAAAATTCTGCATAATAATTTTAAATATAAAATCCTGCATAGGTTATAGCTTAACCATAGAGATCAAAAAGCTTTGGCAGGTCTAGAGCATATAAATTTATAAATAATTCAAACGAAAAATAGAATAATGTCTTATAAGAAGTTTTAAGCTCATAATAAAATCAAATAAAAAAATTGCATATTAATAAAATTAAATTAGATAATAATTTTTATGGAAAAGATGAATAACTAATGCAAAGAAATGATAGTGGAGAAAACATTAATTACTAATCATAGCAAAGTGATTATTTAGAATAATATATTGGTGCTATAGTTAATTAAGAAAACATGTCAACCTCTAATTATGACAGACTTTCTTCCCATATGGATAAACTTTCACAAAAAATTCTTACTTAATAATCTGATCTTAAAAACTTACTTTAACCTTTAAGTTCTGTGTAAAACTCTGAAAATCTTCAATAAAATTAACACTCAAATTTCAACAGATTTTCTTTTGATTAAAATTATGATCCAAATAGGAGCTTTAATGATCTTCCATCTTCTGTTATTGAAGGTACTAAATATTTTAAATTATACTTTGAAAATTTAATTTATGCTTAATTGAATTTTTAAATAGAAAATAAATCTATTCAACAAAAAAAAGGCAAATAATTAAACATTTTTTGTTATTGTTCATAATCTAATATTAATTTTAACTAAGGAAACTTAAACTTTTGTTGATAATTAACAACAAAAAAAATTGTAAATAAAAAAATAATAAATATGTAATTCTATTTTTATTAGAAAAAAGGTAAGATGGAGGTGATGATTCTGATAAATATAATAATGATTAGTTTGAAGAGGATTAAGAATCAGTTTAAGGACCTTCGTTTGCTCCTTCAGTTCTTAAAAAGGATAGTTTTATAAGTTAAGATAGCAAATAGCCTATTTAAAATTATCACAATTAATCTTACAATATAAAAGAAGACTCTCATATTATGAGGCCTTAGGGCTCAAATATACCTTAATAATAATCGCATTATTCATCAATAAACTCTTTTGGTTGTCCTAATTCGTTTATTGTAGATAAGTAAAATAAAGAAAACAATGAACTGCAAACAATAAATGTAGGATCATTAATGTCAAGTTAATAAGTTGAAGTTATTGAAGAGTCTTTTGGTAGTAATTTTTAGCAATAGAGCTCTGTTTTGAATTAAAAGCAAAGTAAGCAGTAAAGTAAAGTGCAATCAGAAATAAAATTAATAGATGAAAGTATAGTTCAGTAAAATTCCTAACAGTCTTTTGTTCAAGCTTAACAAAAATAAAAAATGCAGCCTCATCCTCCTTAACTGTAAAAAGCAGCTTTAAGAAGCTAAGGAAGTTTAGGATCCTAATTAGATGAGGTGGATGTAGTTGGATAGCTTAATAAAAAATAAAAATAACAAAACCAATAAGTAACTTTTTGTGAGTCACCAATAATAATGGAACCAAAATAAGAATTGCTAGCTGTTGCAGATGATAAGAGATTTAAAAGAAATGCTGCTAAAATTTATAAAAGAAATGATTTACTAAACAAAAATACTCTAAAAGACTCTAAAGACAATATAGATGTTTAAAAAATATAGTAAATGAAATTAAATTTACAGTTCCAAGTAGGAGATAAAAAGACACTTATACCTTAATAGAATCAAAAGTTAGATTAAGTAAATTTTTTTTTATTTTTTACATTTATTTTAATTTATTTTTATAAAGTTAAAAGACAAACTAACACTGTAATTAGAAAATGTATCTGCAAATATTATTAATAAAGTTAATTAAAATCAATAATCAATCGATGATTAAGGCTCTGATCTTAATCCAGTTGATGAGTTGAGTACCTGCAAAGAAGAAAGAAATCTTCTTGATGACAATGAAGAAGTTATTAATTCAAAAAAATCAATAATAAATTCCTAATTTGATTAAATGATAGTTACTTCTTTAAATAACTATCTTAACAAAACAGAAACTGATCAAGATATTAAAGTAAAATCTGATGGAAACTTCTAGCATTATAAATACTGAATTAGCGATAATTAATTAATAAATTATTGTTAATAATTATAATTAAAAAATCTATAATAAATTAATAGAAAAAAATGTAAATAAATAAATCATTCAAAAAATTCACTATATTATATGTAGTTTTTCTTTATAATTAATTTTAATATTTGTGTATTTACTAGATTTTTGAAGAAAAAAAATGCCAGTTTGCTCGAATTTTAAAACAGTCTAATAAATTCAGTAATATATTTATGTTGAGATGTTTAGTGGAGTAAATAACGAAAAAATTAAATTCATTCTAAAAGAGCACTCAGTTTAAAATGGTGCCAAATTCGACAATTATTATTGTAAAAACAAACTTGATAAGCATTTATTTATCTAATAGCTAAAAAAAAATATTTTTACGAATTAAAAATTAATTATTAAAAAATTTAAAAATATCAATCATATCGTTTTTATAACTCAAACGATGACCATGTATAGTATATATAAACTTTATATATATAATTATATATTTTATAATGTGAAATTTATATTTACTTTTATATTAATATACTTTTAATCTTGATTTCATTGAAATAAAATCAAATTTTTAATTATTATTAGCTTTCAAAAAGCATTTTTATTAGAAAATGTTCATTTATTATTTATATGAGAATTTTATTTATATAGCTAAGCTTATTTTAATATTATTTAAATGAATTATTTAATTCAAAAATAAATTTATAACATTTTTAATTAAATTTTTGCTATTTTTAATTTTTAAGGTGTGATAAATAAAATTCAATAATTTATCATTTTAAAAATTCTTGTTTTATTTATGAAAGATTTTTTTAATGATTTATTTTAATTTTGATTTAATTAACAATCAAATCAGAATGCTATTTACTACTAATTTCTTTATCTTTGACATATTTTTTTATTACAAGTTGTTTATACAATTCTCACTGATTGGGTTTTCCCTAATAAATAATATTAATTGATTTATTTATTTATGGTTTTTCATATATATAAATTATTACCAAAAGCAAAGCTGAATGTTTTTGAGGTTTTTACATTTTTGTATTTCTCTACCTAGTTAAAGAGCTGCAACGTCTTTGATAAAGTTATTTCTTTAAAATAATATATTAAAAATATAATGATTAAATTGTAAAATAAATAATTATTATATTTACGATAAATCTAAAGAAATTGAAACAATTTTCTATAACTTTGAAATTTCATTTGCTAGTACTTAAACAGCATTATTATAAATTAAATTTTTTCTATTTTCATATTTAGTTAATAAGAAAGAATATTTGCAGTGCTAATTTAACTTACGAAATATTAATTTATAAGAAAGTTAGATTTTGTAGTTTAGAAATATTATTTGCTAAAAAGCAAACTCCTCCTGTTTCTATGTAGTTTTTTCTATTTAAAAAGTCATTATAATTTAATAAAAAAGTAAATAATAAATATATAGTCTACTAAAAAAATAGAGTCAATTTTCTTAAACTTAAGCATTTAGACAGGCTTGTTGATAAGCTGATCACACCTTCGTCATAAATATGATTCTCACTAACATATTTAATAAAATTCTATAAAATGATAAAATTAATAAAATTAATTTACCACGAAAGTAAAGAAAACGATTATAAACTCTAAAATTTAGATAATTCGTCACCAATCAAAATTAAACCTTTATTCCCTAATTAATTTTTGCTGTTAAATTATTAAAAGTTTTATAATTTTTTATTGTTTTAAATGTTTTTTACTTTAAATCTAAGTACAGCTAGCTTAAATTATTGCAATTATTTAATTCTTTGAGTAAATTTTAAGCTCCTTCCTAATAAATCTTGCTTTCTCTAAAACATAAAAATGTAATAAACATTTGGCTAAGATATAAAAAATGTTATAATACCTCAAGTAAAGAAATAAGTCTGTCATATTTTTTAAGTTTGCCAATTCTTTTCCCACGATTTCAAGCTCATCTCCAAGAGGGTTTTCGCTATAAAATAAGATTTAGTTAAATCAATAAAAAATATTTGTACTTAAGTACTTAAAACACTAAATAAAGAAAAATTGCTTCATTTTTTAATAAAATTAATTACTTTAAATTGAGTTCTAAATATTTTAATTTTTTTGGCTTCGTTAATTACATCAATAGTTATTTGAGACCTTCATTTGTTATCAAATTTTATCTAATTTAATTCAAATTTATCATTAAACATTACAGCTTTAAAATTTTAATACTGTAGCTATAATACTAGTGATTCAAGATTAATACATTTAGAAATTTACAACCCTAACTCATTTGCTTTATTGTCTTTAATCCCTTTATTTCTAATAAAAAATCACATTTTTAAAACTGTAAGACAAATCATTAATATCAAATAAAGTATTTAAATTATTCTTTTATTAAATTTTACTTTAAATCTAATTTTATCTCCTCTAAGTTAGGAATATCCTCTTCTTTTATCTAATAAATTTTATAATAAATATAACTTTAGTTTGATTTCAAATTATTACTTCACTTAAATAGTTCATTTTATTTGATTTTATCTTCTACTTTTGCACTCAATTATTATTTAATTAATTTCTTATAGAATTTTTTTTAATTTAATAAATAATATCTTATCTTATGATAAAATCTGGTGATTGAATTTTCTATATAAAAAAATATTTACTAAATAAACAATTTTCGTGAAACGACAAATAATTTGATAATTTTATAGATTTGAAGTGATATGATATGATAGGAATATAAAATAAAAATTATTTGATTTTCATTAAATATGAAGTAAAAACAATAAATTTTAATTATTGATTAAATTATTTTTAAAAATATTTTTAAATAAAATTTAAAATGCTTAAAATAAATTCAAAATAAATAAAAGTTTTTAAATACTTTATTTATACAATTTATACTTAATTTTTCAAATAATATTTTAAATGACGATTTATTTATTTACAATGTAAATTATTTAATCTCTCAAAGAAACTGCAACATTTAACTTTAACTTTTCATCTAAATGAAAAATTCATTAAAACTAGTTTATTTAATTTCATAAAGAATCTTCTTATCTGCAAGTGCAACTTTTGTTAAATTTATCTAAATAATTTTATGATAAAAATTAATTGTACAAAAAGTTTTTATTCATTTTACCTCACTGTGACTTAAAAAAGTTTTAATGATTTACATTTGTAAATCTATTTCATAATTTCATAAAAAACATTTTCACTAAAATTACAGTTGCTAAAATTATATAACAAATAGATATTTAAATATTTTGAAAATTAAAATTAATTTTACTAAAATGAAATGTTTAGTTCTTCAACTTGAAGTAATTTAGATATTGTGTTTCCAATCGATATTGCTCCTTCAGAATTGATTGTATTACCACTTAATCATTAATAAAAATAAAATAAATTTTTAATTATTCTTTTTAAGTAGAATAAACCTTAGATTAAGATAGAGTTTAGTTATTTAACTGCAATATTAAATTTCTTATAATGAGGCAACTCCTGTTTCACGAATACTGTTCCCACTAAAAAAAGTTAAATTTAAATTTAAATTTAAATAATAAAAATTTACCTAAAATCAAGTATCATGGTTTTTAAGTTAATTAAGTTCTTAAAAGACTTTGAAAGTTCAATAATTGTTTCATCTGTTATATAATCACAACTGTTTATGTTATATTTTTAAATAATAATACTTTATTGTTTGCTATTTTTTAAATATTACCACATTTCTAAGGAGAGAAATTTCAAATTCTTATACTTTATAACTCTTTAAATTAATTATAATGCTGGCCAATTTTAGAATCTTAAAAAGCTTTTTTAATATAAGAAATTATGTTTTGTCTAGAAAATAATTCTTTACTTAAAATTGAGTTGCAAGTGCTTCAGATTTTCTATTTACTTATCACAAGGTACATCACTGAAGCATATAGAATCGTTTATGTCATTTCCACTATTTAAATTGGATATTTTAAACAGATATTTGGAAAAAAAGTGGTTTTACCTCACATCAAAAATAATAACTTCTAAGTTTTAAAGATTCCAAATAGTTTCAAGAATACTTTCTGTAGATTCATTTTGAATTTTGTTATAACTTTTTAAAAATATTAAAATTATTAAAGAAAAGTGTTAAATAATTTAAAAACCTTAAATCCAAAGCTATTTTTCTTAAATTAACTAACAAAGATATTCCTTGGCTTAATTCTAAAAGCCCTTGATCTCCAAAAGCATTTTTACTTAATATAATTTTATTTATTTTTATAAAACTTAAATAAATAATACTGGACATAAAGAGTTAGTTCTTATATATGTGATACATGCTACATGCCTTAACCTAAATAGACTAATCCTTTATCTTTTAGATAGTTTTCCCTTATTTTAATATGATTGATTTATATTTTCCAATTATATAAAAAAGGAAAGAAATTACCTGAAATCAATAAAGAGATTTTACAACTTTTAGCACTAACCTATATTTGCTAAACATTAATAAATTGTATCTGATCTTATTTGATTTTCCCTGTAATTATTTATAGTTTAAATATTTAAAAAAAAATCTATTTAAAATAACCTTAATGAAAGAGTCAAATTTTTTAAGTTTTAGGATAATTTTATCCCTTCTGTTAAACTCAAAAAGCCTTCTGCTTCCATTTTGTTAAAGCTTTATTATTTTATTAAAAATGTAATTAGAATTTTCGATATTAATTTCAATTAAGATATTTAAAAAAAAATTGTCCTAAAATACTTTTTTTGATTAGTTGATTGTAATGAAAGTGAAAATAAAGAAATTCAGATTTTTGTAAAACATAAAATTTAATTAATACCTTAAATCCAAATTTAAATATTGTAATTGAGCACAGTTAGCTATGATTTTACCAAGCAACAAAGATCCATCTTATTTAGAGAAGTTGTACCTTATAATGAAATGTTATAAATTAAATTATTGAGAATGAATAAATCTTCTTACCTCAAATTTAATGTTAGTGATTAAAGATTTTCTATTTTAGATAATTTGTTTTCCATCATTTATAAAGCAGAAAAATTTAGTTAACATTTTCTTTAAAATAGTTAAAAATAAATAAATTAATTAATGAAAATTTGATCATTACAACAGCTATAGGTGCAAACTATTTAAATTTTTATGCTCAAAAATAGAATCACAAACAACTTATAATACTTCTTCAATATTATCATTAAAGCTATATTTAAAAAAAATAATAAATTGAATAATTTTTTACAATTCAAATTTCTGTATAGGAAAATTTAAGTAAGAAGTTTAAGACGTTTTTTAAAAAAAGCCTTAAATAAATAAATAATTTTAATTTAATTATTTTAAATTCAATAACCAAAAAGAAAGCATTACTCAAATCTGTAATAAAGTGCTTCTAAATTTTAAGCGTTTTTAATAACACGTTACAACTAAGATAAATGTTCTTATCCTATGTTTTGCAACCTTTAGTTTAAAAAATAATAAATCAATATAATTTAATAAAAAATGAATGAATACGTAAAATTAATTTTGAGCTCCACGACTTTCTAAAGATAAAAATCATCTAACTTTATCATTAAAAAATATTAATATGCATTTTTAGGCATACAAATATTAATTTACTAGACATACTGAATTTGCTTTCATTAATTTTTATTATGATTCTTTTATTTGTTTAATTTTTTAAAACTTGAGAATATAAATAAGATATATAAAATCAATGAAATTAATAATTAAAACCATAAATAAATAAATATTTTGTATAGTTATTAATAAATTTTTTAAAGATAGATTTTAAATAATTGCTAAAATAACCAAAATAAAATATTTTTTAAAAAAATTAATTTATTAAATTATTCTAAAGCTATGCATAATTTATCTATTTATACGTAGATGTATAAACAGAAAATTTATATCAATTATCTAAGAAGGGTGTTCAAGTATATTTAGTAAGTTTAAAAAAAATAATTTATTTATGTATTTTAAAAGTAGGCATATCTTATAAATTTGCTTATTTATTTTTCAATTTTTACAAACATTAATGCTAATTGACAAAAAATCTTTTCTCTAAAATTGGCCACTCTTAAAAATTTTCTAAAGATAACTTTAATTAATGAGTATGCACTATACATAGATTAATAAAGAAAATTTTAATTAATAAATAAAAATTTTAAAAAATTCTTAAAAAAATAGTTTATTAAACATTTTTCGATTTTTTATAGATAGATGAATACATAGACAAATTAATAAATTAATTAATTAAGAATATTTTTTATTTTATTAAGTAAATTCTTAAAAGAAAATACAAATAAACACAATAACAGATAAACAAACAAAATAATTACATAATTAAAATAATTTAATAATTAATAGCATTAAAACTAGGCTTCTCTTATCTTCTAATTCATTTTTCCTTTAAGAAAAAAAATTTTTTTATAAAAGGAAAAAATATGATTAGAAGATAAGAGAAGCTTCCTAGTCTTACTTTTATACTTAATTTATTTATTTATTTATCTTATTTTGTTTGTTATAAAATTAATTATTATAAATTTGAAAAATTTGTTTCTTTTTAAATAAAAAATTTTTACTTAAAAGTGAATTTATGTATCATTATTAAGTAAATAATAAAAATTGATTGGTTTATCAATTTATCTATTTCATTTTTTTAACTTTTATGTTTTTAACTATATTTGCATTTTTTTAATCACAAGCAAACAGGCAAATATATATATATGAAAATGAATTTTTATATTTTTGATTTATTGGCTAAGATAAATAATTATTAATTACTCCTATATGTTAATAGATTTTTCTTTATATTTATACGAGAAAATAAAAAATAGTTAAGCAAAAGCATTAATATCGTTTTGAAAATTTAAATAAATAATATATTTTTATAAATCATTTATTATGAAAAAAAAATACATAAAATGGATTAACCAATCTTTGAAATTGAATAAGAAGTTCTTAGCTTAAATGATGAAATAGAATTATTGATGCACTATTAAAATTATCAAATTTAATAAAAATTATTAAAACAATAAGAGCCTAAGATTGAAGAAAGCGAATTAGAAGTTTAAGTTGAAGTATTCAATAAGGTGGATATAGACTAAATATCAAATATAAATGAGATTGGTGATTTTATTTAAGACCTTTAATGCCCAATTTGCCTTAGTATAATTGAAGATCCAAGTATATTTTTTTATTTAATGTTGAAAGTTTTTGATAATTCCCAATTTGATTGCACCTTAAAATTTTAATTACATATGCATTTAATCTTTTTCCTTTTAATTAAAAAGTGAGTTGTATTCAATGTGAATTAAATTATTGTGGTTCTTGCATAAGTGAATGGTCTACTAAAAAATCATAAAACGTTTGCCCTACTTGTAGAAATAACAAGCAAGTGCTTTTGCTAAATGGAAAGTAGCATTTGTATAAAAAAAGTTCAATTATTTTTAAGAAGATATTAGAGAAAGTTAAAGTTAAGTGTTACAAATCTGGTTGTTAAGATGTAGTTAAATATGATGAAAGATAAAATCATATTTCAAAATGTTAATACTAATAGGTTAAATGTCTTAACAAAGGTTGCAAAGAACCAATATTGAGAAAAGACCTGTAAGATCATTTATTAGTTTGTTAGTATAGAATGGTTCTTTGCATACATTGCTAAGAAAGTTACCATTTCTGCAAATTGGATGCGCATATAGAAAAATGTAATTATAATAAAAGAATATGCATAAACTGCAACAAATAATTCTAAGCTCACTATTTTTAGTATCATTAAAAAATATGCAAAAAGTTTAATCCTTTAAGAAAAAAAAATGTCGACTTTGACATTAGGCTAAAAAAATAATTAATGTATAAAACTATTCTCCAATATGACTACTATAGGTCAAAGCTACCTTTAAATATAAAGTAATTTTTAAAAATTTGAATATACAAGCAATAAATAAATAACTATTTTATAAAAGTTTATTAGACACAGAAAAAGTAAAGGGTCTACTACAAAAACAGTGATTACCTAATAATAATTATCAAAAATTTACTAATTCATAACTTCATCTATTTCAATAAAAAACTATTTATAATAAAACTATTTTATTTTTCAAAATTTATAAATATTGTCTGTCTATCTTATAATTATTACCATTCACTCACTCTTAAAACCATTTTATTTCTTTATTTTTGAATAAATAGTTGTAAATATTTGAATTTTATTTTTCTAAATCAAAATATTCATTTATAAAAAATAAAAGAATTGAGCATTTTTTCAGTGCCTTTACTAATCTAAAAATCTAATACTAATAATAGGAATTTTAATTTTTATTTTAAAAACGCGAATTTCATTCAAATAAGTGTTTAAACATATTTTATAATTTTTTACTTAATTATGAAATCATAATTAAATCTATATATTAATTCTTTCTTTTGATCATTTATGTAGACTAGACTAGACTTTGAAAAATACACTGATTTTCACTTTCATAGTTTAATTTTAAATAAATAATAGGTTCTACTTTTTATAAAACATATTTTACAATAATACACTGCTAATAATTTAAATAAATTAAAATATCAACAGAAAAATGATAGGAACATATAATCTAACAGCAATCTTTTGCTGTATTACTGCTATTTCTTTAACTTTAATTGCTTTGATTAAGATTGCATAGGCTAAGTTTTTTTTAAAAAAAGACAAACTGTTTAGGGAAAGTATTAACTACCACTTTACTAGATAGTGTAACTATGCTTGTAAATTTTGTTTTCACACAGCTAAAACTTCTTTTGTCTTAGATGAAGAAAATGCAAAAAAAGGATTGAAAATGCTTAAAGAATCTGGTATGAAGAAAATTAACTTTTCTGGAGGAGAGCCCTTCACCAAACCAATATTTTTAGGAAATCTAGTTTAGTATTGTAAAGAATAGCTCAATTTAGAAAGTGTTACAATAGTTTCTAACGGAAGTTTGATAACCGAAGAATGGTTTAAAAACTTTGGCAAATGGTTAGATATAATAGCTATTTCTTGTGATAGCTTTGATGAATAGGCTTTAGCTGATATCGGAAGAAGGGCAAATAAAAAAACTCATATTGATTAAATGTATAAAATACGAGATTGGTGTTATAAATACGATGTATTATTTAAGATAAACACTGTTGTGACTTCAAGATAATATAACGAAGATATGAATATCTATATTTAACAGCTAAATCCTTACAGATGGAAAGTTTTCTAATGTCTTCTAATTGATGGTGAAAATGCTGGTGCCAATGCTTTGAGGAATGCAGAATAAATGGTCGTTTCAAAAGAATAATTTGATTAATTTATATCCAGACACAAGGCAAGCAATCCTGTTGCTGAAAATAATGAAGATATGAAGGACAGTTATCTAATCTTAGATGAATAAATGAGATTTTTAAATTGCTAAAATGGAAAAAAAGAGCCTTCTCTTTCCATTTTAGATGTTGGTGTTGAAGCAGCATTAGATAAATCTGGTTTTGACCATAAAGCTTTTATAAGAAGAGGTGGAAAGTATGTCTGGTCTAAACATAAAAATGAACTAGAATGGTGAAAGTCTTAATTATAACTTATATTAAAACAAATTAAAATAATTTTTAATAAAATTTAATAAAAAAAATAAAATTATAAAACAAAAATAAAATTAAATAAATAAATTACTAAAGTATATTATATATTTTTATTAAATTACTTTCATATTACTACTATAATCCTTAATTATTGATAAAAATACCTGAGCTATTTTTATATATTTCTATTATAATTATATTAACCATTCATAAATCTGTCTTAGTTTTTTTTTTAATAAAAATGAAAATTAAAAGAAAGTAAATAACAAAATAATTAAAAAATTGTTTGTTTTAATTGTTTTATTTTCGGAAATATATCTATTATAATTTGCTTAATTATTAATTAATGATCAACTCATCTTTTTTATAATTTAAACTATACTATTTGAAAATTAAATTCATAAAAAAATTTATTAACAAATAAATGAATCAATAAACTAGTAAATTAATCTTATAGTAAATATTTGATTATTTTAATCAATTCATATTATAATCTGCTAATTTATTTATTGTAATATTTAATCATTTTTATATATTTCTATTGTAACCTATTTAATTTTTATGAATTTGTCATAGTCTTTTTTTAAATTTCTTAAATAAGTCTAATAAATATTTTTTAATCATGAAAGTTAAATTTTTTTTAAAAATTGATTTTTATGATTAAACAATAACTTTAATTAGAAGTGAAAATTAGGTGAAATTTCTAAAATCTATAATCAAAACTGAAAAATTTCGTATTTATAGTTTTAATTTGAAAATTTCAAAGAAAAATTAGTGCAATTTGTTTAAAATTCTATGATTTTTCACTTGTCTTTAATTAATTAATAATTAATTTTTATATTATAAACAAATTTTGGTGGTATAGAGAATGTGATAGAAGTACTTTTTAATTCATTCATCAAAAAAATCAAAATAATTAAGTTTGTTAAAAAAATTTGTATTACAACTTTTTAAAAGATTAAGCAAGTTTCTGAGGATACATACTCTGTTATAATTAGATAATTCGATTTTTAAAATGAAGAATTTAAATAAGTAGTATTAAGGCAGTCTTCCATCAAATGGTATCATAGAAGGTAAACAAATATCTTTTATTCTAAGCAATTAATAGAAGCATCTTGTTAAAAATTTTGAATACTCTAGCTATTATTTTTTAGAATGCTTCAAAATATTATACTGATCCATTATTTTAATTAAAGGGCTTCCAGTAACTTGCAATCCAAATGTTCACTACCAAAGAACTTCAGAGTAGTTCGGAACTATTATATTCAATAGTGATTTCGATAGTGGTAACATGCTTAAAGTAGAAAGAAATTATGAATCTCCTGGCAACTAGGTATGAGAGTTTTAAAAATAATTGGAATAGTTTGCTAAAATAACCAAATTGGAATAAATGATGTATTAACTAATATATATTTTCTAAATAAAATTAGTTTAATGTATGGATTTCTCCAGATGCATATATGACATAAAAAGAAATGAAGTATAGGACTTGGTTCTATTTTTCTGTAACAGGAGTTCCTCAAAACAACCTTGTCTATATAACAATAAAAAATACAAATTTTCAAGTATAAATTGCTTAATTATCTATTATTAAGTTATTATTGATTCAACTTACAAAAAATAAACAAAAATTTATTTTAGATTGAAGAAAGAATTTTATATGATATCTCAATTTTAAATATTATTTTATTTTATTTAAACTCAGTAAAAACTTTATAGAGAGGGTCACTAACCTGTTTATAAATCCTCTTATACAAACAGCTGGTAAAGAATTGCTTAAAGCGTAGCAAATACTGTTGTAATTAAAATTTTGCTTTGTTTTCTATTTTAAAAATTGTTAATCTGTAAAAATTTAAATTATTAAATTAATAATTTCATTTAGATTTAGCATGAAACTGGGATTGATTTTACATTTTCTCATGTTTTTTAAGACCCAGAAGAAGTTGTTTACTTTGCTTTTACTTATCCTTGGTCATATTAAGATAATCAAGTAAAATTGGTTTTTAAATTTCGTTGTATAATTAAAATAATTCTTTATGCAAAAAGGATATGCTTGACCTTTTAGATTAAAAATTTATAAATAGTCCTGACTTATATTATCATAGGACTACTCTTATCTAATCAAAAGAATATAGAAATGTGGAACTATTGACTATATCTTCTCACTCAAACAAATTAGAAGAAAAAATATAAATACCACAAGATTAAATTTTTCCATTTTTAAATTAGCCTAATTTGTAAGTTTAGCTTTTATTAAAAAATAAATAGCTCAAATCTTTTAAAAATACTTTAGGTTTTCAGATAAAAAATATGTCTTTATATCTACAAGAGTTCATCCAGGTGAAGTACCTGGATCTCATGTGTTTAATGGCATGCTTTAGTTATTATTAAATAAAGATGATGCAAGGTAAAATAGCATTTTAGAGATATAAAATAATAGTTAAAATTTGTTTTATGAATAATTTAGATCCAAAGTATTAAGAGATCATTTTGTTTTTGTAATGATTCCTATAATAAATCCTGACGGTGTAAGCAGAGGACATTACAGAACTGATTCTTAGGGATAAAATTTAAATAGATTTTACATAAATCCATCTTAGTAGGACTAACCTGAAATATATGGAATAAAGGAATTACTGATGTTCCTGAATTCGAAGGGATTACTTTACTGTTATTTAGATTTGCATGCTCATGCTACTAAAAAAGGTTCCTTTATTTACGGAAACTGTATGGATTACAGAAGCTAAGTTGAGTCAAACTTATTAACTAAACTGATGTCGTTGAATACTCCATTTTTTGAATTTGATTTATGTAATTTTACAGAGCGAAATATGTATTCTAAGGATAAAAGTGATGGACTTTCTAAAGAAGGATCTGGAAGAGTAGCATTATACAAATAAACAAAGATTCCTTTTTGCTACACTCTCGAATGCAATTATAATTCTCCTAATAATATAAATACAATGTATCCTAGATCTGAAAACTATCACTTTGAAGGTAATTTAAATCAGAGTCATAAATAAAGTTTTTAATTTTTTTTTTAATAAATTAGAAAATAGCGTTGAAATGAACGAACTCAATATAAATATAGTGTAAAATAATATATCTTTTGAATAATCTCAATCGGAGTTCCCGTATGTTCCTTCTAACTACTCAAATTTGGGAGAAGTACTTTAATAAAATTAATTATAAATATTTTATTTAATGGTTTTTAATTAACTCAGGGTATGCTAGAGGCACTTCTTGATTATAATAAAATCAATCCTATTTCTAGATTACCGAATAGCCCTTATAAAACTTATACAAATCTTAAGATGCAAATGGCTTATTAAATAATGAAATCAATACCATATAGGTAAAATAATGAATATTAGATTTCATATTTACTTTAAATTAATTATAAAAATAATTAGATTCGAAAACTACTTAAGAAAAGTTATGAGGCATATTAACTCTTCTGACAATGTTTTTTAAAGTTTTAAAATACTAAATTTATTTGTAGAAAAAGGTTTAAAGTCTAGCTAAATAAATGAAACTGAAAACACTACTGTAGTTAGAAAATCTTCTCTTTAAGGAGGCTAGTTGCTGCTTCAAAATTAACAGCTTAAAAAAAAAACAGTAATTATAGCTGGAAAGCAGAGTGAGAAAGAATAAATTTAACCAAAAGTAAGCTATTAAGAACTAAAGATGGAATTCAACTTAAAAGGAGATAAAATATCATCTGCCCCTGTAATACCACCATCTAAAAAGATCAGCATAAAACCTCCAACTATTACTTAAATTAATGAAGAAAAACCACTTAAGGAGTCTGGAAATTCGAAAAGATAACTTGATTCAAAAGAAAATAAAAAGCATGAATTGCTAAATTTTAATGAGGCTGATTTAATTGAAACTTAATTAAATAAAATGGATTTAAAGCTGAACAGACCTTCTTATAAAAGCTAAATGTGAGTAATCTTCAATTGAATTTATTTTAAAACTTCATTATACATAAATTAAAGAGATTTTAAATACTTTTATAAATAGCTCTGGAGCAGGAGATCTGAAAATAAATAAAGTAATCCAATAAGCTAAATTAGAAGCAAACAGTAAAAATTTTATATTTAAAGATTCTTCTTAAAGTAGAAGTAAAAATAACTCAAAGAAAAAAATATTTACCTAAAAATTTTAAATTTGAGAAATAATTAATTAAATTACCTAAAAATATTAATTCACTTACCTTTTATTTATTTTACCTAAATTTAATTATTTATGTTTACTTGAAAATATGATAAATAAATATCTTTCCTTCTTTCTTTACTTGTTTACCTATCTCTGTGTTTGTTACCTTAAATTATTTTAAGTTTAACCAATAATATCAAATAATTACTTTCTCTTAAATTCCTTTTTTTAATTTTAAAAACTAAATAAGACTTATTTTATTTATATGAATTTACACTCTGATTTTTGTAATTTATAATGAGCGTTTCTTTGTTTTGATAGAATTCACACAATTAATTGCTTTTAAAATTGGATAGATGAAAATTTTTGATCAAATAAAATTTTGCCATTTAATATTTATTTATTCCTCTTATTTTTGGTGGGGATTTTATTGGCATCAATGCAAAGATCTAAATTTTGGAGATATAAAAAATAATAATAGTACTACTACTTTGAGTTGGTGATAAATTAATTTATTTAGCCTGTATAAAATGAGTTTATTGCAGCATTATTTAAGCAAGCAATTTCCTCTAAATATAACTCTAACACATAATATATAGTATAAATTGAACATGATTCTTAAACACCATTATATTTAACCTATATAATATACTGATTTTTTAAGACAAAAAGGCTTGAATATTCTAATCTGGTATAGGGAATATTGATTGTGAACAAATAACCAAAATTATTTATGAGTGATGTTGAGAGTGATTGAATAAGTAAGTAGCAGATAAATTTTCTGGGGAATAAGCTAATTATTTAATAATGAGCATGGTTAAATATAGTATATGATTTAAAGTGCCTTGATTATTTATTTATTTATTTCTTAAATTTTTGTTTGGGTTTGGTGCTTCTATAAAAATAAAGATTTATTGATCAAATAAAAAAATAATAAATTAAAAAATAATAGCATAATTAAATCATTCCTTCAAAAAGTAAAAAAAGCAAATAAAGTTTTGAAAAATGGATATCGGCTTACAAGTTGCTGACGACTGTCTCTAATAATTCCAAGCCATGAAGATGGAAAAGAAACATCGTTATATTATTTTTCACACTAAGAATAACAAGACCATTGAAATTGAAAAGATTGGAGCTAGAGATGAAACCTACTAACAATTTGTTGACAGTCTCCCACAAAATGATGCTCGTTTCTGCGTTTTTGATTATGATAAGAAATTCGATGATGGCAGAGTCACCTCTAAGATTATCTATTTCTTCTGGTGTCCTGATACTGCCCCAGTCAAGGTCAAGATGGTCTCTGCTACTACCAATTCATTCTTCTAAAATAAAATCTAAGGTTTCGCTATCAACCTCTAATGCAATGATTTAGGTTCTTTCGATACCGAAGAACTCGAAAAGAAGATCCATTGATTAATTATACTTATATCAATTTCTATTAAATTTAAAATAGTTATAATTATTTCTATTCTATGTAGTATTTTTTATTTTCTTTTAAAATAAAAAAATTCACATTTCTTTCTTTTTCAAATATACATCACTACAAATTAATTGCACCTCATCCATCATTAACTATTCATAACTTGAAATATTAATTTATCTGAAACCAGCCATATTACCTATCTACATAGCAGTAGAAGACTATCTCTCTATGAGGCAGATACCTGGGCAAGTATTCCTTAGAAATAAAATGAAATATTCTTGTAAAAAAGCAAATGTTTCTTTTATATATAAACAATCAATTTTTTATTTATTTAACGTGGATAAGATTTGCTGATGTCTGATTAGATGTTTCGAATCATTAATCAAATCAATTAAAGACATAAATTTTAAGATTAATCAAAAATAGTATCTTAAATTACCAATTAATCAATTTAAATGAATTCATAAAAAAAAGTTTCTATTAATTTTATTAATAACAAAAGTGATTCGCATAAATTTATTTGTTATTCATCAAAATATTAAATTAAAATCACACATAACAAACAATTTTAATTAATTTTTATTAATTTGCCTTAAAATATTTAAAGGCAATTTGTATCCAATCCATCTAATTTACCATTCTCAAATAAAATGAAAAATATCTTTTTGTTTAGCACATCAATCAACTCAAATTTTCTTTATTATTTCATTCTTTAAAAACTTTGAATAATAAAAGATGAAGTAATAATTTAATTTTATAAAAAAAAACAAAAAATTTTAATACTAAGCTTAAAATTTTTTGTATCTTTAGAAATTTCTTAATTTTACAAAAATATATCATTATGTATTTACTTTTTATAAATAATGAAAATATAGGTTATAAAATTATTATGTTGGTATTAATTCAATAAATCATTAAACTTTTCATAAGATTATCTCAAATTTTTAGATTAAAACATGTATTTAAGATTTAAAATAAAGTAAAATAGGATTTTTAGTTGATTTTTACCCTATAATCTATTTTTCAACTGAAAAATTAATATCTTTTTTTTTATAAAATGAGCACATAAAGTCAAATAATTTAAATGGTAAATTAGTCTTATTATGTGGAGTTTAGTTGAAATCAAATAAATAAATAAAAAATGATTTTTTAAAGAAAAGTAAATAATAAAAATCTGATTAAGATATTTTATAAAATATATTTACATTATTTATTATTAATCTTATTATATTGTAATAAATTTATTGAAATTTTATACTGGTCTATTCTTAATTTTTAGTTTATTAATAATATATCTATTGATACCTTAATTAATTAATTGATTTATTTATTTAATGGTTAATTAATGATTTGCTGTTTATCAAATGTTTGAAATTTATTTATTTAACTTTATATTTTTGATTACTAATTTAAATTATTCTAGCTATGCCTGTTTTATTTAATTCATTCTGCTTAGTCTTTTTATGCATTGAGTAAACGTAGTGTCTTTTTTTATATAAAATTCTTTTTTAAGAGAGTAACAATGCTCATGTAATCATCTTGTAAGCCTTTTTCAGAACAGCTTATTCTGAATTTTTCTAAAAATTCTCTATTTATTTCGCACATCGAAGTTTCTTCCATTGCTGTTGCTGTTTCAAATCTATAAATTTATCGAAATTTTTTATTTTAGCTTATTAATCTATCTACTTATTTAATATTTTAAATAATTTACCTGTTTATATTTTTATCTTCAGGTCCTAAAACAGCCTCTTCTCCTATTGTTTCCCCCATAATAGATTCTTTAAATTCGCCATTATCTTTACTTGAAAGACACACACGACCATATAAAATTAAAAATGAAGAATTTGAAGGTTGATTTTCCGTGTAAATGTCAGAGTCTTCTTCATACACATAGATACGAGATAAACGTAATATATTAACACCAGTAAAGTAAGAAATATTAGAAAAAACAGGATTGTATATCTTTAATTCAGCTAATAAATCTCTAAGATACTATTCACTTCTACTAGAGTATTCTGCAGGAATATAAGTCATTTTTACAGCAATTCTCTAACATATTAATTTGTACTATTAAAATTTTTAATATTTAAAAAAGTTCATTTTTGGAGTTAATTTTTACCTTTTATTCATCGAAATCAACTTAACCCTTACTTTTTTTAGAACTTTGTCTTTTTTGCTTCTAAGATGATTTTCCTCTACTTACATTGTTCAACACAGATTTACTTCTTTGTTGCTACTTTTTCACCTTATAATTATTTGTAATATTATTAAGGTGGTTTCTCGTAGGAGATTTAGGTGATTAAGGTAATTTGTATTTTCCCAAAGGAGACCTTTATTAAAAAGATTAATATTAGTTAACACCAAATTTTTATCATTAAATTTAATTTAAGAATTCAAATATTTTGGAAAAATCTAAAAATAATTATTTATTTATTTAATACATCTTTTTTACAATTTTTATGATTGAAATTTTAACATTTTATATCAATTTTTTTCAGTTAAAAAAAATTTAAATACAATCTTTTTTTAGAGCTTTCGTGGCAATCAATGGCTACGTCTAAGAAATCGTTCATTTACTCTCCAAATTCTTCTTAAAAATTTTCAAAGTGTTTACTGTTTTCATCTATTTAAAGTAGTTTGGAGCTATTCTATTTTGGGTGATGGATAATGGTATAATCACCATAGCTATAGATTTTTTATGTTTCTTTGTCATCCAATCTATGGATTTTCTTTCTTTTTTCTATATCTTCGAATATTCTTCTCACATCCATCCCGAGTTTATCATTTTACTTACCTTTAAAGTAAACACTACTTGGCTGTTATGATGAATTCTCAGTATAATTATCTTTTTTTTATGTTAATTCGCTATCCTACATTCCTTCCATTCTATTTTTAAGAGCAGGTTTTTTTGCAGTAGAAGGTATCTTAGAAAATTTACTGTTTCCATATGATAAATTGCTATCTTAAACATCTTTAGCTTAGTTACTATTCAGTATATTTATTAGCTGTTGCTTTTTCAATATGTCTTTATCCATTTAAGATGCACCTCCCAAAATATCAGAATCGTCTTGATTATTATTTTTATAAATAGGACTTCGCTATTTAGATGATTTTTAAGCTGCATCCTTTTCAAAATCATCAAAATCATCTCTCATTAATCTGTCTAAATCTTACTATTAAATTCTCTTGCTTTTAAGAGTTTCTTTGAATTAATCGTTTTGGACGCTATATCTCACTTTATTATCAACAGGAGTTTTCTCTCTGACTTCATTTTTTGAATGGGCTCTTTGTTATTTTAAAGTTTAGTTGAGTCCACTATTTCTTCTTTTCCTGAAATCATCTTTTTCTAGACTTTGTTCATTGTTCTTTCCTTAATCGAGTGTCCTATGAGTATTTTACGACGTTTTGATGTTCCTTTTATCTTCTAAGGTCCTAAATTATCTATTTCCCCTTGTAGTTTGATTAAAATTTTTTACATAATTTGCCATTTTATCTAACTATTCTTATTTGATAAATCCTTCATCTATTTCATTATTTTAACTCCTCTGCTCATTTTCAAACTCAATTAATTATTTTTAAATATATGGGTCACTAAATTTAATAGATCCCTTAAAGCTCTCTCCATAGGGTTGACTATTTTTTCTTTTTTAATTAAAATTTGTTTCTTTCTGATCATCTTCATTTTCAATATAATTTGCTTCTGTTTTTAATTCTTTTTCGTTTCCATTTTTGATTCTTGGAAGATAATCTTGCTGTGTTTTTACTCTATTATTTGTAGAATTCTTATAATAATTTGACTAATCATCATTAGCTCCTAATGGACTTGCTTATCTTGATTTCTGCCTACTTTGTGCTCTACTTTTTAATGTATTTTATCTGTTATTGTTTATCTATTAATAATCACTTGGATCAAGTGTATTTTATTTTTTATGTATTTCGTTATTTATGCTTCTCCTATTATTATCGTCATAATATACTGTTCTTCTTCCATCTTCATTAGGTAGTTATCTTTTGAAAACATTATCTTCATCACTTTCGTTTTAATAATTTTAATATGTTTTTTTATATTATTAATTTTAACTACTAGTTCTTTTAATGTTATCATCTTCAAAATAATTTATATTATTCACTCTATTTTCATAGCTGTGATTTATTGGATCTTTGTTTTTTTTATTCATGAGAGTTTTATCGTTATATCTAAAATCTTATTAAACTTAAAAAGAGTTATCAAGGTCCTTATCATAGACACGAGGTGAAACTTGATTGCTCTAAGTTGATTAACGAGTATTAGCATTATTTTGTGGATATTAACCATTTCGAGATTGTGATCTTGAAGAGTTATCAAGGTCTTTATCATAGGCACGAGGTGAAACTTAATTGCTCTAAGTTGATTAACGAGTATTTACATTACTTTGTGGATATTAACCATTTCGAGATTGTGATCTTGACCTTGAGTATCTACTTGCTCCTCTTGACTAAATCACTTGATTTCTATCATCAGGAAGGGTTTTCTAGTATTGCATTATTTGCCATGGTTCTTATTTCTATTTTATATTTTAAGGTTTTTTTGACAAAAATTTAATACAAATAATAATTTTTTTAGCATATTTAAATTCTAAGCAAACCTATTATAACGAGCGACCTGTTTTCATTTTAAATTTATGGAAATGTTTAACAGGATCATTTTTGAGTAGAATAAATAAATATTGATTTATTTATATCTATCTATCTATTGGGTTTTTATTTAAATTAAAATATTTTGAAGCTTAAAATAAAATTATATCTACTTTTTGATGAGATTATCGGAGCAGGACATTTCTTAAACCCTCTTTGGATTCTAATTTACCTCTTTATTCTGTCATTTCTGAGAATTTTTATTTTGCATGAGTATTTGAAAGGAATGAGCTGTTATTATCTTCTAAATTAATATTTTCTTAAACTTCTGCTTATGTTTTAGGATTATCATTTTCTTTGCTTCTATTTAAATTTTGCTTATCATGAGGATTTATTGAAAAACTGTATTGAGTCTATATCATTTTATTATTATTGTTATTGTTTCTAATAGATTCAAAATTATCTGGCTTTTCATTCTAATAGTATTCTTAAGTTAATTAACTGCTCTTCTTTTCTTTATTTAATGAAGATCTTCTTCTTGTATGGCTTTGGCTTCTTTGGTGAGATGAAGATGGAGGCATTTTATCAAATTCATCCCATTATATATTTGAACTGTTTTTGACTGTTTGATTCAAAATTTTATTGTTTTAGTTCCTAAAATATTCATTTGTTTTCTCTTATATATCCTGAAGTTTATGATTTTCTAATTTTGAATATGGCCAGATATATTTTAGTTTTTTTACTGCTCTTTCATTTTTATCTATTTCCATAATTATGTTATTAATATTCTGCTATCTCTTTAAATCATCTTCTTCGTATTAAATTTTCCTTAAATCAATTGGGCTTCCAACAAAGTTGGCCTCATCAGTTAATCTTACACTACCTTAATGCAAATCTTTCTAATTTTTTTTCTTTAACAAGTCACCACTAAGATCATCAACCTCGTATTAATTAGGATTAAAGGCTGTTGTCAATTACACTGATTAATCCTTTTCTTTATCTTATTCTTAATCTGTTTCTTAATCTTTTATAATTAAAAATTGCTACTATTTAGAATCGTAAATAGGTTTCTCATTCAACTTGTCTGGGTAGTTTTGTAAAATGCTAATTACTTACAAGTTAGGACCTTGCTAAACATTATTTTTTTTCATCATATTCTAAGTCTAATTAGTATGCAATCTTTGATATTCAAACTAGAGCTCATTTTCGTATGGATTCAGCTTACGTGGGACAAAGTTGGATCCCTCATTAGTTGAGCTCATGTTATACTTCAAAAGTTAATAACTAAACTATCAAAAACCTATTTATTGATTTCAATTAGTAATTATATAAATAGTATTTGTTTACCAATCCTTAATTTAATTAATTAATCAATTTATATATTTGCTCTTTCAAAACGAGGGATTTCTACAGATAATTAATTAAACATTGATTTTAATATTCGTTATTATATAAATACTTAAGAGCTATTTATTTCCAACCAAAATAATATATATCTTTGAAAGGTAATTCATAAAAATAACTAATTATTTATTTCTTTGCAAAATATATTAAGCAGCAGATAGATTGAAATTAACTAATTAATCCAACAGAAAGAAATATTTAGCATTCAATTATCTTTCTAAAATATTATTCATTTATTTTAGATTATTACATTTTCAAGATATAATTTATGTTAACATTTTTATTCTAAAAAGTATAAATTAAATAAAACTTATTAATTTAAATTTAGATTAATTTGCCTTAATATCTTATAAAAATAAATTGAATTTTCTATTAAAATATATTTTTTTAATCTTCTATTAATTTTATTTTATCATAGAAATAGTCAAAATAAAGATTTAGTAATAATAAACTAAATATTAATATTCTAAAGTATATCAAAATATAGAGTCTTTTTATACGCTTTAAATAAATTAAAATGATATTTTCTTGTTTTTTTATTGATGTCATTTTAATCCTAGAAAAATTCAAAATAAGAATTTATGTTTAAACAAAGTAAAATAAATAAATATTAAAAAGTTAGAGTTTTTTTAATTTTTATAAACTTTAAATAAATTAAAATGATATTTTCTTGTATTTTTATTGATGTCATTTTAATCCTAGAAAAATTCAAAATAAGAATTTGTTTAAACAAAGTAAAATAAATAAATAAATATTAAAAAGTTAGAGTTTTTTTAATATTTTTAAAAAAATAAAAAAAATATTTTAACTTTAAAATTGAGTTTTTGTAATTTATATTAAATTAAAATATTTACTGAATTTAAAATCTTTATATAATGATAGAAAAATTAAAAACGAGAGGGCAATAATAAACTAAATATAATTGACAAACAAAATAAATAAATGAATTAGAGTTAGCATTTACTTATTATTTTTAAGTAAACTAAAAATATAATTTTGTTATAGAGTTGAAATTTTGTGGTTTATATTCAAGTAAAATATTTAGATTCAAGTTTTATGATTAATTATAAATAATTTTTTTTGTTGATTAAGTTTAATCAAAATGATTTCATCACAATTTTAAATTAATTTTAACGATAAAATAAATTTTTAATAGCTTTTAACTTTAAAATGCGAGTTAAAATGTTTGAGATTATAATATAAGATGCTTTTTTAATTAAATTATCTAGCTGAATTGTGTTTTTATTAAATATCTATAGAATATTCAAAAAGAAAATTTGAGATAATTATATCTTGTTACAAAAAATTATATATTTTTAAATGTCAGGCAATAAAGATCTAGATAATACTTGGAATTAAACTGAGCAATAAAGAAAGAAGCCTTTAGCAGCAGTAGGCGATGGATTGGCTTTACTTTCTCCTGAAGGAAATAGATAATATAAAGAATTGCAGATATAGTCATTTAAACAATTTTCATTGTGGTTTTTAGTAGGTAATCTTACTGGATTAACACTATCTCAAGTTGTTTAATATTTGCCTATAAATAACATAACAAAAATGAAAAAACGTAAATACTAGAGAGTTGCTTTCTTTAGTTCTATATTTGTACTTTCTTATCATGGATACAAGCTCTCTAAAAGAGAATTTGTTAGAGGAAAGAAAAAAATATTATTAGACCCTGTCTGCATCGTAAACGAGCCTGACAATTGAAATTAGAATATAATTTGTGCTATTCATAAATTAAATTAAAGCTAAAAATGAATGATAGAAAAAAAATAAATATAAGCATAAGATTTAGTTGAATAAAAGTCTCATATATACACTTAAACTTTTTTATTGTATAAATTTGTGTAATTTTGATAATATTAAGCTGCTAATCCTACTATAAATCTGAATAATTTTAATCTAATTTTTGATATCGTTTATTTCATTCTATTAGATTAATCAAGAGAAATTTATTTGTATATCAAAATGCATTGATAAATTATTGCAATTTCTTAATATAATTTTTGTACAATTTGTGTAATTTGCAATTAGTAAACATCTCTAGTTTTATCTCGAATTTTCTTTGTCACTATTATAATAGTTTTTCATCAAATATTTACTTCATTATTTATAACTCTGTGTTTAACTGCAAGACCCTTAAATAAAAATTACTATAATAGAAATATTTTATTCAGAATTTTTTTTATAAAATATAAATAATTGTAAATAACAAACTATAATTTGATTTAAATTTTGAAGAATCAATGCAAATCAAAGTTGCTTTATTCTCTATAAAATTATGTATTATTAGTAAATAAGAAAACCTTGAAAATAGTGTCTTATCATATATAAAAAAAATTTTAATTAAGATAAACAATATCTTTGATAATCAAATCTAATAAATAAATCCATCTACAAAACAAACAATTTATACAATCAAAAAATATACTAAAATGTTCAGGGAAGATCAATACTTTGAAGCCAAGGTTATGCTTAGATCCTACAAGGATGCCTAAGACTGCATCAAGTAAAATATTATCTTCAAACTTAGTTTTCTTTAAATAAAAAGAATTCTTCAAAAATTTAAAGCAAATCTCTATTTAACCTCACTATTTTTTATTAAAACTAAACAGAACTAGTGCTGAAAGAAAAATGAACTTATAGAACTATGAAAACCTTGTTAATATAATTATCGATGCCAAAAAGAACAGAGGAGTAATATATTTTCTAAATTAGTGTTTATTTGTTTGATAAAAATGGCAAAATTGAAGTAGTTTGCAATAATGCTTAACAACTACTAAAATTTCTACTTTGAAATAATAAATATGATTAGAAACAATTCAAAAATATATATTTAAATTATAATTAATATTTTATGTTTAAAACCTAAACTTAGATTGAATTCAAGTATGAAGAAGTGTAAAAGGGTCCCAAATTTTAGAATTTAAAGGAAATTAAGCTCTTCTAATTCTCGAAGTAAATATAATTTTAAGAAAAAAGATATAAAAAGCAACTAACTTTTTATTTCAATAAAATATAGCTTTATTTTTAAGAGATATATGAATACCTTTGATGATTTCAATGGAGATTATGATGGCTTGAAAAAATAATTGAATGAAGGTCTTTTTAATATGAAAAGAGACTATGATTTAGCTAACTAAAAGTAATGAAAGAACTACTTAATCAAATAAATATAATAAAATAATATTATGAATACAAACTTAATATTTTAATTCAATAGTAAAGTAGAAATATCCATATAAAGTGTGCATATATTTTTAATGGATTACTAATTCTATTTCCTCTCATTAAATTAATTATATAATCATTTACTTCTTGTTTTAAATATTTTAAAACTCCTTCAATCCTGTATAAATTTCAAACACTCTTACGAAAATATTTAAATTATTTTTTAGTTTTCCTAAAACAGCCTCTTTATAAGCAATAACTAAATGTCATTAACTACTCTAAAATATAGTTATAAAATATAAAAATTTCCAAATATCAAATATGGATAGTAAAATTTTATTTTATTTTTTTTTTAATAAGATTAGATTAACTTATAATTTATAGAATGCAATATAATTTTTAAATAATTAAATATAATGCAAAACAATTATCTTATAAATTAAAATAGAATGATCCTGATTTTTTTTCAACTTAAAAATAATTTCTTAATAATTATTATTAATAAATTAAATAGCAATATCTCTTAACTGGATAAGTTATAAATTGATTAAAATTAAATCAATTTTTAAATTGATTGTTAAAAATATGATAAATTTGAAATATTTTTACCTTTTTTTATGATATTCACTGGAATATTTTTTATTGAAAAATAAATTAATTTTTATCATTATTTATAAATTTTCATATATCAAATTTGATTAATTGAATTAATTTTATAGCATACTTGTTTGAATAAAATTATATTATTTATTATAATCTCTTTTTAAATAGTATTAAAAGCTATTTTAAAAAATCCATAATAATTAACTTATTTTTTATACTAAATTAAAAAAATAACCTTTTATTTTTACAGTATTACTTACATAATGACAACTAATATATATTTTAAACTCCAGTAAGTAAAAATAGTAGAGTTTATTATTTTTATTCATCTAAATTCTAAAAAAAGAAAATAGAAAGATATTCAATCAATTTGAATTGTTAATATTAAAAATTTTCTGGCAGTCTTACATTAAAAAAAAATAATAATTATTAATTTTACACTTTTTAATTATTCTTTGAACCTTCTAAAAATCTCTGATATACATTTGCATATTTTAATTACTCAATATATAATTGCATATCCTTCTTACTTTATTTCTTTTGCTTTTTGCTGAACATTTATAACAAATCTTATTTGGTATATTACATAAATTATATCATCAATATTATTTTTATTATTTTTTCTAAAATTTGTTCATTATTTTATGCGCTTTTATGAATTAAATAGTGATATTGTAACATAGTTTCCATAGAAAAATAATCGATTGCTTCTAGTTAAGGAAAGATTATTATACTTTGTTACTTTTTGTTAAAATATTACACTTAAATAAACCCATTTTATTTTTGTTGTTTGCTTTTTCAAAGAAATGTTAAATATTAATATAAAGATAAAAATATTTATTGCTTTTAAATTAGATTATTTAATATTTTGAATAGAATTTAGTTATAAATTATTGAGAGAGATATTATGTCATTTCAATCTATTTAAAGTGAGAATCTTTATGAGAAAGAAAATTAGAAAGATTAGAGAGAAACAATTGTGATCAGTTGCTGTATGGAGTGCAAACAAATTGAGTAATTATAAAAATAAGATGATATTGAATTTTTCAAGGAATCTAATTTGGATATCTACAGCTCATTTTGATGATGATTTATACTAATTGTTTTGATAATGGTTGGGTAATCAATTTTTTTAATAGTTCCAGAAAAAATCGATTCATTCATTCCATGTGGGGGATATCATGTATTGATGCTTCGTTTTAAAATAGCAAAAAGATATCCAAAAATTTTGATAAAAATAAAAATATAAAAAACAATAACAAATTTTTCTCATAAAAACACACACACTTAAAAAGAAGATTAGAAATGGCTGAACTCCAAAAGATTAAAGTTACTAACCCCGTTACTGAATTAGACGGTGATGAAATGACCAGAGTTATCTGGTAACTCATCAAGGATAAGCTCATTTTACCTTATCTTGACTTGAACATCAAGTACTTCGATTTAGGTATGGAATACAGAGACTAAACTGACGATAAGGTCACCCTTGATGCTGCTTAATCTATTGTTGAAACCAAGGTAGGTATCAAGTGTGCCACCATCACCCCTGATGAAGCCAGAGTCAAGGAATTCAATCTTAAGAAGATGTGGAAATCCCCCAACGGTACCATCAGAAATCACATCGGAGGTACTGTCTTCAGAGAACCCATTCTCATGAAGAACGTCCCTAGACTTGTTCCTGCTTGGACTAAGCCCATCGTTATCGGTAAATATTTAACTCAATTTATTATATATTAAATGGAATAGTTTAATGGCTTCTTTTCTACCCGATAAACTTCTAATTGTTTATTTAATATTCAGATTTAGATAACAATAATTTTTCAACAGAAGTTGATTAATTGCTTTAGAATAATTTTGTGAATTTAAAAATATGTGTTATTTACTCTAATAATTACTATTAAATAGGAAGACACGCTTTCGGTGATCAATACAGAGCCACTGACTTCAAGGTTGAAGAAGCTGGTACTTTTGAAATTGTCTTCACCCCCAAGAATGGTGGTGAAAAGAAGGTCATGAAGGTCTTCGATTACCCTGCTGGTGGTGTTGGTATGGGTATGTACAACACTGATGAATCTATTACTGAATTCGCCCACTCCAGTTTCAAGTACGCTCTCGATAGAAAGATGCCCCTTTACTTATCTACCAAGAACACTATCTTGAAGGCTTACGATGGTAAGTTCAAGGATATCTTCTAAGCTATCTATGACAAGTAATACAAGGAAGAATTCACCAAGGCTGGTATCTGGTATGAACACAGACTTATTGACGATATGGTCGCCTATATGATGAAGTCTGAAGGTGGTTTCATGTGGGCTTGCAAGAATTACGATGGTGATGTCCAATCTGACTGTCTTGCTTAAGGTAACTAAAACTAATATTCATTTATTTAAAAAATAGTTAATTTAAATAAAGAAAGCAAAGATTGCTTAATACAATAGCTAGCTTAATCAATCAAATAATCAATTTAGATATTAAAGCATAAATCAAGAAACCCTTTTTCTTTTATTTTAATTATTTGTTTATTTATTTGCTTACCGATCTTAATTTAAAAAGGAATTATTCATTCAATTAAAGAATAAATATAGGTTTTAATCAAAAATATAGCTATCAAAAAACAAACAAATAAATAAAGATTTCTTATTGTTGTATTTCTGATTAAAAGATTGATAAAGATTAATTTTATTTAATTAATTATCAAATTAAATAAATCAAATCAAATCAAATCAAATAGTTCATACAAAATAAATAAATAATAATGATTTTATTCAACAAAAAAATAATTTTGATTCCTAAGCGAATTAACAAATAATCTTTGTTTATCCTCTAAAAACTTTAAAATAAACAATCTTTGAGCTCTTCTTTGTCTTACTACTAATATTCTATTTAGACCTCTTTACTATTAATTAACTAATTATTTTAATTTTATAGGTTTTGGTTCTCTTGGTTTAATGACCTCTGTCTTGGTTGGTCCTAACGATATTATTGAAGCTGAAGCTGCTCACGGTACCGTTACCCGTCACTTCAGATAACACCAAAAGGGTCAAGAAACCTCCACTAACTCTATTGCCTCCATCTTCGCTTGGACCTAAGGTTTATTACACAGAGCTAAGCTTGATAACAACAAGGAATTAGACCTCTTCTGCAAGACCCTTGAAAGCTCAGTTATTGAAACTGTTGAAACTGGTTTCATGACTAAGGATCTCGCTATTTGCATCCAAGGAAGCAATGAGTAAATTCAATTTTTTGCTTTTTGTTAAAAATTAAGTCATATATTAAAATTTAATTAATTATAATTTTTTAAATATTAATAGTGTACCCAGAAGCAAATATCTTACTACCCAAGAATTCATTGACAAGGTTGCTGAAACCCTCAGAAAGAACCTCGTTGCTGCTAAATCTAACCTCTGAAACAATCATTCAAATTAAATTTATAAATAATGATAATTAAACATTTATTTTAATTTTATATACTTTCATAAAATTTCGTATGACTTTGAAATTTTATTAATTTCATCATCGTTTTAATCTCTCTAAATAAATAATTTGTTTTTTATATTATAAGAATTATTTATTAATTTTTTTAGATTTATTAAAGAAAAATTCTAATTCATATTACTTAAAGAATATTAACAAAATTTATATTTTGGAAAATCTAAAAAAACATTCTGATTAATTACATAACTTTTTCATAGATAAATTAGAAAAGCAAATGAATTTTGTTATAATTTAAATTTTATTCCTGATTATTTCTTAATTATTATAATTGAAAAAATAAAAGTATTTTTTCTTCATATTTTTTGTGATAACTAGTAAAACAAAAATAATAATAATTAATTTAAAGAATAAATAAATATTTAGAAATACTTTAGAAATGGATTAATAATAGAAAGAGTAAACCAATCATATTTATAATATTTTAATTGAATCACTTCCTGTCTACATGTAAAAGGTACTTTAACTTAATAAACTACCAATAAAATATGCAAAAAATATAACTATTGAAAGCTTAAATATGCTCATTTAAGAGAGATTTCCTGAATCAAAATTTAAATTCATAGATCAAAATAAGCTCAATAACATTTATGAAGGAATTGTTGAAATAGTAAAGAAATAATAAGAAACTGCTATGATTTTTAAAAATATTGTGGATCCTGAATTTGTAAAGATATATTTTTATCCTTGTGATTTAAGAGAAGTACATATTTTAGAATTGTTATAAGAAAAATTAAATATAATAATACTTTTTTTTAAAAATTGATAGGATTTTATAATAATTAAAAATCTAATTTAATTATATAAATATAAATAGTAAATTTTAAACTGCTTTTATTCGTATTTTATAGTTTATTTTAAATAATGTAAAAAAATTTTGCTTCAATCCAAAAAGTATTTTTCGAAATTTATTATTCATTAAATTATAAGAACAATAAATACCTGCTGAATACTTAAATAATACCAAAAGATATTTTTCCAAAGAAGATATTTATTGTTTCAAATTGTATATATTTATTTTATAATCTATATTTTTTAATAGCTTGAAAATACACAAATGAAAAGTGATATATAATCAAGAAAATTTTTAATTTGTATAAGGAATTTTATTTACTAAAATGAGAATGACAAAATTGTATTTTAATTGTGTAAGTTTGCTCAAATAAAATCTAGTATTATCTTTCAACCATTTTTTTACTCAAATTTTTTTAGAATCTTGAAGAAATATTTATTTACCTTAAAATCACTTACTTGTATTTGTTTCTTTAATATCAAATTTTATTTTCTCTCTATTACTAAAATAGTAGTTTATTATTAGGAAAGCAAATTGATAATGGTTGACTTGAAAAATAAATAAGAATCAATTAAAGCAAAACCAGATTGTCATTAAATGAATAAAAGATATAATAGATCAAAAAATATATTGCTGAAGAAATTCTTAATAATAATAATGGCATATAAAATATTTTTTACACTAATAATTGATTTGCATTCTTAATAAAATTAATTACTTTATAATTTAGTTTTTTCCTCTCATAAATACTTCAAATTTGTTATGCAAAATTGATGGTTGTATAATAAATAAGAAGTTTTAATTAATTCGGATTTTATTTTTCCTTATGATATTTCAAATTTTATTGATATTCTTAGAATCAAGCTTATGTTCTTTTATCAATTACCATATAAAATTCACATTTATGAGACTAGTGAAAAAGAAATTAAAAGTATTTCTTACCAATAGTTTTGAAGCATTACTTAGTTTCTCTTATATATTTAGTAAAATAAAATGATTAGATTTAAACACAATATATTTTAATTGTAAAGGATGGATTAAGTATAACCAGTCTTTAACCAAAAAATTTGTTATAGAAACTAGGGTTTTAGTTTATTCAGTTTTTCAACTTTAAATTAAGATTAAAGATTTTTTACATTAATTAAAATGGTTGCAAATTTTCAATTAAAATTTCATCAGGAAAATGCTAAAAATATTTTATTTATTAACAAGATCTTCTTATTACTTTCTACAAATAGTCTTAAAATAAAAATAAAATTAATTATAATTACACTTAATAATTATTTTTTAGTTTTTTTATTTATGACTGTTTATTAGTGATTTACTTTTTAAATATATACTTAGGTAGAATACATTTTTAATAGTTCATTTTAAATTAAATATCTTAAAAAAATAATAAAGAAAATAAATAAATAATTGAGTTTATTTTAGAAAAAATATTTTGTTTTTCTAATTTAACATATTGAAAAAATATAAACAATTTATAAGTTAATTATTATTTTTTTAAAAATTACTTTAGAATTCAATTTGAATTTAAAATAAAATTAATAATTTTTTTCTAGAATTTATTAAGAGAAATAATTTTTATGAAATTTGTTACATAAAGATAGATATTGATTTTACTATTTTATTATAAAATATATATTTTTATTCTCAGTTATCTTAATCAGTATCTTCTGAACTATCTGAAAAGTACCCAACTCTATTTTTAGGACCTTTTCCCTATTTAGAAGGTGGTTATCTTTCTAGTCTTCTAATATTCATAATACTTTTGATATCAATCTATATTTTTAAAAGATTTAAGTATTTATATTTTGATTTAAATATTAAAAAAATATTAATATGAATACTTCAAAAATAAATTTTTACTAATTTTGCTTTAAATATTAATAAATTACTATTAATCCTCATTATTTAATAATAAGATTAATTAAAACCAATATTTTAATAAACTCACAAAATTTTGATTTTGGTTTTAAATAATTGCAATTTTTAATCATTAGGAAAAAAATTCTTATTTACATTTATTTTCTTTGTAAATTTTTAAAAATTAAAAAAATTATTTCTGAAAATAAAATTAAATTGCCTCTATATTTAATATGATATAGGTAGGGAAAAATAGGAGTAAGGTGCTAATTAATGATGAATTAAGATATTTTTAAATTATGATTTTTTTAAGAGAATCAAATAATTGAAAATATTTATGATAAAAATTTAATTCATCACAATACTTTTGTTTTTAAATTTTGCTTAAATCAAAAAATAATTTAATGAATTAATTAATATTAATAAATGTGCTAAAAACTCTTTTTATATTTAATTATTAAAATAAAATTAGAAAATCAAAAACTATAATTTAATCATTTTAAAATAAATTTACTTAATCTTCTTGAGTTTTTACTATAAGCTATTAGATTGAACCACAATTTATCCTACCTCTTTCATTTGTAATTGTTGGTTTAAGATTAAACTTATACTGCTATATCTCTTTTTGAAAACCTTTAATTTTTAATAGTTGTATGTTAAAATTATACATTCATCTGATTGAAAAATAAATAAATAATAGAATACTTACTGTGCTAATCATTGCATTAAACTTCTACTTATTACTAATTTTCATTTTCGGATGCAATATATATTTATTGCTAAGATAATAAATACGTGTCTTCTTATTAAATGATTTTATTTTAATTCATAAGAGCCATATCTCTAATATTTTCTAATGAATTTCTCATAAATGGAAGTTATTAGATATTTAATTGAGACTTTTGATGATCATTTGAGTTTTCTAGTTAGTCTTCTTGATAAATATTTTAAATTTGATTCACTTCTTCGTTTATTATCTATTAAGACTAGTTATTTTGAAGATTTTTAATTGATAAATCTATGTTTGGTTACAAATTTTCATATGGATCTGAAATTTAAGGATTTTAAATCAGGCAACTTTTTGATAACTACATTTAACTTTAGCAATTATCCTCATTTTCAAAATCTGCAATTCCTTCTAAATCTAAATTCTAAGGAATAGCAACTTCATTTAATATTTAGCGTTTATCAGGTTTATAAATGAGATCAGAAATTTAATAAATCTATATTTAGTCTTTTATTCCTAGAGGAGCAGCTTGTAAAGAGTTTATTGGACTCTGATCTCTTTATCTTTTCAATCTTTGACGATTTTTGTTAATGATGAGGAGATTGTCTTTTTGTTGATTTTTCTATATTTTTTTATCAAATAGAAATAAGAATTAAACAGAAATTAATATTTTAAAGAGAGATTTTAAAATAAAATACTCTGAAAGGATTTGTTTTTGTATTTAGGACAAGCAAACTTTCTGCACACTTAATTCTTTTTGGATAAGTTCCTAAAGGAGCATCATTATCCTAAAATTTATTATATTTAAATTGAAGACAATCGTGTTAAATAATATTTCATCTTACATCTAAAGTTGCTGAACAATGTGCTAATAGATTTTTTGCTCTATTCTTTAATTTATGAGTTTATAAAGCTAACTCTTCATCAAAATCAAATGCTTCATCCTTATTTTTTCATTAAAACTAAAATAAAAACAAGGTATTTGCAATAAAAAATTGAAAAATGATCTCAAAAAAAATAATTAAATAAGCTGTTAAATTACATTAATAAAAGGGCCTTAATATTCTAATTCAGTTTTAAATAGTTAATTAAAGGTATTTAAAGTATAAGAAAAGTCAGGTCTTTATTTATAATCTTATGTTAAAGATTATTTATTATTTTGGGAAGGTTTATACTTTTAGCATAATTAAGATGGGCTAACAAAAGTTATAGCTTTTTTTTGTTACTATAAAGCTAGAATTTTTTTTTAGCAGTTGTTGATTCTTTGTAAATAATCTTAAATATTAACTTTATATTAGTTATATTTGTTTTAAAATCTAGAGAGAATGTTGTTTATAGATTAGTCAATATTAGAAAGATTACTAAGAGTTATTTCTAAACCTTAGGACTATATAATACCTAAATTTACTAATGACAAGCTATTATTCTAAATAATATTTTGATGTGAGGCCATTTAATCTTCTATATACTTTCCTCCTTGTTAGAGTTAATAGAAATTTTAATATCTATGTAGGAAGTTTGTTTTTTTTTACAAGCAATAAATTAATTAATAATTGGAATTTTTTTGATATATTTTAATTATCTCTTTTTATAATTTTATGCAAATTTAAAATAAATCTTCAAAATAAATGACCTTTTAGAATATTCAGCTTATTTATAAAAAGCCAAAGTCATACAAAATTATAAGATTGTTGAATTTTTTTATGATTTTTAATTTACCAACATAAAACATTATGAGTTTAATTTTATTAAAAAAAAATAAAAAATTGTATTTATTTATTTTTTTTTCACAAATATTTAACATAAAAGATTTTATATATTTTTTATAATAGTTAATTTTTTATTGCATTTTTCTTCAAAAAATAAAAAAATTTTTTTAATCTTTATTTTGAAATTTATAAAATAAATAATTTTTATTTTAAATTTATCAAAAAAACTCTTTAATTGATATTAAAGGTTCTTCAAATTATCTTCAAAATTAATAAATTTAATCTAAGAATTAAAAAAGCATTGATAAATTATTATTTTTATGAATTATAATTTTAAATTTAATTAATGTAATAGCTTTTTCTGATAAATAAGATTTATATAAAATCTTTTTTTCATAAAATCATTTTAATATTTCAGAATAAGGCTTGCAGGATAAGCATAAAAATTATGGAGAATTAGTAAATTTTATTTGAATTAGTATCATAATCTGTTGAAATATCAATTATATTATCAATGCCATTAATTTATTCATCTAGCTGACTTGTAATTAATATATTTACTCCACCAAATTTTACAATACTAGCATCAGTATCATGATTAAAATTTTATTATAATTTTCTATCATAGTTTTCTTTTAATGTTAAGTCGTTTCTCAGTAATCTCTAATTTAATAATTAATCAATTTAATTATCACCTTATATTATTTAATCACATTAATCCTATATTTTGTATACAATTTATGGGCAGCAAATTTTTTCTGAAGATCCAGGTTTAGTGGGCGAAACACTATTATTTTAAAAAATAGCCAATATCTTTTAAACAATCTTATTATAACAAGTTTTATCTAGAAAGTAGTAATTAAATATTTCTTCAATGATTGAGATCATACCTGGATTTTCATTATTTCCATTTATGGTAACAAGATTTGAAAAACATTCTATTGAAGAATCTATTTAGCTTTAGTATTTAGTAGCACTGTCTTAGTTAATTAAGAGGCTATGTGTATTATCAAAGTAGTCTGAAATTTTATTAATACCAGAACACACTGAGCAAAGAGCTCCTCTTAGAAATTAAGTGGCAGTGGTTTAAAATTTCATGTTACATTTATTTAGATTATTTATTAAAGTCTATAGTTATTTCAAATTCATATTTTGTTTTAAGTTATCTATTTATTATGGTTTTTGAGTATTAGGTTTCATTTAGCAATCACATTTTTTAATTTATTGAACCAAAATTTTAAATAATTTTTAGACTATATTGTTTTCTTTTTGAATTGTTTATACTTTGAATAACGCCATCTTATCTAAAAAGTCACTCATTTTTTTTTTATTACAACATGACTCTTATCCTTCAAACTAAGAGCAGACTCCTAAAATATTAGAATCAGCTTTTGTTGGATTACTATTTTTAAACTCATTATCAAATCTATCTATTGCTTCTGTAGTTTTCTAATTATTGTTTCCAACAACTGTCTTTAAAATATTTATTATCTTATTTAAGGCAGGATGGTTATTGCATTTATTTTATTATTACAGTGATATTGATATAAGTAACATAATAAATATCAATCTAAAATTTAATTATTTCATTTTGTTTTTTTTATGAGGATAGCAACTTTAGCTTTTTATCATTAAATTATCTTTAAAATTAAATTTATTTATTCAATTACTTTTTTGTATTTTTACAAATAACAAAAATTTTATAATTGATTTCAGGAGAAAATAATATAATTGATTATTACTTTTACTTGTAAATTAATTTAAAGACTTTTTTTTCACTTCAATTTTTTTATTTTTTCTATTTCAGGTAAAAATTAACCCTAATAAAAGAATAATAAAAGCTATGAAATAATTATTAATTTACAAATGTATTTAAATTAGTATCTTAAGGATATAATTTCTTCATTTTTTATGTACTTACTTTAAAAATGGATTTAATTGAATTTTAATTTACCTTTTTTTTTAAAAATTTTGGTTTTGATTCTCTCATCTTAAATACTTAAATATAAATGGCTATTTTAATATTTTAGAAATATAAAAATCTGTTTAGTTTGATTTTTATTTTACCTGTAAATAAAATAAATTGTGAAAAATAAAAAAATTTTTAAATGGAAAGAAATATTGTTTATAAGATGCTTTAAGAAGATATTAAGTATATGTTTGTTTTTTTATTACTTAAGTATAATAATATCTTAATTTCTTAGGTTATAATGAATTTTATTAAGCTTTAAAGATAAATTATGTAACTAATAAATGCATTTTTATTGAGCTCAAAAATGATTTATTATAAAAAATACCAAATTATTATAAAAACAATTATTCGAATTTATTTTTAAAAAATTTTTTATCCTCTTATTGAAATAAATAAAAAATGTTTAATTATTCATTAATATTAAAAATCAGTCGTATTTTCCAGATATTGATTCAGAATATAATTAAATACCTAAATCATTTTATAAAATAATGTTAAAAATATTACTTAAAGAAACTAAACTATTAGAAATGTTTAAATAACTTGAGAATATTAATTGGGTAAATATTTAATTACTCCTTAAATTTTTTATTTTTTGTTGTAATTTTTATTTAGTTGTTTTAATTAGCATCCTAAAAGAAAAAAATATTGAATTAGCTTAATCTGATTCTTATTGTCTTAGATTTAGTATAAATTTAAAGTGTTGTATAATTCATTTATTAATTAATTACATATTAATCTTATTCCTATCTTTTTTTGAAATATTTTAATTTGATTTTTAAAAATAAATATTATTGGAAAATATATTATTAAAATTTAAAACTATGTTTTATTAAATTTCAAATTAAAAATTAAATGAAAATAGATTTGAAGATACCATTTTAAATAATTTATTTACTTTTTTTCTATTTGAATTAAAAATTAAAAAAATTCTCAAAATATCATTTTAAAAATAAAATAATTTAATTAATTAAAAAATAAATCTTATTGTTAATATATTAATGCAAGAATATATAAAATCAAATTTATAAAGCAATATTTATGCTTTAAATTTAAATTAGGGGAAATAAAATTATTCAATTCTCTTATTTTGAAAAATAATTTATAACTTTTATTAGTAATATAAAAAACTAAGCTAAAAGTAAATTTTTAGTAAATATTTAAATTCATAAAAATAACATAAAAAATAAATAATAATTAACTTCTACATATATTATTTAGACTTGAAATTTTATTATTATGTTTACACAATTTCATCAATACACTGGGTCTTATCCAAGAGGTTGATGCTATAATATTTCAAAAAGGTCTTCTTAAACTAAAGCTTTTTTTCCTGCATAAGGTATTCTGTTTAACCATTATTTGTTGATAGTTCTATTTATAGTATTATAAAAATAATTAATAAATAGAGTTTCTTAAAAATAGCTAAAATATTTAACTACATTTAAAAACAATTATAAAATATCAATAATTCTTTTTCTTTAATAAACTATTTTTAGTTTTTTTAAGTATCATTTTTATTAAAAATAAATAAATAAAATATTTACTTATAATATTGAGGATTAAGTTCACATTCGTGCATAGAGAAAAGATATCCCTAAGGCGGGTTCCTATTAAAATATAATGTGAATTTTTAATATAATTTTATTGATAGAAAGTAATTATTAGTTTATAATTATCTTATATTTGAATAAATTTATTTACATCGCATCAATCGGATAGTCAACTCTTGTCTGATAAGTAATTTGATCTATTTGAGGTGTATCTGTTACTTTGGTTACAATTAAATTTTACTTTTCTTTTTTCTTCTGGAATTACTCCATTTAACCTTACTAGCGTTTTTAAAGTAACTGAGAGTCAGTAAAGTTATTAGCACTTTACTTATATTATGAATTCTCAAAAATTAGATTTTGTTAGCTAAGATTTTCTGACTCAACAGATGGATGAGGCTCTGGTAGCAATGGTGATCTATTTTATTTTAGAACTTGAAAAAAATATTTTCATAGATTAAATTACCTGTCTTAATTTTAGACTTCTTCATCATCTTCTTCTTCTTGAATTAAGATTTGATTATTTTATACTTGCTTTTATTGCTTTTTTTACTACATGCTTTATTATTTCAAATTTTGTTGCTAATTCTGAATATTTTATGAAGAATTCTGTAGATTTTTCTATTAATTTTAAAGCTGTTATTAGGAATATTGTGTATTTTATTAAGTATTTTAGGCATGATTATGGATAACAATTTAGTTAGCATCTTCTTTTTATCTCAGTAAAGGATGAACTTTTTTGATATTGCTTGAGCAAAATACTTGGTTTTTAATAGATTAATTTAATAATTCATTTTATTATGGATAGAAGGGGTTATTTTTCCTGTTATAATCTAATTATTTCTATTATTAAATAAATTGTGTATCAGATTTTAATATTTTAAATAAAATATTTATTAATAAAAAATCTTAAATTTAAGTGAAAACAATAAAAGAAATCATTTAAAATTTTAATAAGTACTCTTTTAATTATTTCAATTACAAATTATTTTAATTTAATAATGAATTTTTTACTTTAGTTGGTATTTCTTCTAAACGGTGCCTTGGAGGGTGTGGAATTGCTTCTTCTTTGCCTAGGTTTATTGCATTTTAAAATGTTTATTCGTATTCTGGTTACGTTTCACCTCTGTGAGGATTTATGTTGTGGGATTTTAAGTAATTTCCACTGATAAATGCCTAATTCTTGTCTTTTATGTTGGCATTACCATAATTCTCAAAAGCTGGTTTACCATAATAAGTAGTAAAAGCTGAATTAGGTAATTGTCTTGAGTTTTCAGCAAACTTTTAAATTCTTTTTTCCCTTTATTTTAATCTATTTTCATCTGCTGGTATAACGGCTTTAGGTTAGTAAGATTTGAATCCTTAGCCTTAAGCTCTTTCAAGTTATTCAATTTCTTGGCTGAGATTTTTCTATTAAATTAAAAGATTTTAGAGCTCACTTTATAAATGAACTAAATTCTATTCTTTTTGCAACTATTCTTATAATTATAGCTGTTAAAAATTATCATCTATTTGCTATTCTACTTCTTTTTATTAGTATTATAAATTCTCTAGCCTTTCTTAATCTTATTCATTAAATTATGATGTTTCTTACTAATATTCATCATAATTCTCCTCGTGATACAAGTCTCTTCTTGGGATCTTTGTGTTATAACTTATTTTTTTTGGATAAATTTCTACAAAATTATCATATAAAATATCATAAAGTTCCTTTTTATTTTGAGTCTTTAGTTTTCCATAAAAACTTTTATACTAAGTACCTTTTTTTATTTTTTCGTATTCAACTTCAGCTTGTTCATATACTTTTTAAGGTTCCTTTATTTATTAAGGAGGAGGTACAGGTATGTAATCTGGTTGTTCTAAATACTCTAATTGTTATTATGCCAACGCTTTTTCAAAAATATAAGTAAGATATTATGCTTAAGATAAAAATATTTATTTACCAGGCACGTATACTTTCTCTTCAGGGACATAAACATACCCTCTAAAGTTATCTTAAAACTCTGTAGTCATGCTCTTTGAAGGTGACTTTTTAATTTTTGATTAGAATCTGTTAAATTCATGTTCATGACTTATGTTAAGTGTCTTTTTTTTAAAATCTTTTGTTGTAGTAGTATCTCCAACATTCCAATTAAGGATATCTTTCCTTTGATTATTTTATAATTTTTAATATTGCTTATGCTTGATAAGTAACTTATTTATATATTTAAGGATTCTGCTAAATTAATTTATTACATTGAGCTTTCATTTTTGTACCTCTTTCCTGAAGCTTATCTTTACTCTTAAGAAAAAAAATTAAAGGATAGATTTAAGATTCATTAAACTTACACTGTGCACACTACTAAATGAATCTTTTTTAGCTGTCAGTTTTGTTAATCATTTATGTATGATACAATATTTAAATTGCTTTTTTATTCTATCTTTTTCAGTTAATTAGATTTGCAAATTTTATAATGTAAATTCAATTGTGATAAAATTTATTTATTAGTTTTTTTTTTACAGCTCTTAGGTTTTACTGAATCATTCAATAAATTAATAAATAATTTTTTTAAGTAATTATAATACAACCATTATTAATAAATTTATGATTAGAAATACATATCTTTATTTATTGACTAAATTACATTTTTGAATTTCAATTTTAATATATTATTTAAATAATTTTTTATTCTATCATAATTTTACAATTAAAAATAAATTTTAAGCAACTAATTATAAAATAAAAATTTTAATCATGTCTGTCTGCGTTACAAAAACATTTATTTTGATAGACGAAATAATTATTTAAAAAAGTATCTTTGTTTTTATTATTTCTATTAATTAAGAGTAAATACTTTTCAGTCTTTAATTAGTTATTTGAAAAATAAAAACAATTTGTAAAAAATATAATAAAATAATAGTAGATAGCGCAAAAAAATGGATCAAGTGTACAAGAATTTTTAAAATTATTTAACAACTGAGTTTGAAAGTAAAATAAAAAATGTTGAAACTCTTTAAGGAGAAAATGAAGCAAAGCATAATGAATAATTACAGGCAAAGTTGATATAGTTTGAAACATTATACAGAAATATTAAAGAGAACTTCCCAAATGCTTTAAATCATCCTAAATCTGAGAAATGAAGAGTTTGATATGACAAAATTCTAAATAATTTTACATATAAATAACCTTCAGAAAGAAATATTTAATTTATAAATCGCAGTATTTGAATTATTTCGAATTTTGGTTAAATTATAAGTTTGATACTCCCATTATTGCATATTTGTAAAATTATTAATTATTTGCAACTACCTTAGCCTTTATGAAATTTACAAAAGATTTACTATTGTAGTTACTGAATTTAAATTAAAAAAATAGGTTGTATATTTAATATTTAGAAATAGATTTGTAATAATCAATAGAAAATAATATTATTTTTAATATTTTGTCTATTTAGTTAATCTATATCTAACTAATTTAAAATCAATTATTTAGATTTTTACTTGCTTAATAGTTTAGAAAAAGAAATTTATAATTTTTTTAGTATTGATTTTATATTAAATTTCATTTGTATTAAAATAATTCATCTAATTATTTATTAATTCAAATTTTTTTTTTTTTTGAATTAATTAAAAACAATCAAATTTGTTATTTTTCTTAAATTCATAATTAATTAAAAACCAAGCAAACAATCGATATATTTATTAATTTATTGTTTGTTTTACAAATTCAAGCAAAAAGATTTTCAACTAAAAATTAAATATTCAACAGTAATAGAATTTACAATTTAAAAGGATAACAAATAATGAAAAGCTAGCTTTAAGTTTATGCAAGATTAAAACCAACGTAAATAATTCATAGAATACTTTTAAATGATATAGAAAAATAATTAATAAGCTAAACCCAAAAGACTGATCGTAAAGAGTATTTGATGAATATTATTTTTTAATTTAATTAGTGATAATGCATCAATTGCATATGAGATTGATAAATCTAGCAAAAGGTTGACCATAGGATAGAAATATAATAAAGCAGGATTTATTAATAATATGAAAGTAAAATAGAAATAAAAGTAATTTAGAAAATTAATTGATCCTTTTATTTTTAATTTATATTAGGAAACTATGGATTTTAACTTTACTGATATTTTAGATATTAATGCTACTTAGGAATAAGTATTCTAGCAGGTTGCTGTCCCTGTTGTTTTGAAGTAATTAGCATACAAATTAATAGCTATTCTTATCAGCATAATACTTAATTAAAATTATCATATAATGATTAGTTGCTTAGATGGATATAATGGGACAATATTCGCATACGGTTAGACAGGATCTGGAAAAACTTACACAATTAACGGATCAGGTATAACAGTTAAAAAATATTAAATAAGCTAACCTATTTTTATGTCAAAAATGCAGATTCATGGGCTTATAGAGGTATAATTCCTAGAGTGATGACATATATTTTTGATTAAATTGATGAGAGGAAAAATGATTATGAATATACAGTTTACGCTTCATATATGGAAATTTATAATGAAAAAGCTTATGATTTGTTGAACGAAGACCACCTTGTTTCTCCTATTGAATAATGGAATAAAGTAACTTTAATTATTTAAATATGAAAAAAAATTTTTAATTTAAATAGATAGAATTTAAAAGAGATAACTTAGGGAATATTCATTTAAATAATATTTCTTTACACGAAATTGATGATGCTAAACCAGGAATAGATCTTTTGATGATGGGTAATTATATTCGTAAGTAGGCTGCAACTCCAATGAATTAGTGCTCCTCGCGTTCTCATTGCATATTCACACTTACTTTCGAAGGTATAAATTAAATTATTTCTATTAGAATCACTCAAAAAACTAAAAATAAATTAAAATGATTTCAAATATTTGATAGTTTATTTTTCATTTGTTGTATTAAAATAATTTAAAAAAATTATATTAAAATTATTTTTCTTATTGTGCAGCAAGACAGATAGAAACAAACACTTGTTTTGTTTCGAAGTTAAATCTAGTTGATTTAGCTGGATCTGAAAGGGTTAGTAAAACAAATCATGATGGCACTTTGCTGAATGAAGCTAAAAATATTAACTTATCATTAAGTTATCTAGAATAGGTAAATTAATTGGCTGAGTTTATCTTTTTGAGAACTTTTTTACTTAAAATTAATTAAGGTGATTGTTGCCCTCAATGAAAAGAAAAAGACAGGCTAAAGATAGCATATTCCATATAGACATTCAATTTTAACTACAATTTTAAAAGATAGTTTAGGAGGTAATTGTAAGACCGTCATGATTGCTAATATATCTACGGAGTTAGATAATTTTGAAGAAACTATTTCAGCTCTCAGATTCTCTTAAAGAGTTGGATAGTTGGAAAATGAAGTAAATATTACTTTATCAAAAATATAAATAAATTATATTTTAAACTTCAACTAGATTCATAAAAACCAAAAACTTGACTTAAATTCGATGGTAGAAAAGTTAGAATAAGAAAAGCAACAGCTTCTTGAGTAACTTATTAACTATATTTAAATAAATAAAAAAATACATTTTTCTTTTTACAACTCATTCATAATTTTTAAACAAACAAACAAACAAACAAAGTGTTTACATTTCATACAAGATATGTTAAAATTACTTTCTAAAAAAAATTGGTTAAGAAATTCGATTTGAGGTTTTAGAAAAAATTTAGATTATTTATTTAAATTGTAAGTTATTCCCTAAAAAATACAAAATATTATTTGTTTTTTCCAATATACATAAAATATGTCATTAAAGTTCAGAGAATAAAGAAAATTTACATATTAAAAATTAAATAATATTGCTACATATTCATAAAATTACATTATAATAGTGAGCTTTAGAAGTATCAGAAGATAGTTGGAGAATTAAAAGACTCAGAAAATGCGAAGAATGCAAACTTACAAAATAAAAATTAGAAGCGCTCATCCCAATAATACCAATCTAAGCAAACATTATTTAATAACGATGAGTCCTAAGAGGAAATTGAAATAGATGAAGAACAAGATTTAGACTAAATTCTTACTAAAGTGGATGAATACATGCAAGACAAAATAGACTAATTAGAGGTTAAAAATATGGTTGAAGCTAAACTCTGCTTTAGAGCCATGAAGGAATATCACAAATCAACTATGGCAGATTACTTGAAAGAATTATCAGACATTTCAAAAAAATTGTAATAATATGATGCATTATTACCATAAGTTAGCAAAAAAAAAGAGTAAATGATACCTTTTATTTGATTTTTAAGTAATTAATAAAATTTTGAATATCTTAAATGACTTAATTAAAAAAGATCAATTCCCCAAATTAAAGATTCTGACATCACTCAGATGGCATTAAATAATTTCTACCATCAAAAGTAGCAATCAAACAGATAGTCCATAAATGATTAACCTTATCATGATGAGAATGTTGATCCAGAAACAATTTAAAAAGGAGTTCAATATACCAATTAATAGCACCAACCAGTTGTATTTAATACTCACTAGTAATATATTCCTTCATAAATGTCTTAAGCAGCTTTGGTATAAAATTAATAATTGACGTAAGATGGTTATATTCAAAAACAAGAGATTGGTAATAGAAAGAAGAAATAGCAATCATTTGAGTCGTAGAACCAACCTTAATAACAACAAGTTTTACAAACCTAAAATCAGTAATCGTATTAAGATAAAAATTATGCATCAAAAGAAGAACTAGAAATTAACTTGTACAAGCAGCAATACCAAAACTCTTTATAAAGAAAATAAATCTCATAGCACGCACTTAAAAGTAAAAATGAAAACATGTAAATTTATGCTTAACAAAGTAATAACGCACTTTAGTAAAATCAATACTAGTAAGATGTAAGATAAGATCATTAAAGAAATATAGACTACGAAGACGATTACTGAAAGAGCTAATTGACGTAAATAACAAATAAAAAAACAAACAACAAAATATGAAAAGATGTGAAAAATAAAACTAAAAATTATAATGTATAATTACTTCAAAAATAATGATAAACGAATAAATTATTTTCTATAAATTTATTTAATAAAAATATATTATTATTCAATAAATACAATACTTTATATTTTATGTGTATACAACTCAGTAATTTAATTCATCAATTTTATGAATTTCCTTTATTCTTTTTGAAATTTAGATTTTCTTTTACACTTTTAAATTTAAAATTGTATTATTTTAAAATTATTGACTTTACAATGATGTCTAAAATTCTGATTATAAGTAAAAAACTCATATAATTTTTAATGAATCTATGATACTATTTAAAATATTAAATAAATTTAAAGTAATAACTTAAGTTTTTATTTGGGTTTTATGAGTGTAAGGGACAATAAAAATAAATTTTGATTTGGTTATTTATATTTCTTTGAACTAATTTATTAGTGATTAGATAGATTTTATCGTGGTTTAATTTTTACAAAAAAAGTTACAAGCATATTTGTAAAATGGAGAAGCTCGAGCTGAATTTTTCAGTAAAATTACCAATTATATTTAACGAATCTTGCCAAAGCAATAAAAAATAAGTAATTTAATTTAAAAGTAAGAAGCTTATCGGATCTTATGAAAATTTTTGAGAAAAAAATACTGATAAACGAGCAGGTGTAAATTTTTAATTAGACATTTATTTAGCTGTATATATATCTTAGCAACTATAGAGCTTAATTAATTTTGTGTTTTTAGGAAAAAATTAATAATTCTTTTTCACCTCAAAGATATTAACAAGAAAGAATATTGCTGAAGAAGTTATTGAAAACGTAGTAAATCATATTGAAAAACATTTTTAAAAGTATTTTAGAGCTTAAATTTATTGAAATTAATTCTTTAATAAGAAATCAAATTAGTAGCATAAACTTTTATTTTAAGTGAAATTATTTAACTTTTATTAATTAATTAATTTTACTTTATTTTTTATTATTAATCAAATTTTACTAAAATTTATGTAATGAGCTTGACTTAAATTAATCGATTGATAGATAGATAGAGGAGAGTTTCTTTCTAATTTTAGGGTAGTTAATTTTTAGAAATAGATGAGCCACTATCTAATCTCCAAATTTATTAAATTTGAATCATCTTTAAAAGGAAAATTAATTTTTTTAAGTCAGCTTTTTTATGACGAAATCATTAGTTCATTTTGAAAGGGCAAAGACTTATCAATCTAATTATATGATACTTAGATAAATATATTAACTCATAATGATTAATTTGAAGATATTTAAGTTAAAAAGGGAAATCAAAAAATAAACATACCACTAAGATTATTTGCGAATTTATGTAAATGGAATTTAACTAATTACTGCTGTAGTAGTCTAATAACTTTAACACAAAATAATCTAAAAAATCTTATAAATGTAATTATTATGTATTATTTATTTTTAAACATAGATTAAACAGTTAACTAAAAATAATCAAATAAATCAATTACTCAAATGCTAGAATGCAAGTTAATAGAAATTTAATTAGTATTTTATTTAAAAATATTCAATTTTGCTATCATAATTTGTCTTGCATTCATTGATTATCCAAAATAGATATTTATTCTTTATTTTATAATTCATATTAAATCCTAATTTAGTTCATATTTCTAAATAATTTACAGATAATTATTAAATTATAATTTAATTATTTATCCTTTTTTTTTTTGATGCAATAATAAATAAAAAAAGAAGTAATAGAATCTGATTTTTGTGTTGATTTGGACTTAAAAAAATCTAAGAGTGAATCACCTACTGTAGTACATCCTCTATTCCTTCACAGTAAAGCAATTGAAAGCTAGGTTGCAGGAGATTATATTAATTTCGTAGATGACGATTAAACTATGTGCTGCAGCTCAAACGAGCGATGCGAAGAGCATTCTTTTTAAATGAATGAAGCATAAATCAAGGCACTAGAAGAACACACTAAAAAAATTGGTGATTTCTATACCTAAATGATTAACCATGTACAAGTCTGCAACAACTCTTTTTGTAATTTTATATATCTCTGTCCTAAATTTGAGGAACTCATAGGTAAACCTATGGACATGGATTTGCCTTAAATTGGATATTTCAACTTAAATGGCTATGGTGAATAAACAACATTTAGCACTTTGTGTGAGTATGGAAAAAATTTAAACAGAATCATGAAAGATGAGTTTATTGATTTTATGCTTTTGTGAAGTTAGTTAGTTAGTTAGTTATTAAACCATTTGCTTACTAATATATCTAAAAAATATATAATAAAACACAATACTTTTGTAATTTGACTCTAAATAAATGAAAGAAACTTAATCAATTTATAATATTTTCTAATGTATCTAAATATAGATCAAAAAAACTAAAAATGAAAGGACTTTTTACTTTATTATTTAATATAGTGCTTTCTTTAATAAAATAATCTAATAAATATTTCTCTTGCTCTTAATCTCACTTAGTTAGTCTTTTCAGCCTCAAACTTAATTTACTATTTCTATCAACTAAATTTATTTCTTACAGATTCTTCATTAGTCTATCTGCCTATTCTAAAAAAGATACAAAATTTGTTTAATAGTTATTTAATGTGTAAAGCTGATTAAAAAGGCTTTGCAAAAACACCTAAATATTTGCTACTATAAGATACGTATTTTTCAACTATTTAATTAATAAGACGCTTCTTAGATCAAACAAATTTAATTCTTATAAAGTTATAAATGAAAGTCTTATTAAGTTAAGCTTAATAAATGAAAATTTTTTTGAAAAAGCAAGTTAGTTAGCAAACAAACAATCTGAGTTAAATGAAAGTTAAGTTTTCAACTTACTCCTCTTATAATGAATATGGTATTGATAATTTACTAATTAAATAATTAACAAAATGGTAAAAAAAACCATCAATCTAATTGAATTATAAGTAAAAAAGAATCTCCGATGAAATAATAATGTGATGTATTTGACATTCTAAATTTCTATGTGTATATATGCAATATTGATATAGTGCGTTTTTATTAATAAAATTTTATTCAAACCACCGTAATCACTTCTCTTTCAATTGTTGTTTCATTAAATTCTAAAAATATAGATTTTCTAATTTAATATTACGAAATATAAATTTCACTACTTTCATTATTTTTTAAAATTTTAAAGTAATAAATTTATTTCAAAGTATTTTGCATAGTTATTTATGTTGTTAAATGTTATACTCTAATATTAATATCAAAAGTAATCTATATAAATATCTAATTATTAAGAGACTTACAAAATTTACTTTTACTTGCTTAAAAATTTAACAGTTAATCTTTACTTTTGAGTTATTTTGCTCAAAAAAGTGATAATTTTAAATTTTTAAATTCCAAATAAATCAATTTATTTTTAATTAATTTTACATAAGCCTTAATAGATTCTAAAAAAAAACAAAATAAATTATTTTTTTTAAGTTTAAATGCAAAAAGTTAATTGAAATATTTTTTAATAATAAGCAAAAGCAAAGTTGATATATTTATTAAAAAAATACGTTTTTTATTTGATTAATTGAAATTTATTACTTGATATTTAAATCAAGACTATTAATCACTTAACTATTTAACAGTTAATTTAGGTCTTTTAGGATTTGAAATGAAATGTAATCCTATCACACATAGTATTCTCACAAATAAACCTAATGAAAACAATATAATACAGTCCTCAGTCAAGGTTGTATTAAAGTCATGTATTTATAAAGGATTTATTGGCTAACCTTAAGGTGTAAAGTAACTCTAACCAGTAAATTCGTTCTAAAATAAAATTAAAAAAAATTATTTAAATGAGATATAGAAAGTAATCTTACAATGCATTAAGCTTCATAACCATATCTAAACATAGATATGTACGAAATGATCTTCCAAAAAATAGGTACAGTTGAAATAGTTACAAAAAATCCACTTAATACCATTAATGGGATAATAGTAGCAGGAACAAATGCCATAGCAACTTCAAATTTTGGACATAAAATCGAAATTAAAAATCCATATGAAGACCCATACCAAAATGTCAGAATAGATATCAAAACAGATGTAAAAAACTTTGATGGCTCAGAACTATTCAGCCCAACCGAATAATAAGTAATACTTAAAAACAAAACAGGATAAAATATCTACATAGGTAATTCAGATAAGCTCCTACCCCAGAAGTATGCGTTTGAACCATAGGCGCGATTTGCTCTTTCTCTCAAGTATAAAGGCTTCTCTGAGCTAAATGATGCTATTGAACCTTTAAATAAAAAGGGGAAGTTTATAATTATTTCTTTTATAATATAGAAAGATAGATTTTATAATAAATTTGCTAATCTTTTTCGCTCAGAATGTGAATATTTGAATTTATTTTTAACACTAATATTTAAAAATTATATTCCAATTTTAATTGATTGATTGATTGATTGATTAATTGTGGATTTTTATTTCTTTTATAAACATTCCAAAATTAAAATAAGTATTTTTTTATTTATATAGGAAGATTTCTCAATTATTTATCAACAAAGCTCCTAATTTAAATGAATTTAGATAAATAATATAATCAATCTAATTTTTACCCATAATAGAGGAGAAAGCCTAAGCTTAAGTAATAAAAAAGCTAGCACCATTACGATTTTAAATACCTTAAAAACCACTTCCAAGATTATTAAATACTATAATAAACACAATTGCAAATACAAGAGATTGAACTGTTTTCAGTATCAATTCAAATTTATTTCTTATTTGGTGAGTTAAAGCTCTCATTAAAAGTAAGTAAAATTGATAAAAAGAAGATTGCATGTGTGTTTATGATTTTTGTACTGGATCCTTTAAAATTATTTAGCAAGTATCTCTTACATCTTAATTATATGCTTAAATAAATGTTTCAATTCTATTTTTAAACTCATTTTTAATTTATTATTCTTCTTCAATTTATCCATCTATATTTTCAGCAACAATCCCCCCTTCACTCATTAATTTCATAAAATAATCAGCAGGGTTATAAGATTTAGGACAATCATATCCTAATTTAGAAAAATGTTAAACAGAATTCTAAACTTCTCCTTAATATATAATATTCCCTTCGACAATTAATAAAACTTCCTCAAATAAGCTAAATATATCGCTCGAAGGTTAGTGAATAGTCGAAACTACATTTACACCTCTTCTAGATATTTATTTTAGAATGTTTACAACCTATTAAGTTATAAAAATAATATCTTAAAAATTACTATATTGCTTAGTATTTTATATATGAAAACAGAATATTTATTTAAATCATCTAAGTTTATTTAAGTTTAATTGAATTTAAAATAATTTTCAATAAAAAATCTTAAAATAGGTTAAATAAATTAGGTTATAAAAAATTTTAAATATCTTCTTTATTTTTGTAAAAAAAAAACAAAAATTTACTATTTTTGCTGTGCTGGAATCCAATCCAGTGGTAGGCTCATCTAAAAACAGTATTTTTGGTTCTGTAAGTAGCTCTACTCCAATTGAAGTTCTTTTTCTTTCACCACCTGATATACCTCTAATTAAATGGTTTCCTACGTAAGTGTTAGAGCAATTTTAAAGACCAAGCTCTTGAATCAAATTTTCAACTATTTCATTTCTTTCTTAATCTGACTTATGCGGCAATTTGAGTTTAGCCATAAACTAGAAAGATTCTATTTAAAAAAGTAAATATAAATTTTTTTAATTATTTAAAAAGTAGATCTAAATAAATAAATTAAAAAAATACCTCTTGGGGTAAATGTTGCTAATAATATATCATCTTGCATAACGTAAGCTATCTAGTCACTGTAATCTTCAATGCTTTAAATACTTTCACCATTAAGATAGAGTTCGCCAGATATCGATAAATTTTTAGTGACTAATCTTCCAGACAAGAAGTTTAAAAGCGTAGTTTTTCCAGATCCTAAAAAATTTGCCATAGTTATTTTAATTTTATTTCAGATTATGTTGTATTTAAAATTTTTTTACCAGATGGCCCTAAAATGGCAGTAAATTATCCAGGTCTTGAAATGCCAGATACATTATTTAATATAACTTTCTCCTATTTAATTTTTTTTGTCTTACCATCAATAACTTGCTTTGATTCTATGGTGGCTTAAACATTTAAATTTCTCCATGCTATTTCGATTGGATTTTAAATTATTTATTATTAGACCTTTTAAACTATCACTTCTTAAGATTAGTTTACTATTTATTAATATAAAATCATTATAAATATTCCTTAAATTCTAATTTGCTTTATTAATATCTTTATTTAACAGTTTATGATTATTACCATCTTAATTGCTCATATTTTAATCTGTTTCTTGTCTCATTTCAATTTCTATTAACTAAATTTGATTAAATTTAATTTATTCTAAGCAGATTAATCAATCTCTTTTTCAGTAATAATAAGAAGATTTAACTATTAGACTATAATTTAATCACTTATTTCAACATAATTCATATTCAGTAGTATTTAACAATAAAATAATATGTAAAAAGTGTTAATTAAGGTGTTAACTCTTTTAAAATTTTAAAAGAAAAAAACGAAGTAACCTAAAATAGATGGTAATAGTTTACTTATTTATAGTAATTGTTAAGTCAAAAAATATATCAAATAGTTTCCCTTATTGGTAAGATAACTTATAAATTGGTTATATTAGATTTTTTTAAATTATATGTTTCAGGATAAAAGGAAAAAATGGTATGATATAGCAAGAGAATAAATCTAGTGTTTTCTAAATTACAGCATTTGTAATTAGCTTATATTTACTTACGCTGATTACAAATATAAATTTTTAATTATTGAAATATTTTTGGTGGTAAAATTTAGATATTTTTAATTAAGAGTAAGTTAATCACCATAAATCTAAATTGAATTAAGGTTACTTAAAACACACGAACAAACTAGTTATATAAAAGTATTTACAGAGTATATAAAATAGTTAGTTAGTTATATGTATTTTTCAACAGAAACCGTTGAGAGAGCAAATAAAGTTACGATCTCCATAAGGATCATCAATTCTACTTACTGGGGGCCAGTATTTACCCTAGCTCTTTACCCAAGGAAGAGGATATGCGGCTTCTTCTCTTGTGTAAGGATGATTCCATTCGCTCTTAAGTAATACAGAATGAGTGTGAGGAGCATTCTTTATTGGGTTATCAGTTTTACTATATTTACCATCAATTACCATTTAAATTTCTTATCTAATCTTTATTAAAGCTTCTGCAAATCTATCAAGTTCTTCCCTATTTTATTAAATCAATTTAATTATCTATTATTATAATAATTTTAATTTAATTACTTTGATTCTGATTCTGTAGGTTCAACCATCATAGTACCAGCAACAGGGAAAGAAATAGTGGGAGCATGGAAACCGAAATCCATCAATCTCTTTGCAATATCAACTTCCTTAATATCATACTCCTAAATTTTTTATAAGGATAAGGATATTCAAAAATATTCTCTTAATTCATAAAATAGTTAATTACCTTGAAGGGTCTGCAATCAATAATGAATTCATGTGCACAGTATTTAATTTCATTTTCGTAAAGAATTTAATAATGACCTTAAACTCTCTTACGCAAATAGTTAGCATTCAATATAGCAAAAGCAGTGCTCTTCTTTACACCTTCCTTAGCTAATTGCATGAAGTAACTATATGATATAGGTAAAATAGATGCACTACCGAAAGGAGCACTTGAAATAGCAGTATTGCTCTAGCTAACGTTAATGTTAGGATTGTTGGGCAAGAAAGGAGCTAAGTGCTTCTTAACACCGATGGGTCCCATACCTAATAATTTATAGATAAATAAATTAATTAGTAAAATTCTTTTTTTTAAGTAGAATTTATATTTGATTTAAATTTTATAGTCATAAAAATATGTTATATTTTACCAGGACCACCACCACCGTGAGGAATAGCGAAAGTTTTATGAAGATTTAAATGGCAAACATCAGCTCCCAAGAAACCAGGAGAGGTGAAACCACTTTAAGCATTCATGTTTGCGCCATCCATGTATACTTAGCCTCCATAGTGATGAATAACATCAATCATTTCTTTAATAGTTTCTTCATAGATACCACTTGTTGAGGGATATGTAATCATTAAACAGGCAAGGTTATCTTTGTATTTTTCAGCTTATTCCTTCAATGACTTAAGATCAACGAAACCATTTACTACTCCAACAGGTTAGAAATTCAAACCGGCTACAATAGCACTTGCAGGATTGGTACCGTGAGCAGATGTAGGAATCAAACAAACATTTCTATGTCCTTATCCAATACTTTCCAAATATTATCTAATAACTAATAAACCTGCATATTCACCAGTAGCACCACTGTTAGGTTAGAGGGAGACATCATCGAACTTAGTAACTGCCTTCAACCACTCCTTCAAATTATTTAACATTTAGGTATATCCTTCAACTTAATTTAAGGGTGTGAAAGGATGAATTTTAGAGAATCCTCTGAAAGAAACAGGAATCTAGATTAATCATAAACAATAATTTTATTAAATTTTTCAAAAAAATATTTTTAAATAAGCAAAAGTTTTTTATTGATTTTTTTAATTTATTTGCTTTTGATCTTTAACAAGTTGCTAAATTAAATTTATTATGCTTTATAAATATTTAAGATAGTAAGTAAGTGAAAAGCTTACAAGTTAACTGGCAGCATTTAACTTCATGGTGCAAGAACCAAGTGGAATCATAGAATGAACAAGAGAAATATCTTTAGTTTATAATCTATGCATGTATCTCATCATTTCAGTTTCGGAATGATAATGATTGAAAACCTATTAGGTCATGTAATCTAATTTAGTTCTCTTGACATTACCATCCAAATCTGCAATACGCTATTCTAAGTGAAGATCTGCAATATGCTTTGCAGAAGTGTTAACTTTAATGTAAGCAGAGAAAATTTCTACAAGTCTTTGGACATCTTCAAGATTGTGGGTTTCATCAAAAGATACGCTAATTAAATCTTCATTTTACTTTCTGATATTAATTTCATGCTTTTCGAATAAAGCAACTATTTCGCTAGCCCTAAAATATTTTTGTTAATTGTTAAAATAAATATGCTAATTATTAAAAAAATGCTTTAATTAATTTTCCAATATTTCTAATTTTTTAAATTTTTTAAGTAATTGCTTAATAAATTTTAAATTTAACTAGCCTAATTGATGAAATATCATTGAAATTTATTTCTTTGTTTTTTGTATGCAAAATCTTTGATATTATTCTAGAAAAATTAAAGAAATTAGAAATTATATTAGAAAATTCTAATTCACTCAAAACAAAAATATAAGATTAGAGTTAAGAAATTTAATTTACTTTCCAGGAACACTAATAGCAACAGTGTCAAACAATTAATTTCCGTTTCCTTTAACTTGATATCCGATTTCTTTCAATAAAGAGTGGAGAACTTGAGCAAATCCGTTGACTCTTTTGGCAATATCTCTAACACCCTAATTTAAATAAAACAATTTTGCTACCTAAATATCCCTAATATTTATTTATTTTATACCTTGGGTCCATGATAAATGCAATACATGGCACTCATATTTGCAAGAAGAGCTTGAGCTATTTTATAAAAAATATTTTAAACAACAAATTCTAATATTATTTTGTTTTTATGTATTGAAGTAAAAATCTTTAAACTATATAATTAGCAAGTTTTATATCAAATTAATTACCTGTGCAGATGTTTGAAGTAGCTTTTTCTCTCTTAATGTGTTATTCTCTAGTTTGCAAAGCCATTCTTAAAGCTGGATTTCCTTGTGCGTCTTTAGAAACACCAATAATTCTACCTGGTAATTTTCTTTTAAGATCATCCTTTGCAGCCAAAAAACCTGCAGCAGGTCCACCATAACCCATAGGGACACCAAGTCTTTAAGAAGTACCAACAACAACATCAGCACCCATCTCACCAGGTGCCTTAGAAATTGTCAAAGCAAGTAAATCAGAGGCAACAGCTTTAATAATTTTCTTTGGATCCTTGAAGCTAGAGAAAATTTAAGTAAAATCGTGAAGAATACCTTCATTATCAGGAGTTTATAACAAAACACCACAGAGCTACTCTTCGTTAGCTGCAAAATCATAAGTTTTATGATCTCCAACTACAACTTCAACATTCAAGAAACGGGCTCTTGTCTAAACAAGACTAATAGTAGAGGGGAAACAATCCTTTGAGATAAAGAATTTTGTTCTTTTTGAACCTGAAGCACCGTGTGCAAGATTAACGACTTCGGCAGCAGCAGAAGATTCATCGAGGAGAGATGCATTAGCGACTGGTAAGCCTGTTAAATCCATAACAAGTGTTTAATAATTTAACAAACTTTCCAAACGACCTTATGATATTTCAGCTTAGTAAGGAGTGTAGGCAGTATACCAGCCAGGGTTTTCGAAAAAGTTACGAAGGATAACAGGAGGAGTATGAGTTCCATAGAAACCATTTCCAATAAAGTTTTTATAAGATTTATTCTTTTCGCTGAGCTCATATAAATGCTAGATTGTTTCTTGTTCGGTCTTAGGCTCATCAGGAATCTTTGAACCATTATATTCCAAAGCAGTATTGTCATAAATATGGCTAGGAATAGTTTAATGAATCAAATCATCTATATTCTTGCATCCTAAAAGCTTGAGCATTTCTTCAGCAGTTTATTCACTACCGATATGTCTTTTTTGCTTTAATAATAACAAAATGTTAGCTTGTTTTTAAAATATTTTTGTAATTAATTCATAAATCAAAAATAACTCCTAAGCATGTTTGGTTATATAGATTTTTTCAGATACTAATAATAGCTATATAGTTTTTCAAGTTTTATTTTAGTTTCTTTTTTAAATTTAAGCTAATCTTAAAGCTATTTATGATCTTAGCATGTAAAGCTTGTTAGTATCTTTGAAGCTTTTGAATTGGGATATTAATCTTCTATCTTGAATTATGTGAAGTTTATGAAAGTGACCTCACTTAAAAAGAGTTTAAATATCGAATATTACCAAATAGTTGTTTTGCTTAAGGATGTCAGGGATAGTGCTGAATTACCTAGAGCAAGTTCTTTAAAGGGACTTGTTTAAGATCTTTGAAAGCATCTTGAGAATTTTTGGAATAAAAGTTGATAGATAGATAGATAAAACTAAAAGATAGGCTTTTCTTTAAAGTACCTCTTCTATTTATTAAATTTAATTGTTTTTATTTATAAGTTAATATTACGAAACAACTATATAAATATTTGTTTTTTATACATCACTAGAAGATATATAAGATCTTAGTTAAGCGCAAAACTATTGATCAAAAAATTAGATAATCCTTCTCACAATTGTTTTAACTCAGTTCAGTTAATCATCATTTGATTAAAAAACTAGGCTGAAATAAATATAATATGCAAAAGATTTATTTTTTTAATTTGCCTTTTTTTTCTTTTATTAACTTTTTTGTATTAAGCGCCTTTTTTCAAAACACAAATATCTTTATGGTTACTCAATTAATATTATCTAACAAAGTAATTACTTTAAAATTTACAAAAAAGGAACCAGTTTTCATAAACAATAAAACAGATTTTCTCAAATATATTTCAAACTTATTTTTAAAAATATAAATAATTTATCCATTTATAAATATGTCTATTCTTTTGCTTTCTATAAGACTAATTAATAAAATTATAAATTGATAATAAATAATTCGTGAAATGTTAAAAAGACATCGAATAGCTTCTATAAAAATTCCATATTTGCTTATTAAATGAATTTTATACTTGGAGATTATATAAAAGTTTTCTAGAAGAAAATATATCATACTAACAAAAGATTTATTATTTCAAATGACAAATTAAATTCAAAATGACAATTGTTTATCATACATATCTTATATAAATCTTTAATCAGTAAAATTTGATAATCGTCAATATAAATGTATATTTTGTGATTAAATAAAAAATAAAAACTTCGCAATGCTTCTAGTAAATATTCAATCTTTGAAAATTAATTTTATATTTTTTTTGTTATATATTCTTCAAATAAATTATCAAACAAATTTGGGTTTAAAATAAATAAAAAGCATTTAAATAAAATGAATTATTTTTACATTTTAGAAATAATTCACCTTATTACAAGAGCGTATTATCATACAGCATGGTAAATAAATAATTTTAATATAAAAAGATATTAATTTTTGATAATTAAAAATAAATTAAATTTTATTAGCTTAATTATCTTTTACAAAACTCAATCAAGCTATTACACTTGATTATAAATTAAATAAATAATTTTTTAAAACATGCTAATTTAATTAAAATCTTATTCATATTAAGGGTTTCCATTCTCAATACAAAATTAATTTAAATTTATTAAAATAAAAATTGATAAATAAACATTTCAAATGCAAAATATATGACATAAATTATCAAGTAACTATGCTTCATAATATGCAAAAATATTTATTTGTCTAATTTTAATTTGTCTATTAATATTGTTAACAAACTTTTTTTTAGTGATGTAGGTTTTGAACAAATTTATTACTTTTTGATTTTTTGGCCACTTTTAACTAATTTAAGAACATGATAACTTTAGTAAATATTTGTAAATAAATTTGTAAAAATTTCTAAATTTAAAATTTTTTATATCAAATTCATAATATAAAGAAAATATTTTTATTTTTTCTTTTAATTAAAATGGCCTTTTGTTAATTTTTTTATTCAATACCTTTTTTTAGATCAAAATGCATTAAATTAGAAGAGAATATCTGCAAGTATCTATTTATAGTTAAAGAAAGATAAATAAATAGTTTAAGAAATTTTATTTTTAAAAGGATTTTGGATAGAATCTTAATTAAATTCTTAATAATTGACTAGAATAAGGTATTTAACTAAACGATACTTAGTGTAAAAATTAAACATAAGGATGGTTATTTTGTTTTTCTTAATTTCTAATTGTAAATTAAATGTTTATTTATTTCTAAAAGAATTATATCTTTTTTTTATATTAGGGAGTTAAGCATCGATTTAGTAAATTATATTTATTTTTAAAACTTTAATTTGGACTTAGATGGAATAGTTTGATACTTTGATTCCTAAAAATGAGGAGTAAACTAAGGATTTTTTACATAAAACTAGAAGTGAGTAAATTAAAGATGTCTTGTCTGTGATTAATTCATCTTTATCAGTTTCGTTTGGAATTCTTTTGACATTTTTAAACATAACAATTAATCTGACATTTGCAGGTCAAATAAATGATGAAAATATTATTGCAGGAATAGGATTATGTGTTGCTATTTTAAACTGCTTAGCATTTTTTTTTACTTTTGGGTTAAATTAAGGTTGCGGTTCATTAGTTGCTAGAGCTTTAGGATCCAATTCAATTGAACTTATGAGAGATTATTACAATAAAGGAATATTCACTCTTATGATCATTTTGGGTTATCTTGTATTCTTATCACTTATTTTAGAATAACTACTTGTGACAATTGGATAAAATCCAGATGTTTCTCATTATGCTTGGATTTATTTTGTTGGAATTCTTCCTGGCTTAGCTTGTATGTTCACTTTTGATCTTATTAGAGTTGTTTTTAATGCTTTTGGAATGTTTAATGAACCTATGGTTATGCAGTTTATCTCTATTATAGTGCAATTAATAAGCAGCTTGATATTTGTAACCAGTTTAAACTACGGGTTTACAGGAATAATAATATCAACCAACATAAGCTACTTTAGTATGCTAGTTTTAATTTTATACTATGCTAGGAAAAAATAGATAGATATTAAACCTCATTTTGACTTTTAACTAATCAAAAAAAACTATAAAAGCTACTTCACTTTCTGCTTGCATATAGCCCTTCCAAGTGAAATAGATTCTATTTGCTTTGAATTTAATTCATTATTACTAGGATCTCTTTAGTTGAAAGATTAATTTAATGCTCATGTTTTATACAGCAACCTGTCTGGTCTTATGTTTAGTGTCTCATTAGGAGTTGGAGGTGCTCTGTGTACATTAATCTCAAATGCTGTGGGAGAAAAAAATATTGTTAAAGCAAAAAACTACTTTAAAATCTCCTACGTAGTTTTAGGCTTATAATCATTAATATTTTTTATTGTGTATCAATTTTTCGGTGAAGACTTAGCTCATTTTTATTCTAGCGATGATAAAATTATTTACCATTTTTTGAGGGTATTAAATATCCATAAGTATTTTTTACTATTTGATTACTTGTAAGGTGCTTAAGCAGGAATTCTAAAAGCTTTAGGAGAAGGTAGACTTTGCATTAAATATTTTATTATTAGCTTTTATTTTATAGGAAACTCTCTAAGTTTCACATTTGGATACCTTTTGGGTTATGGAGTGGTAGGATTTTGGAGTTCCTTATGTGTAGCAATCATAGTAATCTTTACTCTTTAAACCAAATTTTTGGTAAAATTAGATTGGAAACATTAAATCGATTAGCAATATGAAATATTAATGAGAGATAAATAAAATTTAGATAATATAGAAACATCCATAATATGATTATAAGTTAATATAATAAAGTACTTATAAACAAGTGTTATTATTAAATTTATATTTATAATGTAATTTTATTTTGTTAAAAAAAAGACTTTATATCAATAATAATTTATCAATTATAAAAAATGTGATACTAATAGAACTATTTAAGAGTTAAGCATACATGAGCTAATTTATGAATAGGGATAATTATTGGATTTTTAGAATTAACGATATTACCTTACCAAAAGTGAAAATTCTAAAGAGAAAATAAATTTTTGACGATTTTCTATTAACAAAATCTAAAAATTCCAAAAAATTGTCTTCAGAAATTAAAAATCAGACAATTTTGATGAATTTATCAAAAATCTTGTTTATAAAACAAAAATACAAAATATCATTAATGATTTATAAATATAAGAAATTGATATTCACAAATTTATTTAAGGAAATACAAAACAATTAAATTAAAAAAAAATTTTATATTCACATATAAATATTTTTTAATTTCTTTTGATTTTTAATAAGAATTTTACAATTGAATAATTAATTCTTTATTAATTTATTTGATTTTTAATTTCTTAAGTATCAATTTAAGTTTTAAGAACTAAGTAATTATGGTTATTTATTGTAATAATTTAGAAAATAATTTACTAAATAATATTTTAAATCCTTTTTATTCTAAAACATAAATTAGAAATAAAGATAAATTAATAAAATATTTTTCTTTTTTTGAAATATAATTCTAGACTTATTTAGTATTAATCAAGTATGACAGTTTTTATATTGTGTAACTTTAACATAATAAGTTAAATAAAGCAACTCTTAATAAATTACCACAAATAATGTTTTTTTTTTTTAATATTTTCAAGTATCACCCAAGACAATAAAAAATTTTAAGGGTAGTATTTAATCGTGAAAAATTTAAATTTATCTTATCTTACACTTATTATTTTAATTAAAAAGTCAATTGGGATTCACACAAAATCTACAATTTAAGATATTAAAAGTACATTTATTTATTTAACTCCTTACATACATATTATTATTCATCTGTTTATGAAAAATGTATTCTTTATAATATTTGAAACATTTTATTTTTTAATAATATTATCACAAATTTTATTTTGCTAAAACTCTTTCTTTAAATTTTAAAAACAGTGTTATTGCTTTTTTTGATAGTTAAACCAAACTATTATGCTTAGTTTATCTTTGCTCATCTTAAATATTTATTGGTATAATTTCTTCAGAATTTTAAAATATAATATTCAAACAGTTAAATATTTAAAATATTATGTGAAGTAATATTTGTTTTTACATTTAATATCAATCATGTTTTATTTTTGAAGAAATGCATTGTTTAAGCTTTTTAATATTTTACCTTACACAAAAAAAAAGCTAAAAATTTATATTTAGACAACAAAAAAGTAAGGATTAGTCATGGTTAAATTACATAATTCTGTAGATTTTCTTTAATTGGAAATGTAAATGCATCATTGATTGATAATTAAAACACAAATTTTTTTGTTTTTTATGAAGAGAAAAAACTTTTTTAATATATAGATTTGATATTTAGTTATAAACTATTTATATAAAAAAATTCGAATAAATAAACTGAGAAAGTGAAATGAAAGAGCAAAGGAGTTAACAAGGCAAAACATAAAAGAACTCATAAAATTTTTTAAAGAAGAAATGTGTAGATTTTTTTGTTGAGTAATCTCATACTTATTTAGATTCCTTTGATAGACCACTATTTTTAAGTTTGATTCTACTACTCATGCGCTAAGCATCAGTGGTCTTTTTTAATTTTAATGCTAAATATTATGAACACAGTAGCAATTATTAACAATCTAGTAATAAATTTACTAAGCTATTTATTGTAGGAGAATGGCCAAGTGGCTTGACAAGCTTTTTAATATATATTATATTGATCTTAAACATTTTATTACTAATTATTATTGTCTCCACTTTATTATTCTACTTTTTTGAAGTCAAGATAAAGGCATATCGTTTTATCTCATTTTTGCTTAAGGTATATCCCTATAGTATATTTATAGCCTCTATTTATATAAATCTACAAGCTGAAAATGGAATATTCATTTTATAAGTAATAAACGTAGTTCTTACAATTATAATAGGTAATTTAATTTGGTTATAGTTTTCTTTATTTAATTTTTAAAGCAAACAGACACTTGATTAAAAATAAATTTGAACACATTCCTTAGAAGTAATCTAAAGAATGATAAGTGTTTATAAGTGTTTGCGTGCTAATTTTTATTATATTAATACTGGATTAAATTTTTACCAACTACAAAATTCTTCAAAATCTAATTTTTGTTAAAAAAATTTTGATTTCTGTAAAGGTAGCGAAATTAAATTTTTTAGTTACTCCTTTAAATTATTACAATTATTTTTGACAATTAGATAATAAGAATAATTTATTTATCAATCTAATAAATTTTTTTATTTTGCTTAAATAAATAGAATTAGCAATTATATTGAGCGATTATGACCATAGATTCACTATTAAAGATTATCTTTCTAAAAAAAGCTTTAAGATTGAAATTATCCTATTTTTTTTGCAAATTTTAGTATCCTTTTTATCAATATACTCAAATTATTAGATTCTCCCTTTTTTTGCTCTAATATACAATTTAGTAAATCTGCTTTGTCAATTTTTCTACCATCCTTTAAACGATTTTTATGCTTAGTCAGTCGATACTGGATTAACTACTTCGAATGTGTATATATCAATTGTAATTATTATACTTTAGCAAATAGAGTCATAAATTGATTTTATAGTTATTTATTTATGCTGTATCCCTCTAACTTTTTGTGCAGGGATAGTTATTCATGCTCTTAAAATCAATCAAATTTCTTAATTAAATTTCACCATAAAACAAAATTTACTATAAAAATCTCACATTAGTGATTCTTATATGCAAAATATGGATTTACACCTAAGATATGTATACTAAAACATTAATTGCTCTCTCAAAAATTTTATTTCTTCTACAAAAACATTTGTTTTAACTGAAATAATTGCAGAACATCATCAATAGTGCTATTAATATCCTAAATGCTTTTGCGAGAATCAAGTAAAATTTATTTTCAATTTAAATATACCAAAAAAAATTAATCAAATTGTTAATAGTACTACTTGCTACCAAGGAAAATAGAAATTGTAATTTACTCCAAAAATTTTGGAATACTTAATATAGTTTTTCTAATTGTATATTTTAACAATTAGTAAATTAGTAAGTGTAATGAAAATAATCTAATTTTTTATGGGAATTAGATTTAAAAAATGCAGAAACGTTTAAAAAAAATAAAAAAATTCCCTCAATTAATCAAAGCCTTTTGTTATAACCAACTTAAAAAATCAAATTTTGGTTATAACTTTGTAACTATATAGTATTTTTATTTAAGAGATACTTACTTAATTTTTGATTTCTTTTTATCTAACCCATACAATTTGTGAATTATTAATACTTTTTTAATAATAATTAGATTGACAAACAAAGCATGAATAATAATGATTTACTAGATGAAGAAAGTAGAAAATAATATCTTCTTTATTATATTTTGGAAGGTTACAGAAAAATAATTGAAAAAAACAAAAATTAACTAAATCAATTTTATTTTAGCTATTTAGCTTTCTTGATTAATGCCTTTGAAAACCAAACCATGTTTTTTAGAGAAATCTTACAGATTAAGAATAAATTGAATAATAAAGCTTCATTAATTTAAAGATAGCAGTTACACTATTTTACTTAGCTAGCTTCTGTAGAATTTAAGCTAGACGCATAAAAAATTTAGAATATAGAATAACCAAAGATAATGAATGTCATTCGCTTTGATGAGTTGATAGAAGAATGCTCGGAGATATATAAAAATTGCTTGAGCAAGAAATACCTTCTTCTTACTTTGATGAGTCAGGAATTTATTGATTTGACATAAATTGAATTTTAAACAAAAGATTTACAAAAGGATAGACATAATTTACAACAATATTTGATAAACATATTTAATATAAATTGTTTAAGTATTCCTTTACAGATTCTTTGTGAAGGATTTGAAGAATGTTTAACTTTTGATAGATACTTTACAAGATTGTATTAGAAAGAACGTAAAAATGGAAATGGGTATAAAAATCATGTTTATTTTTATTCAGATGATTCAACAGCTGTCTACGTATCCATGCTATCAGATGTTGGCAAAATAGTCAAAGTAGCAAAAAATTTTTGTGATGTGGTTCCTGTCGCATAAAACAATGCGTAAGTAATAGGGAAAGATTTAGGTTTTATAATGCCTAATTAAATTGCGCAAGTTCACTAAAATATTCTGATAGACTGCCTTGAAAAAAAGAAGCTGAATGAAGAAATAAAAGAATTTCCTCTATTGTTAGGAAAAGATAAGGATGGCTGGTCTATCCCTTTCAGATTAAAAATTTAAATGTGCATGATAGGGAATGACGAATTAGGTGCATGTGGCTGGTTACAATAAATTATTAATGATAGTATATATTTAATGAGCTCTTCACTCTAACAAAATTTATAAATTTGTTTATTAGATCGCTAATTTTATGAAACAATATTTTCTGATCACATTAAATAAAGTGAATTGAAGCTAATTAAATTATCAAATATCATTATTATGCTCAAGCAAATAGTAGAAAAAGGTGTGCCTGGAAAAATCTATGAGGCAATTGTTGTTTAGCCAGGATCATTAAACGAAGCTCTAATTGAAAGAGATAAATTTGATGAAAATTTATTTTCTAATCTGATTCATATGAATTTATTTTAAATAAAATTTGCTTTTTATCCTAATAACAATCATTTTTATTCATTTGTTTAATATTAAGTAATCGCTTTGAGACCTTTAATTTAAGTTAAGCAAAAAAAAGACGCAATAAGAAATTTTTAATTATAAATACTTGAATTTATGGACGCTGAATTTATCAAAGCAACTTTTGACGCTGGGCTTAGATTGTTAAATATGAATTCAGAACATTATATTTCTATACCACATTTAGCTTCTAAAACAAGCATATATAAATAAAATTTTGAAGAGTTTGATGCTTCCAACGAGGATGATACTACTTAAAATAAGAATGATTCTTATTACTAGAAAATAAGCTTTGTTGACTTGAATTAAAAAGATTCACCAATTCTAAAAGGCAAAAGAAGTAGTTCTAAAATTTATTAAGAGGATTCCCATAAAAAACTTTTGTTTTAGGATAATCATTTTATTAATTAAACAAAGTAATTTTCTTTAACTAAAATTCAATATGCAGATTAAAATTCAAAAGCTTTAGTTAATAAGCTCAACTCTGAAAAATCCATTCAATCCACTACTATCCAACATGCAAAGAAAACAAATGATATAGAAAATGATTTTCTTGTCAATTTAGATTCAAATCGTAGTATCTAGATTTTGAGCAATGAGACAGGAATTTGCTTTTCTCCATTATCTACCAACAGAAAGACATAAAATAATCTATTTGATTCACAAAAGCAAATTCTATATAAAGGAGAAAATAAAATTCTTAGTAAACCAATAATGGAATATTCTGTAGAAGATGATTACAGCCCATAAAAAATATAAAACTTTTTTCATTCTTCTAAAAAAATGGAAGTTTCCATTTCTGATAAGTTAAAAGTAGTAACTTAAAATTTAATTAATCTTAAAAACCATTCAGAAAATTAACTATCTAATGATAAAAAATCATCATAAGACTAAGACAAAAATAATTAAAACGCTAAAGATGATAAAGACAACAATAGCACTCAATCCAGCTAGTATTCCAAATCATCTTCTATGTAATTCTATTTAAATTTAAATTTTTTATTTTAGGTTAATTTAAAACTATTCAAAAATATGTATGTATCTTATACAGTATTAAAATTAATCTAAAATATTTTTTTTCTTAATTGAAAAGGTAACAAATAATGCAGACTATTCGATCCAAATAATCCTCAAGTGGATTAAAATTAATAAACTTTTTAGGGATATTTTCATTGATTACAATATTTGTACTAAATTTTGTTTGCTACTATAGCTAAACAATCGAATAAAATAGATAGAGAAAGAATTTTAATGAAATATTCTGGGTTTATTAAGTTAAGAGATTTTCTCTACTTGTATTTGGCAATTAAATTTACCTGCTAAGTATTCTTTCTAAAATGTATTATCTCCCGACATTATACGATTAGAAATATTCATATGGTCTTGTCCTGTATACAAATAAGTATATGAATTCGGCTTACAAAAATCTAACAATAGAAATGTATGAAGGAGATCCATCATAGATAGATGTCTTCAATATTGTAGATAATTATTAAATAAATCATACAATACCAAATACAATGAATCCTTTATAGTATACAAATACGACTACCTAACTCTCTTACCTGATAAATTATTTTAATAACTATGTTTTTTATATGACAAGCCTTATAGATACTTAGCAATATAATTTTAAGGCAGGTCAAATAAATTCTGATAGAATATATTCAGCTCTTGATGAAGTTTATGCTTAAAATAATGACATTTTTTAAAATTACTAAGATCACAGCAAATACTTGATTTAAATGCAATTAATTTTGATAACTGTAGTTACTCTCATTTTCTCTCTTTCTATCATACCAATATATGCTTACAGTTAAATATAAAGAGAAAAAATTCTTAGACTGTTTGCAACAGTTCCTCCTGATAAAATATATTTGATGATAAAATCCTTAAACAAGTATTATGAAAAGTAAGAACATTCAGATTAAATGAGAAAAAATAAGTAAAATGTGGGAAGATTTTTTACTATAAATATTTAAAATAATTACACAAGAAATTTTACTTAAGCTTAAAGCTAAGCTTAAAGTAAAAGCATAGGTTAAAAAAGTTAGTAAGGTATCTAAAATAATATTTTCTCAACAAATACAGTTGGCATTAGAGATTTCAAAAAAAAGAAAAACCTAAGCAGAACTAATAAAATATCTAGGTTTAACTGTAAGATTAACATAGGAATACTTATATGCTTAGTTCTAAACTAATTTTATCCTATCTCTAACTATGTCATTACACAAATTTAAATAGAGAGTTTCAGAAAAAACCTTTAGTTTTTAAGTAAAATTATTTTAAATATAAAAAAAATTTAATTAAAATATTAAAAATATAAATTTTTTTATTTTAAAAAACAGCAACTTTTAACTCTTATTATGACAATATCACCTAACTAATGAATCTCAAATACATGCTAAGCTTCTATCTTTTATATCCTTAAACTCTCAAAGCAACACTACAGGATTTAGTTTAGAAATCAAATTTAGCTAGAAGTCAAACAAGTAATCTTCTAAATAGTTTAATTGGATCTCTATCTGAGTTTGAAAGCTATGATGGTTATGCTTAACAAGCATACTAAAGCTATCTCTACCCAATTTTTAATTAGAATATATGCACAACAATTTTTGATCCAGAGCAAAACTATATAGAGCAAGTTTAAATAGATCCTATTAAATGCAAATCATTAGGTAATGGTATTTACTAAAAAGGACTATTGATGTCTTTTAAGTATATCAACTAAATTTTTGATACTTTTTACTCAGCTGCACTTTCAAATAATATAAAAGTATTTATGAATACTCTTAATTCAATGCAGTAAGATTCAAAAATATATTAAGAGTATGAGTTCTTACAGTATTCTCTACTTATTAACAAAGTTGTTCATTAATTTGTTCTATAAACATATTAGTTATAATTTGATTATAATTTTAATCTCTCTCTAATCATAATAACTATACAATTTGTTATTATAATATTAGTATCCCTGCTAGGTTGGAGAGGTTTCTTTACCTATATTAATAACAAATCTTATTAAACTAAGCAGCTCCTAGATCTAATAGATATAAATGTATTGCTTGATAACCCTTATGTTAAATCTTATTTTAAAAAAAGTATATGATTTAAAAATTATTAAAATAGACTCTCCTTAATCATATTCAAATTTGTATATATTTTCAAATTTAATATTTAATTTGATTGTTTATTATTTATTTACTTATTTATTTAACTATGATTTTAACTTTTAATAATGAGCATATTTTTAAACCTAAAAAATTTTTTTGTATAATTACTAAATTTTTTTTCTTCTATTTTTACCTTTGCTTTTTTTAGTAGATTTTCTGAATATAATATAAATTAAATATTTTTATAAATTTATAGCAGTTATTTTAACTTTTTTATGTATAAATGTGCAAATTATCAAGATGAGCTACAAAAATAATAAATCATTTTAAAAAACTTATAGACTAATTATGAATTTTAGAAACTTTTAAATTTGAATTTTTTTTAGATAAAGAATGTTTATTTATAAGTCTGTGATGAGATAAATTTAAAAAAAAATGAATTTCAAATTTTTCTGTTATTAATTGACTTCTATAACTCAGAATATTATTTTTGATTAAAGTTAAATGTTTTTTATATTACTTAATTTAACATTTTATTGTTATTTTTATTAAATTCTTTTATATTTTTAATATTATTTAATTTTTCTTTATCTTTTATAAATATAATTTAAAATTAATTTTGAATTTTATCTATTTTAAACAATACAGAAGCTTTATTATAGTCTTTGTTAGGCCAACTATTTAAATTTGTATTTATTTTTAAACGTGTTTGTAAAAAATATTAGTATCTGAAATTCACTTTTGATATTTATTACAGTCATTTATCAAAAATTTTAATTAAATTCAATAATATAATATAAATGAACTTATAGGAATATAAAAATAAAATTAATTTTTTTTGTATTTGATTTATTTGTTAAATATACTTTATTAAGGATATAAACCTTGAAAAAAATTTTAAAAATGAAGAAAACACTTACCTTGATTCTTAAAAAATACTACTTACAATCTTCGAAGTCCAAGATAATACAATAATATATATTTGATAAATATTCAGCATAGCTTAGAATTTACTGATTCGAATCAAATAATTTGTCTGCACCTTTTATTTTTAAAAATAAAAAATAAATTCAATAAATAGAATAATTGCTTTTATCTTTACAATATCTATATATAAAAAATAGTAATTATATCTCTTAAAATCTGGATTATCATGTTTACAAAACAAATATAGAAATCATAGCAGATTTTTAAATACATTTGAATGTTCACTTATTAATCAAATTATTTATTTTAATATACGAATACTTTTAAATATATTTTTAACGTAAAAAAACATAATAAAATTTTTTATTTTTGGATTGAATTAAATAAAAGATAAAACATAGATATAAGATATTCAATTCAATTTCATTATAATAAATTTTTTATTTAAATGTGTTTGATTTAATAAAATGAATGAATAGAACATATAAATGTTTATATATATATAATTCAGGTTATAAAATACTTAAACAAAACTTTACTTATCTAATCAAGAATTTTAAAAATTGATTACTTTATTTAGAAATCAATATTGAAAAGTTTTAACAATATTTTAATTGAATTTTAACACTATTAATTAATTAATTATAATTTATACTTTTTTTGGTGATTTAATCTGTTATTTTAAAAAAGAGAGAGAAGTGGAGTGAGAAAAATGAAAGATTTACAATAAAAAAAAAGATTTTTAAATGAATATAGAAAAAAGCTAGTTATTTTATTTTTACCATATCTATTTTGCATTGCTTTATGGTTTCTTCTCCAAGGGATTTTATTGATTTATTATTCATCAAATGAAATGTAGAACTTTTTTAGCAAAATATTGAAGAATTGATAAGTATTTTTCTTAAAAATAGTTAAAACAATTTAGAATAATATATTTAGTCAGTTTATACTAAATATATCCTGTTTGTGTCTTTCTCTGATAAGATAATTTTATAAATTGAATTCCAAAGGATAGCAAGTTAAACCCTACTAATAGGATAGCTATAAAAGGACTCGTTAGCCAATAAAAATTATGATGATCTTGGTAAAAAAATATAAAATCTACTAACTTTATAGATATTAAACTTAAATATTATTTAAATTTAAAATCAGTGTCTTGGGAAGATAAACAGCCATATAGGTATTCTGTAAATAAAACAAAAGCTAATTTTTTGGCAGCTAATGACAATGTTTTAGATGATTATTGTAATACCAAAAGTTTGTGTGGATTTGATTAAAGTTGCTTTTAAAATTTTGATAATTATTTATTATAAATTGATAGTTATAGAATGTATGCTTAATATGGTATATTAATAATTAATTAATTTTATTATTTTAATTTGTAATTTGCATTTTTTATTAAAGAAAAATCTTAATTTTCAACATGGAGTAATCCAAATTAAAATATTTGGGATAAGCTGCCTATTTAAACTATGCAAAAAATAATTAAAATGGACTTACAAAGAGTATTTTCTATTTCTTTTATGTCAAACTAATAGCAGAGTATCATTTAAACTACAAGCATATATATAGTTCATAATGATGATGGAATGCTTTAAGATAGCTATATGGGGTATGAAACATTAATAATTTAATAAATATATTCTTTAATTTTTTAATAGGAGAAAGTTACTTGCTTAACCTTTATTAAACAATACATTTTATGGTGGACCTTTTACTTGTAATAAGATTAATAACTAATATGCAAAGTATGCATTTACTTCACCAGATTAATTTGATGGATTCCAATACAAGGATTACTAATTAAAAACTTGCGGAAATCAGACTAATCCATGTTCATGTCCTTATTATAACACTAAGCGTCTTTTCCCGATAGACTGGAGATGTAGATAATGGTACATTGATTCTAATAAAACTGCTTCAGCGTAAATAATAATTTAAAAACTCAAAAAAGAATTAGATTTAAATAAAAAAGGTATTTTCAACAGCCTGGGGTCGATATAACATTAGGTGAGCTTGACTCTACTTATGTATATAAAATAGTTTTACCCAATTCAAACAGAATCTTAAATTCAATATTAGATGATTTAAAATATTAATAAGATGCTGTTGTTGCTATTGATATCTCTCTCGGTAGTTTGCAAAACAAATTTATGACTAACACATAATTCGAATATTCATATTTAATAGCATCTTAAGTCAGTGATAGCCAAAATAATAGAATTGTAATTGCTCATCCATAAATGAATAGATGTAATAAAATAATATAAATATTTTTTTTAATTAAAAACATAAGCAACAAACAAACAATTAAACAAATAAACAAACAAACAAATTGATTATTTGATTAAAAGCAAAAGAAAATATAAAATATTAATAAATATTTATATTAAAATAATTAATTACAAAATTATAAATTTAATATTTTTAATTGATTGATATTTAATTACCATAAAAATAGATATTGATGCATAGTTTATTTTAGATGTTGAATTTAAAAATTCTATTAATAGTATGTAAGAAAGAGAAGATTATTTTATATAAACCGAATTTATGAGTAAGTAAATTACATACGTAGATAATTGTTAATTTAATAATACAAAATATTATTAAAGAACAATTTATAAAAATTACACAGGGTATATTAATATATTTTAACAAATTAATGTTTGTGTTGGAAATTTTAATGAATAAAAGAGTTATGCTGTAGCCTACTACTCGAAAGCTTTTTCTTTGAATAAATTAAATCAAGATATACAATAACTAGTTTAAGCAGTAGCCTAATTTGTTAAAGAAATGGTATAAGTAGCAATAGCTTTATTTGTGTTTATAACCATTGTCTTACTAACTTTGCTGCATAATTTCTTATAATTCAATTTCAGAAAGCCCATATAAATTGTTTCCACTTTTATTAATAAATCTGACAATCAAAGGTAATTAAATTTAATTTGTGAATATAACTTTTTTTTATTTTTCTATTGATTGTAAATAATTTGCAAATAAATAACTAATCAATTAAAAAAATCATCTTTATTTATTGACTATATTTCTTAATTAATGAATTTATTTAATCAATAAAGCATATATAAATTTTATAAAATGATTTAAGAGGGAAAACTAAAAACACAATAAGAGCTTAAAAATTTAATAAGTGCAATCAATTAAGTTGTATTAAATATTCAGTAAATAGTTTTTTAAGAATTAGTAAAGTCATAAAACTATATAAATTTCAAAGAAATCGAAGAGAAATATTAAAAATAGCTCAGTGTATTTTAGATTTTATAGCACAATTAGGGAATTTCGATGTGGTAATTATTTAAAATTTAATAAATTAATTGTTTTAAATTAAAAATTTTAGTTTAAATAATTTAGCCTTAATTAATTTGCATCAAAAAAAATTTGCTGCAGCTCTAAATTACATGAATTAGTCTCACTAGATGAGTTAAAATTTACTTTAAAACTATTCTATAAATACAGTAAAAATTGATATTTAAAGCTAATAAGATATCTATAAATAGATGAGTTTTGATTTAGATAATAGAAAATTTTTGAAAATGCTTGCAAACAAGAAGTACTAATTAGCAAATATGTTATATTTGTATTGTAAACATGAATAATAACAAAAAAATTTCTAAAACTAAGATAACAACTAAAGTTCATAATTTTAATTAGAGTAATAAATTACATTCTAAGATATTTAAAAAAAAGATTAAATAGAGAGCTAAACAAATTTAAATATTTCTTAGTCTTATTTTTCTCAAAAATTTTTGATGAAGAATAAATAATTTAATGATGAAAATTCATTAAGTGTAGTGGTTTTAAAAAATAATAAAAAATAATTTATAACCTAAGCGATAGATCTTATTGAAGAAGCAATTAATATTTATTTTATCAGTTAGTAAAATTGTTAATATGAAGAAGATCATATTTAAATTAATATTTCTCTTTGTTATCTTTTATTAATAAAATGCAGAATGCTCACGCCTGGAAGAAATTTCATCATCAGTATAATTTTTTTATTATTATTTAGATAATTAAATATTTTTTATTTGATAGAATAATTTTTTTCGGTATTAAAGAATCAAATAAAAAAAATAAATGAGGGTCAAAATAAAAATAATTCAGTATAGCTAAAGCACGTTTTATAATAAAAATATTATTTATAATAAGCCTTATTTAATTATCAAAAAGGAAAAAATTAAAAAGCCTTAATTTCATGTTTAAAAAGCTTAAATTATGAATTATTTCCTTATAACAATTAAAACTAAATTAAAAAATATAATAAAATTACTCACTACGACTTACATTCAACAAGAAAGTCATTGAAGCTACTTAAAAATTTAATAGTTATTTTGAATATTAAGTTAAATAATTGGTAGATTTCTTAAATTAATATAGATATTTCAAAATTTAATGAGTATAAGTCTAGCAAATACGAAAGTAATGTTTAAATTCCTAAATCATTTTATAACTTATAAATGCTTTTTAAAAAATAGATGAATTACATTTTTTCGAAGTTTTGTATAAAGATTCTTATGATGAAAAAGAATTGTGATTAAAATATGAAATAGCATTTCTTATTTAAAATAAATAAAAAAAATTAAACTATATATTTTAGAACTAACAAAATGTACATTATTAATTTAAATAATATATATACCTTTAAATAATAATATTAGTATTTAGAATTATAACTAAAAAAAAACAACCTTTAAACTTTATGCCTTAATGTTTTAGATAGATATTATTTTGATAAAAATATAATTGCTAGAATCCCTTTAAAAAAAATTTAGTTTTTAATAGATTTATTTCTCATTTATCAAACAATATATAAAATTTTAAAAAGTAATTGAGTTTTTCAATATAACTCTAAATATATCCATTAATAATTAAATTTATTTGTTTATAAGGAATTTTTATAATGCTAAATTAATTACTTCTCACTAGTAGATTATACATGTTCATTCTATATTTTTATTGATTTTACTACAAAATTAAATTTGATAGATAAGTTAATTAATCAACAATTTCTAGCATTAATATTTCTTATTCTTATTAATCTATTCTTTCTCTGATTATATTAATTATTTTAAATTAATTTAAATTATTGAAATTATTAATTTTTGATGGATTTTATTTTTAAATTCGATATTTTTTAATCAATATTTAGATAATAGATAATCTTTTTTGTATAATAATTTTAAATCCTCAAATATTTTCTATTTTTATTATTTTTTCATACCACAAAAATCAAAATAATCAATTTTTTCAGTTATTTATTAAAATTTTAGGGAACTACTAAATTCCTACATTTAAAATAGGTTATGCATCATCTTTTATTATTTTAATGGGAAATAAATTATAAGCTAACTTCTTATTTTTTATATATTTTGTTGTAAATAATTAATAATATTTTATGTTTTTTTTTGCTATTAATCAAATAATTCTTTTATGTCAAAAATTAAAAAGTAAAAATAACATTATTTTAAATCTATTCATTTAAGGATAAATATTCTTATAAAAATATAATTTATTCGTAAATAAATATTAAATGAATTAAATTTCTCATTTACTAATGATAAAAAATTTTATCAAATAGCAATTTATAAAGATTAAACAGGATATATTAATATATTTTAATAAGTTTATGTTTAAGTTGGAAACTTTAACGAATAAAATAGTTATGTTGTATCTCTTGAGGATAAATTAAATTACTATATTGAAATATAATTAAAAAGATCGTTAAACGAATTTTAATTATACAAATAGTTTTATCTGTGAATATCTATAAAGTCTTTTTAAATTTTCTACACAATTTCTTAAAATTTAACTTAATTAACCTATTTAAATATTTAAATTCCTCGATCGTTTTATAATATTTATTTATTTTTTAAAAAATAGATGTATTTATTACATTCTTAAAAATATTATTTTAAGATATTTCTTTGAAATAAAGATGGTAATAGTATTAAATTAGATATCTTATTTATAATCTATGAAGAAAACTAATAATAAATTTGTTATGAGGAATAAAAAAAATATTACTAACTTAAAATATAAAATTAGATTAAAGTTTAAAAATTATAATTTATATAAAACAACATTTTAATCATAACTTTTATCCGATATTTTTAGAAATTATATCTACTATATTAAAATGTAATAAATGCTACACCAAAAATAAAAAAAATAGTTTTCAAATTTTTTATTTCACACAAATAACAATTTTTCATATTTAAATTATTCAAGATTATTTCATTCAATATAGGGTAAAATATGTTTAGAGACCTTTATGTTTTCTATTTGAAGAAACATGTTTTCTTATTTATCTCAAATACTATATTTCCTATAATAATATTGATTGTTTTTTGAATGCTATAAGTAATTACTCCTAATTAAAAACTTTCTTATTAGTCTTATTTTAAATTTAAAATAAAAGGAAAAAATAAAGAGGAGATTTTTTATTCTTGATAGGGATAATTATTAAACCAAATATAAATAACTAAAATGTATTTTAGCTTGTTAATAATATATATTTCTTATCAGATTACACAAGAACCATATTATGATATTTAAAAGTTTATAAATAGTAATAAATAAATTTTGTTTACTAAAAAATTGCTTTTAATAAATAAATCAAAAAATTTTTAATGTTAAAAACTAAATAATAAATTGAATAATTAGAAATAATTTGATAAATAAATTAAAGTAATAAGTGACAAAAAAATGTCAAGAATATATTTATTGCTATTTATAGCTTCATTTATAAATGTTTCTCTAGGCCAAAGCGCTCCTTGTGGAATTAAAAGATTAATTTCTAATATGACATACTTTGGTTGTCAAAGATAATCTACAGTTTAAATAATTTAAGGAGAAAAAATCCTTAACGATTAATACTTGGATATTACATAATTAACAGTAGTAGGATGGTACAGATTATTTGGTAATTTAAACCAAGAGTATTTAATAATTCAGGCCATGAGTGATGATTCAAATAATTTGATATCGATATCATATAATCCAAGTTCATTTCAACTTTATGTAAAGTTTTAAAATTAGCCTAAAGTTAGTGTTAGCTTGATTAATGTCTTCGAGTATCTACTTTAAGATAATTGGTTTTTCGTCAAAATAGGAATAAGACTGAATTAAGATAACCTACCTATTTGCTATACCTATTATTATATTTAAACAGCATATTCGATCTATAATCCTTCATATACATACTAATAAGGATAAGCACTATCTAACAACCTAGTTAAATTTGACAATAATTAATTTTAGTTATTTTATGGAAACACATCTAATTTTCCACTATGTTCGCTGTGTGGAGTCTCTGATCATGTAATATTAATTAATATTATTAATTAATTTAAAATTAAATTTATATTTTTTAGGTTACAGTTTTCATAGGAAGAGCGAATCATTAAAGTTAAGGCCCCTCATTTTAAACATCTGCTCAGGAAATGTATTATCAGGCGAATTTGGTTCTATAAATTAATTTTTAAGTTATTTATCAGTTACAAAGTATATAATTGAACAGAGCAATCCATAATAAATAATATATTTCCTTTGTAAAAAAGAATCCTGTCTTTTAAAATGTATTATAACTATTAACTAACGAGTATATTAACGCAGGGCCATATTATTTTGATGAGAATAAGGGCTTGGTAATTTAGTTTGATATTAGATTTAATGGAGACATGCTTAATTCTTCTCCTCCGTTTGCTAGTATTTAGTAGGTTTCATCATAGTAATATTTTTATCTGATTAGTGTTTTATAAATTGGGAGTCTGTTTTACTTACAGGATTCTTATTACTGGTAGAACAGTATATATTATCAAATTTCTTTTAATAGTTGGTACAGAATTACTGTTGTACTATCCTAATAATTCAAATAGATTCAGAAAACTGTTTATTTAAACAATAAGATAATATTCTCATAAACATATTAAAATTAATTACCTATTGGTACTATAAGATTTACGCTTGGAAATTTGAGTACTAATATTTATGATCCAAACATGGTTGTAAACAGAGAAATTTTAATTAAGTAAAATTGTTATTTATTCTCTTTACTCAATTTTATTAATTTTAATAGATCAATCAAAATTTATCAGGGAACTTTTTTTTAAGCTTGTTTAAATTGTTCTATGCAGATGAATCTAGACGGAAACGACTGTATAATGTGTTCAAATGATGGAGATTTTATTAAATAAGATAAGCAAAAGTATACTTGTGAAAGTTCATGCAATTATGCTGATTTTTCTGCTTCACAGGCATCTTGGTAGACTTGTGAGTGGTCTTTCAATAAATCTTGCTAATAATATTAATTGACTGAATTTTAAACTACTTGTGATTGCCCTGACGGACACTATTTTGATGGAAACACATGTTTACCATGTCCATAATACTGCATTACATGTTCTTCTGGCACTTAATGCAAAGAATTTCTTTTTCCTAGAGGATATGATGGTAAATAAATGAATATTTCTTTATTTCTATCTTTTATTTTTTATTGATAAATTCATTAATTATAAAAGAATTTACTAATTTTAATTAAATAGGTAAATGCAGTTAAGGGCTTTTTGATGATGGTAAACAATGTATTGGTTAGTAATTGAAGATCTTAAGTTATTAAAACACTTTGATTACACTTAAATAAACATTAGTTGACTGTACAAATCCAAATTTATATTCACTGCAAGACTTTATTATCAAAAATAAATTTTTTAAAATAAAAAGTGGCTTAACATCTTTTTTTATTTCTCTTAACTTCATCTTAAACATTCCTGTCCCTTTTGCAGTTGGTAAAGTTTACAGTATCTTTTACATGATTGATGAAAATATACATATATTTTCTTTAGTAGCATTTGTTGATTAAAGTAATGGGATTTCTCTCTGTTTGGTAATTGGAGAAAATCAGCAGCTTTTTTTTGCACCTGTTGAAAACGGATAATAAATTTGGATTGGACTTTCTACTAACTTAAAAGATGTCTCACTTATTGTCAAATTAAAGAATAACCCCGTTTCTTATTACTATTAAATGATTAGTTAACCAATAAAAAATATATTAGTAGACCCATCACTAATATTTGGAATGGCATCTCCAAATTTTCCTTCACAAAGCATATTTTGTGGCTAATTTATGAACATTAATAACTGGATAATTTAAGGTAAATTTTAATTAAATATTTCTAATTATATCTATTATCTTTAAAAACAGGTCATCAAAGCATGACAAAATTTGCGTCTGTACTTTAAAGACAATCTTAAAAAGATCTAATTAAAGTTTTTGATTTAGATTTTAGTAACTACAGCATTAGCAAATTTACAAGTGTTTATATGATCTTAAATATTTATAATCCTTTGTAATATTTTTCTTATTCTACATTCAATAGGTAATTTAGTTAAATATATGGTTTTTTAATTGATTCATAATATCCAGCATATGCATACTTAGCATCACAGCTAAATTCTAATATTTTTGCTATTTCACTTAACATGAAAGCTTTCTCTCTTACTACCTATGATTATACTTTTTTATCTATTACCTATTGGGGTACAAAAATTGTTCAATTTAGATTTATTTAAAGCCTTTTCGATTTACAGCCTAAACTTGAAATTTGTGTCTAATAAGTATGTCAATTACTTAAATACGTAAGATTTAGCTCAGTTAACTCAAACTATTTCTGTAACTCCTTACATTTTTTCAAAAGATTTTGATTAACTTTTTATTTAAAATAAATAAAATTAGTTGTTACAGTAGAATCAATATACTTCTCTTTATATTTACAAACTGTAAAATTCAATGTTGTGCTGAATTACTAAACCGAAGAAATAGAAATATAAAGCTCTATATATTTTTATTTATATCCTTAATATTTAAGCTTTTAAATAGGATAGCAAATAGATAATTTAGCAGCTCCTATTTTCTATTTTAATAACCTTGAACTTTACATGCAAGGATTTTATTACCTCGAGTATGATATGAGTGATCCGTGCTTTATTTATATAAATAGATTAAATATGACTTGTATACTTCCAAAGTAAGGCTATTCACTTTTGAATAACTAAGTTATTCCAAATGATTAATGTAATTCCAATAGGACACTTAATTAAACAATATACTTTTATAATCCTGCCAATTTAAGATGCTAAGATTCAAATTTAATTATACTTAATTGTGTTGAAATCTTATATACAAATTTAAACGTTTGTAATAAATGCTTAGATCCTATGATGGATCCTCTAAATAACTGCTAATGCAAAGATGGAACGTATTTTGACTAAACAAAAAAAAAATGCTAATGTATTTTTAATTTATTTATTTGAAATATATTTTATGATTTATTTTTTAAATATTAGACTGCTCTCCAACTTGTAAGACATGCTCAGGAAACTCTTCGAATTGCCTTTCATGTAAGTAAGATACTTAAATACTCCCTCTCTGTAATTGCCCATTAAATAATTAGTATTTAGATAGTATGTTTAACTGCCAAGGTAAATTATTTTTTACTTAAAATTCAAATTTTGATTTATTTTTAGATTGCTAAAAGTAGTGCTCTTCATGCTTTGAATCTGCTAGCTGTATAACTTGTAGTTATGGTAGAATACACCCCCCAATATGTTAATGTGATCCTAAGTATTTTTTAAACAAACCAAATGATCCTATTTAAAATGAATGCGAGCCAATTATCTGTAAAAATAAATGTTAAACATGCCAATATTCAAGTGATAATTGTCTATTATGTAAGGGAAATAGAATCTAACCTCCTAATTGTTAATGCCCAGATGGGTATTATGATGATCCTAAAAATGATAATGTAAATTGCTCAAAATGCCAGTCTCACTAATATTATGACCAAATTTCTTAATAGTGCACGAACTGTCATGATCTTTGCTTAACTTGCAATGGACCAACAAAGTAAAATTGCTTAAGTTGCTAAAACAATTAAATTTTAGATGAAAACCACTAGTGCACTTGCTAATAAGGAAATGATTTAGTATCTGACCCAATAAAAGGTAGTAGTTGTTATGGGTTTTTTAACCTTGCTTACAGCTTATAATAGAAAAATGGAAAATATTAAATTTAGATTGATTTTGAAACAGAGGTTTATCTCCTTGAATAAATTATTTCTTAGCATGGAATAATTAATATATTTTAACTCTCTATCAGCGAAGTTCCATCTCAAAATTATGAAATTAAAAGTTTTAATATTCCAAGAAATAATTAAATAATTTTGGAAATAGGAATTAATTAAAGTATAAAAGCAAGCTACGGGAGTCTCATTTTCAAAACAACAAACATATTTATTGACTATCAAAACTAGATAGTGCTAAATCCTAAGTATTTAAAACAACCATTTTAATTTAATATTGGACCTTATTTACTTGTTATAGATGACAATAAATAACAAGTTATTAATTAGATTAGTCAAATTACTCCAAAAAATTAAGCTTTTATTGGTTACATAAGAAGTCTTTAATTTTTGTTTTATTTATTGAATTCGATATAGCCTACTGCGATGTTTTTGTTAATAAAAATTAATATCCCTATAAATTTTTATACGTTCTTATCTCTCTTTGGAACATTTGTTTATCAAAGGATGCCTGAGTACCAAGATAACAAACTCCAGCATGGGTTTACACTTTTTGGAAGCAATGTAGATGAATTTGTACACAGCTCTGGAAATATTTAATTTGATAGATTAGGATTCCGAGATAGTTTTTTAGTTAACTGCTAAATAATTTTTTGTAAATATCTAGTTATACTAACTTTATTATTAGGAATGTTAGCTATAAAATAATTTTTCTACCCTTTGAAATAATCAGATAATAAGGCTCAAGGCAAAATATAAAAAATAATGAATTTCTTCGTTGTGAGGTTAAGCTCAGAAAACGAAGTTAATCTATTAATAGTTATTCTTTCTATTAATATTCAAGTATATAATATATACTCTACTAATTGGCTAAGCAGATGGAGCATTTACTCAGCTATTTTTGTGATTTCTATTTTTTCAATATCTTTGATATGGTTTTATCTAAACTATAACTCAATGAATTTTAGTTTATCACAAAACTACTTTGAATTTTTCTTTTTGAGATTGAAATAATAAAAATTTAACTGTAAGGCAATAAAGAATTATCATTTCGTTTACTTTCTAAAGAAAATTTTAATAGTGATTCTGATATATTACTTAGTAGAGTATCCTTTATGTCTGTGCTGTATTTGCACCATAATAAATATCGTCACTTCGCTAATGACATTTTACTACAAGCCTTATAAGTATTTGTTTTTAAATTTAGTTAAAAGTATAGGTGATATTCTCCTAGCAGCTACATGGATTTTTATGATAATGTTTTACAAATTCAATCAAGAGAATTTAAATTTAGTTGTTTTGAATTAAGAAGATGTAAATTCATTTCTAAATAAAGGATTTATAGCAACTATAATATTAATTTTATTTAATATGCTCTTTTTACTTGGTTTCTTATTCGAATCAGTAGGACTCCCGATTTATGAATTTTTGTAAAAAAACAAAGATAAAATATATTTAATTTATAATAAAAGGAGATAAAAAAAAACTAAAATATACTAAAATGAAAATAACAATACAATATAAGTAAATATTGAATTAAATAGTGGAAAAAAAATAATTTTATAATGATTTAATAAACAAAATTTATTTAAAAGCTCTGTAACAAATTAATTAAAATGTCTTTCTATATAATATTGATCAAATTTCATTTATATTCTTTAAAAATATAAAAATAATTTAATATTATTTTATTTTTTATTAAATAGCTTAATTTTTTAAATGAATATTTTAAAATAAAGAAAAAAAGTAAAATTTGATTTTTTACAATAAAAGTAGTAAATTTTATTATCAATAAATTAATAAATTGATAGTTAAAAGGTTTAAATTTGTTATTGTGTTTGAATTTATTTTAAAAAACAAAAATCTTAGTTTATAACTATAATTTATTTAATCTGGAAACATTTATATCTAAGCATAAAAGTAAGATTAATTAAAATTGAACTTCTTTAGCTTACTAAAAGAAATAGATATTATATTTTTAATAAGAACTATTAAAAGCAAAAAATAAATTTTAACTTACAATTTTTAATTTACTTACTAAAAATTAAAATCTTATATCAATTAAATGATTTAATGAACAAAAATAATTAATAAAGTATAAGCTTTAAAATTCATTGATAGATAAATATAATAATGTAAACTCCAATAAAGATATATAATTAATTAATCAATCTATCTTTTATTTTACAAATATTCACTTCCATTTTTGGTTCAGATTTACATCTTGACTAATATTTTTGAATATTAAATTTGCTATTAACAATAAAAAGTGTGTGGATAATTTGTTTTTAAATACATAATAAACTAATAATCATTGCTTACTTTGATAGGATGGTATAACTTAAAGGGAAATATTGATTAAGAATACTTACTTTTCTAAGCAATAAACGATTATAATCTATATATATTAACTATTACCATAAATCCTACATAGTTAAAAATTAAAGCAACTTTATTTGATAATTATAATCCTAGTGATAATTTAATTATTATTACAGTAAAATTGACAAATCTGCAATACTAGTGGTTATTTTTAAGAATCTATAATAAAGTTCAACTAATTATTATGCCAATTATTTATTTTTTAACTCTGATACAGAAAAAACTAATTCAATTATGTCTTCTGCTTCTTATAATAAATTTATTGGAACCTCAAGCATTAAATATTTAATAATTAAACATTTTTAATTTTTATTGGTTAGTAAACATAATATTCCAAGTCAGCAGCTAGCTCTCTATTTATATAAGTAAAATAACATTTTTTTTAAAAGTTTTGTATTTAATTTTAAAAACTAAATAATTCTAATTATAGGGTAGTCTGCTCAAAGTATAACATAGGATATTAAAGAATAAAAATAATGAATTTTATTGGAATAGGTTAATTATTTAAATTTTTGTTTTATTTCAACTTTGCTTTCTTAATAATTATTAAGCAATAAATTATTTTGGATATACTAAATATAATATATAATTGGCATTTTAAGATTTCGCTCTTAACTCATAGTATAATCAAATTTTGTATATTTGATAACTTGAATTTTATAATAAAAAAAGAATGATTATTTCAATAGATTTCAAAGTAAGTGGATAATTAAATTCATATTCAACTATCTTTTTATTAAATTCATAATAGAATAGTAGTAACAAATTGTCGTTTTAACAAACTGTCTCAGATATTAGTGCTAGTTAAAGCTAATTTTAAATCAAAGAGTAATTTTAAGGAGCAATAAAGATGAAGGAGATCAATTAAATTTATAAGTTTAAAAATTAATTAAAAAAAACATATCATCCTCATATTCAAATATAGTTTTAAAAAAATTTATTCGACTTACTACAGAAAATTCAAACACTAAGTTTTATGTTATAGCAAATTACAAATATGAGGAGTTAAATTTTCCATAAAAAGTAATAACTATATTTTTTAATTTTTGCACTTAAATAAATACAAATAGGCTAAACAAATATTGGATCAGCTTCAGATATATTTTATTTTAAATGTCTTAATATATAATCTGGATGTTTTTTTTATCTTGGTTATGATCTTAATGACCCTTTTTTTATATTTTACTACAATTTATATACTGTGTGCTAATAATAAAAGATGGATAGGCTATTTTATAAAATTAGTGTCATTATGGTAGATTAACATATAGAAATTTATTTTTAATGAGATGTTAAGACTCATAGAACCTATTTTTATTATTTGGAAATTGATTATACTAGAAACTATCAATTTTATTATCACATAAATAAATTCTGCTGTTGATTATTATATATACTATGGTTAACTATCCTTACTTTGTTTGTAGTGCTGGCTGGATTTGTTTTAACCTAACTGCAGAAATGTAAATTTAAAATATCAAAATCTATAAATTTAGTTTAAAATAAGCTTATAATAAAATAGTTTTGTAAATATTATGGAATATATATGTATTGTATTATAAAACTAAAAAATATAAGTGAAATTTTTGTGTTTGAATAAAACCTTCATAATTATGTAACCACAGTCATTTTAAGTGGATCATTTAAATTAATTTGCTTTTTTGATATAAGAATGTCAATTTATTATTTTGTATTCAAATCTTTTATTAAGTTTAGAATTAAATTAAGAAACAATAAAATAAGTAATAGTTGACTAGTACCAAATTTCCTATTTTAATTATCTAAATTAGAAAAATGTAAGTACCGAAAATTCTTATGAATTATCTATAACTCACCTAACTCTAAGATTCCTTAAAAATGATAAAATCAAAATAATTTATTAGTAAAAATAATGAATTTATATAATTAATTTTAATTATCAAACATTTATAAATGTAAATAAGCTTTATATTTTAAATATATTGGATTATAAAGATAATACAAAAAATTAGAATTTGTTCAAAAAACTTTACACTAAAAAGAGGTATTTATTTGATTTTTAGGGAGAATTTTTAATAAATGATTTTTTCAAAAATCTCCTTTTATGAGAAATTTCATGGTAATCTATATGAAAATAACAAAATATACTTTTGAATTTTATAATTTAATTAAAATTCATGAAAGTGCTTACAATTAATGTTATAATATATGAGTTTCAAGCCAATCAAAGAAATTAAAAAATTTTAGAACTAATTAATTTATAATTTGGATTGGGAAACCAGAAATTAATTATTAATAAAAGAAATATTGAGTGAACATAATCTTTTTAGATGCTATTAAGATTTTGTTTTAATTATTTTGATTATAAGGAATATAAAGTCTAAGAAGTAAATTAATTAACTAAGAAATTCGGTTTTTAATTCTAAAGTTTTACATATAAATAAATCATAAATTTTAGCTTAAAATCTTAGCAAAAATAATAATCTATCATACGAAAAAATAAAAGATCAAAATGAGAGTATTCGAAAAGTTAGCAAATTTCACCTTTTTCGTTTAACTATTCGCAACCTTTTTTTGTCAAGATTTGTGCAACAATTAAATTTTAATATCTAAACAAACATTTTTTAGCTGTGAGTTAGGTTAGTAAAACTAGATAATTGAAGGATAATATCTTTTAAAAAATATTGAAAATTAAACATCATCTTTTACTTTGATAGGTTGGTATAACTTTTAGGGAAATATGGATTAAGATTATTTATTTTTTTAAGCGATAGATAAAAATAATTAACACATTTTGTCTATTTCCTTAAATCCTATATAGCTAAAGATTAAAACAATTCTATTTGGTTTGTATAATCCTAGTGATGATTTAGTTATTTCAGCAGGAAATTTATCTAGTATATACAATAATTGGTTTTTTTTAAGAATAACAATAAATCTCAAATATAGTTCAACTAACTACTATGTTCACTATTTGTTTTACAACAAAGATACAGAGAGCTCTGGTATGAACCTAAATTCTACTCCATTCAAAGAGTTTAGTAGAGTCTCGAGCAAAAAATATTTTGATAACTAATATTTTCAAATTTTTATAGGTTAATAAGCAGTTTACCCCTATTCTGCAGCTTGTTCAATTGTTAAATAAGTAAAATAATATTATTCATAATAAATTTTAAGCTAAATTTATAAAATAGATCATCTTAATTATAGGTTAGGCTACTTAAAGCATAGGTTAAAAAATTTCATTCTAAGAAAAATAGATATTAGCGGAATAGGTTCTTTATTTTAATTTTGGTTTTGGATCATCTTGGCCTTCTTACTAGTTTAATTAAGCAACCAACTATTTCGGGTATAGCAAATATAATAAATAATCAATCTTTAATGATTTTACATTAAACTTGCAGTGCAGCGAAAGTTGGTAAGTAGGTTAATTCGAATATGATGCTTCTAAAGGTGTAATGATTTCTATAGATTTTAAAGTAACTGGTGAATAAATAAATTCATTATCAACCATATTTTTGCTAGAAAAATAATATACTTCTAATAAGTAGATATTTTATGAAATTTTATCTGATAGCTACAATTCAACTTTACTTTAACTCAGTGAATCTTATTTAGGAGTTGTTAATAGCAATTTTGTTTATGTTTCCTTAAATAAATGGCACAGGTTAACAATTATTCTAAATACCAACTTTAACTAGATATAAAAATAAATATATATAGATAATTAATTAATATTTATTACTTTCCCTTAAGTTTTATCTTATGTTGGTTAAGTATTCTTCACAATTTAAAATAAACAAAAAATTATAACAGGGCCATGCGATAGGGTACTTTTCATCAAGTAATGTTAAAATCTTATTACTTTTTAAACAAAAAAAAAATATCTTTTCTGTTTTCTGTTAAATCAATACACAAAAGGAGTATTTAAAAATATATTTTTATATTTATAAATATAATATTCTATAAAAATAAAAAATTTATTGCGAAAGCTACTATTTTATATTTCAACCTTTTGAAACGATTTTATTAAGATTAATTTAATTCAATTTTTAATTTAACTTTTATTTAATAGTACAGTAAGGGTATTTTAAGGAACTTTTTTTGCCCCTTGTGCTAATTGCTTGGCTTAGACTGATATAGTAAATTAGCAAAATTGTCTTTTATGTTAGTCAAATGCTTTAACTGTTAACTCAATTTTTAGCAATTATTGTTCTAGCTTAAGCTCATGCCCTTTACAATATAAAATAAAAATATAGCAAAATGTATGTGATTATAATGATAGCACTCCATGTGATTCCACTCAACTATCATATAAGATGAGGTTTAAATCTGATGGAGACTGTATTTGCCCTTTAGGAACTTTTTAGAACTAAAGCACATGCTCTGAATGTCCTGAATACTGTGTTTTATGTGATTAAGCTACAGTTTGTACCTAATATTTAATTAACCCTAATTTAAGAGATAGTATTACAGGTAAAATTAATTTTTAAATTAAAAATTTTTATAATATTAAATTAAATAGGAAAATGTTAACTAAAAGATGCTTTTGATGATGGAATATCTTGTATTTCAAGATTTATGAAGATTCCTAATCGTATTAATACAAAAATAAATTTACCTAACAAAATTATAGATTGTTTAAATCTAAATTCTCTTATTTAGACTCAATATTTAATTAAAAATGATGCATTTAAAATTGGAACTTCTTCAAATTCTTTTTTTATTAGTCTCAGTTTTAATATAATTTCTCCTACAAAAAATGTTGGTGAATCATATACAATTTTATTTATGTAAGACCAAAATAAGCATATATTTACATTAATAGGAGTTTTATTAGATAACAACAGCATTAATTTACAGCTTTTTTCAGGAAATGAGATAATACTGTAAACTACAATAGGATATAATTTAGATATATGGATTGGACTGTATACAGATCTTTCTAATTTCAACTTAATAATAAAACAAAAAAGTGCTCCATTATCATTTTATTAAGTTAAATCATAAGGTTTAGACAAACTTTTAGATCCAGAATTATATGTAGGAGGTATAATTTCTTTTTATAAGGCAACAAACTATCCCTTATGTGGTAGTCTACTATAAAATGTTTTCATTTTATATGGTAATAATTTTTTTTTAAATTTAATAAATTAATTTTCTTTCAAAAAACAAAAGGAGACTATACTATGAATTTATATCCTCAAACTCTTCATTATCTAAGCTTTCCTGAAATGACAGTTATATTAGAATTTAACTTTAGTGACTATAATTCTCTCCTCTTTTAGACATAATTAACTATCTAAAATATATTAGATCCTACAAAACAAATTACATTCAATACTTTAAATCTTGGGTTTAACTAATTTAAAGGAATTCTTATTGATAATAATTCATAATCAAGGATATTAATTACTTTAATGCCACAATTTGCTTTTAAGTTTATGATTTACCCAATCAAAAACGATATTTTTTATTAAGGGTATACCTTTTTTTAAATACTCGATTAGGTAGATGCTTAAGTAATAGCTCTGAAAATTTATTAAGGAAATTCTTTATCAAGCAGAGCTAAGTTGTAAATTTGTTTAAATTATCTATGCAAAACGATGAAAAATATATCAATAAAAATAAATGACATCAATTAAATATGTAAGATTAAAAATAAAAACATTATTTTAAAACAAATATTTTTTTTTAAAAAGTTATTCAATTTACTGCAGACACTTCAAATTCTAAGTTTCATGTTGTAGTAAACTACAAATATGAAGAACTATAATTTTCTTAATTGGTAATTACATAATTTTTAAGTCTAAGCTCGTATATATAAATAGGCGAAACGTAAATTGGGCCTATTTAAAATATATTTTATTTTAATAATTTTTATATCTATTCTGGGGGATTTTTTTATCTTGATTATAACCTAAATGATCCTTGCTTTATATATGTAACAAAAGTTAATATGGAATGCATAATGCCAAAATAAGGATATACTTTAAAAGACGGCTAGGCTATTTTATAAAATCAGTGTAATTATGAAAGACAGCCTTTTTAAACTGTACTCTATAATAATCCATTTATAATGAGATGCCAAGATTCTCAAAATATTATACCATATTGTCTGGAAATAAATTATAATAATACTAAGTAATGCACTTTATGCTAAAATGAAATCATGACAAAAGAAGGAAAATGTTTATGTAAAAAAAATTTTTTTTTTTAAATTACACAAATAAATAAAAAAATATCTATTAAATATTTTATAAATAATTTTAAATTAATAGAATATTTAAAAAAAATAATATTTTAATTTAATTTATAGAATGTTCTCCTTAATGTTTGACTTGTTCTGGAGCTGCTGATAATTGTACAATTTGTAAATATTAAAAGCTATAAATTCCTGGTTGTTCTTGCTTGTATTCAAATTAGTTTATGAAATCAGATTATACTTGCGAATGTAATTTATAACCACTCATTATACTTTTAAATTTATTTACACTTCAAAAGTGTGTTTCTTTTTAATATAATATATTTATCATATAGATTTAAAAGAGAATAAGTTATTATATTTTAACTAAAATTTAAAAAAAATAGTTTGTGATCCATAATGTAGTTAGTGTGTCGATAATAGCAGTACATGTACTGTATGCAGTATAGATAGAGAGTTTCCACCTACATGTAGATGTAAATAAGCCCACTTTGAAAACACCTAAACAGAGAGTATTAAAAATACATGTAGACCTTTGAAATGTGATTTTAGATGTAAAACATGCTCTTTTACCTCATAGAATTGCGAAACTTGTAGAGGTAATAGAATTAATCCACCAAATTGTATTTGCTAAGATGGTTTTTATGAAAACCCAAATATTAATTAAGAAAATTGTCTATAATGTCCTGTAAGATAATATTTTGATAATTAAAAAAAATAATGTATGGATTGCTTTTCAAATTGTAATATATGCAATGGACCTTTAAATAAGAATTGTTTAACTTGCTAATAAGGATTATAATTTAAAAATGATGGATAATGTATGTGCCCTTATGGAAGTTAGGCAGCTTAAGTATTTGATCCTGACTATCCTTGCTATTTCTTTATGAAGTTGGAATTTAGTATCTCTAATATAAGTTAGAAACTTAAAATTAACATAAAATTTTAATATCCAATTGATGACTTGCAATAAATCATACAAAAATATGGAATAAATAATTTATTTCAACTAGAGATATAAGTTAAATACCA